CCCCCCCTCTCCCAACACTCGGCCCCCTCCCATTCGCTCTTTTGTTGTCCGCGGTTCGCCGCCCCTTTACATCGTTGCAGACGAGTTGTGTCTGGCGTGTATCTACCTGTCATCTACCTATCTACCTGTCTACCCGTCTACCTGTTCGATTCCCGGAGTTGTACATCATGTGCACCGTGACCATGCTGATGGATCGCAACTGCGATGGCGGAGGTCGTGGCGTCGACAGCCACAAAGGAGATGACGATGACGACCTCGACCTCGACCATGGCCTTGACGGTGACGACCAGGATCGTGACGGCGGAACGGACAGTGGCATCGACGGTGGCGATGATACCAACGACGTTCTCCTCTCCGGCGTCTCACTTGGTGGCATGTGGTATGTCAAGCTGGCGTCGGGTGTTATACGTTCCTTCATCTACCGAATTCATCAGTCTATCAATCAATCTATTTATATGTCTATTCGTCGATCTATTTGTGCGGTAAGTACATGGAGATGGAAGTGGAAATGGAAATGTGTGGATGACAGTATTTCGTAGTATCTCGGTATCAAACCCTCTATTCTCATTGCCTGCCTCGTATCATTATTGTTGTTGGCGATGTTGCTGCTGTTGATTTTATCGGCATTGTTGTTGTACATATCTCCCAATTCTATCCTGGAACTCTTTCCGTTCTATCCAAACACGCACACAAAATGCTCTGTAACCTTAAAAGAGGCAAAGAGGCGAAACCATACAAACATGACATGTAAGCAAAGAAAGCGGGATGGTCCTCTGTCCGAGTCCATGACATGTCTTGGTCTTCGAAGGGGGGAAGGACTGAGGACATCCAATATGAGCAAACTCGGGAACACCAAAGCGATGAGACGACTTCAAAGTTGCTCTTCAAAGAAAATGATCTCGGGATGATTCCCGTGCGCGCGAATGGAATCGACCTTGGCGTTCGTTATCCGTCGTCACTCATGATCCATGGGGGGATAGATGATGTGTCGTTGTCAATGCTTTCAGGAAGGTATCCTTGTCTTCAGCCACAATGTCTGTAGGTTGCGTTGGTGAGGACGAGTCTCCGCAATAATACCTTGGTCTGCGAATAGAGTGGCTGTTTCCTCACTTCTTTCTGTTTGGTTTCTTCAAGTCTCATACGTCCATGGGTGTAGCGCGAGGTGAGATTGTGCTGGAGGTAACCTCGTTCCGGGAAGGCAAAGAGTTTCGGAAGCTGTTTACGATTGGAAAGACGCCGACGGGGTTTTGTTTGTCGTGGTATCCGAAAAGAAAGGAAGACCGCAAGCAATGCCGTAAGAGACCGTTGCCGTATCAGAATCCTTGCTAGGTGAGTGTAAACATGACCGTCCGGGGTCAAACTTTTCAAGCCTCCTCCCTGGCACCCTTCTTCTCCCTTTCAATCTCGACCGACTCGCCGGGAGGTGTCGAGAGCATGCTTGACGGATTGTACTCCTTGGGAGCTGCGGACACGCTCGACGTCGACTGAGGCGGGACGTACGCGCTTGATAGGCGGGGGAAGCAAAATCCTGGGTGCAGGATGGTTTGGACCAGTGTGGCGATGATGACCATGCTAGAAAGAACCTCGACCATTAGCCTTGTGGATTCTCGGATTGAATACTCGGTACGAAAGGATTGGGGAGGACATGGAAGTGAGTGCGAAGACGATAGGAGTAAGTCAGCCAATACGTACCATCCATCAAGCGCAATAAAGGCAGGCTCAAACTGCATCACTGGATTCGCCCACCCACCAGCCATTTCGACGATACGGTAGATACACCGAATCAGAATCGCCACGTAAGCGACGATGAACCCGTACACAAAGAACCGGAATTTCCAGTCACTCAGAAAGCCGCTCGCCTCGCGGGATAGGGGTTCGTCGCGCCCTCGCCAGCGGCTGAAGACGTACCACGACGCAGCACTGCCGAAGAAGATCAAGGTGACCACCTGGAAGGCAATACCGGCCATCATCAAGTTGTCGCCCGTGTCTTGCTGGGATTGGTTGTCGTCGGCCGTGGCAGCCATGCCGCCGCCAATTGCCTGGATGATCAGGGATATGAGGTCTCCGGTGATGAAGATCCATGTGTACCAGTTCGGTCTGATCTTGGAGTACTGTGGCCCGAAAGCGAGGGTGATGTGCTTGAGAACCAGGTAGATGGCGGCAGAGTTGAAGGCAGGTCCCAAAATCAGACAGCAAATCTGGATCTGGAAGCCCACTCTGTCGAACGGATTGTTGTGCAGGATCACACGGCCAACGTATCCGAGTGCCTGGTCGACGCAGGCCAGCAACATGGCAATCAGGTACGTCCATGTCTTGTAGCGGATGCCGCAGAGAAGTTGTAGGGCGCCACACATGGCGAAAATGGCCACGAAGAGGGCATTTGCCCCGATCGAAGGAAAATAGCCATAGATCGAGTTCTCAACAGGACATCGGGGTGTGACATCGGTGCAGTTGGCGAGGGGCAGAAAAAACGTCGAGTTGTCGTTGTTAGCCATGGCTCAGGACAAGCCTGGGGGGTCGAGGATTAGACAATGGGCAAAGATGATAGAGTAAGAACGGGGGATACCAATGGTGATACTCGCACTGCTTTTGAAGGAGTCAAAGAAGAAAAGACCCATACATGAGATAGACCTATATGTACTCAGAGTCATACATGATGGATCCCCAGGCACCAACGAAACCAGGAGACGCCGACACGAGAGCTGCAAAACAAGGCTCTCGGATTGCCAGAGACACGAATACGAAGGATTGGGACATGACAATCGGTCCCTGGGCCGCAAGGTCTGGGCAAACCCCGAGGCATACGATAGGGCGGCTTCTGGTGGATACACATGGTTTGTCTCGAGATCTAAGAAAAGGCCTCTCGTTGCCCAACTCGTGTCTATCGAGACGCATGCCATGTGGTTGGACCGTCGACCCAGGGTGACTACCATAACCCAATGACGGCGGAACAAGTCAAAGAAGGCTCTTTCCCTCATTGCAAAAGGGTATTGGGTGCTGTGGTGTGATCTCGCAAGCTGAGCCAGAAAGCGGTTAGGACAAGGCTGTACCCCACCAGACCAAGCAATACCGAATCTGGGCAACAAGGCGGAAGGAGTTTTCCGTAGTCTTGATTAAGCCTTGTGTAGCGTTAAGATGGACATACAAGGGTTTGTATTGTGCCGGTGGTCAAGTATCATCCTAAGGAGCATATCCTTGCGATATCAAAGTCGAGGTTGAGAGCGAGGGAGGAAGTTTGGGAGTCGGAGAGTCGGAGCCGGAAGAACATTTCCTCCGTGCCGAGGATGTTTTAATTCGACTCAATTCCTCGCATCGCACACACAGCGCAGGCCATGGATGAATTTCATTCCTTCAGTTTGCATTCAACCAACTTGGATTCCTGCGCTGAGATAAGATGGCGTCTCTTCGGACGGCTTCCGGTTGTCTTACTATCCTTTCTGGGCTGCATCTCTGCAACTATGGGTACTTTCGCACCCGAAAAGTCTGAAGATGGTTGCTACCTCTGCGTATTTCGTGTCGGAACCCGAGATACGAACTGAACAAGCCCCTCCTTGACTGGGTCCATGACGCTGAGAGAGCCTCCTGTTTCCAACCTTAAAATATGCCTTATCCCCATGTCCAGAGTCCGCGACCGGCAATCGTCCGAGCAAACTTGAAAAGAAATGCTGTGCACAATCTTCACAATGGAACAACAAGCGCACACTGTGTGCTTTGTCGAGAAACCTCACTCCCTTGTTGAGTGAGCCACGAGACACGCATGGCTGAAGACCCACAACCAGAAATACGTCCTCGGATATGAAATAGCCTGCGCTAGAGTCCCCCCCTTGACCACCTGGCTCCATACTTGGCATACGATGACAATGCACTGATCGTGCGCTCTGTGAAGAAGATATACTCGGTACATCGTGGTTAAAGTGACATTGTGACTGTGGTGCATTCTGTAACTTGACACCAGTTCTACAGATGCGACGTAGGGAGAAGAGCTCTTTGAGTTGGGTACTAACGAAAATCCAGTGGTCACAGTGCTCCTCGCTCCATTACCCACATTAGCCACCATCGAGGTTGACAGCTGTCAGAGTGACACTCCTCAGACTCCTCACAGCAGACGAGAAATCAAAAGCCTGCGAAACGGTAGGGAAGTCAATGAAGGGCGCATCTCGACCTGGGAAAGACGAGCCCTTGCCCACTAACCCTTGTCACATCAGGTCATATCTCGCCACTTTGCCATTTCACTACTTCCATCGATATCTCTCTCCTCCTTCTCGAATTGATTGAAGGCCATCTTCTCCTGAATGTAGGAGGAAAGAATAACGGACGCGCTCAACTAGAACTGTGGAATGTGGTCCGATGCTAGGCTCACTTTGTTCTCGTCACCAGAAGTTCGCAAGACGCATCTACGCGCCGCACAAATCAACTCATTAGAAGTCAGCAAGGGATGAAGATACAAAAATGTCATGGATTCTGTCCGAAATTCTCCGCAGAGGCTCATCGCGTTACCAAACGGATCCCTACCTCAGTGCGATCACTCGGAATGTGGTCTAAGCGCAAACAGCCGGACTTTCAAGTTTTCCATCTCTTGCTGCCAAAACTTCATCCAACTCATGCTGTAATGTGAGAGTATTTCTACTGTTGAGCGTGTGTGTCGTGAGGCTTCTTCGAATTTTCGCTTGGTTTAGCGTGCAGACACTACCACCGGAATTTCCTTTGCTCATCTACCCAAGATGGAGCAGTATATGCCTCTTTCATCCGATAGCCGCACGAGTGATCACATGGACGATCTGGAGCTCTCAGACATCGACATGGAAAAGATTCATGAACACCCCTTGCCAAAATGGTATCGATTGCCCGGGTGGAGAATCTCACCGAGATGGGAGTTTCCGCAGAATTGGAAGATCTGGTCAACAGATGACTTGACGAAGCCAAAGAATATGGCGTCTCTGATTCTCGCAGGCTTTCTCGTCGCACTCCCACGGTTCCTGCGGCCTGCTGGTTTGAAAAGACCGAAGAAACTGCATCCGACAGCTTATCTTGATGCTCTGAGAGGCTGGGCGGCACTACTTGTCTTCCGATTTCACATGTACTACAACAAAACGTGGCTTCTCGAGCTCCCGGTCGTTCGCGGGCTCCTCAATGGCCGTGCCATGGTCGAAGTCTTTTTCGTCATCTCCGGATACGTGCTCAGCTACCGACTTCTCAAGATGATGCGCAATCAGCAGCCAGACCTCCTTCGGGCTTTGGCTTCATCGACGTTCAGACGATGGTTTCGACTGTTCATTCCGACAGGCACTGGCTCTTTGATCGTCGCTCTCACCTCGTATTTCGGCTGGTGTCGAGGAGACCTTCGTCAGGGGACTTTCCTTGGTCAAATCTGGGATTGGTTCTGGGATTTCGGCTCGACCACTAATCCATTTGCCGATATCAAAGGCTGGTGGTATCCAAGCGTCTTCCGCACAAAGTACCTCGACCCGATGTGGACTATTCCTGTCGAGTTCAGAGGCAGCATAGTGCTGTTCTCATTTTGTGGCGTCGCGGCTTTCTTCTCTACGAGAGGTCGCAGGATCTGTTGTGCTCTTGTTATACTTCTCTGTTACTACTGGTGGACTATCTACGCAGCTTTATTCTTGATCGGTCTGATGATAGCGGATCTTTCATTCGATCGCCATCCGGAACGCCTACACCCTGTGCCTCTTCCGCAGCGGCAGAACGAAGAAGCAGCACCAAGTCGCAAAACTAGCAGCAAAATCCTCACCAAGGTCGGGTGCAGTCTTCTTGTTGTCGTCGCACTCTTCCTCTTCGGACAGCCGCCAGACGGATGGAGCTATCAAGGACCCTTCCCCTTCGACTACCTCAGCAAGGTTATACCGTGGTGGTATCCCCTCGACCTCAGTGAATACTTCTGGCTCAGCATCGGAGCCGGTCTTCTGGTTTTTGCCCTGGATAATTGCCGCATGCTCCAGATTCCTTTCGAGCTCAGCTTTTCTCAGTATCTCGGGGATATCTCGTTCGGTATCTACGTCATGCATGATATCGTCAACTGGTGCTTCTACGAGCCCATCGTGGAACCTTGGCGCGCTGCACACCTCGGCGATGGTTACTGGTCCGGACTCCCGGGCATGCTGGTCACCACGACTGTTGTCCTTTGGGCCGCCGACTATTTCTCACGGATCGATGCCTGGGTCGTGTGGTTCGGCAAGTGGCTGGAGTCAAAGGCCTTTGTCAAGGTGGACAATTGAGGGAATATTGATTGACGCGGGTTCAAGGGCTGCAGTCTCGATGCCCTTCATCATCATCGCAGTACTTTATGTGGGAATACTTTTGAGGTTACCGTTACCGGGCTCTCTTCTTCGATTTATTTCCCCTTGGGCTCGATACGAACTGCCAACAACATCATCGGATTTACTGAATCAATGTCGATTGTAAAGTGTTTTGGGGCTTTACATGTCTGTCTAGCTACAAGAGGAGCGTTTATTCACGGTCCCCATACCCCAGGAATGTAGAGAACTGGGTCACTCACTGGTCAAGCCCATCCGTGCCACGCAGCCATGCAGTCATGTAAACCCCAGATTGGGGTTCAAACTCTCAAAAACGGGTTCTGTGCTGCAAGACAAGACCGCTCGCTACTCTCCTCGTATCTATGCAAGCCAACCCAACACTAAGAAATAATGACGAGCCGTATAGAGTCGTCAGCCAGAACATCCTTTCCCTATCTCCCCCGCGACGAATGGTTTAGTGTCTGCATCGAGGCGACTAAGATGATGTCCTTTCAGCACGTAGACGAGACGGGGGGATATTGTTGATGTATGTATATACTCGCACTAGAGCTCTCTCTCTCTTGGTATATGGCCAAAAATATGAAATAGGCCGTATACACAACAATCTTTCAAGGCAAAGCGAACAAGTTCGTTCCCGAGCACATTGCAGCCGCAGTATTACCTGCCGGACTTCCAGCAACATGACGATGAAGGTGGCACAGCACCTCAAGGAGGACAAAGTGGAAGTAAAGGTGGAAGAGGAAATGAAGCCTGTGCCAGTTTAGTGTCATGGAGTGAATCCGTACCAAGTGTCAAAGGAGAGGGCGTATGAGTGGAGTTGGACCTTCCCAGTTAAGACGAGGTCGCCTGCCTCTGGGTCTAGCCTATTTGGTAGATAATGTCCACAAATCGGAAGGCGTGAATCGGTTGCGCGACCAATCAACAATCCGGGGTTGTTTCTTTGGACACTCTTGCCTCCTAATACCGCGTACTTGTACACTCTTTCCCTTGGCTCAACAGGATTCAGCAACAAACGGGTGTCGGCGGTGTGCTGCGTAGACGTCGGTGGTGGTCTTGACCCTCGCCTGAATTGGCCGTAGGTCTTCGGAAGTTATAACTTAGATGGCCGGAACGACACTGCTCGCAATGAATGAGTCTTCAGTCTTGCGGCTTCTTCATGGTTAGCTTAGCCTTTTACCTCATGATAGGGGCATAGATTTCCATCGCAGCTGACCGGCAGTGAGCGCGGCTGCCAGTGAAGGGAGTATATGGTTGTTAGCCCATTAGTTAGCCACGTGGTTCGGTTCTCTTTATCCAGATTATACGAGGTATACTACCGAGAGGCGCTAGTATTAGTATGCCTTCTGTAACTACTCGACAGTATATAGTCACCTGAGCCACCAGGCCAGAGTATGTGAGAAGACGCCTCGATTTCATTCGACCACCATCTCCAATATCTCCATGACCTGTCCTTTCTCCGTGATCGGCTTCGGATTCGTCAGGCTCATATGGTCCTTGAGGCTGTTGACGGCCAACCCATCCAGCTTGTCTCTCCCGACACCCACCTCCTTCAACGTCCGGGGCATGCCGATCTGCCGGAATATCACGTCCAGGATGTCCCCCAGGTCGACGTTTTCAAGATCCTGCGGCCCCGAGCCGTACTTGGCTTCCAACAACTCTTTAACCACGGGCGAGCGGAGCAACACCTGTTTGCAGTGGGCCTGTCTTTCGACGTTGGCGCCCACTTTCGCGTTCCACTTGCACACCGCGGGGAGCATGATGCAGCTGGTCTCCCCGTGGCCCACGCCCAGGGGACCCAGCTGATGCCCGATGGCGTGGCTGGCGCCGAGAGCCACGCCGGTCTCCACGGCTCTCATGGCTTGGATCACGCTCCGCATCGTCTCGTACCTGGCGTCCAGATCACCGGGATCCTTGTGCGTCCGGATCAGGGCCGGCACCAGTGTCAGCAACCCCTTTTCGGCCTCGGCGTCGCCTTTCTCGTTCGACAACAGGCTGCACAGCGCCTCGACGCAGTGGTCCACCGACCTGACCCCGGTGCTCAGCCAGATCCGCTCCGGGGTGGTGGTGGTGAGCTCCGGGTCCAGCACCACGATGCTCGGGTTCCGGGCGGGCGGCTCAAAGAGACATTTCTGGTTGCTGCCGTCGTCCCTCGTCACGCCCGCGATCGACCGGTACTCTCCGCCGGACAAGCTCGTGGGGATGGCGATCTGGCGGACCACGGGGTCCTTGAACGCCTTTTGGCCCTCGGACAACAACTTCTCCAGCCCCTCGGACGTGGCGATGTCGTTGGCGAGCATCCATGCGATCACCTTGGCCCCGTCCGTGAGCGACCCGGCGCCCAGGGTGACGAGGCAGTCGGGGTTCTTGAGCGTGGCGTCCTGCGCGATTTCGAGCACTTCATTCCAATGCGTGTGGGGGACCATGCCGATCCTCACCCCGACGACTTTATCGCCCAGGGCGGCCTGCAGCCGTTTCAGCGCATCCGTGTTGTTCGACAGCGACTTGGAGGCGATGATGTAGACCCTGCTCGCCTTGACCGTGTTGGCGATGTGGTACGCACAGGCCTCATCGAAGCGGAGGCCCCAGCTGATGTATGGGATGTCGCGCCCGTCAAAGGCCGGTTCGAAGTGGTCAATGCCGTACGAGAATGTCATCTTTTGTTCCTTTACCCTCGTCGTCGGAGAGTGGCCACGTTTCACAAAGTGCGGCGAGTGGTCTCGGTATAGGTCACGTCACGAAGCGAGGTCCACTTGTGTCTCATCATGATAGTTTCCACAAGCAGCAGGAGGGGGGTAGGATGGGTTGAAAAGGCTGAAACTGATGGGAGAGTATAAATCGCAAGGTTGGAGAAAGTGTGGAGATTCAAGCGCGTGGGGTATCAGCGAGGCCGAGGATGGAGGCAGAGAACAGCATCTGAATACGAAGGGCCTTGTCCCGAGGGGGCAAGAGGGTTTTGGGACAGAGCATACAAGGAGAGGGAGAAGGGTAGTTGGTTGGTGGACCGCTGAGATCAAGATCTCGCACAACGATTACAAAATTGGCGCCGGCGTCACGGTTACGCGGATGTGCACGAACATGGCCGCGTACAGACACCATCTTCGCATCTGATGGGCGCACCGGGCTATTCCTCCATGGAGCAGAATCACGCAAATGTTGAAACGAGTTATTGACATTGGCGTATCAATTCTCACAATGTGCTGTCTGGCTCGGATATAAGTCCGCATGAGTCTTAGCTGGCCATCGCTCGTCCCGGACCGGTGTTCTCGACTTTTGTTTCCCCTGGAATTTGATACTCCATAAAAAATGTCAATTGCTCTTTGGTCTTGATGCCGTTTCCCTGCCTCAGGGGCAATTCACCGGTATAGCAAAGCGAACGCAATGTGCATCGGTGCATGCCACGGACAAGACTTTTTCGATTTGACGTTTGGAAGAAGTCGTGGTAGAGAATAGGCGGCAGTGTGAGAACAAACTCGAGGCGAGCCAGGCGCTTAATCGAAGAGACCGAAACCCATATCCTCGTCGGATTCTTCCTTCTCTGTGGTAGCATTATCAGTACATGTCCTTGCCCCAAGGGATGCTGCGCGGGACAGCAGAGGTAAGACGTACCCTCTTCCTTCTCCTCTTCCTTGGGAGCCTCCTCGGCAGCAGCAGCGCCGCCAGCAGCAGCACCACCAGCCGGGGCAGCGGCCGCGGCACCACCACCTGATCCGACGTTGAGAAGCAGATCCTTCACATCCTTTCCTTCCAGGGCCTTAGCGAAGAGGGTAGCCCAGATGGGTTCGACGTCGACGACACCGGCGGCTTTGATGATGGTGTTGAGTTTATCGGCCTGCAAGTCAAACACACAGTGTTAGTCTGATGTCCCTCTCCCCTCAATCGATCCTCAGTTTATTGTGCGAGGGACTTCGTACGGTGATTTCAATGCCGTCGTCGGCAAGAATGAGGGCAGCGTAGGCGCTGGCGAGCTCGGCGGTGGACATCTTGACGGGTTTGCTGAGGGAACTTGTCTGATTGAGAGTTCAGAAAGGTTGGTGTCAAGAAAGTTGAAGTTGCGCGCAATTTCTCGAAAAACGCAGGGCCAAAGTCCCGGAATTTGGTTGTGGGATCAAAAATGCCAAGGCCACAGTTTGCCCGTCCAGCACTAGGTCGTTCTAGGAAAGGGTGATGCCGCCTTTGCCCCTCTCATCGAGTCCGCACAGTCACGTGAACAAAGTCTTGGCACTAGCCTCGGCGGTTAGCTGAAAGAGTTGTCCTTATCGCGAGTCTCCTGCGCAGTCGTGTGTATGGCGAGTATCTGTCTTGATCGTTAGAGTCTCCCTTTGCAGCGGAAAACTTTCCACAAGTATAGAAGCCGAGGTGAACGTCAACCACATTTGAATTCAGCACAAGCACCACCCCTGATCGGGTGGGTCCACGTTGCCGCATGAGATTTCCTCTTTCAGCCTTGCCTGTCTTGACCAAGACGCAACTCCACGGTATCCATATATGGATATACTCCGTTCTTTGCGTCGGGGTCAAGGCAGGGAAGACGACGAGTTCGACGACGCATGTCAGAAATGGCTTTACAAATTGTATCTCAAGGCCGAACCACCTGTCGTCCACGATCCGCGCAGCAGGGATCCTCGACCTTTGCCTCTGGGAAAGCTGATCGAACTGGAACCAAAGCTGTTTTTCCCCTGTTCAGCCGTTCTTGAGCTGGTGACCAGGGACATGCTGTGTGAACTGACAGAGTGTGCATGTCGAAGCTGTGTGTGTGAAAGAGCTACTCCAGCCGAAGGCTACAGCGGCGGCCAAAGGACCAGGATCATCGATGCAGTTATGGGTGGAAGAGACGAAGCAAAGATTATCGTTGCGGTCCTCCTCTACACAGATCAGATTTCTCAACTTTACCGTCTATACAGGACATTGCTTTCGGATGAAGGGATCGACGCACTCGACGGTAAAGAGGACATTGCCGAGGAGGTCAGGGAGCGAATTCGATTTGCGAAGCCCATGTTCAAAGTGGAACGAATTTCGCTTGATCGCCCTGCCCGAAACTTCCCCTCCGGTACTCGACTGCCTTTTTTGAGTGAAGGGTCGCCCAAGAGTGGCTCGTTTGGAACAGTCTCCAAGATAGAAGTGCACCCAGAGTATCTTGAAGATGATGTCAAAGAGCTGATCAAGAGCTATGCGGGAGCACAATCGATAGCATCATCAGCAGATCAGAAGGTGAGTTAATTGGCCCCGAGCACAAACTCCCAAACCGACATTTATAGTTCTATATTGCCCGCAAAATGATTCAAGGAACTCGAGGCCAGACACTGGAACATTCTGTCCAGATGGAGCGAGACTTTCTCGACGTGATCCGCCAACAGAAAAAAGGCAAAGAAAACCTGATAGATTTGGTCGCTTTCTACACGTTCGGGGATGAGATCAATATGCTTTTCCCTTATGTGGAATTGAATCTCCACGACTTGCTGTATCATGGCCACCTCCCACGCCACCTTTCTCAGAAACCGTTTCCCGACGACTGGATCAGTTTGGGCATCAGAGGCATGGCTCAAGGACTGTGCACGATCCACCATCCACAAATGACGCTGGATAATGACCGGAAGATCGTCGGGTTCCACTTCGATCTCAAACCGAGGAACGTTCTCATCACCTGGAACGGGACCTTTAAGATTACCGACTTTGGCCAAGCGCTCATCAAGGTCGTCCGCATTGGCATAGAGCAGTACGGAGGAGATGGCGGCTATCGCGGGGGAGACCCAGAATACGCACCTCCCGAGTCGATGCCTTCTCGCCACCTGCTTGAATCTCGTCATACCAGCTCCGCCAGCCCTTCCTTCACCAACGGACAATTTGACTCGCGGGATCTCTTCAAATACGACATTTGGTCTCTCGCCTGCATCATGGTCCAGTTATATACATATGTCTGCCTTGGCAATGTCAGCGCAGTGACAGGGTTCGATGAGGATCGCAAAATGCACACGACCGGAGGTGACGTTGCCCCGTACCACGTCGACACGGTCACGGGACCTGACCTCAACCCGGCCGTGACGACGCAACTCGAGAAGATTCTGGCATACGGTCTGAGCGTTGAATCCCCAGCTTTGCACACCTACATGGAAGAGCTTGTTAGGACAATGTCGCAGATGCTCGAAATCAATCCCTCCGGGCGCCCTACGTCCGGCGAGGTCGCCGAGCGCCTCACACTGCTTTTGAACAACTACCTGGCTGCAAGAAACGACCCCAGTGGCGTGCTATTGGCAGCCAACAATGACGACCTGCGGGATATCCCTGCGGGCTACGTCGAGGTTGCCATGGATACGAATGGGACCTCTTTCGTGTCGCTGGAAGGGGTCCGCCTTGTGACTGCAGACTCCCAACAACAAAACACGGGGATACCGTGCCGGTTGAGGCTGTTTCACCAAAAGGGCGGGTTTTGGATCAAGATCTGGTTCAAGAGAGCCTCCTCCAGACCGGACATAATTTCGAAGAGGCTACCCGAGGGGCAGACTGGGTTGCTCCATTCGGCACTGCTCGACGGCGGCGGAGGCCGTGGCCCCTGTCGAATCTTGAGGACGGGCGCCGACGGCTTCGAGATAGATCTGTACTTTGAAAACGGGTTGCTGGAATTCCACATGGCAATCATCCAATATTCACCTCGTTCCTTTGGGATCGTCGGCGGCGGCGGCGGGCCTGACGACGAGCTGCGGCAGTGTTACAGCCTGAGACACCCGGTCACTGTGTCCGCCAGACGTGACTTCTCCAGGGACCTGTCACCGATCCGGGACGGCGTCGAGGCGGCTTCGGTGCAGGTCTGGAAACGCAGGCGAATGACCTATGTCGACGGGACCTCGACAGCGCCGCCCGCCGCGGGGCTCAGGCTCATGGTCTTTTTCCAAAACCCTGCCGCGGTCTTGCAGGTGCCGCTGAGATCTCGCCTGGGGACGGTCGAGGTTGAGCGCCACGGCGCGACCAGCGTCATCACCTTCCGTGGTCTCTTGAGGGAGAGGTTCTTCACGCACGCGGAGAAACTCCAGCGCACCAACGATCGTCAGCTCCTATTGCCGATTGGATCGGCCCATTATCCGCTGGGCAATATCTACAGGCAGGGGGACAATAACACTAGGGACGTGAAGATCGAGACGAGACATGAAGAAGGTGAGAGAGAGATCCCATTACATCGCCTCTGCGAAAAACAGGCTAACCGCGGCTCTATAGTCGTCTCGGATTTTGCAGCCCTCATCCAAGAAGTCCGGGATGGCAGGGAAATGATATCCTGGAGCGATCCCACCGTCGGCCCACGACGTATATCCAACCGAAGCCGCAGTTCCACCAGCAGGAGTTAGCTTTCCCGCATCGATCAGACGATGTTTGTAAACACGGGCGTGTTGGACGTCGCTGCTCCCTGGGCGACTTTTCTCCTCCCCAAGACCTCGCAGACAAGCAGGACCGAGAGCGCCAGCAGGATCAGTGGGAACGCTATGATGACCCACAGCCACACTTCCATGCTTGCCACGATGTGGAAGTTTCGGTCTTGATCCACCGAGACGTATCCCATCTGCAGAAAGTCCTGGTTCCGAGTTAGCAAAAGTGAACTCCCGAAAGGCTGGAGAGTGCGTATACCGCAGCGAATGAGGCGGGCACGTATATCAAGGCCACGATCGTGAGCACCTTGACTATGCGAGCCTCGTGGGAGCTTTTTGATGTGAGTTCGACGACAGCGCCGGTGCTGGCGCTCGTCGCGGTTGCTATCCTGTTATTGAGCTCGGAGTTCCGGAACGCTATGATGTCTTGTAACTGGTAAAGGTGAGCAAGTGAGTCCAGAAGAGCGCGTATATACGCGACCAGGGTATAAACCGACCTGGCGAGACAGGTTATTTCCGCGTGCCAACAACGACTCGGCCAGCCGTCGGAGAAAGTCATACTCGAGCTGCACGGATTCGGCGAGATCTAGAAAGCCATCACGCCGCTCGACGGTTTCGTATCTGCGTGCGGCGTTGGTCATGCAGTGTATGATGGTGGAGTTGAGGGTGAGCACGTGCGATATCCTTAGTAGTTGGTCGACGAGGTGTGTGAGGTCCTTCATTGAACTGATACATTGCTGCACCTTTTTGGAATCGCTGGCTGCGTCCGTCTCGATCGAGAACATGACGAGGACGTCGAACTAAACACCATTCGATCAGACGCTACACTAAGTTACAGGAGCAGTCGGGCAAAACTCACCAGCTTCGTGATCTGTCCATCATAATAGTTCAGAGCGTGCCGCCAGTCCTCTGTCCCGGATGATATCAAGACGGTTTGCAGACTCAGCCATTCGGCCGCCGTGGCAGCTCGAGATTCCGGCGAGGCGGTGAAGTTGTGCTTCAAGCGATTCGTCAGCTGAGTCGGCGCTCTGACGAGGATGTGGGTGCTCGTCTGCGTCGTGCACGAGAAGTTCTGATAGACGAGGGCGTGGCGAATGGTCCATGGGTGTTGGGCATTCCCGTCGTCCCGCTGGACGTACTTCCACAGAAAGCAAGTTTCTAGCGCAAACCACAAGGATCAGCGTCTCGCATACCCTTTTTTTTTTACCCTGCTCGTGTCTCTGGGGTTTTATACCTAGGCCCTGACGTCGCCCAAGCCGGTCGACGTGCTCGGCGATGTCATACGCGGCAAAACCCTCGTCTCGGGCAAAGTCTTTCTCGCCAAAGGCGGTCAAATGCTTGAGAAAGGCGGGGAAGACGCGGACGTGCCGCAGGATCGAACGCATGCTCGCCTCGGACAGCAACAGGTGGCCCCAGCCGAAGGTGGGATTCAGGAGACTGTCACGCAGGGAGGGAGGGTGTTAGAAGGATCTCGCTGCCTTCCACAATGCGGGTGGGTTGACCAGTCCTGGGTAGAGAGTGTCGATGAAGGAAGATGTGGTAATTGGGGGATTGGAACGTACAAGAATGTAGATTTCGGCGACGTCGGCACCGCGTCCGTCCACGAGTCATTGTTGGCGGTGTTGATCTCGATCTCGCGGGAAGCCTTTTGTGTTGGTAATTTGTCAACGTCGAGTCCCCTTGTGCACGCCACTGCCACTGCCACTGCACTCATCCAGTCACTCACCCTCAGAAATTCTGCGACGGCGTGGTCGTTTTGGAGGAGACATGTTCTGAATCCTATCGAGGAAAGACACATCAGCCTCGGGCACAGTGACAGATAGACAAGAGATATAGTCCACATCTACGAGGTACTCGGTCTGTAAGCAAGAAGTCTCTCCACCCAAGGATCGGACCGCGCACAGCCGTTGCTTGTCAATACCTCATCTCGCGGATCCATTCCACATAGCGATACACACACAGACTCACACAAAGTGGGTATCAAAGATACACTAGGTAAGTGTGGCATATACATACCAGTATCGTCAACCTCGCCCACCTGCACGCGAAAACACTCCGGCCCCGAGTCCGCGGGGAGGAAGATCCCCGGGGCTGCATCGTCAAAGGCGCGCTGAGTCTCGTCGATCGACGAACCCAGTAACACGCTCTGTCGGGTGAGGGCGGAGTCTGGGGCGGGCCAGGGTAAGAGTTTCTCGTCCATTACCGCAGAGAGCGAGGGAGAGGAAGAGGTGGACTGGGGGGTCGCAGCTGTGAGGGGGTTTGGGGGATCTATTTGGGTGCGAATGAATACACACTCAGACACAGAAACAAACACAGAAACACGCTCAGAAGGGGAGGAGAGGGGTTTCAAGAAAGAGGATTATAATGAGAGAATGACAGAGGTCGTGCATGGTACATGAAGGAAGAGAATTGGTGGTGGTGGTGGAATTGGGAGAGGAAAAGGAAAAGGGAATCAGGCTGTGGACGGCGAGGCGGGACGAGGCAGAAAAAGGTGGGAAGATGGTGAGGCTGAATCCATGCCAGACTCCTCAACTCCTCAATTCCACCCCTACAGAACAAAGCATCTCCCTAGCAAGTACATTGATTCATACATATGTATACGCTCCAACTCCAATCCCATCAAATACATACCCACCTAACTACTGCCCCCGGGACATGAGATGCGATGAGATAGCCCTTCTCCGTGATAATTTACCAAGCATCCACAAGCGTGACCCCAGAACGTTGCTTAATCTCGCCGTGCTCCGAGACAGACAACTTCCTCGCCGCCGTCACCTCGTACATGGTATTGGCGCCGATTCTGATGGGCTGATTCATTCGTGGATCAATCAGCAAGTAAACTAACCACCCCACAGAAACTGGAACAAAAAACACAAGGGAGACAAAGAAAGGAATCCCTGACGAACCTTCCAACGGTATTTGTTGCGCCCGAAGAGGTCATCGAGGTAACTCACCAGCGCGGAGGCGCTGATGTTGTATTTGACCAGGCTGACTTGGTCCATACTTTTGAGTGGTGGTTAATGGCGAGGTGGGTAGGCGGGTATTTGGGTTGTTGAGGTTCAGGTCAAGCTCAAGAACAAGAACAAGATCCAAGGACAAGCTCATGCGGGGAGCGGGCGAGAGAAGCGGGCAGCGGGAGCAGGCGAGATGGTGGATGGTGGGTGATAGTAACGCTTATACCCAGGGTGTTGCTCTACATATGATATGCTCTGTAATGACAAGGGATCAAGTGGACAAGATGACAAGGGGAGTGTGACTAGGGATATTATATATCCTCGGTGCCAGGTAGAAGAACTGACAAGAGAGTGATCTATCAGAGCCCAGATTTGACAACGAAGAACCGTTGCCATTTCCATCACAATCCATTTCTTTAATAAAAACCCCCCATCCTCAAGCCACCACCACACCCAACGCCAACGCCAACACCTCCACTACCACAACTCGTGTTTCTGTACAAATTATGTGCAAAAGGCAAAGGTGAAAAGGGGGGATCTGGAACAAGGCAAGTAAGTCACTTGGTTCTTCCCTTGAGACTATGATATGATATGCCAGCCCTCCACAGCAGCACAACCACCACAACCACCACCACCACTACAAAGGGCCATTCTTGTCGGTGCTCGCCTAGTGGTCCTCGTGCCTCGTGCCTCGTGCCTCACCAGCCCACCAAACACAAGTACCATACGTGCATACCTAACTACTCGGTACGGGTAGGCGACGAGGGTCACACGAGCGTGAGCTTGAGCGTGGGCGTGAACGTGGCATGCGTGGCACTCAGGTTGCAGGCTGCACTGGACTAAAGCCTCTAGCTAGGCACCCGCACCCGCAACTATCGAACGCCATCTGCCGGGGCCGCAAAACAGAATGAGGCGCAGGAGGGAGGGGGAGAGACATCAGTGAGGCTCAGCTCAGCTCTGCCTTGCACCTACTCACGCACTCATATTGACACATGTACAAGGTCCCTATTGAGACATGCATGATACATCCGTTGTAGCCTTGCTCTCGAAATTGCCATCTCTACTTCTTCCATCTGGTGTCAACCACTGCGCCTCCTCCGTCTCAGACACCCCTTTCGAAATTCCTGCCACGCATCCCCCCATCCGTGCCTGAAATCATGCCATCGTTCCACTGGGTGGTTCCCACTGTTATTCACAAACAGACTCGTCCCCCCACCGAGCCAGTACAGCATTCCCACCTGCGCCCGCTCGTCTCTCCGGTCGAACGCAATGTCGCGTCGCCTCCCAAACCGCCGAACCTGTTCCAGTCGCCAGTCGTACCCTTCCCACTTGCTGATGGTCGGCCGCACACCCGCATACTGGGTCAAGCACCACCGCCAGAACCGCGGCTCCAGGCTTGAGCCAAACACGGCCAGATAGTAACAAGTGCCCACAAGCATGACCCCAAACGTCGCCGCCGGAAGGACCCAGCCTTGCAGGGCATCCTCTTTGTCCAGAGCAACCGGATAAGGGAATGTCAGGCTGACGCTGGACCCCGAGTCCGTGCACGTCAAGGTCCTGCCGTCGGTCGAGTTGCTCCATGTGCCTTGGGTAGGAAATCCATCTTGGTCCCGGTATGGAGGGATCACGCTGAGGATGATAACCCACAGATTCGCCAATCCATACGCAACGCAGAAGAACGCCGGCACATATCGCCACCATCCCCGACAGTTCCTCAACTTCAGATCCCATTCCCACCCGTGGCTTTCGCCCCGCCCATCCACTTCCGTCTCGCTGTGATGGTCTCCTCCATTGACTTCCTCGAGGTACCTGGTCCTTGATGGAAGCCTGAGGACCGCAAAGCCCATGATGGTCAGGATGACGCAGTGCGCATAAGTCTGGAGCAGTCCAGCCATACTGACCGACTCCAGCACAGTTTTGATAGACGCAGATGCGGCAATGAGGACCGTCGTCATGATCCCGTGGAGCGCGAGTCCGCCTCTGGGTGCGAGATACTGGTCCAGTGCTTCCACATGACGTGAAGAGGGCGAGTCACTCTTCCAGAAATGCGACCACGGGAAAACATTGCCCGACCCAATGCTTTGCTTGATGCGTGAGAAGGTGTAGATGATTGAGTTGAGGCTTCCGAGAGAAGATATCGCAATGAAAACGGACCATGCCTTGTATGACGCCTCGTTATTACCGAAAAGCATCGGCGTGTAGTTGATCGCCACAGGAACGAATGGAATAGCCTTGAGAAAGGTCGCGACCAAGGCAATGTACAAGATGCTGACGACCGTGACGGCAAAGATGAACCCTTTGCGCAGCGTCACAGGGCTCTGTGGGTCGATTTCGCCGGCGACAAAAGTGGCATTCTCCCATCCTTCATACGAGAATATCACGAGGAGGAATGCTTTGGCCACCTGGATCTTGGACATGGTTGCTTCTGGCGGTCCACATTCTTGGAATCCTGCCCCCAGATACGTCCCGACCCGGATCGCGTGCCACCCAGCACAGAGCACGACCAGCAGCAGCAGGATCTTGACGGCCGCCAAAATTTGGTTGAGCACGCGACCTGACTGGGGGGAGAAGTATTGTAGAAGACACAGAATGAGGAGGACCAGGAATGCAATCACCCGCAGAAAATCGCGATCGGGATCCTCTTGCGGATTGCGAGCGAATAGCACCAACCGCCCGATCTGCAGGCAGTTTGTGGCCGAGTTGAAGAAAGCCACGAATAAGAACGCATACTGTACGTATGCATACAAGCCGTCTCCCAGAAATCGTCTGATCCATGAGCGCCCGCGGCCCGAAGTCAGTTCATCGAGCTGCAAGTTTCTTCGTCAGCCCCGACTCACCATCGTATCTTCTTGAAGCATGTTCGAGAGCCTCACTTACGTATACAAGTTCTCCCCCATTGTACGGCATGACAGTGGAACATTCCAAGTATATCAACATGCTGTACAAGAGTCACCATTTGCATCTTGCAAGTCTCTCGTCCTGGTGCAACTTTACTCACCTGATCAACGTGTAGATCGAGCCTATCGCCCACAGCGTCATAGTAAGGCCCTTGTCGCCGGTGAGTACGAGCACCGTCGACACGTTGGTGTATATGCCCGTGCCAATCATCTTGTTGACGATCAGACTAAACACATCATAAGTCCCGAGCAGAGGGGCGTGTGCAACGGGCCTCGTCTGTGGGGGTTCGTCAACGTCCAACGACGGGCTGCGAGATCGTAGGTTTGTCATCTCTATGCCACTGGGACCATGTGGTGCCATGGTAGCGACGTGCCCGACCCAGTGGTTCCGATGCGTGGATACACAGCCTCACGCAAAATACCAGTGAATCACCGTCCCTCTAGAACATCAAAGGCGACTTTGCGCAACTGCAGACGAGGACGCAGCATGCAAGGCAGGTGGAATAGGCAAATAAATACATACCATCAGGCAGAAACGAACGAGACGAATAAGGATGAGCAGATATCTGTGTTATAGGGGGAAGCAACTTGCGACAAACTGGAACAGGGCGTTCTGCCAAAGTGAGGCGTTGGCCGCCATTTCGTGTCGTCAGGCTGAGCCAGGACCTCCCCGGCCATGGTCACCATGGTCACAATTTGGGGGTGAGTCCTGGTTCTTCCAACCGAATTGTGATTTGAGCGAGTCTGGCGAGTTTGGGTGCCGTTAGACGCCCACGCACGCCACCGAGTGTGCCTTGCGCACGTCGAGCAAAGGAAACATCTTCTTCTAGAAAGTGTGGCTCGTGGTCGACTGGCCAGGGTCTGACTAGTGACCTATCGAAAGTGAAGTGGACCATCTACACCGGTTGGGCGGATCCTAGCTCTGGCTCTCGTCATTGGACTGTTGCTTGTTCCAATTTAGCTAGACACCCCGAAACTTGAGATCTCGGTGCATGTTAGCTGCGCTCTAGACCGTGAGAGGCGCAGAATGGGGTTGCACAGGACATGGGATACATGGTGGTGCTGATAAATCCAACTATTGTCTGGAGATGTGGGCAACAGGGGGACGAAATTCGCTAGGATGCTCTGTTTCTATACGCTCTTGTCAGTCATGAGGCTGAGACATGCTGTTGACATCATTCCGCTATGTGGTCACTTGTTGTGAGTCAGAGTCTTCGACGAACAGGATGCGATCCGGCTGAGAGAGGAGCTCAGGTGGGGGTCGTCCATGTGAGAATACGGGGACAACTCCGCGTCGCGAAAGGGGAGATTTGTTTGAAGCGAGCAGTAGGATGCATAGTGGCAGTACGAGGTAAGGGGGGAGCAGTTCGACTGCGGACGAGATTGGGTGAAACTGCCAAGACGCCAAGACCTGTATTTTCACGTGATGTACAGCACCAGCGAGCCTTGTCTTGACGAGGCTGAAAACTCAGATGCAGTTGGCGTCATTGCGGCTCTTCGCATTTCTCACACGGATTCTCCCCCACCATTCGGATACTGATCCACAATTCTGGCATTGTTTCCCGTTTTAGGACAAGATATCAAAATTCCTGAACAAGTCTACTCGTTAACCATCGCGTGAGGTGGTGGAAGCCTGGGTGTAGGAGGGGCACCGTCCTTGTGCAACCAGCTGGTCCAGCAACCCGGGAACGGATTCCGACGACAATAGATATTACGACAGGGGCCACTATATCATGTCCTCGCCAGACCTGGACATGCATGCACTTCAGCGACTCAGAAGCCAATTCTCCCAGGCACTGAAGGACTTTGCTTCGTCGTCGTCTTCTTTCCGAATTTTGCACTCGGTCCCCACCCGAGCGACGGCTCCGACCTCTTCAGACCCGATAGTGACAAAGACGCTCTACCTGCTCGACTCGAGCTTCAACCCACCTTCGAAGGCGCATACGAGTCTTGTGAAGACGGCGTTGAAGTCGCAAGATGCGTCGCCGCAGACAAAGCACCAGACTACTCCGAGGGTCCTGTTTTTGCTGGCCACTGTCAACGCCGATAAGAAACCCAAGCCCGCCGACTTTGAGGACCGGCTTGTTATGATGACTCTGGCGGCCGAAGATCTGCGGTCTGGGTTCACGAGGGAGCCCATCTCGGCAGACTCGACTGCTGAAACGCCAGCCCCCATAATCGACATTGGCATCACAAAAGAGCCCTATTTCGTCGACAAGGCTGCCGCGATTGACGCAAGCGGCATCTACCGTTCGCCCGGATACAGTACTTCATCGACTCCGTCCTCCGGAGCAGCAGATGACGGCGTTGTCGAACAAATCCACCTCACAGGATTCGACACCCTACTCCGAATCTTCGCCCCGAAATACTACCCAAACAACCACCCACCGCTGTCAGCTCTAGAGCCCTTCCTCCGCAGACACCGCCTACGGGCGACGATACGCGTCGACCCCAACAGTCCCTCGCAAAACCTCAAGGACGCGCAAAAGACCCAACCGGACTCAAAGCTGACAGCTAGCTCCGAAGGGCCTCCTGACCTCACGACAATCGCTGGTCAAGAGGCATACCTCGAAGGCATCAAGAACGGGGCGCTGGAAAAGGACGGACTCAAGCGAGAGTGGGCGGAGAGGGTGGAATTGGGGTGGGATGATTCCGGCGAGACGGATGGCGTGAGCAGTACGAAGATACGCAACGCCATGAAGGATGGGAATTGGGACGAGGTCGAAGGACTGGTAGGGCATAGGGTAGGAGAGTGGATCAGGTATAAGGGTCTGTATGTAGAGGGAGAAGATAGATGACTGGGAAGAGACTCTCTAGAAACCCCCGAGCTCGCCCTCTGCTTTTGCGTAGAGTCTTCGTCTGGATGATGCTGGAGGCAAGAGATACTTCCATTACATCAACGACGAATCTCACTCTAAAGCCAAAGGAATCTGCGACCATGGCAATAGCAAAACAAAGAAACTGAAACCGAGCCGCGTTGAACTGCGCTCAACGCATTTTTTCGGTACTTGATGGGAGCCACCATCTAATGCTGCTTTCTACCAAGCTCATCAAATCTCTCTCAGCTTCATCTGCGGTTTCATTTTTTCTTTTCTCTCTTACCGCTCTCTTTCATGTTCCGGAACTGATTGTGGGATACTAAGACGCATTTCCATCCAAAATTGGACCTGGCTCCCAGTTCAGCAACGTTGTCTCCGCCACACCGTCTACTACCCACTGCCATGCCTCCACTCTGCAACGCAATCACAACTCCTCGTCTTGATCCTTTGGAGCAGGACTCTCTTGTTTGGCCTCAGCGATCTCTTGAAGCAACCGCGTCAATCCAGGGCCGGGAGGCTCATATCGACGCTTGCCCGTCACAGGTTGTTTTGGTTTGGGTTGTGGAGGATCATATTTCTGGCCCGCAGCCGCTTCCTTCGAGAGATGGCCGAAAACCTTGCGATCACCAATTATCGGCGATGAAGGACGGACGACAGGTGCACGAGTAGGATTACTCAGACGAGTAGCTGGTTCATCAGCCCACTTGGAAGAAATAGCCTTGTTGCTCGTGACGACTGAAGAAGGTCGAGCAGCTGACTCGTCAGCCCACTTGGAAAAGATACCCTTGTTGCTCGTGACAACTGAAGAAGGACGAGCAGCTGGCTCATCAGCCCACTTGGAAAAGACAGTCTTGTTGCTTGTGACAATTGAAGAAGGTCGAGCAGCTGGCTTCGCTGTGGGAGGCGGTTTGCTAGTGTCTTTGCTGATAGTGGAAGAGACTTGCGATATGTTGGAGTTGTTTGTTGCCAGTGGCTCGCGAGGGGCGAACGGGTTGTCAGGACGGCTGGCAAGAGGTGCAGTAGCTGTAATAGAGGACGGGACAGTCAAAGTCGGCAAGGACCGCTGAGTGGCTGGAACAGCATTGGGCGATGGCTTAGAAGGTAGAAGATCACCGACAAGGTTGGCAGTGGTGTTGCTGAATTGTTCTATAATGGCCTTCTTGAGAGCGAACAACTCCGACTCGTGAACGTAGCGATGACCATGGACGACGACAACTTTAGCAGCTTGGGCTGGAAGAACCTCGCTGCTGACCTTGTCAGGGACAGGTGAGTCCAAGAGACTCCCACTGGGAGATAGTGGACTGGCCTGCAGGGCACCACCTGCGCTATGCACTGTTGCCATGGGAAGAGTGCCGGACAAAGTAGCATTTTCGATACCAAGGCCAATCAGATCATCGGTGACTGCTTGAATTCCAGTTGGAGACTTTTCGTCTGTGGCTGAGGCCGAAAAGCCAGAAAGGGCTGCGGAGCTCGGAGCACCATCTGTATGAGTCGAGACATTGCCTGGAGCCAGAGCATTGGCCACAGAGAAGGAGAGTTCACCGATCGGAACTCGGCGAATAGAGGGGTCATGAAGATATCCACCGGAAATCTGTTCGGGGTGAACAGGAGGCATGGTAGAAGGTGCTGCCAAGGTGCCTTGAACTGCACTTGTGGTAGAAGTTGGCATCCCAGGAGCTTCCGCCTGTGTCTCGTGCGACCAGGTTGACAACTTGCCTTTGATAGACGACATGAACTGTGACGGGTCTTCCACCAGGTTGAAGCTGTAAGACTTGGCTGGTAGAGCAAGAGCACGTCGCTTAAGATCAGCTGCATTGACAGCGACAGGAGGGGCTGCGGGCATGGCAGACACCTTGGTCGCACCCATTTTGGTAACTGGTTCATCGAGCTGCATAGCCAGCGCCATAGATGCCGTGCCCTCGAGAGCTGGCGGAGGCAAGGGCCCTACCTGCATCCCTTTACCGAGTTCCCAAAACCCTGAGTCCTTTGGCACAGCAGGAACTGGACGCGCGCTGAGGATTGATTGAGTCAAAGACCTTGTCCAGGTTAACCATGAGGTAAGGGAGCATTAGATATAGTACTCACGCTGCCGCAGGGCGGGAATGAAGAGAAGCAACTCTCTTCCCAGCTCTTCGATTGCCACCATACTCGTTGTATGTATCTGCGAGGCTAAGCTTATGCCCTAGACGTGCCTCCTCTTCTTTCTTCTGTTCCTCCAAGGCATGACGATGTTTATTGCCATTGCTGATTTGTTTTTGGTTGAAAAGAACGTCAACGGCTTCGTCGCTCTGTCCGAACGCTAGAAGAAAAAAAAAAAAATCAGACCATGGACATTGAGTATCAGTAAGCTTCCTCACTCTGCCACTTAGTCGTGGGCGCTTTGTTAGCGCTAGCAATTCGAGCTGCTTCAGTACCTTCGATGTTGCATTCTGGTGTGATAGAGAGCGTAGTAAATAGACGGGGACGGTTGGGGTAGTCGCTTGTCTTGATCGCGTCTGCGTTTTTCTCGGACAGATCCATCTGGAAAAGGAGTCCAGTTAGAATGCTTTGGCAGTGTGCTTCAAGATTAGCCTACCCGCTGAATCATTTTCAAATGATGGTCCTTCTGGGTGTTTGGGGACATCGGTGGTAAAGCTTCCTCCTCGGATTCATCATGCTCGCTCTTTACGTAGCGACGTGATACTCGCGGCATGTTGAGCCTCAAGAGGTCCTTAAAGGACTTGATCTGACTGCTTCGCAGGGAAATAAGCAACTACACTGTCCAAGGTCTTTTGAAAAGGGTTAGCCAGCGGGATTTGGGTATACTGCTACTGGGAGACAGAACTAACCCACAAAACTTTGATCCGTGCCCCCGTTCCCTCAAGTCAGGGATGCCGGAGGGCAAGGGTAAGGATTACTGGATGGGATGCAGGATAGAACAAAGCTCTCGAGGGTCGATCGAGGGGAGGTGGATGAAGAAGAGGATGCGGGAGATGGTGAGGTGGTAAGGAGAGAGAAGGAAGCGAGCGCAGGGGTAATTTCAAGATGAATTTCAAGAAACAAAGTGTGAAGAGCTTGGCAAACAGTGACAGATTGATTCCAATGTGTTCCGGAATCCTGGACGAGGGGAAGCGAGGAGAAAAAACGAAACCGCGTGGTATGGTGGTGGAAAATTGTTGTCGACGGGCGCGGACGCAGATGTGTGCGCGGCGGAAGCAGCGCCAGCGATAGAGATAGCCAAGGACTCAACCACGACAAACAACCCTGCACTGAAGAAGGCTTCACAACAGACGGCCGAGGAGATAGCAGCAAACATTTAATGTGAACAGTGTCGAAAGAGCAAACCAGAGCGAGCGACCAAGGCTCTGGTATAGTTGTGAGCGGCGAGGCGTGGGTACTTCAGAACCACGAGGCATCTTGCAGTCGCATGCTTTCACCCGGTATGAAAACAATCTCTTTGTGTCTGTCTGGACAATCAATTGACAAGTGTTGTCGACGTTGCAGGACGATAGATTGACCTGATCTCGATTGCATCTCCAAGCTCAAGCCCCCAAGCCTGCATGGGGTGAGAGGTTGCCCCTGCCTCCGAAGACAGAGTCCTGAGGTTATCATGCTGAAGAAAAGTCCCAACACGCAACGACACCGTCAAACTTCAGTTATCCTGATCAAACCACGTTCGCACTTCTCTTCCCATGTGTAGCGCGTACACAAAGATAACCAAGTCCATGACCTGTTCACCCACCGTATCATTGAGAGCACTTCCACCACTCGCGGGCTGCTCTCTACCAGAAATGACTGCTCCTCAAAGAACCCGCCATACCTCAGTTGACCCCAAACAAGTCTCATATCAGCGCACAATCTGGCCGTTGGACAATGCCATGAAGATGGCGGAATTCCACACAGACAAAAATGCATCGTGTCGAGAAAACAGTCGGAGGAAAGGGAAATGGCAAGCGTTGCGCCGGGCGTCCAGCGAGTCGCCAGGGGATCTGGACCCTTTGCGATGCTTTGATGAGTGGTGGAGTCAATAGCTTCGATGAATCCGAACCCCCGGCCATTTTTAGCAACTGGTCAGCCTCAAGATTGATGGGGAGGGCGGAATTTGGTTAGCATCCGGACCAGTGGATCACCAAACGAGATACGACTCCGTCGGAAAACGAGATATCAAGAATACGGAGATCATACGAGCAGTCAGCCCGATATTGTTATCTGGGCGGACTGTCGTGTGTTCTGAGCGCTGATCAGGAACATCCTGTGCACCTCATACCGATGTGTTCCCGCAAAGTGGCTATATGTTCTGCCGGGTCTCAGGAACAGCTGTTCAGATACTTTCCAGCCAAGATACCCCGGACAATGCTTGCCGGTGGGAGAAACATCTGGGGACTCTATGATTGGCGCGACAAGTAGCCAGAACAAGAGTCTGTATTACTTCCTGCGCATCCCATTTGTCATCGGCTCCATGTCCCCTTGATGTCCAAACACTTCTGAGCGCAATGTGTGCTCCGTAGGTACTCACCGCTTTTGCAATCACACGCAAAATGAGCAAAGATGCATGCGAGGCATGGTACTTTGCCATGGGTGGGAAGGATTAGTCGGTGTTGAGAACTCCACCTGGTCCCCAAATTGGTCTAGAGGGTCGCAATGCGGAGACCGAAGCTGCAACTTGGCTGGGCTCAACGCTTAAAGGGCCCTGGTTGCCGTAGCCCAAATCCCCCCATCTCCCCCAATCCCGCCGCCTAGTGGCCATTGACAGCCCCCGGAGCCACTGGACCGCCATTAGCGAACCCTCTCCATTGAACGCCGAATGAATGAGATAACTTGACGAGCTGTGCTTCATAAGGCCAACATCATCTCCCCCCGGACGTAGCTATATTCCTTCCCTGGCTGTCTGTTATTTTGGCTTCCCTTCGTACACCGACGAACCCGCCTCCTCTTACATATCACCAACACCCGACAGTGACCGCTATTTCACTCCCGCTTCACCGATATTTTGTGTAGTCCCCCCGCCCTTCAAGAATCATTCCACACCTTCACTCCAGCATATGAACCCTCCTCAGGACTACATCGATCACAACATCTTCCACACGATTCATTAACATCCCCAGCCACCCAGCATCTCTCTATACCTGTCAAATCTATAATCTACAATCCTATCAATCACCATGGCTGCCCCCCGAGCATCCTCATTCAAAGCCCTGCGCAACCTCCAGCGTACATCCGCTACGAACCCGGCCAAACGGAGTCTTCACATTACTGGTGTCCATGCTTCTCCAAGACCCATTGATCCCAACCATAAGAGCACCTATGTGCCATGGTCTCTGCAGGACCTTCGTCAGGAGTGCCAAAAACGAACCCTCTCAGCTTCTGGCACCAAGCACGAGCTCATTGATCGACTGGCCGGCCACGACAGTCTGCAGGCGAGAGCATTCTCCATTGCTATGAAACGGATTGCCGTCGAGCAGACGAAGAAACCAGTCTCAGGGTATGTTCCCTCGCATTATTGCTCCCAATGATAGAATTGTAACTGACCGCATCATCAGTCCCTCTGAAACTGCCCCCCAACGACACTTCAATACCTCCCGCTCACTCAAGGCCGTGGGTGACACATCCACCATCGACTTTGCCTACCTTCCCAAGCTACACGAAGAATCTTGGAGACCCAGCCCTCCGTCAATCCGTGTTCCTATCCTACCTTACATCCAATCCGAGCAGGCCGAAGCCATCTTGGAGAGGCACCCGGAACTTGACGCTGCTGCTGGAGGGTATCAAGATACTCAAGGTTATGAGACGATTATGAAGCCACAAATCTTCAGCGTGGGGGATGTCGCTGGCGGACCGGCAAGTGCCATGAGTGATGTGCACGATGGCCATCATCCCACTGAATTGTCGGTGGAGATGCTCACAGCTCTCACGGAGACGGTGGGCAAGAGTGCTCGCCAATTTGTGGACATGGTCAAAGATAAGGACCAGGCGACGATCCGCAAGATCTGGACTGGGTTCCTTGACGATCTCTTCGGTCAACAAGGCAAGACAGCCAAGCCATAACCAGGGTCGGGTGTTGAAGCAATGGACAATCCCGTTGCAACTGTCATGATAGCGTTGTAGCACGAGCGTGGTGTGCCCCTTTCCCTCCTTTTGTGACCTATACCATGTTATCTGTTGTCGGTCGGGGGTGACGATGTATATTTTCTTTTAATCAAAGCGCTCAGCGCGTCTTTCCTTATATTGGAGATGTTTGTCGTCTGCCATTTGTTGTCTTTGGGCGGTGGCAGTGCAAGCAGCCGGGTGTTTCTGACGCGACTCCACATAACCCAGAGGACTAGAGATGATACCCGCTCTTCGACTCCACAAAGCCCTCTTCCAGCTCACGCTTCCGGCCATTCCATTCTGTTGCCCCCCCTTTCGCAGGCACTCGAGCCTCCCTTTGCACCCTTCTTGGGCCCGTGTGTCCAACGGAACCCGCGAATCGCTCTACCAGTAGGCCCTGAAATGTCTGACCTACCGAGCACTCTTGTTGCGAGGCATCAGATCTTTAGGTAGAAAGATCTCGCTCTACCCCTGTCTGGGTGGCCTTGCTTCGGGAGCGGCCCAACACCAAACATCTGGCAATAATGAGGACTAGCCCGTGGATTGCTTCTCGACCCAACCTACAAAGGGGTTGGGCCCAAGCCCGAGCCTTGACTGACGCCAAAAGTCCCCCTGCCACGGCACCATCTGGGTTCGAAGTGCATGCTTAGGGACCAATGGAGTGAGCACGAAAAGGATCGTCAGGTACGCGAACTGGTCCCTCTGCTCCATACGGGGGTTTTTGCCCCCTAGATGACGACCCGCTCCCGCATGCACTGATGCACTGATGCACTTGGCATGGCGACGCAGTGGCTTCAAGAGTTATGTGGTGGGCACCATTGAGTTCAACCTCTTGGAACAACTTCAAAGAGACATGCCTTTTCAGATTCTCATTCTCTCTTTCTTGCCAGTATCCTTCACTACCCCAGTATTATAGCTGTGCTTCTGTCCCCGAGCTGGATTGTGGGATCTCTTGACTGAGAATTCCTCGAGCTCTGTCTGTGGCCATCACTGTATTGTCTATCGCACTTCTTCCATTCCTCGATTGAACTTGGGCAGGATACCAGATCGAGGCTACAACTTTTTACAATCGCTTAATTTGGACAGGCTCCTCTTTGGCTTGAAACGACATACGTCCGACATACACCAATGGAGTGATTTTGTTTTTCGCACGACACAGATAAACCATGCATCGTCGTTGGTTATCCGTGCCCTTGCTGTCCAGCTGTGTCTCTGCATTCTATCCCTACCATACTGGCGATGGAGGCCATGAGAACAACAAGAGGTTCATTCCTTTGGGCATTGAGCCAGTGCACGAGGGGGACTCAGGTCCGGTTACCATCGACATCAAGAAGGCTATGGTGAGTACAAGACTTGGTAGCGCGCGATCTGGAAGCTGTCTAATCCAGATGATAGGTGAAACGGAACAATCTATTCCCCGTCCTCAACTCGTCTGCCCCCGACGTCCCTAATGCTATGGCCATCAACCAAGACGGCTCCGACTACACCTACTTCTCCACCATGAAATTTGGGTCCAAGGGTCAAGAGATGTACATGTTGATTGATAGCGGTTCAGCCAATACCTGGGTTATGGGCACAAATTGCAAGTCCAATGCATGTCAGATACATAATACATACGGCAGTGAAGATTCGACCACCCTTGAGACAACTACTCAAACATGGAGCATGACCTATGGCACTGGAGAAGTTGAAGGGGTAGTAGTCAAAGACACGGTGCAGTTGGCCAACTACTCCATAGAGCTGGGCTTTGGCCTCGCATCTTCAGCATCGGATGATTTCAATAACTATCCCATGGACGGTATTTTGGGACTTGGACGACCCGCCTCAGACGCATTGGGTTCACCAACAGTCATGCAGGTGTTGGATGACAAAGGCCATTTGTCGTCAAATATTCTGGGTATCCACCTACAACGAAGCTCCGACGGGACCAATGATGGACAGATTACCTTTGGAGGGATCGACTCGTCCAGATTCAGCGGCAAACTGTCGTATTCCAAAACAATCAACAGCAACAGCTGGCAAATCAACGCGGACGATGCAGGCGTGGACGGCAAGTCGGTTCACTTCAAATCCAAAACCGCCATGATTGACACCGGAACATCATACATCCTGCTGCCTCCCGATGACGCTGAAGCATTGCATGAACTTATCCCTGGCAGTGATGCAAGCGGTGAAACCTTCACGATACCTTGTTCCTCTTCGGCCAATGTCTATTTCACCATCTCCGGCGTGAAATACTCGGTATCTCCCAAAGACTATGTCGGCAAGCCAACCGGCAGCAGTGGTAGCTGTCAGAGTAATATAATCGGGCACCAGGCGTTTGGGCCGGACGATTGGATCCTGGGGGATGTGTTTCTCAAAAACGTCTACACAGTCTTGGACTTTGACAATGCGAGGGTCGGGTTCGGCACGAAATCAGGAGCGGGTTCTGCCAGTGACAACACTGCCACCACCTCTGGCTCGACATTGTCGGCAACAAGCAGCGCTCGCTCGTCAAGTGCCTCTGCATCGACCTCGGGCTCCGGCCCAGCCTCGAAATCCCAAACGACCATTTCAACCTCGATAACGTCAAAACCGAGCACGCCCGCTTCCACAGCCGGTGGCGGAGCTACGGCCGCGTCGTCCACAGGAGCAAGCGACAGCAGCCCCTTTGGAGAATCCAGCGGCTCGGGTTCTTCTTCTTCTTCCTCCTCTTCTTCTTCATCATCAACCTACACCGCGGCGGACTCAAGAGCCAACCTTCTATTGCCGCTAATGGCATTCGCATTCATTGCAGGATTAATTCTATGATGAAAGATCCTCCTCTGACCAACAGACATCTTTTTATTGTGTGGGTTTTTTAATGCTGGCCCATGCTGGCCCATGTCGTGCTCCAGGTTTGATATATATGAAAGAGAATGGGAGAAAGATCTCAGCGAGAGAGTGAGAGAGAGAGAGAGAGAAAGGAACCAGGAACCAGGAACACGAACGAATACACAGCGACTTTTGTTGCAGCGCATCTATCATCAGCATTCACGGGAAAAAACCAGGTAGAAGAGGCCGATTGTGTGCCCTACTTACCACCCTCACTCAGCATTGTACAGCATTTTTAGTGTTAATTGTTTAGTTTCTAGAGCTTTTGAAGCGAAAAGACAGGCTACCAGTCCTGCAGAAGAAGGAAAATCCAAAATGATGGGTTTTCTCTCGTCCAACGAGTTTTGCTCTCTACAAGTTTGATCCATTTCTTTTCTCTCAAATAATCTGGTGATAGACACGAAATGAAGGGGTCAAGTTGCTAGATCCGCAAGGACACTATCACATCAGAGCAGAATTTCCTGAGCCGACTGTTTGTCGGTACCCTGTCTCACAGAGATGAATCTCACCTGCTCCGAGCCAGATTGAGTCGCCTCGAGCATTTTCAGGTACACGAACAGGGCACCACTCACAGCGAATTTGCCCCTTCTGATTAGCTCAAGCGGCGGTCATCCCTTTGTCGACCCTCAACTCGGCACCATTCACGCCAGGGCCGCCGGCCAAGTACAGAATCGCCCTCGCCATATCTTCCGGCGCACAGTTCCCCACAGAAGTCGCCATTACCGGCATCAAGGTATCCAGGCCGATCTTGTCTGGAACAGAATTACTGTTCTTCATGATTTCCGTGGTCACGCCGCCGGGAAGCAGCACGTTGCATTGAATCCCCTCCTTGGCGTACATCCAGGCTGTGTTGCGTGACAGCCCAAGCAAGGCATGCTTGGAGGTTGTGTAGGCGACTCCGGCGACGCCGCCCCTGATCGAAGCCACGGACCCGACGTTGACGATGCGGCCCTTCTGTTCTTCGTTCGTCTTGGTCAGGAAGTGGTTGATGCAGGCGCGCATCGTGTTGAAGGGTCCGTTGACGTTTATGTTCATGACACGATTCCACATCTCGTTAGACACATCGCCGACTCGTTCTAGACACCGGATGTAAGTGTATTAGTTGTCCAGCAGAATTTGGGCCACAGGGGCAAACTCTGTTTGAGAAGGGTGAGCCTCTCTTACCAAACTGGTCCATGACCCCGGCAACGTTGACTAGGACGTCGACAGTGGACCATTTGTCCAGTACCTGCTTAATTGCTGCATTCACAGAGTCTTCCGAAGAGACGTCACATTTGATATTGAGCTGTTGTGCGTCGGATGAGGCTGCGGCGTCTGCAATGTCTAGTGCTGCGACTTTCGCGCCGTGCTCCAGAAATAATTGAGCTGTTGCTGCGCCAATTCCATTCGATGCCCCAGTCAGGACGATGACCTGGTAAATCAAGAGCGGATCAGCATACATGCGGTATCGACACGTTCCTTGCGAAGGGAAATGGTGGTCATGCTTTCATCTTTGGGCAATGGAGAGATTGGCGTACCTTGTCCTTGAAATCCCCCATTGTGAGAGGATTGACAGTTGAAGGTATCGGTGAAGAAGTGCGTCCCAAGACGTTGTTTATGATGTACACAGCACCTCTCCGTGCACTTCACAGAACGATCAAGTTGAATGCTCAATGGTATGTTAAACCTTGCCAGATCATTCTGTCGTCTGCTGTACGTCTTCGCATTGACAATTAAGGTGGAGTTGATAAGCAATAGCTAAGCCAGTGAAGCTCAGCATATAGAAGTGGCTCGCCAATTCCGAATGGCCTGAGGTCCGATCAGCATTTCAGGCCCTTTGAGTTCGGAATCGGAAGTGGTTTGGGGGCCTTGATTGATGCGGGGTCATTATGCACAAGTTGTGACTCGTGAAGGCGAGCTGCATATGTCCCAATTCCCAGGAATCTCGCAGTGAGAGGTAGGAAATCTGCTGGGGAAGCAGGACCTTCATGGGTGAAGACTGCGCCCAAGGACCATGGTAGACCGACGTCAAAGCTGCGAGGCAAGTGGAATTGTAAGGCTGAGCCGCTGGTATGTATCTTTAGGGAGACAACAACACGCTGCAAGGCCTGCTGCTAGACATGGCCTCGGAAGCACCGTGGACTGAGAACTGAGGATGCTAATAACATGTAGAGAGTCGATCTTGTCAGTTGATCATGGCGACAACACGGGGCATATACACATCCGGGAAGTGTCATGGTCGTGTCTTAGTGCTCGTCCGTAGCGGCTGCGCAGACGGACATTGTTGCGCAGTCAAGGCACGTGATGACTGAGCCTCAACTTGTATCGTGCAACTGCACATGCCTCGTAAACATCCAAGGATGACAGCTTCACCCTTCCGACAGAACTCTCGTCGATAGTCGTTGGATTGGCCGGCAGACGAGATGAAATTGGTGCGAGATGACCGCAGATGACGAAGATTCTAATGGATCTGTTCACAACCTCGCCAATGGCAAGATCGACGACTACAGGCATCTCCTTGCATCTGCAGAGGACACGCCGGCCTGGAGTGCAGAGTCTCCTACCGACTCAGTCAACAATGACACTCGACCCGCCTCGCTGAGGCAGTCCTCCCTCTCCCACCCTCGACCCGATGGCACTCCCCGAACGACGAACCGAGTGCGGTTCGACATCGACGAGTCGTCGAATACCCAAGCTCGAGAAGATTGGGTTGAAGAGGAGGATTACCTCACCTCTCCTAGCCAGCATGCTCCTCTATTGACAGACATCACTCCTCCGACCGAGTCTCCCTTTCTCTCTGAATCCTTCCAGCCAGAAGACCACTTGCCCGATGCTAGACCTAAGAGTGGAATGCGCAGTGCGTTTATGAACATGGCCAATTCGATCATTGGGGCTGGGATTATTGGGCAGCCGTATGCATTTCGGCAAGCTGGCATGACCATGGGAATAATACTGCTGGTATCGCTGACAGTCACGGTGGACTGGACGATTCGCCTGATCGTCATCAACAGCAAACTGTCGGGAGCAGATTCCTTTCAGGCGACCATGCAGCATTGCTTTGGGTCCAGTGGGTTGGTCGCCATTTCGGTTGCACAGTGGGCGTTCGCATTTGGCGGCATGATTGCTTTTTGTATAATTGTTGGAGACACCATCCCGCACGTTATCGAAGCATTGATTCCCGGATTGAGGGATATCCCGTTTCTATGGCTTCTGACCGACCGAAGAGCTGTCATAGTCCTTTTCATTCTGGCGATCAGCTGGCCGTTGAGTCTTTACAGGGATATCGCAAAGGTGTCTCTCTCCCAATGCACACGCCGGGAATAAAGCTAACGGCCGCAGCTCGCAAAAGCATCTACACTGGCGTTGATCAGCATGATGATCATCATTGTGACGGTTGTCACGCAGGGAGCCATTGTTGATTCGGAACTGCGCGGAGGTCTGAGAGGGTTGCTCTTCGTCAATGATGGATTCTTCCAGGCCGTCGGAGTGATTTCGTTTGGTATGGCCCCTGTACATGTGGTTACCCGCAGCTAATCTGTCTAGCTTTTGTCTGCCATCATAATTCCCTACTGATCTACGGCTCTCTCAAAACACCTACTCTAGACCGATTTTCCACTGTGACCCATTACAGCACCTTCATCTCCCTGATTGCCTGCCTCGTCATGGCTCTAGCAGGGTTTCTCACATTCGGTGACAAGACCAAGGGCAACGTCTTGAACAATTTCCCGTCGCAGGGGCATGTGGTGGTCCAGATCGCCCGATTGTGTTTTGGGCTCAACATGCTCACCACCCTTCCCCTTGAGTGTTTTGTCTGCAGAGAAGTCATGAACAACTATTGGTTTCCCGAGGAGCCCTACCAGCCCAACCGACATCTGATCTTTAGCAGCGCCCTTGTGGTCAGTGCCATGGCCATCAGCTTGATCACGTGTGACCTGGGGGCCGTTTTCGAGCTGATCGGGGCGACCAGTGCGTGTGCGCTGGCTTACATTTTACCGCCGTTGTGTTATATCAAGCTCAGCACTAGAAGCTGGAAGACGATACCAGCCGTGGCCTGCATTGTGTTTGGATTTGCGGTCATGGGTGTGAGTTTGGTGCTGGCCATGAAGAAGATGATCAATAGTGGGTGTTCATTTGGTACCGTCAAGGTTCACATTGCTGATCAGATTTCCACAGACGAGGGGGAGCCCCATCAATGTTAGATTAATAGAGATGATGAAGGCAGACTTCATTGCAACGGCAGCACCAACCCTGTTCCATATATAGACCGGAACGAGCAACAGGCAGGTACATTTTCCTCCTTTAGCAACAGCGGACAGGGGTCTCGATTTCTTCAAGTCATTGACTTATTTGTCTTTGATAGCACTATACTCTCGAAATGTGATCCAACCTAAACAAGAATCTGAAATACTATTTTATTTGAGGCAGTTGGTCTCGACGCTCATAGAGAAGCAATGTTCAACGCAAATGCCCAAAAGTGAGCTGATGTCCATGAAGCACTGTAATGGATCATGTACATTCACAGGAAACCGTGGCCACAGCCCGCCGGATACACCAAAAGCATGGACGGGGCTTTTTTTTTGTGATCGTCGCTTTACCGTCGACGACGAGGGTGTCGGCACCGACGGTATGAACCCCCGATGAACCAACTCCTGAGAATCCTTTTCGCGTGGGCTGCTTGATAACTTTCATGAAATTGGATTCTGAACGCCTTCGCGACGATCAGTGTGCATGTTGGTCCGCTAAAGGGGAAGATGTGCTCTCGTGGTCGGTGAGCACAAAAGCCGACAACGGATGAGTCTTTATTCCATGTCCGTAAATAGAAGACCGAGCCTCACGAGCCTCAGGGGCCGCTTACTGACAAGGCTTCCGCTAAAATGGTCTCCGAGTCAGTCATAGACAAGCTCCTCCGCTCTCCCCAAGGCTGCAGAGAGAAATTAAAAGAAAAGGGAGAATGGGGAATGGAGAATAAAAGGATCTTCGCTGCTTAATTATTATGGGGCTGAAGTCGCGCGATAGAGTGCCACGAGAGCGAAACCTTGAGCAACACGACTCAGACGCGGGCCAAAGGTCGTGTATCCGACGGACGCGAAGCGCGCTCTTCCGAAATGACTTGCATACAATTTGCGCTACACGGTGTGTGCAGATTAGCGATCGGGTGAGTCGCATAGTGAACGATACTTTGAGCTTCGTCACTGATGCTAGCAGGATCGCTTATCCGGGCAAGCTGGTCAAGCGACAATTCTCCTTTATGATAGGGGGTTCCTTGTAGGTGTACGTCGCACGAAGAAAGTGCTTCATCTCTGGTGCTGGGGTTTTGATGGTATGCGACAAGCTCTGAGACCCTTCCCATGTGGTTCATCACGAGACGGAGCTTGAATGGGGAACTGAAGTGTTTGAGAGCCTGGTCAATATGACGACGAAGGGACGTCGACAGCCACTTGCTGGTGCTTGGTGCCACAGTGCCACCTTCAGCCTTGCTCAGGAGTCGGATATCCGATGGCGCTAGCCTCTAAAGGGGTAAAGTGTATGCATAGCCTTGGAACAATGACCCAATCACGGCTTGCATATTGCCCCCTGGTCCCCTGGATCGGCCCCACCCGCCTCCTGTATTTCTTCTCCTACTCGTGCGACACTCTATTCGACTTCTTACTCAACCAACCACGCTTTCTTGGCCGGTCATCGTCTTTGGTTTCATGCTGGATCTGCGCTCGGTTTTGCTCATCCTGGACCATATTCTGGGTTGGCCTGCGCGAACCGCAACCCTCCGATGACCCTACAATTTCCTGAGAAGACGGCTAATGCTAACGCTTCAGGATGGCAACTCCGCTCGTGAAGAGCATTTACATGGCCTTCCCTTCCCTTCTGTGCATGTTCTGTCTTCTCTGCTTCTTCCATTCCCATCAACTCACCGTCACTCCTTTGAGCATTTGCTTCAGACGTCCTAGAGACGTCAGCCACTCTTTATTCAATTCACACCTGCTCCAGTCACTCATTATCCCCAAACACAAATTGATTTTTGTTTACCAAGCGGGTTGAACTCGACATAGAGGATCGCTCAATCCAAGGCAGAAAGAAGTTTTGACAACTTTCCAGAAGACGCGATAGAGAAGAAGAAACTCCTGACGAGACATACGAACCCCGTGAAAAAATAACGACATACCCCCAAAATGCATTTCCAGACCCTCGCACTCGTGGCTTGCTTGACGTTGGCGCAAGCTCGCCCTGACGAGTCCACCTATCGACTTCCCAAACGTCAACTCAACGATGTCCTCTCCTTGTTAGGCTTAGGCTCGAGCTCGAGCTCGAGCTCGGGCTCGGGCTCGGGCTCAGATTCAGGCTCAGGCTCAGGCTCAATCTCAAGCTCAGAATGGTCCGACTGGGACGACTGGTCAGAAACCACCACGTCCAGAGCAACCGTCCAAACCTCAACGACCCGTACATTGGCACCACCGAGCATAGTGACCAGTACCACTCCCAGCTTCAGCCCCAGTTCCACAACCACCACCACTACTACTACAACCACATCAAGGCCTAGGGATATACCCACTTTCACTCCCACCACGACAACAACAACGACGACAACGACAACGACAGTGGCGTCTCCTTCAACCACTACTACTACCTCATCCTTCAGTCCGTTTATTCCAACCTTCACCACCTCATCATCCACCACGACATCTACCACGACATCTACCACGACGTCTACCTCGACGACTACAACCTCAAGCGTGGTTATCGATGTGCCCACGACTTCGTCCTCTACCACTACATCCTCCAGCTCGTCGTCTACCACCACTTCGACAACTACATCCACCATCCCATTTGTTGAGGTTGCACCGCCCTTGTTGTCATCGACCACGGTATCTGTCAACACAGTTACTGGAGCCATCACGACGACGACGACGACAACGACAACAACGACTGCGGCGACAACGACGACGACTGTTATTGATGATGCAAATAATAACAATGTGGTCGACCCATTGCCGGTGCCGACTCCGTCAACGTCCAGCACTGGCCTCACTGTAGCTGCTGCGACGGTGGATGTCGCCTCTACCGATGTTGCATCGGTTGCTGCAGTTGCCGCCACTACCGACACAGGCATCCCTTGGTCTGCGTGGGCACCATGGACGGTGGAAACTAGCACAGCTGGCCAAGAGGTTGCCGCGGTGAGCACCACTGTCGAGGAGACGACCTTTACCTTGACGATGGGGGCTGGAGAGTCAGCGTCCGTGGTCACGACCACCATGCACCTGACGAGGACTCTGACTCAGACGAGCACGATATACGCCACCCTCAACCTACCATCGCCGACTCCTGCAGATCTCAACCAGGTGGCTGCCGCGAGTGTTGACGTGGGTGCCCAAGGTACTACGACCATCACGTTGCAGTCTACCGTCACCGAGACAGTCACTGTAGTCCCTGCGCAGACTCCTTGCAGTATCCAGTACATTACTGTCACGGAGGTCTCGCAAAGCACTATCACCGTTACGGCCACGCCAACGGTGGCAGTAGCGGCGATTGAAGTGTCGACTTCGACGACGAGTACCACTACGAGCACCACCAGCACCAGCACGAGTACAAGTACGAGCACGAGCACGAGCACCAGAATCAGAACCAGAACCAGCACCAGCACCACTAGCACCAGCACAAGTACGAGCACGAGCACAAGCACGTCGACTATCGGCGCCCAGACGCGCTTTGTGCGGACGAGCTCTGGATTCACGACCATTTCCAGGTCTGCCACCACCACGTCGCTGTAGCCATGAGAGAACAATACTGGAGAGGAGTCGTGCGAGCCACACTTCTGACTACGAATGGGGGGGTATATGAGCCTTGAGAGGAATGAAGACATGGGGAGAGAAAGAAAAACAAGATGTTGTATTTTGATCGACTGCTGTACAAAACCAGAACGCACGTGTGAGCTTTTTCTTTGTGTTTTTGTTCTTCCAAGAGAAGACTCGGAGGGGGAGGGAGGGGGACGGATAGAGAAAGATGGGACAATTGATACCACGAACCTGAGCCAGATGCCTTTTGTCTTTTTTGGTTTGCAAAGTCTTGCCATGACAAACAATCTTGATATGAATTCTCTGTATATACCCAAAAATTGAAAACTTTGAAAATGTATTCGAGTTTGGCCGTGAGATGAAAGATGCAGATGAGTGATCAAGATGACGACGGGTCCGTTGTGGAATCGCACGGGGGTAATTCCACTGGACCTGTAGGACATCGTACCTGGTAGGCACCGGAGAATGAAGCATCACTTCCCACTATGTTGGCTTGCCTTGGTCATGCTTGTCTCTGCGCCGCAAACCAGCCAAAGTGTCTGCTAAGCTTCCTGGTTGTTTCCACCGGGCCAAGCTTCTCCCCAAAGAACGCCACCACCAAGTCGGCCAGTCGGTTCCTTGCCCCGCATTGATGATGACGATGACGACGAGGTTCTGGCACTAAACTGTTTTGGGGAGAGATATACGCCAGTAACCTACCCTAGACTGCCTAGGTACCATCACACTCACTCGCTCCTTCCTCTCGTACACTTGACACACGCGGGCTGAAAACGCTGCTGCTATGACGCACACCACGAGGAAATGACGTCGTCAGATCTTCCCTCAGCAACAAGATGAGGATGGAGGGGATCGTCCAATGCCCCTCCAAGACCTAATGGCATCTGCTTCGCTAAGTCGATACCAACACATGGTCCATGGGGACCCTTTCGATGGCAAAGGCAAAGAGGGAAGAGGAGGGGGACGGGGTGGGTGTTTTATTTGATCAACTCCGTAAAAACCAAGTAAGTAGGTACTAGTAGGTAGGTATTCATATATTTGTCCGCCTCCCTCTCTACCTCCCCTCCTTTGGGAGTTTATCATTCAGTCACCACCATACCATACGATCGTCCTGCAATCAACGCTACATAACTATCACCATAAGCTGTCCGACAGGACAAGAAATTCTGTCTCCCTTGTAAAAATCCTATACTGCACCGCACACCTCACCTAACCCCCACCTCAACGTGTGAGCTATCAAAATACAAGACGATCATACAAGAAATCTGTGCCCCTCCCCAAAAAAAACGAAGATGGAAACGGCAAAGAACCTCGTCAATCATGTTATGGGGTATAACAAGGAGGATGTAAGTGTTACAACCCTTTTCCCACTGGAGGATCTCAATTGACAATGCCCCGTATAGTCATCAGACAACACCACCCAGTAAGAGAATACCCCTTTTCAACCACATCACTACAATATCCATCCTGCCATGGCCGACTGACTGACTCTTTATTTTCCAATTCCAGCCATCATCTCGCCGGCCACCATCACAGGAATGACGCATCCACCAGTGATGACAGCATCACGAGCTCCTCGGCGAGCGAAACTCCCTCGAAGCCCGTCTCGGCAGGAAACAGCGGCAGCAGTGATCACCACGGCAGCTCCCACAACCTAGACCGAGTCCAGTCCCCCGAACAAGGACCTGACCCAGCCCTCGTCGGCGAACCCAACCCCACGGACAAGCTGTCTGGCACCGCCGCCCCAGGAAGCCACAGCGCCGTGTTTGGCTTGACCCCGGACGGCAAAAAGGTCAGTGACACCTCTCACGGCAGCTCGGCCCCGAAGCCCGCACATAGCACCGAGACGGCTGTGGGTGGTGGCAAGAAAGAAGGAGGGAGCGATACCGGTTCTCGAGCCACGGGGAGCGGCGAGGTGGGCGAGCAGATGCACAAGGTCGGGGCGGACCAAGGCGCAAAGGGACTGGAGAGGACCGATCCCGCGCCCGAACCCGCTGGGAGCGACGGCAAGCCAGGCGCAGGCCTGACGGGTCTACAACAGGGGGGCGGCAAGGTTTAAAAGCCTGAGGAAGCCTGAAGAAGTAAAGGGGAGGCCTCTTTTTTTTGTAGGTATCACTATTGGCCGCTTTTCTATTGGTCGGGGCCTTTCACAATTCGTTGGATTGGGGGGGAGTGTGAGAACGTGTAAACATACATACACACATACATATACGAGGGTATACGAGGTATATGCTATCCGAGGAGGAACATGTAGGAACATGTAGGAACATGGTCCCTAGAACCACGTAAACAAGGGGAGAGTGTACGAGAACACAGTCCATGCAAATGACACAGAGGAAGATAGAGAATGCGCGTACAAGAAAGAGCTCATTCACCCCCCCCTCCCCTCCCTGTTTCCCAGACCCGGCAGAAAGATTTCTACGCCATCTTCAGACACATACGTACGTGCTGAGGAGTTTCACTTGTCGAGGTAAAAGGAACATGGGATGTATGAGAAGATGGTTCACGAAATCTCGGTTTTATACACCGTTCGCTGCTTAGCTTAGCTTAGCTTAACTGTGCCATCTCTATGCATGTCGGCATGCTTTTTCCAGAATCTATTTTTTATCCTCCCAGAACTGCCAAAAACGCAGCTTATCCGCCGCGCTCCATCCCTTCTCTGACGCGTCTTTCAACCGCCTCGCCGGCGCGTTGTCTGACCATCCTGACTATCCAATCCTGCTGTTTTGTGCTCAGGAGTTTCAGCCTCCTCAAATATGTTTGCAACGTCTGCGGATTCGTCGGGTTGGACTGGAGATCACTAAGCCCGTTGGTGAGGAGCCAGCGTTGTAGGCGTTGAGGGTCGAGGTATTCTTGATCTTGATCTTGGTTGGAGGAGGAGGGTGTAGCACCACTTGTTGTAGAGTCGTTTGCAACTTGTGATAAGGGCTGCGGTTCTTGGGCCCGGAGAGCTGGCATCGCGCGACTCTCGCCCACTTCCTCGACTTCCTCCTCTTCAGCGTCCGAATCAACGTGTCGTAACACCGCGTGACCGCCAATCAGGGCACGTTGAGGTGCTCTGTCTTGAGCGCCCTCGTCTTCTTCGTCAGCATCTTCCACCATGGCTGAGTGCGGGGGATGCGACTGTCCCGTTTGGGTCGTGGTCGCTTCGTCGTCGGGAATGCTCTCCAACTCAGGCATACCGTCATCATCGTCGTCGTCAGCTGTCGAATTGTTGGCATTCGCATCCATATAATAGTCCCATCCTCCAGCCATCCCTAATCCCTCAGGGGTAACGCCTTCTTCTACCTCCTCGGCTTCATCCAGATGGATCCTCAGAAGCTCCTCAATCATTTCCGGAGGAATATTCCCCCCGAGTTGCTCTTGCAATGCGCGAAGGGCAGCTTGGCCTTCCGACTCACCTCCAGCGTTCGCGCCTTCTGCAGAGACTGGTGTTTGGAACCAGTTCATGATACGTGTAAGGAGGCTGCCCGCGGTGCCCGCAGTCGCACCTGCGGCATTGAAGATAGTTTGCATAGTTCCATCAGCCCCTCGCGAACGACCGGAGCCCGGTGCTCGAACGACATAGTCAGACAAGGAGTCTGGGGGAGGGAGGACATCGGATGACGAAGTAGGCATAGTCGTAAACCGACGTGGGAGGAGGGCGATCAACGAGGGGATTTCGAGGAGCATGATATGCCTGGCTTCTTCGAGTGAAATCTCCAGCTTCGGCGCCTTTGGAGCGGCCGAGATCGCATCGCTGTAGTGAGAAAGGGTCTCCGCTACCTCGGCGAGGAGGCTGATAGTTTCCGGGGTGTTCCACAGGTCCTTTGCACGACTGACGTAAAGTTGAGTGTAGAGCTTTTCAGCGTCAGTGGATGGTAATTTCGCCCAGAGGGACTTGGGTAGCGGCGAGATGTCGAGTGCCGAAGCCAGAGCAGATAAGATGTAAGGGTATTTGTGCATCGCAACGGCGAGACGAGTACGTGCTTCACGTGGATTGCCGGACCGTTGATAGGCGAGTGCCAGAGAAATTTGAATATTGGGCAGAAAATCCCACGCTTGGCCATATGCATCGTCCGAGCAGAGCGCAATAAGTTGAGCGTGTTGTCGGCCTCTCAAGGCAAGTTGATCGATCATAAGGGTGACTCCATAGGGATCCGTCAGCGGATTGAGCTGAAGAAGGACCTTAGACCATTCAAACGCTGTCCGCCACGTCCCCCGCATCTCGAGATTTCTGATGTAGCGCCAGATTGCGAGATATAGTTCTCGGTTGGCTGGGTCGTTGAATGGCACACGAGCAATGCCGCTTCTTAAAGAGGCTGGGAAGGTGCTGTGTGCCGATTTGCCGAACGTGAACAACGCACGTTCAACAAGATCTCCCGAGACGGCGTTGTCGCCCTGGTGTTTCGCGATTTCCGAGACTTGGAGGAGAGTTGCAATATGGTAAGGGTACATGGATAACATGCCGATCATTCTTTGAGGATCCATTGATTCGACGGCCATGTAGAAATAAACCTGTGTCTCGCGATAGGCGTTTTGGTGTATGATGTTATATCGCTTCTCGGACGAATCCCTCGAATCAGAGTCTGATTTGACCAATTCCATGCTCAACCCTCCACTCGTGGCCAAGGGCCACTCTTCTTTGCCCTGGATAAAGACATTCCGCCTGTGTGCGAGAGATCCTAGCTCTTTTCCCTTGCTCGCCGCACAATATCTTCCCGTAAGTGCAGTTGCAAGATCAACGCCACCCCGCTGGTTCTGTTCTCGACGGCGTGGTGCTCGAGGCGCCGAGCGAGACTCTTGCCCTTCAAGTGCAATGCTCCCGAAAAGGCTTTTCATTTCGTTGACAGGATTGAGGTTGTGCGAATCTATGCCCAGAAGCCTGGTGGCTCTCGTCTCAAAGGTAGGTGTCTCCTGTTTCACAGCAGACGCCGCCTGTGCTCGTCCTTCTTTTGCAGCCAACTCTTTCAGGGCCCGGTCAACTTCGTCGCCAGATTGCTCCTCCTGGTCTTTCTGTGCTTCTTCTTTGGCCTTGCCTTTCTTCTTGGATTTCTTCTTTTTCCTCTTCGACTTGGTAGAGGGTGTTGATATTGAATCTTGGGATGGCTTGGTGTCGGGGTTTTCTGTAGCATCTGCGCGTGTTATGGACTCGTATTCATGTTCGTCAGAATCACCTGCGTCCTCAATATCCTCCAGCATGTCAAAAGCGTTCATAGGACGGGAGGGTGGCTCCGGGATATCATCGTCCTCTTCTGACTCTTCCGCTTCCTCGTATGCCTTTTTGGCAGCCTCAACCTGTCTCTGCAACTCCTGCTCCCGCTGTAGTTTGCGGAGGGCTCGCGAAGACATATTGCCGGTTCCTGCGAATTTCGACAGCAGAGAATATGGCGGCGAATGTGAGGGGTGATGGATAGGCAGATCTGCGACTGCAAATAATTCCGCCGCAGTTGATGCGGCGGGTGACGTTTACGAGGCGAGGAGGGAAGCGGAGCAGGAGAATTAAATCTCCGATTGGCTCAATCTAGATCTGCGTGATGCGCATCCAACAGCCTCCAGCCTCATCGACTTTACTTTTGTAGGCGAACAAATTGAGTATCTGCTCAGGTGTCCGTGTCAGGGTCATCGTTGCCATCGCCTTCGCCCTGTCTTTCTTGCCCTTTTCGCCCTCCCTAGATGCTCTCGTCCTCATCTTCTTCCTCGCCTCCTTGACCTCCGTCGTCTCCAATGCGTCGCGCTGCCCTTTTCGCCCTTCGCTCGGCCCGACGCTCTGCCTCTCGGAAGCTCGTCTCCAAATCGTCCCCCTTTGCGCCTCCGAACCATGTCGTAGCCTCGGCCAACGTTCATTCAGCCTCCCTTGTCCGCAGATACAGTACATCTCGAGTACCGTTCCAGTCCTCCATGCGTATACCCAAGATACCAATCCTATTCGTTGGATCCCTGGGAGCAATCGGAGCCTGGTATGCTTACAGAGGTGATGGGCCAGAGCATCTTCTCAAAACCCAACCATTATCAGTATCGCCACAGTCTAGCAGGGGTCTAAGCACCACAGCAGATACTCCACGGTCTTCTCCAGAAGCTGCTGACCCTGCGTCGGTGACTACAGGTCCCGAACAATATCGGAAGGCATTGGTAGTTGACAACGATCAATTCTTCACCGGGTCCATCGTGGGCGACGGTCCTTTGGCCAAGGACACAGATGACTACGGCAGGAAGGTCTTAGAGATGATGACCCCTGAGCAAGCCACAGAAAGATTACGCAAGAATGAACAATCATTCCTCGTCGGCAGAGGACGGGGTGTGGTGAGATATGATATGGTCCAGCTTCCCAGCAACGACCCAATTGAGGATGACCATGCAGAGAAGATCGTCGAAGTTCCGAATACAGTCGCTGCCACAGAGGGTTCAGCATCATCGGATTGGATGTTCTGGGGTGTTTTCGATGGTCATTCCGGATGGACTACCTCTGCCAAACTGCGGCAGGTCTTGATCTCTTTTGCCGCCCGCGAACTTAATCGCACCTACAAGGCGGCTCTTTCAGACGCAAAATCCCCCTTTCCATCACCCGCAGCTATTGACCAAGCCCTCAAATCCGCCTTCGTCAAACTGGACAACGAAATCTGTTTGGACAGTGTCAATAAACTCAGCAAAACCCCTAGCAAACGGCTTGCTGCCGAAATACTTGCACCTGCTCTATCAGGCTCCTGCGCACTGCTGTCCTTCTACGACTCGCAGTCCAAGACCCTCCGCGTCGCATGCACTGGGGATTCCCGCGCCGTGCTTGGCCGTCGCAACCCGCAAACGGGTAAGTGGTTTGCCACGCCACTCTCAGAAGACCAGACCGGCTCCAATCCCAACGAAGAAGCACGCATGCGCGCCGAACATCCAGGCGAGGACTACGTTATTCGAGCTGGACGGGTCTTGGGCAATCTGGAACCGACTCGCGCATTCGGGGATGCATTTTATAAATGGTCGCGAGAAACGCAGGATCGAATCAAGAAGAACTTCTTTGGAAGGACGCCGCATCAGTTGCTGAAAACTCCACCCTATGTCACTGCAGAGCCTGTGGTGACGAGCACAAAGATCAACCCCTCTGATGGTGATTTTCTGGTGATGGCCACGGACGGGCTGTGGGAGATGCTGACAAATGAAGAAGTTGTTGGGCTCGTGGGTCAATGGATTGAACATCAAAACAAACTTGCCAGTAGCAAGGGATCCTCTGGGACGAATACTGCTGCTTGGTTGACGAGTTGGTTCAAATCAACGCCCAGTGGGCTACCAGTTGAGAAAGGGGGAAATATGGACAAGACTGGCCGCATTGACACCTCCTCTAGCCAGAAGGACGCAAAGGATGGCAAAACCTCCAACACCAACAACGTGGAGAAGCCCATCCGACAGCAACAATGGGACATTCCTGCTTCACCCCCTTCCACCTCTAATCGCTTCGTGGTCGAGGACAAGAACTGTGCAACTCACCTCATCCGGAACGCATTGGGTGGGAAAGACAAGGACATGGTGTGCGCGCTGCTCACGTTGCCGAGCCCTTACAGCCGCCGGTACAGAGATGACTTGACCGTCCAGGTCATATTTTTCGGTGAGGCTGGTGAAGCCGATGGCAAGGTCGTGATCAACGACGAAGCAACGGCACGACAGACACAGAAGATTGAGGACGGGCAACTGAAGGCGAAGCTATGAAACGAAAATGCTCTTTCGGAAAGAGAAGCTTAAACAAGCCAAGACCACTTTCGGCAACCCGTCATCATTTAGATGCTTGCGCCGGCGAGGGTCTTTGGGATCTGGTTCGGTGTTCATTCTCATGACTACCAATATACGGCGGGTGGTCAGGCGAAGAGAGGGGTGGTGCTGATGTATCCTTTCCCCACAACACATTGCCTGCTTGATATAGTGCTTTGATGGCAGGGAATCACGCCGCTGGTCCATGGGAATGGGGGATGCGATGAGCAGCGGATTGAAGACTTCCCTCCCTACACACCTGTTTTAGTATGGGAACCTTGGGCGTAAACGCGTTAGGGCCTGTCTAGATATTTGTTGTCTCGTAGATGGCGGGCGTGCGCTCCCGAAGCCGGAGTTGACAACGAGAACTGACACGACTCGAAAACTAGTATATTCTGCATATTTGTATACGTATACGATGTGATTTTTTAGGTTATTGTGCGAGAGGGAGAGAGAGAAGGGGGGGAGGAACACGAAATGGGTCTACGTATATATAGATGTAAAGGGACACAAACGCCCGTCGAGTCGAAGGGATGTAGACATAATTACCTTCTAAACAAGATCACCATTGATCTATTATCGACATACTTTTCGTTTACCGCCAATGCTGTCTAGTCCGACACTGTGCTCCTACATCCCAACCTCGGATCGAGGGATATCTCTTCCCAAAGACGTAGCTGGCGGCGTGAGATGAGGTGTATGGAGTGTACACTGAAACCCTATCTTATCCTATCCTGTACAAGACTCCCATCATTGAAAAGATTCCATTCCCGCTTTTCGAATTACAATCACGAGGGTATCATTCATGCCTCCACTTGTCCTTTGGTTTTCGCTTGTTTTGCCCTCAGAGGTGGAACCCGCTTGGTGGTCCCCAGGACGCGGGCGAGGAGAGGCCGCTGCACAAGTTGAGTCGTCGTGGTCCCGATGAGGTACAACACCACAGCTGTGGACAGGTCGCTCCTGATAATCAGGTACGTAAAGACAGAAGGCAGGGCGGTCATGACATAGGACAAAGCCCTGTTGAATTTTGCAGCGAGAACCCTTAGTCTCGCATCGTCGCTGTTCGAATAGCTAACTTCTGGCCGTTGTTTGGCAGCATCCCTCACCCTAAGCCACACACTCAAGGTCGCTAGGGTCCCGTATGTCACTGGGAGAATCCAGAGTTGGTCCGGCGAGGCCAGGTCGGATATCCACCACAGACTTTCGGTCTGGAAGCCTGGCTCCGCGGGCACAATGTTTGGATCCACGGTACCGCCGTCAGATCTGAAGAACATTGAGGTCACGGTGCGTTTGTCGCCCGCCATGCGCCGTATGCAGTCCATACTGAATACCCATACAGGTATGAAGGATAGCGCAAGCACTGGTTCCACCCAGATTGGTAGATATGGGATGTGCTTTTGAATGGCTTTTTTTCGGGCTTTGAGCTGACTCGCCACCCAGCTCTCAGCTCTTTTGGCGTCTGCTTCTCTTCCCGCGGGATATTTTATCCTCGCCGTGTCTTGATATGCTATGCGCCAAGCAGTTGCGAGGTGCATGGCGCTTTCTCTCCGTTTCCGACTTCGGTGTGTCAACAGCTGGACTGGAATCCAGGTCATCCGAAGGAGGGAAGCGGTCAACGGGATCGACAGGTACCATGGTAGACCGGTCAATGTGTGCACCTCTTGAAAGATGGTTCCGGAGAGCTGGAGGCATTCGGCCGCGAAGGGTTTAGGATGGGACGAGTGAAAGGATCGTGAGAGCGACCGGGCATCGAGGCAATTGTGCCTGTAGCATTGGCGTTCCAACTCGGCCCAACGTCCAAGGGCCCTGCGGCAGAGCATTGCTCAGTGTTAGCTAGGTCTTGGAGGGAGCATATGGAAACTGGTCTCGTGGTGCAGCGAAGCATGAAACAAAAGAGTGACCCGTCGACACGCGCCCACGAATAGCGGCGGGGGGATGGCAAGGGTGGGAAACAGGCGCGTGGCCCGAGGCTGCGTCATTGTTGGTTGGTGGAAGAAGAGGCCACACTGGTCGCCAGGCCCTGGAGGCCGCAGCTGATATTATTATTATTGCCCAATGCTCATTGCTCATTTCAGCCTGTTTAGTCGTATCTTACCCCTGTAGCTAAATTGTCCTCCTTCTCGCTCAGCCAACGATCTTGGAAGCATGCGCCTCGGTGACTACTGTTGTCTACTGCAGCTTTGGCAATGGCCGCCTCATCGAGCGCAGTGGCAATCCTGGCGGTAGTCCCGCTTGTGCCCCTCGTATTCCTCTTGCTGATACAGCTATCACTGCGCGCGTTTGGTTGGCATCTGCGTGCACGGACTAGGGATCGAAAGACCGCGATCCTCGAAAGGGTCAGGCGGGAGAGAGCGGCGGTATCGGAGAATCAACCTCCGTCACAGGAAGCCGAAGATGGGTGGGAGACGATCGAGAAAGAGGGCAGCGCTGAGAATGGCAAGCCTCTCAAGGATGAATGGGCCGGAGTGATTGGCTTCTTTCATCCCTTTTGGCAAGTTTCCCCTTCCTTGTAAAGGGCCATTTTCTGACTTTGAGTAGCAATGCTGGTGGTGGCGGTGAGAGAGTCTTATGGGCAGCCATTGCCGCAACTCAGCGACGATGGCCCAACGCGATTTGCGCAGTCTATACCGGTGACCACGACATTGACCGATCGTTGGTGGTAGCAACAGTCAGAACCCGCTTTGGCATCACCCTTCAAGAACACTCCCTCGTCTTTCTGTACCTTTCGAGGCGTCGTTTTGTTCTTGCGAGCACTTATCCTCACTTTACACTTTTGGGTCAGTCACTGGGCTCGGTGGTTCTGGCTTATGACGCCTTTCAACTGCTTGTGCCTGACATCTTCATCGATACCATGGGTTACGCATTTGCAGTCGCCCTTTGCAAATACCTCTTCCCCAATGTACCCAATGCGGCATATGTACATTATCCGACCATTTCCACCGACATGCTGGATAGCCTGGAGGACACGACAGGCCAGAAGGGGATTCATGCAGGTGCTGGGAAGGGGTTGAAGGGTAGAGGAAAGAAGTATTATTGGCGTGCATTTGCATGGCTCTACGGCTTTGTCGGCAGACAGATCGATGTGGTCATGTGTAATTCGACCTGGACACAAGGCCACATACGGCAGCTTTGGAAACCGAAACGAGCGTCCTCCTCCTTCGCCGCCATAGTTTATCCGCCTTGTCCTGTCGAAGAGCTGGAAGCACGAATCCCGTTGACGGAGGAGAGTGAGAGACAACGGGAAAACATTGTCCTCTACATTGCTCAATTTCGACCCGAGAAGAACCATTCCTTGATTCTTCGTTCCTTTGCCAAATTCTACCACGCAGCGAAGGAGAAACCCAGATTGGTTCTCATTGGGTCGGTTCGGAGCAACACACCGGACGAGAAGCACATTTATAACCTCCGACTTGAAGCACACGAACTAAGGATCAAGGACGCCACTACCTTCATTTGTGATGCCCCCTTCTCAGTCATCCTGGAGTATCTGCGGAGGTCGAGTATTGGTACAAACGGCATGTACGCAGAACATTTCGGGATTGGCAATGTGGAAGGACTAGCGGCAGGATTGATTCCTGTGGTACACAACAGCGGTGGACCCAAGCTCGACATCGTGGTTCCATTCGAGGGTCAGCCCATTGGGTTCCATGCCGAGACAGAGGATGAGTTTGCTGCTGCTTTTGCCAAAGTGACTGGGATGAGCAGACAGGAACGATTCGCCATGAGATTAAGAGGGCGTGCAAGCACAAAGCGATTTACAGAAACAGTTTTTGCCCAGAAATGGGTCGACCAAATGGAGATACTGGTGCGGTTGCAGAAGATCCGGGACGGCCCATGACATCTATATAGAGCCAGCGGAAAGACCGAAGACTTGACCGTTGTTGTGATGATTTTCAGACGAATGATACCCTTCTTAGCCTTGTCTCTGTCTGCCTTCCGTGTCCGGTGATGAGTGGCAAGGCTGTGGCCACTATAAGAAGTAAGTACAAGCGAATTCTGCTCGCTATACCTTCCCTAATGGGACCGGCTGCCGGAAATCTCCCGCCGATCTTGCCGTTGCCTCAGCCTTACCACGTGCCACCACCTGATCCTTGCTCGCCTCTTGTCCGACAAAAGTTCTTGTTCTTCTATGCCTTGCGCTCTTTGACAGGACTCAAGCAAACTTCAGTGCCAAACACATAAAGTCCTCCTCTTCAGTTCTATCCTGACTGAGAGATTCCGCTGCTCTCTATCACTTTCTGACACCCTTCGGCCTGGTTATTCATCATGTCGCTCTGTATCAACCGTCTCCAAGAGGAAAGGTGGGCTGCGCAAACCAAACGTTGCCTCACCTTCAACTTTGCTAACCCCTGCTCCCAGAAAACAATGGCGCCGCGATCATCCTTTCGGTTTCTATGCAAAACCCGTCCGACATGCGAATGGTGTGGTTGATCTCAAGATGTGGGAAGTTGGGATACCGGGGAAGGAGAGGACAATCTGGGAGGGGGGCCTGTTCAAGTTGACTCTCGCCTTTCCGGATGAATACCCTACGAAGCCACCCCGATGTGAGTTGAAGTTGACTTTGCGCGCTGGTTGGAAGCACACGACTGAGCCCTCTTTTAGGCAGATTTGTCCCCCCTCTATTCCACCCCAACGTCTATCCCTCGGGCACGGTGTGTCTCTCGATCCTGAACGAAGAGGAGGGCTGGAAGCCAGCAATCACGATCAAGCAAATTCTTTTGGGCATCCAAGACCTGCTAAACGACCCCAATCCCGACTCGCCAGCGCAGGCAGATGCATACAATCTCTACAAAAAGGATCGGCCCGCATACGAGAAGAAAGTCAAGAGCATTGTCAAGGACAACCCCGCACCCTGAGATTCGTGGCGTTGGACATGGTCGGGCACAGACCTGAGATGGTTTTGCGACGAGCATATTAGCGACAGGATGATGTGCTGTCACAAAGCTCAAACAGCGGGGTGATGCGAGACTAGCGTGTGGATTCTGAGCGCGGCGTTCTGCAGTAGGCATTTCCACTCCAGATAACCTGTTCACGGGGGAGGGCGGGGGATCTTGTAGAGAGATTTGGGGTAAGGGGGGAAATGGGAACATTGGGCAGCTGGCATTTCTTTTTGATAGGCGTCCAAGGAGTTTTCGAAGAGTAGCATGAGCTAGCTAAGTTGCTAGGGTGCCAGGGTGCTAGGGTATCACGTATCTAATATGCACTCCACGTGGCTGCGGTGGTGTTCTCCTTCGTCTTGATGTACGGAGTATGATCTGATACCTACATGAGCGATTTACTGTTTTGCCGCCAGCCCTTCAGCCCCTCCAGCCCCTCCAGCCTCTTCCTGTTACATTTTTCTTCTGTGGAAACTGGCCTAGCTGCCTAGGGACAAATGGGTATGAGGGAGTGGTCGATCTCGCCTACGGAGATTGTGGGCACGGGCAACTCTTCTTCTGGGCCACCACAGCCTTTACCCGATGGGACTAAGCGTGGGGGTGCACAGCCAAGCAGGAGGGGTGGGTGATGGGCGTGGTGAAGGGCAAGTTAGGCATCGGAGAGCTATCCTCCTGTGAGATACTACTAGATACCTACTAAGGTATACCAGAGCGAAAAAGTGCGGGGATTCCGGATATCTGCATTCATGATTAGGCATGGACTCTAGGACCAGCATGTGCCACAGAAACTCCCCTGGAGCCACTCATCTTCAGCTTTTTAAGTGATACTCGTAATAAGAAGAGGTCGCGTGCCGAACATCGGGCTTCCTCTTTCCTCGGGGAACATCGACCACCCCCCCCCCTCCCCAGGCACGCAAATGTCCATAGCCCGACCCTGAGTCTAGTACGGGATGGGGTCAGACGCAGGGTGGAATAACCGTGACAAGTTCAAATATAGAGAAGGAGAGAGCGAGAGGCAAGAGGGAGGGGGGAGAGACGGAGGGAGACGGGGCCACATAGGGCGGGTTCACCTTGTTATTACTTAAGAACGGCTTGAGATCCGCAAGAGCCCCTTCTCTTATCTATTTAATCCGAGGAATGAACGAAGAGTAGTAAGATAGAGAAGAAAGAGAATATCCCGGTTGTGGTCAGTCCAGCAGCAAGCGTGGGCTCGTTATTTTTTTTTATTTTCGTGTGTGTGGGAAAAAGTGTGGGCTGATTCAACACATTGCGCCCTCCAACCAAACAAGATCCAATACATACTTGCACGCGGTGTTGTGACCTGAGGAAGTTCTAAGTGACAACGACCACAAACGACCTTGGAATCCTCGTCAACAAAAAAAAGAACATCTAAGGTCAGCTGCGATTACAACCTGCATCCCATCCTCCTTCCCCCCGAAAAACGCCCCAAAAAAAAGTCAGCGGCGTTCCCGTCGAGCCCGTTCAAGTCTCCAGTGAAGCAAGTGGCCGGAACATTTTCAGCCATCAAAATTATCGATTGAGAGTTGACTTGAGTCATCCCAAAGTCATCCCACGCTCCCGACCTTTTTTTGCCTTCGAACAAAAATTTGGGGACTTTGGAAGCGTGGAACAAAAACAGTCCTTTTTATTTCGTCCCACGCCCACGCCGCCACACTTTTCTCCCATCTTGCATAACATTTCACACCCTCTCATTGCAAAAGGCCACACCAGCAAACAGACGCTCGTGGGCAAGCAGCGTGGGCATCGTGCGCAGTCATGTGTGGTATTTTTGCCTGCCACGGGTGAGTCTGCGCATCCCCCTCGTTCCCTGGGTGCATCAAGAGAGAGTCCTGGTTCCTGCAGTGAGGCTGGAAATTTCCCTGGGTTCTAGCTCCGCGATCGGCGTCTTGCTTTTTCTGGCTCTTCTCCCGTGTCCAGGGTTGTGCTGATCTTGCTCTACGATTTCTGACTCTTTGGCGCGTACAGTCATCCGTCGATAGCAACCTTCAAGACCACTGCCCTCCAGTGTGTCAAATGCCTGCGGCACCGCGGTCCTGACTGGTCAGGGAACTGGACGGGAAACAACACCATCCTCTGTCATGAGCGTCTCAGTATAGTGGGTGTGGACAGCGGGGCGCAGCCTCTGGTCAACGATGAGGGCACAATTGCGCTGGCCGTCAACGGCGAAATCTACAACCACCGAATCCTGCGCAAGCACTTGACCGTTCCTTATAGCTTCAAGACCCACAGTGACTGCGAGGTCATCATCCCTCTCTACCAGCAGTATGATACAGACGCCCCCAAACAGCTGGACGGCATGTTTTCGTTCGTGCTCTACGACAAGGAACAAGACCGCACGGTCGCTGCTCGGGATCCCATCGGTATCACATCCTTCTACCTTGGTCGGTCCAGCCAAACACCCGGGGCTGTCTATTTCGCTTCCGAGCTGAAAGCCCTGGCCACGGTGTGCGACAACATTATTTCATTTCCCCCCGGCCACATTTATGACTCCAAAACCGACAAGATCACCCGATATTTCGAACCGTCGTGGTGGGATCCGAACCGAGTTCCGTCCGAGCCCATCGACTACAAGTTGATCAGGAAGACCTTGGAAAAATCGGTGCTCAAGCGTCTCATGGCCGAGGTGCCTTACGGTGTCCTCCTGTCCGGTGGGCTTGACTCGAGTCTGGTGGCTTCGATTGCGCAGAGGGAGTCCCTTCACCAACAAGCGCTCGCCAGGCGTCAGGCCAACGGTGCCGTCAACGGGGAGGTCAATGGTGAAGTCAACGGGTACAGGACTCCGAAGACAGGCACCAGGCTGGTGGGCATCGACGATGACGACGAGTTGTCAACAGTCACTTTCCTCCCCCAACTGCACTCCTTCTCCATCGGTCTGCCCGATGCGCCTGATACCAAAGCGGCTATCGAAGTCGCCAAATTCCTCGGCACCAAACACCACGACTTCACATTCACAATCCAAGAAGGACTGGATGCCCTATCAGACGTCATCTATCACCTCGAGACTTATGACGTTACGACGGTCCGTGCGTCCACGCCCATGTACCTCCTCTCTCGGAAGATCAAGGCCCTGGGTGTCAAGATGGTTCTGAGCGGTGAGGGCAGCGATGAGATTTTTGGCGGGTATCTCTACTTCCATGCCGCTCCGAGCAAGGAGGAGTTCCACAAAGAGACTGTCCGCAGAATCAAGAATCTGCATTTGGCCGACTGTCTCCGTGCCAACAAATCCACCTCGGCGTGGGGCGTCGAAGCTCGTGTGCCGTTCCTGGACAAGCAATTCCTAGAAGTTGCCATGAATATCGACCCGGCCGAGAAGATGATCACCAAGGACAGAATAGAGAAGTATATTCTGCGCAAGGCTTTCGACACCACCGACGAGCCCGATGTCCAACCATACTTACCGGAGCACATTTTGTGGCGCCAGAAGGAGCAATTCAGCGATGGCGTGGGTTATGGCTGGATTGATGCATTGAAAGACACGGCCGAGATCAATGTGACGGATGAGATGATGGCCAACCCCAAGCCGGAATGGGGTGACGACATCCCGACCAGCAAGGAGGCTTATTGGTATCGTCTGATGTTTGATGAGCACTTCCCGCCATACTGTGCTTCGACTGTGATGCGATGGACGCCAACCTGGTCGAAGCAGTCAGATCCCAGCGGACGAGCAATTGAAACCCATCTTGCCAGATATGATGACGAAGCTGGCTCGTGATACGCGCTGGCAAATGTACAGGGAACGAAAGATATCAGCATGGGCAGGCGTTTTAGCAAGGAGAGGACATTGTGAAAGCAGCCTCTTGACGTTGATTTATGGATTCATGGTGGCATAGCAGCGGGAGGACTGTATGCGCTGTCTCGTCTCTGGCCCAGCCATGAACAGCAATATCTTTGAGCTGGATCTAGCTGTGAAAAAGCAAACATGTTTGGCGTCTGAGCCATAGCCTGTCCAGCATGCTATGGTTCCCGCTAGCAATAATACTTGGTAGAGAGTGCAAATCCCAAATACAATCCCCCCTGAAAAGAAGCTGATGGTAATCAAGAAGCGGGGATGAAAAGGGCAACTTGGGCGAGATTAAGCGACACGGGCAACTCTGCCGAGGAGCCGGTCACCTTCTTTCGATCTCGCTTATGATTGGTTGAATCAGCTTTTGCGAAACTGCATCTCCGAGCCTTTTTCTTGAGCTCCATTGATTGTTTTGCCGTCTACGTCTCTGCTTCTCCCTGTCTCCGTGTCTCAGCATTCTCTCAGATCTTTTCTACACTCCCTCCACTACTCTCAAATCTCAACTTCTCCCTCGTTCGCTCATCCCTCGCCACTATGCCTGGAATTCCCGTCCCCTTTAGCGATATCGCTAAGCCCGCCAACGATGTGAGCATCCATCCGTCTCAGACCCCCTCCTCTCCGAACCCAACTGTGGCATTCTTTGCTGACCACTCGAACAGCTCCTCAACAAGGACTTCTACCACACCACCGCTGCCAATCTCGAGGTCAAGTCCAAGGCACCGAATGGCGTTGTGTAAGACCCAAACCTCTGAACATCCCTTCTCTCGGGAAGCGGGAGACCACGGCCCACCGGGGTTCTAATCCGTCTTGTTCTCTTGCAGTTTCAACGTCAAGGGCAAATCCGCGCACGATGGACCTATCTCTGGCTCGGTGAGCACCATGATAACAAGAGACAGCTTGAGAATATCACATGTTAACGGCAGCGGAAAGATTGAAGGAAAATACACCGACAAGGCAACTGGTTCGTTTCCGCTGCTCTTGGGAGTAACCCGCGCATTTGCACCTCAAAAGGCTCTGGACTGACTCATATCGATGAACACAGGCCTCACCCTGACCCAAACCTGGACCACCTCCAACAGCCTAGACACCAAGCTCGAACTGGAAGACAACATCACCAAAGGTCTCAAGGCCGAGGTCCTGACAAACTACCTCCCCGCGAAAGCCACCTACGGCGGCAAGCTCAACCTTTTCTACAAGCAGCCCAACATCCACACCCGCCTGTTCACAGATGTGTTCAAGGGTCCCACCGCCTCGTTCGATGTTACTTTGGGCCATGAAGGTTTCTTGATTGGTGCCGAGGGAGGGTATGATGTGGGCAAGGCTGCCATCACAAAATACGCCCTTGCAGCAGGATACTCGCAGGGCTCTTATGCCGCTGCGTTGACGGCCACCAACAACTTGACCGTCTTCAGCGCGAGCTACTATCACAAGGTCAACACTGAGGTCGAGGCCGGTGCCAAGGCTACCTGGGATAGCACGCAAGGAAGCAATGTCGGCTTGGAGGTTGCGACAAAGTACAAGCTTGATCCCAGCTCCTTTGCAAAGGTACGTCATCCGACTCCTGTCCTAAACATACGCTTGATACGAGCCACATCACCTTCCCTGCTGCTAACACCGAGTGATGTTTCTAGGCCAAAATCAACGACCGCGGTATCGCCGCTTTGGCGTACAACGTCAAGCTCGGCACTGGCGTGACCCTTGGATTGGGCGCCTCTTTGGATACGCAGAACCTCAACCAGGCCGCGCACAAGGTTGGAGCAAGCTTCACCTTTGAGGGATAAATTCTGTTGGTCAAGTTTCCAGAAAAGTAGCGCGGGTGACCAGGATGAGTGTGGGATGGACACCGCCAGGAGTGAGAAAATGTGTGTTATTCTTCTCTCACTTTGGGGGGAAAGAGAAAAGCGGGGTGGTTCGTTGGTTGACTGGTTGGTTGTTTGGTTGGAGGCGATCCCTCCTCCTCCCCTGCACCAACTTGGAGCACGGGATCTCATGGCAGGGGTGTGTGCCTCTTTGTACAGAAGAAGATGAGATGAGTTGCGGTGACCAAGGAGGAAGAGAAAACTTTAGCATAGAGCGAGCAAGAAACCAAATTCCCATCTTGATTTGTCGCTGCACGACTTGTTTGGTTTGGCATGGGCAAGAAGCCCCTCTTCTGCAGAGTACATTTGAGCTGATCTGAATTGATCTGATCCAACCTGTCCGTCTTGCAGTACACCCGCCGTGAACCGGGGTGCGCACACTCTAGCCAGCAATGGTTCGGTAAGTGTACCTCGTACATAGGCATACCGAGGCAAGTATATTCTGTATATACTTATCCCAAGTATATGTATGTCCAAATATTCTTAGAACAAGACATCGACATCAACCTCTAGCTGTAATTTGTTTATACTCGTACACCAAAAGTCGTAGTAGCCGTTGGTTTCCCAGTCCCACCACGTCTACTGTACCCTACTGTACATGCCATCCCGTCCGGCCCGGGTTTCTTCGTCTCTGGTCCTCTTCTCGTTTTGGTGTCCATATGATATCCCCTTCCTCTCCAGGGGGTGGGGAGTTCTGCCTGCGCGGTGTGTAGCATGCATACCGTTCCTGGGGCGAATTCCCATTTCACAGGGGCATGGCAATGGATCCGACCGTGAATGATGGGGGTCACGAAATTCCAATTTGTAGTTGGAGGTGCCGACAAGACCTAAGTATGCTTCTGCTTCGTTTGCAGACTGTGCGACAATGATACTTTGCAAAGTCCAAGGGTTCGCATTGGGCGGCGACGAATTTCTAGCCTTTCGTCCATTCATTCTTCGCTCCGTCCCTTCGACTGCCGTCCCCTCGAACAAGCCCGCCTCCTCGAGGTGTATTGGCCATGCGTAATATCAATGTGCCGACTGAGACACCCAAAACGATAATTCCCGACACCACAATGAAGCGGGCCCAGAAGTTGTCCTCCTCCACTGAAGCCTGTGCTGCCGCCAGTTCCGCTGCCCGGCGATTAGCGCGGCGGTAGTCTTCGTGCGTCTGTGTCTTGAAGGTTGGCCGAGCATCAAAGGCCGGGCCTCCGTCTGAAAATGCGCCCGCGTTGAAAGTTCCCGCCGTGTATTGCTCTCCTGCGGCATGTTGGCCCTGCGGGCGCGCATCGGCTCTCTGTTGAGTCTGCGATGAAGGGCTTCCATGCGCGTAGAACGAGGGCGGTGGGCCTTTGAAAACGCTTCGCCGCTTGCTCAGACCACTGGCCGGTCTGTGGCCCGCATAGGTCCCTCCCTGAGATCGGTGGCCGTGACTACTGTGACCGCGATGGTGGGGATGATGGGCCTTCATGATATCACGGTCATACCTCTTTCGCTTCTCAGGATCTGCCAAAACAGAGTAACTCTCGCTTATCTGCGCGAAGCGCTCCGAAGCCTTAGGGTCGCTTTTGTTCACGTCAGGGTGTGTCTCCTTGGACAGGACATAGAATTGCTTTTTGAGCTCGGCCGGCGTGGCCTGCATAGGAAGCCTGAGGACATCGTAATGGTTTGCAGAGGTGTTACTGGCGGCTTGTTGGAGGTATGGAAAGTGTGAGAAGGAACGTCGACTTTGTGCCCCTCGGGGAGCTCGAGGGAAAGAAGATTTCAGGGCGGGATACGCATGGTAAGAGGGGACACCGAGGCCGAAATACGTAGACACCGGCACCGAACGAACGATCATGCCTCATGCTTGAAGCATTGAGAGTCGTAATAGCGAGAGAGCTGTGAGACGAATATATTGCAAAGGCCACGAGAGAGAATGAACCGAGTGCTTGGTAGGCGTGCGTGACGTCTTTCAATTTTGGGGCGATGAGGCGTTGGGCGACTTGGGAATCATTTGGCCGCAGTTCATCCGGTGCCACTCGATCGATGCCTGCGGCCCTCGCGGCCCATTTTTTTGTCACTCCATTATTTCAGGCTTGTGTATTTCTTTCGACTTTTTGCACTCCAGTGCGACCCTACTCGTTCCAGTTAATATGGCGGCCAAAACGGCCGACGAGCTCTCGAAGCTCGCTTTGAACGGCACTGCCTCCACGAAGACCAACTCACAGACAAATGGTACCAACGGCGTCAATGGTCATTTGTCGGATCAGGACGACTCGGACGATGACAAGGACGACGATGCCGCCGCCACCGCCGGAGGTGCCAATGGCAATACAGCCAGCGGCGCCGCCAAGAAGAAGAAGAAGAAGAAGCCAAAGAAGAAGAAGGCCACTGCCAAAGTCCAATCTGATCCGCCTCGAGTACCCCTCAAAGATCTCTTCCCTAACAACACATACCCAGTCGGGCAGGAAGTTGAATACAAAGATCATAATGCATACCGCACCACAAACGAGGAAAAGCGTCATCTCGATCGCATGAACAACGATTTCCTCCAGGAATACCGCAAAGGTGCAGAAGTACACCGCCAAGTCCGGAAATGGGCGAAGGCAAACATCAAACCAGGAATGTCCCTGACAGAGATTGCGGAGGGGATTGAAAACGGTACTCGCGCTTTGACCGAACACTGGGGACTGGAAGAGGGCGACAACATCAAAGGTGGCGTAGGGTTTCCGACAGGATTGAGCATCAATCACATTGCGGCACACTACACTCCCAATGCAGGAAATAAATGGATTCTGGGGGAGCAGGACGTGATGAAAGTCGATTTTGGTGTTCATGTCAATGGCAGAATCGTGGATTCTGCTTTCACCGTGGCGTTTGATCCCAAATACGACAACCTTCTCGCTGCGGTCAAGGATGCCACGAACACTGGTGTGCGGGAAGCTGGCATCGATGTACGTGTTGGTGACATTGGTGGTGCAATCCAGGAAGTCATGGAATCGTATGAAGTCGAACTCGATGGAAAAACGTACCCTGTCAAGTCTATTCGAAATCTGAACGGCCATGACATTGTCCAACACAGCATCCACGGCGGCAAGTCCGTTCCCATTGTCAAGAGCCATGATCAAACAAAGATGGAGGAGGGCGAAATCTTCGCGATCGAAACTTTTGGATCGACCGGGCGGGGATATGTGACTGATGACCTGGAAGTCTCGCACTATGCCCTCCGCTCTGATGCGCCAAACGTGCCCTTGCGCGTACAATCCGCAAGAAACTTGCTGAATGTCATCAAGAAGAATTTTGGGACTATCCCCTTCTGCCGACGATACTTGGACAGACTAGGTCAGGAGAAGTATTTACTCGGCCTCAATAATTTAGTCAGCTCGGGCATTGTGGAAGCATATCCACCGCTAGTGGATACCAAAGGCAGCTATACCGCTCAATTCGAGCACACCATTCTGCTGAGGCCCACGGTTAAAGAGGTTGTTAGCCGAGGCGACGACTACTAGCCTCTGCTGAGCGTTATGGCTTTTGAAGCAGAGGACTTTGTGAGGCCCACGGACCCTGTCAATGTCGGCGCAAAAATCACAATACCGGCATCAAGGCTATGAAGAAGCATGAAATGATAAAAGGCGAATCGGGGCAATGGGTATCAAAAATTGTCTCCAGAGACGAAAACAAAGTGCGGGGGTTTCTAGAAATACGCGACATCCTACCAATGATGAGGGTCTTTTCAGGTTCTATAACGAATACATTCTACGCAGGTACTGAACTACCAATGACTACCAGTGAAGCACAGTGCCACTGATTGCTCACCTCGATTTGCGGAATGACTGTGAATTTCCTAGACATCGACTCTGTTCCCCCAACTCTGCACGAGGCTGAACATTTAGTCGCAAGGCTGCGAGGTTCGGCTTACCTTCCCCTGCGGGTCATACTTTTGGGAATTTTCTTCAGACACTTCATGGCCAGGGATCATGGAGGTAATATTTGTCGCATGAGAATCTTCCGACTCTAGAATTTTGCAGCGTTGCCTTTGGAAATTCGTGGACGCTCGAAAGTCAACGACGGGCTGTAATAGCGTCTCCTTTACCTCGATTCTGCACGGTCCCCAGCTGTATTTGCTCTTGACTCTGAGTCACCACTTTATCAACTACTCCACATCGCTGAGTATACGCACCGACGAAAAGTCTTCTCGCACGAGTGGACGGCAGAGATAAGTTTTGTCAACTCTACGCAGCTCCTAAAACCCCTGTCAACCCATCATGTCAACCTGGGGCCACTACTTCCGGGTGACCACCTATGGCGAATCTCATTGCCGGTCTGTAGGATGTATCGTTGATGGTGTTCCTCCTGGTCTGCAACTCACAGAGTCGGACATCCAACCCCAGATGACTAGGCGTCGTCCGGGACAGTCGGCCCTTACCACGCCGCGAAATGAGAAAGATCGTGTGGAGATTCATTCGGGCACGGAGTTCGGGATTACGCTCGGCACCCCGATTATGTTGATGGTGCGGAATGAAGACCAGAGACCCAAAGACTACGGGAGCGGCACGATGGATATGTTTCCCAGGCCTAGCCATGCAGATTTCACCTACCTGGAGAAGTATGGGGTTAAGGCAAGTAGCGGAGGAGGGAGGAGCAGTGCAAGGGAGACGATCGGTATGTTGGGTGATCCCCCTGATCCTGTTTTGCGGGTTCAGGTGGTAGGTGGAAGATGTGATGCTGACTCTCTCGTACAGGCAGAGTAGCAGCGGGTGCTATCGCCGAAAAATACCTGTCGCTGGCCCATGGTGTTGAAATCGTGGCCTTCGTCTCGTCGGTTGGAGCCGAGTATCTTTTCCCCCCCACACCTACTCACCCTAGTCCTGCCACGAACCCCGCTTTTCTCTCGTTATTATCGGAAATCACCAGAGAGCAAGTCGATTCGTTTGTCCCCGTGCGGTGCCCAGACGCAGATGCCACCGTGCGAATGACAAAGGTGATCGAGAAACACCGTGACGCAAAGGATAGTATCGGAGGTACTGTTACCTGCGTGATCCGGAACTGTCCTATAGGTCTGGGCGAGCCATGCTTTGATAAACTCGAAGCAGAGCTTGCACATGCCATGCTGAGCATTCCGGCCACCAAGGGCTTCGAGATCGGTTCGGGCTTTGGAGGGTGTGAAATATCTGGATCAATCCACAACGATCCATTCATTGCAGCACCCGAAGTCCTACCAGGACAGAAGACATCTAAGCGCAAGCTGACGACAAAGACTAATAACTCTGGAGGCATCCAGGGAGGAATTTCAAATGGACAGGATATTTATTTCAGAGTTGCCTTCAAACCCCCTGCTACAATTGGCCAGGCGCAGCAGACAGCAACGTTCGATGGAGATGAAGGTGTGCTGGAGGCCAAAGGTCGACACGATCCATGCGTTGTGCCGAGAGCAGTGCCGATTGTGGAGGCTATGTCGGCTCTGGTGCTCATGGATGCTCTACTAGCCCAGCAATCTCGAGAAACTGCCCGGAGTCTATTACCACCCCTGAAGGCAGTATTGCCGGCAAAAGGCAGCGGAACAACAGCGACAGCAGAGAAGGTAGCGGAACATCTGAATGGAGCTGCAGCTAGACAATGACGCTCAGTTGGAACTTTCTTGGGAGAAATGACAGGACCATGATGTAAAACAGCAATACGAGCATGTCGCCGATACAACGGCTAAGGCGGTTGCTATGTCTTTGGGGTGTTGGGGAGCTCGAACGATTCGCTCATCCGATGATAGTTTTGTCTTGTTCAGGTAGAAGGAAGATAAAAGCAAGTCAACCTCAGGGGTGGCTCTAGTGGCTAGGTCATCTTGGTCATCTTATGCATCTCGCTAATCTATTCTCCTCCCCCGTTGCCATAGCGACGAAGTGGTCAAAACAGTGGGTCAATCCATCCCGGGATTGCGCCAACCCTTGTTGCTGAAGATGGCGCAACCTTCCATGCGCCGTCTCAATCAAGCGACTGGACGCCATCAACACATGCTCCAGGTCGCGCAGCCACAGTTCGCTTCAGGACCCTGCATCTAGACATTGAGTTTGGATGTGGCTGGCAGTCGAGACGTCTGTTTACACGCAAATCCTCGCACGAACTCCTCACAACCCCAACCTTGCTGGCCTGCCCTGCCTGCCCCACGAACACAAGCGATTCCACGGCCAGCCTCCCGAGGGCCTGGTCTCCATCCAAATCCTGCTGGACATCTCAAATATACCAGCCTCGACCCTCTCTACCTCTCTTTCGTGTATCCGAGCGCGAAAACGGGTCAACCTCAATCTCAACCTCACCTCGAAACGTGTGACTGTGTGTGTGTGGGAGAGAGATTTCGGAAGCCTGCAGATGGGTTTGTCTGCCAGTCCAAATGACAATTCAGCTTTGACGCCAACAATGTCCTGAACCCCGACCGCGCGAACCATGCTACCTTTACTCCTACCGAGCCTGTCTTTGTCCGTGGGTATCCTGAGTTTGGTCGCACCCGCAGTTGCGCAACACCAGTTGCCCTACAATCCTACCCGCATCGTCCTGGCACAAGATGGCTCCGGTGCGTACATCTTGTCTCCGCAGCCTTCCTCGTCGCAATTCTCCCTGTCTTTCCTCAATACCTCAAACCATGTCAACTCCGCCTCCCCGTCCACGCGACTCTTCGATACTTTACCGTTCCTTTCGAACACTGACTCCGAGGCGTTCGTCACCCTTCCGGACGATGAGGGCATAACCGTGCTGGCCGGAGACTGCAAGGATTCTGCAAGAGATTTGGGACTATGGAGATATACCTTCAGTGGTGGCTCTAAGAATGCGACCTGGACTTCTCTCACAGTCACGACAACCGATGGGACGTTGAGTCCTCAATATCTTTCCGCAGGCTTCACGTTCTCTCCGACTGCGTCTACCGACAATGCCTCGTTGTACATTTTTGGAGGAATGTGCCCCGACGACGCGTCGTCGAATGCTCAGGACTGGGTATCGGACGCAACTTACTCAAACACAATGCTTACCATCACCCCCGATGCGACTACCAGCCAAAACCCTCCTTACCAGTTGTCATTAACAGGATCTCGATCGCCACCTATTCCTGAAGCGGGTCTAACCATAACATCCCTGGCACCAACCTTTTCCAATGGTTCCAGTGCAGGCCTTTCTCAACAACAGAATTTTGTGCTTGTGGGTGGCCATACTCAGAATGCCTTCATCAACATGTCTGAGCTCGCTATATACTCACTACCTCAAGGATCCTGGGCGTTCGTGGAAGCAACACAAGTCTCAGATACAGTTGAGCCACGGTCCGGTCACACTGCGATCCTGAGTGACGATGGCTCAAAGATCGTGGTACTTGGTGGTTGGGTAGGAGACACAAACACACCGGCGCAACCTCAGTTGGCGGTTTTGGAACTTGGTCAGGGCTATGGAGGGCAAGGGGATTGGGAGTGGAGTGTCCCAAGCTCTTCCTCTACTCCTTTTGATTCTGGCAAAGGTATATACGGGCATGGAGCGGCCATGTTACCCGGTGGTGTTATGATGGTCTTTGGAGGATATCCGATCAGCTCATCAACATCAAAGAGCAGACGAGATCTGCTAGACAATATTCTGTTTTTGAACACGACAACCTTCGAGTGGGTGACTACTTACAGCAACCCATCCTCAGCAGGGTCATCCCAAGGTGCGGAAAGTGCCCAGTCATCATCTTCTGGGCTCAAAACTTCACAGAAGGCAGGCCTGGGGGCAGGGTTAGGTCTAGGACTTGCAGCAATTACGGTGGTGGTGATTATTTGGCTCATATATTCTAGGAGACTGCGAGCGAGACGTGCCTTGCGCGAGAAGGAAATCCGGGAATTGGCATTGGGAGCCGAACGTCGCCACTCGCCTGTCCCATCAGATGGCGACCGGCAGAAGTACCCAATGGGTCGCAGCGCAAGCTGGGCTGAAACTCTGGAACGCAAGATTGAGAGCTCGGACAATTCATACCCCTGGGCACCTTTACCTGCGCCAGAGAACCAGAGTCGTCATGTCGAGGCGTCTGGAAATCACGAGAGCGACAATTCCCGGTATGCGCAACGCACTGGTGTCCAGATGGAGACCCCAAGTCCCACCAGGGGCCTGAGAAAGAACTCGACAACTAGAGGCCCCATGATGTATCACCCCTTCAACCAACACCCACCAACGGGCCCGGGAGCAGTGTTCCGCATTGAGGAAGAAGATGAGGGTAGCCAAAATGGCTCGACCCAGCGGATAAAGACGCCTAGGGCTACGGACGATCTTGGGTCGGCCCCAAGTAATCCGTTCGAAGACCCGCCGGCTACTACGGCTGATACTCGACAAGACCATGCCGCAGCAGAGCGCAAGAAGGAGGTGGAAGGATGGGTTGAGGATTGGCAATCAGTCGCCGAGACCATGACCGTGTCGAGGAGCACAAGCCAGGCACATAGCAGGACATACTCAAACCTTTCGCAATTCCGAAACCAGCCAGGTATTGGAGAGGCAGTGGGACGCGGTTCGCCTGAGAAGTCGGATAGGACTGGCAGCAACCTCTCGGAAAAGAGCATGGTGAGCGCCTCGTCATACTCGAGATCCTTAGCTACGACGCTATCTCGGAACGTATCTCAAAGGAGTGCCAGTGCAGGTTACGGGCTCTTCTCAGGGGCCGCGGCAGCCATGGGCAGGTTTGGCTATGGGAGGCAGGGTAATGTTGAACAAGGCTATGGCGCTGGTCTCACACGCGGCCCATCAAACCGCAGTGTATCGCTCAATGTTGATCCTCTTCGACCAAGAAATTCGAGAGACGGCGTCGAACCGTTCTCGTCCGCCCGAAGCAAATGGGGCGCAGCTGCGACCGAAGATCAAGCACTCCTCAACCGGCATCCCCAAAGGCAGCAAAATGACGAGCAGGACTATCGGACAGTCCCTGACAGTCCTGGAAAAGACAAGTACTCGCGAGCGGGCAGCCTTACTGGATCCAGCCGTCGAGCACTAAACCTGCTGGGAAGTGTGAGGCGCGTGTTCACAGGAACTGGAGGCGTTGATGTGCAGGATCGAGTCGCCACGTTCGAAGGTCAGGGCAGTCAATCAAGCCCGACGAAACACTCCGGCTCACCTGAAATGGCGGAAATAACGACTCTTGGTGCGGGAACGTCGTCCTTCTGGCGGAGCAAGCAGGGCCCACAAGACTGGGAAGACGACACAGTAGATTCGAGCGATTCTGGTCCATCCTCAACACAAAACAGAAGATCAATGCCTGGAACGACCTCGAACGGTGATCACGGTTCTTTTGAGGATGACGAGGACTGGGACGTCGAGACTGCTGTACAGAAACGCGTGGTTCAGGTCATGTTCACAGTTCCGAAGGAGAAGCTGCGGGTGGTCAACGCCGACGCCTTGAGTCTGCTGAGCAGTAATCGAAGTGAAATCGACCAAGATGAAGACAAAGAGCGAGACTACATAAAGAGGATGAGCAGCGTAAGAGAAGGTGATGAGGACAGTGACCATGACCAACGCCTTGATGACAATACGATGAACGGGAAAGGAAAGGGGCGGGCATTTTGAAATAGCCCGCCCGTCGAAAAGGAGATTTTTGTGGCGATAGGTGATGTATGGGATAGCATACACTGCGCACGTACGTCCACATCGTTGGATAGAATCTCGTGTGGATTTTTGAGCGGGTGGTTTGACTTGGGCCTGGATCTGGAGTCTTTTTCACGCGGTGATGGACCTTAGAAGCCAGCGAATGTGTTTTATTAGTATTTTTCTTCTGGATATGGCACAGTACAAATCTGAACGAGCTCAAAGTGGATGATCAGAGGCTTTTGACCCTACGAGGTGTGTAGCATTCTCGTAGCCTTGCCCGTTCCGCCCCCCTTGATAGTACTCGCATGAATACATTTGTCAGCTTGTTTACGGGCCCACCAATCCACCAACCTCCCACTAGGCTTCCGATGGCAGAGGTTAAGGAGGGGATGGTAAAGTTAGGGTCAGGGTTCGAGACCATTGCACATAGGGAGGCTCGAAGACGGAGGTAATGGTCGAGATGCGACTGTGCACAGACGACTGGAAGGAGGAATCGAGCGAGGAATGCGATAGTCGAAGCTGGCACCTGGTAGCGGTCTTGATGGTGGTTGGTGGTGTTGGCTGCGGTGCCTGGGAGCCTGGGTGCTCATGGTGGCATTGGGTGGCGAGATGAAAAATGACATAAGAATCTTTGTCCTGCGCCCCACGCCCCCGAACGCCAAACGCCAAACGCCAAAAACCCGCTTCAAATGGGATTTTGCTGCAACGCGAACCAGCGCGCGTCCCTAGTCCAACTCGAGCGCGTGTCGTTCCCATTTATTATATCTGATGTTTTGACCCTCCTGCTCCTCGTCTTCTCACCATCCCATCCTTCATCACTCTGCTGCCTGCGTCTCTACGGTAACTGGGAGATTGCATTGTCGACTCTCGAGGCCTTTAAAGAGCACTGCTGTGCGGTCCTTCATTTCTGTACTCAACCGTTCCCTTCCAACCCCTCCCATATCATCGCCATTGGAATACAGGAGTAGGACGACACTTTATAACTTCACCAATATGTTTGTCATCAAGCGAGGTAGGACCTTCTTCCCGTCCGCTAAAGCAGAGAGATATCTGCTGGAGCCGCTACAGACCTCTGTTGTCGCCTCCAAGAAAAAGCACGTCTGACTGACGAACAATGCAGACGGACGCAAGGAACGCGTACAGTTTGACAAAATCACTGCTCGAGTCTCCAGGCTGTGCTATGGCCTCGATCCAGACCATGTTGACGCAGCGGCCATCACACAGAAGGTGATCTCTGGTGTCTATCAGGGAGTGACCACCGTTGAGCTCGACAACCTCGTCAGTATCCTCTCGTGTCTGCTCCTGATCTCTGTTGGCTAACGCGGTTCACAGGCCGCAGAGACTGCAGCATATATGACAGTCACTCACCCCGACTACGCAGTTCTCGCAGCCCGTATCGCAGTTTCAAACCTGCACAAGCAGACCAAGAAGCAATTCTCCTCCGTCGTCTCTGACCTCTATCACTATGTCAATCCCAAAAATGACAAACCCTCCCCCATGATTTCCAAGGAGACCTACGAATGTGTCATGAGGCATGCCGATGAGTTCAACTCGGCAATTGTCTATGACCGAGACTTCAACTACCAATACTTTGGGTTCAAGACGTTGGAGAGATCATACCTCCTCAAGATTGGCAAGCAGGTCGCCGAGCGACCTCAACACATGCTCATGCGTGTGGCAGTCGGCATCCACGGTGATGATGTTGAAAAGGCCATCGAGACGTATAACCTCATGTCCCAAAAGTGCTTCACCCACGCTTCACCGACACTGTTCAATGCCGGCACACCTCAACCTCAACTGTCCTCATGCTTTTTGATCGACATGAAGGAAGACAGTATCGAGGGCATATATGACACCCTCAAGACCTGCGCCATGATCTCCAAGACAGCTGGAGGTATTGGTCTCAATGCTCATTGCATTCGAGCCACAGGATCCTATATTGCAGGCACCAATGGTACCTCTAATGGCCTGATCCCCATGCTTCGTGTCTTCAACAATACAGCACGCTACGTTGATCAGGGCGGCAACAAGCGTCCAGGTGCCTTTGCTATCTACCTCGAGCCATGGCACGCGGACGTGTTCGACTTTCTGAACCTGAGAAAGAACCATGGCAAAGAAGAGGTCAGAGCACGGGACTTGTTCTATGCCTTGTGGACTCCTGACTTGTTCATGGAACGTGTCGAGAAGAACCAGGAATGGACACTCTTCTGTCCTCATGAGGCACCTGGTCTCGCCGATGTCTATGGCGATGAGTTCAATGCCCTATACGAGAAATACGAGAGGGAGGGTCGTGGTCGCCAGACTGTCAAGGCTCAGAAGCTCTGGTATGCTATTCTCGAGGCACAAACCGAAACCGGTACGCCTTACATGCTCTACAAAGATGCCTGCAACAGAAAGAGCAACCAGAAGAACTTGGGTACCATCCGGAGCTCCAACCTTTGCACCGAGATTGTTGAATACACGGCTCCCGATGAGGTCGCCGTGTGCAATCTGGCCTCCCTTGCTCTCCCGACGTATGTGGATCAAGCTCGAGGCGAATACGACTTTGGCCGTCTTCATGAGGTGGTTCAGGTCGTGACCCGCAACCTCAACAAGATTATCGACATCAACTACTACCCTGTCCCTGAAGCGAAGAAGAGCAACTTCCGCCATCGGCCAGTTGGTCTGGGAGTTCAAGGTCTCGCTGATGCCTTCCTTGCTCTGCGTCTTCCCTTCGACTCTCCCGAGGCCAGGCAACTGAATATCCAAATTTTCGAAACCATCTACCACGCTGCTCTCACTGCTTCTTGCGAACTTGCTAAGGAGCAGGGACCATACGAGACTTACGAGGGTAGCCCGGTCTCGCAGGGCATTCTGCAATATGACATGTGGAACGTCACTCCCTCTGATTTGTGGGATTGGGACGCGCTGAAAGCAGAGATTGCCAAGTATGGTGTTCGCAACTCTCTCCTTGTGGCGCCGATGCCTACAGCCTCGACGTCGCAAATTCTCGGCAACAACGAATGCTTCGAGCCATACACGTCGAATATCTACTCTCGTCGTGTTCTGGCGGGAGAATTCCAAGTTGTCAACCCTTGGCTGCTGAAGGATCTCGTCGACTTGGGTCTGTGGTCCGATAACATGAAGAACCGAATCATCGCCGAAGGCGGTTCCATTCAGAATATACCCAATGTGCCCGCGGACATCAAGGCTCTTTACAAGACTGTATGGGAAATCAGCCAGCGGACCGTGCTGCAAATGGCGGCGGATCGTGGTGCATTCATCGATCAGTCTCAATCCCTCAACATCCACTTGAAGGAGCCAACCATGGGCAAGATTACGAGCATGCACTTTGCAGGCTGGAAAATGGGCCTCAAGACCGGCATGTACTACCTGCGTACCATGGCGGCCACACAACCTATCCAATTCACTGTCGACCAAGAGCAGCTGAAGGTTGCAGACACCAACACTGCTCGAGAACGATCGGCACCAAAGAAACGTACCTCTCTTGGTTTCGCGGCCAGTGTGAGCAATTATAACTCGGTTCCGAGACCGATGTACCAATCCAAGACAAGCAGCTTCAGTGGTAACCCAACCACATCGATGAACGGAATCCCAACACCAACCTCTACGCCACCTCCAGGCAGTGAACATAAGCAAGTTGGGCTGATGACTCAAAAACTTGCAAAGACTCATCTTGGTGGAAGTGGCGACTCCAGCGAGGAGCCATCCCCCAAAGTACTGCCTACTGATCCTATCGGCCTGCCACCTACCATGGCTGACGAGAGCCTTGAAAGCCGGATGAGGGGCAAGCAAGAGGAAGACAAGGAGAGCGAGAGTGAAGAAAGGGAAGAAGATATCTATGCACAAAAGGTGCTTGCCTGTGAGTACACCACCCCGTCTCTCTGAAGTACGATGTCTCGGTTTACGAGGTGTTGCCGTTGTTTGATTTGTTAACTGACTATGGATGGACTCTAGGCTCGATTGAGAACAAGGATGCTTGTTTGATGTGCAGTGGTTAAGTCTGACTTGACCCGACTTCTCTGATGGCTTTTTGCCATGCTAGGAAAAGAAGCCTTTTTGCACAAATTTCCCACATGTTTCAATACAGGCAGACCGAGTTCAGTCAGTGGTAGAGCGAGAGTGAGAACTGGATGGCTGGTCCGGAGAAAAGGGAAACAAACAAACAATCATCTCGTCTTGTCCTTGTCACGCGTCATGGGTATCGTTTTGAATGTTGGGCTTTTTGGTTACATGTACCGAGTACCTATGTAGGTAGTAATGAACGGCACGGAACAGAACAGGCGTCAATCACGAATTATCATACATGTTTTATCTATAGTTCTTCCGCCTCGATATTAAGTGCTGTGCCTCTCTCTACGAGGTATATCTCTATCTATGCCGCTATATTTCTATACCTACGATCCATGAGCCCCCTCGAACAAGAGCCTCGAGAGGTCACACTATAAGACAGAGAAAACACTGATAAATGCTACAAACAATATCACAGAGTGGACGAAACATGGCATACTCCATGGAAATGGCAATGATTTCATTTCATGTCATAATCTTATACAGGTGCTTGCATACACAATTCAACTTGCTCTACTATGACCAGCACGTATAAAAAGAGAGGGCACTTTGTCAGAATCACAGCACATTAGGTGGAACTGTATATCACCTTTTGTGATCCTGCAGACCCGCTGGCATCGCTATCCAGCCCGTGTTGGTCCAAGTCTTGTTCTTTGCTCAGACTCTTGCCTCCTTCGGCCCGAGCTCGACTGAAAGTTTCTCTCGTCTTCTTGCCCGTACTTCAAAATACCTTTCGCAGACGGTGTCCCATGTAGACGCCCTCTGAATAGGTTTGTTGTCTCAGACAAATCTTGCATTGTCTTCTCTCCTCTTAGCTTGATTCCAGCATAGGTGCTGTTGTTGATATTATTATGGGGGGAATTTGATCCCCCTTGTGCATCGTCCTTAATGAGACATGCCGAGATAAAGCGTGGAATTGGCTGACGAATGTTGTGTGTTCGCCGGATGTTTTCACCCACTTGTTCTTCTCGGCATGATCATCGTTGCAGGTGTGAGGATAGTTTGCCTCAACATACGAGGATAGAGTCCAGCCCTGATTCAGTTCAATTCTAACCATTCATGTGTTGACTTCGACTTCGACAGCAAATGATCGAGTCCAATGTGGACACCCACCAGAGGCTCCGAGTGCCTCACAAGATGCACAGGTTTCGGAGTTGGATTCCAACACCAGCAATACCAGGGCAAGTAGTTCTTTTCATGAGCAGATCAATTCTTTCTGCTCATATAGGGTATTCTTCGGTCGGCTTCTTCAGCTCTTCGCCCTTTTCCTGTGCCCGAGTGATGAGATTGCGCAACCACTCATAGGTCAGCATGGTGGTCATGGCCGCCGGCACCGCCCGGATAAGATTTGTGCCAATGCCCGCATAGAATGCACGCCATCCTTCCTCTTTGAGAATGACTTTGCTCATGTGCCAAATGCCCGAGTAACGCGCTTGGACTTTCATCCCATCCGACGTTGTCAGCGCAGATCTGCGTTGCTGTGTTTGTAGACGGGTACGCAAAACCTCGTGAGGGTAAGTGGCCGTTGATGCACAGACTTTGCTCAGAAATGTGGCAGCAGAAATACCGAGCCAATTTGAGGTGCTATCTTCGGGCGGATGCTCACCCATGCCGAACCCTGTGAACTTCATCTTGAAAAATTCATACAGAGGGAACTGAATTGCAACGTGAGTTAGACCCAGCAGGGCAGGTGTCAGGCCAGAGTAGAAGGATTGAAGGCCCTCAGTGCGGTACATTTTGCGAGCGGCGTCGACTGTAGAAGTGTAGTGCCAAGGGGCACGCATTCCATCACTGGCGGCAGCGGATTTGTTGGATTGCGACATCAGCCGGGTTTTGATGACCCAAATGGGGTTTGTCAAGATGGTGGAACAGGCGCCGGCGGTGAGGGATGAATAGCAGCGAGCCACCCACCAGCTGCCACATTGGTCGTACCAGAACTCTCGAGTATTCTCGTACACCGTCAGATAGACAGCCCATGTTGGTAGATACCCTAATAGCATGGGTCCTAAGCCTCTGTACATGCCACGTATACCTTCTTCTCGCCAGATAACGCTGCCAGTGCCAATGATGCCTTTGTATGGTTGTTGAATACCGCCATATGGGTTCTTGGACTGTAGTCTTTGAGTGAACCCGCCTTGTGCCTGAAGCTTTGTCTTGATCACATCAAGAGGGCAAGTAACAATCCCCGAGGCGAATCCAGCGCCGGCGCCGCAGATGGGAGAGACCCACGCCTTCGGAATTTGTGTCGACTGTATCTGGATGCGGGCGACAACGGAGTCTCTCGAAGGAGATGGAGACATATTCGATGAGAAGTTGCTGTGGTCGATCGGCGTAGCATATTGGGACGGCCGAAGTGATTGGGGCGTTAAGATGGCAGGAGTTTGTTCGGGTTCTCGATCAAAGGACATTGGAAGGGTGGTATTTCGCTGATCTCAACAAGGGGAAGACACGAAATGCCCATATGACGAGCTCATGGCGGAAGAGGGACGAGCTTTAGGGACAGGATATACACCACAGCAGAGAGTAGTAGCTTGTGCGTGTTGCTTTATTGCTGTGTTGCACCGTTGACCGCTGGACTGCTGAAGCGTAGATGGAGTTGGAAACTGCGGGGTCCGCCCAACCTAGTGTGTAGCCGACAGAGAGCAGCAAGGCTCTTGTCAGCGACTGACGGATACGGCCATGAAACAATCCAAGTGAGACTGAGATGGAAGCTGAGGGAGGGAGGAAGGATGTTGGTGACGAGTGGGTGGATGGGAGGAGACGTTGGTTGGAAAGGTGAGAAAGTCGGGGCGATATGATGTGATGGGGGAGGTACGAGGATAGCAGAGGAGGTATGATGCTTCCTAGGTGGATTGGTGGATTGGGGTATGAATCGAATGAATGGGCGATAAACGGAGAAACCAAGGACAATCATTCAAGCGAATAAGAAACGCTGTAAATCCCGAGCCAATGCCAAGCTTCCGCCCTGGTCGCTAATTGGTGGCCCCGAGAGCTCCAGGCCGTGTGTCTTTGCGCGAACGACTTCAACTTCTGTACAAGTTCCAGCATTCTCCCAGTAGGTTGGTTGCAAGATATCACCAGGAGATATTCTCGACAGCGGCTCAATATGTCCGCCCCCTCGTTAGCACCCTACATTCTGAAGCGGCCATGGCTCAAGCGGTGGATGACACCCCTAGCCAACTGGTACGTCAACACTGCTGGCTACAGGTCACTAGGTGAGTAACAATCCTTATGAAGAACAGCTTCATCTTCCTTGTCTTGCTATTCCCATGATAACCTTCTTGGCAGGTCTACGCCATGACGACTTGATCCCCGAAGAAAACGATACCGTCCAGCTCGCTCTCAAGCGACTGCCCCCTAAAGAAGCCTACGATCGAGTTTTCCGCCTCAGAAGAGCTTTCCAGGTAACGAATAACATGCAACGAAAAAAAGAGGAGGACAGAGTGTAGCTAACGGCCTTTTGTCACAGTGCTCTCTGTCGCACCATTTACTCCCACCTGCGGAGCACACAAAGCCTGAAGACGTAAGGATTTTTTTCCCACTACACCACATCAAGCTATCCGGAAGATTCGCTTTGCTCACTCGCTGCTTGTAGGACATCCCATACCTAAGCCCAATCATCGAGGAAATCGAGAGAGAGATGAAGGAGCGTGCTGATTTGGAAACCATGACTGTTGAACCAAGAAAGTGAAGTGGCGGCTTGGGGAGCCAACACAGCGGCTGGTCGGAATCCGGAGCGGGTTTCAATGCTGAATTATTGTACATACCATAGAAAGAAAAAAGGGCTCGAAAAGAACCCCATGTGCTATCTCACATATATTGACACCATCTCTACGTGAGTGTAGACTGCTGCATGACATCGACATCAACATCTTCCACGCGCCACATATACCACATAAACAAACTTCTGTACGGCGCAAACGGCGCACTTTTCTCGAGCATATCCTGCTCAGACATGTATTTCCACTTTCCCCCGCCCTTTGCCTTGAGCTTCTTCACGTCTTTGCCAAAAAACGCAGCCATACCCCTCTGCACCCCCAGATCGCCGGTCGAAAGGATGTCGAGCCGCTTCAGTCCGAAGCAGGCAAACATCTCTACGCTCCACTTACCCAGGCCGCGTACTGCGATGAGTTTCTCCATGACTTCTTCGTCCGAGGCCTTCATGAGCATTTCATTGGTGAGTTCCCCCGTCGTAAATTTTTGGGCTAGGCCTTGGATATACTCCGCTTTGCGTTGAGACAAGCCCGCAAGGCGCAACCGGGCAATGTCCGTAGCAGCTACTTGAGCTGGTGTTGGGAATTGCGCTTCTTCACCTCCATCCTCATTGAACAACGCAATGAACTTGTTCTTGATGGATTTGGCGGCGGCGCCTGAGACCTGTTGGCCCATAATCCCGCTTGAAAGTGACCGAAAAGGGTCGATGATCTCGGCCAGACCTTTTGGGGAGAATATATGGCACGGATACTTCTCGATCACGGGTTTCAAGCGTTCGTCGACACTGATGAGATGAGCACAAGCTTGATCTAGAAGTGTGTTTGTGGTCGCTATCGGCCGAGGAAGGCCGGTTTTGGAGGGGCTCGACTCGGGTAGTATGTCTTCATACGCGACATGCTGGGTTCCTCCAGGTGTGACCAATGGAGCATTGGTGATGTGTGGTTCAACAGGCCGATCAGAAGGAGGGGATGCGTCGTCAATGTCCCCAGAGCTATAAGGAGCTCTGATAACATTGACGAGACTGGGTGTCGGAGTTAAAGGGGGTTGCTTGGACTGTTTGGCCGGGACTCTTCGTGCATTGGCTTTTTTCACAGGCGTGACAGGCACTTTGAACTCAGATCCATTGCTAGCCTCTCCATTGACGAGTTGGTGCTTTGCATTTTCAACTGCTGTCTCCACCTGTGTACCACGGGCCTTTTGTTTTTTGGCATTGGAATCTTGGTCTTGTGAAACTACCCGCCGTTTCTTTGACCCGTTGACCACGTTTTCAGGACTTTCCAAGGCTGGAGAGATGGCGATTGATGCAATCCTGCTAGATCGCCGGACTGACATGACGAACAACCGCACTAGCATTCAAGAATGGGAGCTCCGTACATTTGTAATCCTGCTCAATTCGAGTGACTTAGGCAAGGTCAAGTATATATCAGTTGCGATTGGGAGTGACCAGAAGCCCGTATCGTCCAGTCTCTCTGGATCAGCAGTCAGAGATCGAAGAGCAATGGAGGTTTAATGCTTCTTAGATGTTGGATGAAGTGACGATATATTCTTCTCCTGAAACAATGCCTGGCATTGTATCTCATTGGCTCAGGCGTTCTCGGTGCCTATTGCCGGCGCCAAGAGCTGTGGCTGTAGTGGCTGAGCGATGCGTGGCTGACATAAGCCACTGATTTGTTCCGGACCAATAGCCGCCGATACGGATTAATTGAGATACTCGTTTCCATCCGGGCTGCTTGCATTGATCTTTACTTACATCAAACATTCTGGAGTTTGAAACAGTATGCTGTGGTTTTGAAGCCAGGATGACTCCTTGGGTTCACACAGGAAGCCCTCGGGAGGATGCAGCAGAGAACGTGTCATGTCGTGCGATGTGTATCTGAGGACGCAAGTTCCCGTTGTGCCGCCGTTCACGATCCGGGGATTCGGTTTTGTAAAGGGCTAGTAGCGGATTACGCGGCCACCGGACGGGAGCTTCAACGAAGTCGCTCGCCCGTCAAACTGTCTTCTAAGACGGTGTTGGTGGTGTGTTCCAGGGCATGACTACAACAATCTCTCCTCTGAAGATCTTGTCTTGCTTTCATGACCTTAATATCGGACAATGCTTCATCAGTCCAAGGCGATCCACCAGCTGAGTTTGTTGATCGGATCTGATGGAAATTTGAAGCCTGAGTGTCGAAAGTGGACGACCCAAGACGGAAAGGCTCTATCTCTGTGGCGGAAACCTGTCCCAGGATCAGTGGAGGGAAGGGGTGCGTATTGTACTGTCATCAAACAAATGCGCTAAAACGGGTAGTGGAACAAGTGTGGCGGACCTTATCCCATCACGGTAGGGTCACTCGTCGCGCGTTTTGCAGATCGGGCGAGTGTTGGATGCGCGATGGCTCGGGAGGTTATCAGAAACCTGGATGACCAGTCGCCAGAGGAACATCATGATCAATAGTGAATCATCTTACACCAAGACAAGTACTCGCTCTGGACGATCAGGTAAAGCTGGGCAGGACATGAGACTTAAGGTCGACGCACGAGCTGAGGTTCCACATGTTTGCGTAGGCCAGGGCATTGAGAGGAAATGACGGGATTATCATTGCTTCGTGCCAGATACTCGTAGACCCAAAGATAAAGAATACTCCGTAGGGCACCACTAATTCTGACGGTAATTGAGAGACCTCGTACTCAGCAGTAAGGTTGGGAACCCTCGATCTGCGCTCTCATAATCTCGAATATCTACGGTGTCTCTTTTACTTGGCAATGAACATTGCTTGTTATTAGACCATACTCCCATGTTTCCCAATTAGACTCTCTTCGGACAAGCAGCGCGCCTTCGAGGCGTTGACAGCCGTTGGTCGAGTGCAACAAGCTTTGCACGCGACCTTTGATGTGTACTCAATATTACTGTACTCCCATATTTCACATGCGGATCGATAGTTCGCAGATGTGTCCGCAGCCGAAAAGAAAGGTATCACAAGCGAAATGGCGGTTGGTCCACCCTGACAAGGACTCTGCAAGCGTGGCGTTATCAGAGCGAAATGCATGTTGTATCCAGTTTATCCTTCGTCTTTTGGTTGAACGTGGCTAGTACATAACATCTGCCCCATTCTGAAGCGTCAAGTGTCTCAGATTTGAGGGGGATTTTTGGCAAGGTCTGGAGAGTCTGTGGCCAAGAGGACGATCCGGTAGAGGCAGGAATTCGGGCTTGCAACATGTGTGTGGACTTGGGGCTGCATGAAGTGGCTGAAGGAGGCAATGGGGTTGGTGGAAAGATGAAAGATGGTGCCTGGGGGGCGCTGTCAGTGGCAGATGTTGTTGTGACGAAACAGAAACAATACAAACCATCTCCTTTTCTCTCCCTCTGTGACTTTCTAGGTTGCGCTAATGATGCAACTCAGACTCCGCAAGGCTCCACCTGCGACGGCAACTGCAGCAGCTGTCCCCAAAAACCCGACCACTGACAGCCATACCGCAGCTGCAGGCTCCCCCTGGTTTGACCAGCCAGACAAGGTAGTGACTTGGAGGACCCCTGGACGTGCGGGTAGCAGCCCACTAATACAGTCAAACACAGGGCCACCCAGGGCACCAGGGCTCGCCTCTGGCCCACTAGCTAGCCACACCGGATGTTTAAGCTGGGCCAATTCGGAGGTGCTGTCGCTCGGCCAATCAGTGACCCCCCGGTCAACTCAATCCCATTCTTGCCTTCCCCCAATAATCCCTTCAATTGCCAATTCCTCACTGCGTGTATTTTCCCTGCCATCCCCCTTCTCTTCGCGTACCCGCCTGCACTGCACAACAGTCTGTCGTTGCTGCTACTTTTTTTCCTTTCTACATTCCCATTCTATCTTCTCCTTCAAAGGGAACCAGCCACGCGTTTGACTCTTCGGGCAGAAAGAGTCGTCCTTGCCGCCGGCTGTGTTGTGTTAACAGTCTCCTCCAAAGCAACAACCATCAACAAACCAGCTTCTCCTTCGCTGAAGCTGAAATTTATCCCATCGTTGTCTTCTCTACCTGTGGGCTCCAGATTAATTCTTTTACTCCTCAAAAGTTTCTTACGAGTCGCCCAAGCCAGCTTCACGCTTCTATCCTCTTTTAATATTGCATTGCAGGTCAGTGTTGTTACAATCCACGCTTTTCCCTTCTCCTTTGGGTCTCGTGTGTTGCTGTCGAAGGACCGCGTCACCGTCACTCTCACCTCTGCCAAACCTCAAACAACCCTTTTCTGTCACATCACTCACCGTACAAATGCATAAGTACGCCTACTAACCTTTACTTGCAGCTACCGCTGGTCTTAAAACACCATGACTTTCTCTAGATACATCCTTCCGGCCCTCGCCCTGGCGAGTTCAGTGTTGGGTACGTCCTCACTTTCCTTACACAGTTTGATCTATGAGACAATGGCACATTTGCGCAAGAGACGGTCTTTAGTACTGGGAAAGAGAAGAGGTTGAGAAGACGTAACAAAGGCTAATACTCCTCTAGCTCAGGGTGGTGGTAACGACGATATCTGCGATGGTCCTTCAATCACGATCAAAACTAGCGCAGACGCTCAGCAAATCGCCGATTGCGAAACATATGATGGAGATGTTATCATCGACCCCAGCGCGTCAGGACAAATTGCTCTCAACGGGGTTCAACAGATCACCGGCGACTTGACCTGCAACAACGCAACTCAGCTGACTGCCATTACCTCGGACCAGCTCAACACCATCCAAGGAACGTTCACCTTGAACGGCCTGACCATTCTCTCAACTCTGTCCTTTGCCTCCCTCACCGGTGTGGCCAATATCAACTGGGTCGGTCTCCCTGCGCTGCAGAGCCTTAACATGGCCCAAGGTATTCAGAGAGCGAACAATGTCTACATCTCGAACACCCAATTGAACAACATTAATGGCATCGAATTGACAGCTGTCGGGAGTATGAATATCAACAACAACCCCTACCTGACCGACGTAAACGTCAATGATTTGGCAAATGTCACAAACTCTCTCTCATTCTCTGCCAACGGCCGTGACCTGGCCATCTCATTCCCCAATCTCCAGGATGCAGCCAACTTGACGTTCCGCAACGTCAGCAAAATTGACCTGCCTTCTCTTTCCAACGTGGCCGGGTCCATGGGCTTCTACTCGGACAGCTTCAAGACGTTCGCTGCACCCAACCTGACTCAGACCGGCGGTACTTTGGCGATTGTTGACAGCCCCAACTTGGCGAGCTTCTCTTTCCCTTCGCTCACCACCATTGGCGGTGGCTTCCTGGTTGCAAACAACACGAACTTGAAGTCGATTGATGGCTTGCCCAAACTGCAGACTATTGTTGGCGCTCTCGACTTTGCCGGAACTTTCAACAGGTACGTGGTTCGCAGCGCTATTCTGGAGAGTTGTGCTAACATGAGATCACAGTGTCGTCATGAACAAACTCCAAGACGTTCGAGGCGGGTCCAACGTGCAGACTACCTCGACCAATTCTACCATCTGCGAGCTCTTCGACCAGGCTCATGACAATGGTGTTATCAAGGGTGTCAATACCTGCCTGACTAGCAAGGCCAACCCTGAAACCAACCCCTCTGCCACCAGCGGTGGTACTTCGTCCACTTCGACCAGCGGCTCGGACAGCGGTAGCAGCAGCAACGCGGCAGTTGCTTTTGGCCCTGCGGCACCCATGACTGGTCTCAGCGCTCTGGTCGCTGCCATGTTCTTCCTCTAAAGCATTGGGGTTTTCTGGCGTTGCTTTTCCGCTCGACTTAGAATAGCTTAATATCCGACGGGTGATGTCTCGATCCTAGTGCCTGTCAGGCCCCTTTTTGAGCGATCAACTCTCTTTTTAACGAAACAAAACAACAAGATAGGAGGAAGGCTTGCGACTCGGTTCTCACCAAACCAAAGAATGCGCGTGCGCATCTGGCGTGTGGGGTCCTGGGTTTCTTGTGTTGGGAAAGATCTAGTACTGGCAGATTGTGGTTGAGAGCGAACAGGGCTCATCCGAGCTCGCTTGCGTGTGGATAGGCATACAAATGAAACATGTTTTCTTTGACTCTTGAGTTGGTGGCACTTGTCTGTCCACTGTTCGCCTGCCTTCACTTTACTCTGGCGCCACGGGCATTTGTCCTCACCGCCGATGCCATGCCGGGAGACAGACGGGCTACGTGTGTCGGTAGGCCAAGCGAAGTGTGTAGTAGTGATATGTTTATACTGTTAGGCGCAGTCAGCACCAGCGTGCTCTATTTCTGGTCGTGCAATTTTGACAGCAACTTCGCGGTCTGGACAACGATGATGATGAGCCCCGATCCACCTGGGGCCTTGTTATTATAAGGTGATGACGGGATGCAGGACGCAGAATGCAGACGGCAGGATTTGAGCCGCCACGGCCTCTGGGGTACATAGATGATGAGCAGATGAGGCCTTGGTCAGCAATACTGGACCCCTCGTATGGCTCCACACACTTCTGGGGAAGAGAGGTATGTATGTACGAGGTAAGAAGAAACCAGAATGGCAATGGGCGTCAGCGCACGAGTTTGAATTCTACTAGCTCTAGCTCTAGCTCTCGATTCTAAACCGTGCTGCGATAATACGGAGGAGCTTGATAGAGGGCGAGACACACACGCAGGGAGCGGGAGGGGAGAGAACGAGATCGATCCCCCAGTCAGCAATCATTGTTCTCCGATAAAGGCATATCGATGTATCGAGAGCATCGCATCACATCATGGCGCCTTGGCGAGGCTGTGATATTATCAGAGTGGCGACAAGGTTGACCGACGGTGCAAAGCTTCGACGGCTTACATTGAGGACCGCGGCCGCTATCCCCGGTGAAAAGGCGGCCGCTGTAGGACATCGCAGCTATGATGATAGTGGTGAGAAGTATCCAAAAAGGATAAGCAGGAAAGGAAAAAGGTTTAGGGCGGCAGCGATGTTTCTCCCAAGAAGCAAAGACGGTAGAGCAGCGAGGTTATGCACACCACCTGTGTACCTGCAGTATGCACCACTCAGGTACACGCACTCACAATCACGATGATGGGCCTCCACTCTCCTCTCAGCGACTTTCTTTTGGGTAGTAAGATGGGGGTGTGTTCGAGGTTACAAATGTTCGTGCTGTATATTATTATTATTAGAAGAAGAGAGGTTGGAAAAAGTGCTGATGGAGGGGTCAGTGCAGGGTATTGTTCCTTGCCTATGTCGTGAGTACTCTTACCCATCCTCCTGGGTAGTATGTAACGTCCTGTACACATTGATCCTTCTCTGTACCAATTCTTACCCATTTCCTAACCCCCTTCCTGTCGATCTACGTACAATGATGAATGTACCTGACCTCTTTGGAGGAGCGGGAAACTGTCCATACCATTCGCCCCAGCAGGATTCATCTCTTCTCGGCCGAGTTGGGCGGAAGAAGATCTTGTCAGATTGCCGCCACGTTGCCTTAGCTTGGGTGGTTTCGGTTGGGTGGCGACCATACATACATACATGTACACATACATAGATATACCAAGGAAATAATGTAGGTAGCTAGGGAGATGGGGGGAGATGGGTAAAACTAATTAACTAGCTCCCGTGGTAGCGACAAAAGCCGCTGCTGACTTCTGGTACTGTACCAATGTAATACTCGCGTGCAGTATGGAGAAGGACCTGCCTTTCACGGACGGAACTTCACGTTGCATTCCGCGTCTTACGACGATGGCTAGGTGCACAAGGGGCCTGGTGTTCTGGAAGGAAGGGAGGTGAGTGAGTAAGTGGGTTACGATGCCTGATCATAGAGTCTCAAGTAGTGTCTGTATGTGTGTGTGTATATATATATCGGCTTGTACTCAGCGCTGGAAGAGACATGACTGCTCGTGGCGACTCCCTCTCCACTCTTCCGATCGGCAGCCTCGATATAACGACTTGAGAATAGACATAAGGACTCCCTCCTCCTTCTAGTACCCGCCTTATAACAGTCCATCACCACCAGCCACACAAGATGCCTCGAACAGACGTCTCTTTCAAAACCTCGGACGGTGTGACCCTCCGCGGCTGGTTCTTCACCCCTTCCCCCTCCGCCACGGGCACTGCAACACCAGCGAAGCTCCCCTGCCTGATCCTTACCCTCGGCTTGTCATGTGTCAAAGAGATGGGCTTGTCAGAGGTGGCCACAAAGTTCGCTGAAGAACTTCACATCACTTGTCTGGCGTACGACCATCGAGGGTTCGGCTCTTCGGACACTGGCCCTGGCCAGCCTAGACAGGAGGTCATAACCTGGCTGCAGAGCAACGACATGCGCGACGCCATCACCTACGCGCAGACCAGGGAGGAGGTCGACAGGTCCAAGATCGCCCTGTGGGGGTATTCCCTCTCTGCCGCTGAGGCCGTGTATGTGGCGGCCACCGATCGACGGATCAAGGCTGTGGTCGCACTGGGGCCGGGTATGGACGGCACCCAGGTCGTGAGAAGGCTGGCACCACCTCACGCCATCTTGGCCATCCAGGGCTTGTTTGAGATGGATCGGCTTGCGCGGGCTGAAGGGAAGGAGGCGATCAAGGTGCCCGTCGTGAGCATGGAGCCTGGGGCGCAGGCGATGCTGCCGAGTCAGGAGTCATGGAACTTTTTCTCCAAATGGGAGACGAACGGATCGGGATGGAAGAATGAGGTGACTGTGCGAAGGTGAGTTTCTCTTGTCCCTTTTTTTTCTGTTCACTGGAGGGTTGTCAGGATAGCTTTCCCCCGGGCTGACCGATGGAATCACTGCAAACAGCCTCGAAGACGTCTCGACGTTTGCTTTGCCCGTTCCACATCTCGATAACTTGACCCCGACGCCCATCCTCTTCGAAGTGGCCTCGAGGGATACCAACTGTCCTCCGGACATGTGCATGAGGTGGTACGCGAAGCTCAGTGAGCCAAAGGAAGTGGTTCTGGTGGATGCGGATCATTACGAGTTGATGGGCCCCGCGAGGGATATCTTGCATCCCAAGGAGGTCTCGTTTCTCAAGAGGACGATCTGCTCGTGAGTTGGTGGTGATGATGACCGAGGAAAACGAGGAAGGGAGGACTATGGCAAGGAGAAAAGAAGACCATACAGTACAAGCTGTATGTAGATGGTCAGTTGGTCTCCAGACCTTCTCAGGCGGTGCCTTGCTCTCACCTGCCTGCGAGGCTGCGATGCTGGAAGACCCAAACCTGCAAGGCATTTATTCATCTCTTTGATTTTCTTTTCAGTTGTACAACATCTCTTGCATCCATCTATTGTCCCGCACAAAATCGTGTCACTCTCTCACCACACACCACTGTGTTGCGGATACTGAACCCGAGTCTTCGTGGATACGTCGTCTCAACCCAGGTCACATTTGACGATTGCCTGTGAGCTCCGCTTCCAAGAAATCGCAAACGCCAATGTGAGTGATTCTGAGGTTGCCGTCTCTCGATGCCTCTGATTCAACAACAGAGGACCCAGTCATCGTCGCTCCGACTTCACCCCTGGTCCTTCCTCACTCTCCTCGCTCCGACTCAGCAGTCTTCGGCTGCGAGTGGCATCGAAGATCCCGCATCCGCCATTCTTATCGTCCCAGAGGGAGACACCCGAGACCGGCTCTCCAGGGGGTGCAATGGCGACAACAATGGTCAAACCAGGAGCTATTTGGGGAGCGACATCGAGGTTTTCTCACCGAGACTTCAATCGCGGGGAAAGCCATCAAAGTCTGCAAAGGGAAATATTTGCGTTGTGAGCAAGGATTATCGATTACCCTACCTACCGTCAAAGAGCATCCGGGGCAATAGGGTAGTAGCTCTCTGGACGGCCATCGCCTGATCTAGACTCGGGCAGTTAGGCAAGGCGCAGCAACGTTGTTGATTGCTAGATTGTGCGACACGCCGACACCTTCATGGCTGTTCCAGAATCTCATTTGGCGCCTCAAGCCACCATTTCGCCCCTATTTCACCGCCCCCGCTAGGCCAAACGAACATGCATATTCGGCAAAGGTCGGTCGAGTAGGCATCTTCAGCCTCATCACCATGTCGGTTGTCTTTCTGTCAATTTTTCTCTCTGGAGCGAGGGGAGAATATCATGTCATTCTCCGTGGCGAATACTAGATATCTCGAATCTAGAGCATGGCATCTTTCATGATCTTCAAACAAGGTGCGTGCCAACACCGGCGTTACCAGGAAGCACCGACGAACTGACTTTGGGACACATTTCCAGTCGACGGCAAATTTCAGAAGGACTCTGTCGATGCAGATGCATTTCTTAAGGTAGGTCTTCGATAGGAAAGCCTGTGTACATACGAAGCAATCTAATTGTTTGGCAGACACGACCAGAACCAGGGGTTCAATTTGTGTAAGAGCTCTCGGCACACCAGTGTTTATGAAGTCAAGGCCTCTGACATATATGTCGCTCAGCTTCGCCAAATGGGATGTATTCATGGGGAACAAACAGCTCCGGGACGTGATGTGCGCCAACTGGGCATATCCGCCAATGCTATGGACAAAGACCTGCCATGAAGCCAACGGCTATGCGGGAAGTTCAAACAGCCTCGACGAGGACCAGACAACGTTGGTGGACAGTAAGTAGTCTTCTCATCCAATTGAAGACGGGCTCTGGCTTCACACATTTCAGACTCTAACAGATCTGGGTTCCAGCCTCGTGGTTCCAGTTCCTGATCAAGCAGTTGAGAGGCGGCGCAAATGCCCTGCAGCAAGTCTACGCTTACGACTGGTATGAGATGGGATTTTTCACCTACACTCTCTCCACTGGCGCCTCGGTGGCCTTTTGCATCGACACCCCACCAGTCTTCCAGGATGGACTCCTCGAGGCACTCAACTCGCAGGAAAGCCATCATCCGCCAAATGAGGGTATGGGATTCCTGCAGAGCGCGATCATCGCAGAGGTATCAAGGCTGTACGATGTCTCGGTGTGGACACTGAGGCATCAGATCAGGGATATTGAAAAGGTATTTGGACAGATTGTGCTCGGGGGCAGATAGATATGCTTACCCGCTCTATGAAATCCTCAGACCCGATCCGCCGCGCGCTACGTCGACTCGGTCCTCGATTTTGCCCAATTGCATGACCTCGCTCGACACACCATTCACACGTGCGAAGTCCTGGCCGTGGCCGTCGACACGCTCAACACGCTGTTGGGTGACTACCGTTCTGGTTCCGGGGACGTCTGTGACTGTCGACGTACGACCACCGGCCGTTTGGCAAAGCCAGACTGCCCCCACAATGAGATGCGGTTTTGGCTGGGACTGCTCCAGAACTTTGGGCGACGAGCCACGTCTCTGAACGAGAGGCTGTCCAACGAGATCAATCTGGTATGAGTGGCCGGTTTCGAAATTCACAGAGAACTCCTAAGCTCACTCCTTATGACCAACTAGGGCTTCAACCTCGTGGTCCAACGGGATACACGGGAGACGGTCATGATTAGCAGAATGACAGTCGATATCAGCAGTGCGGCAAGGAAGGACAGTGCATCGATGAAGACGATCGCAGTGGTCACTCTCGCATTCCTGCCAGCCACATTTGTTTGCGTAAGTCATCTCCTTTCGGCGCTGACGCTCTCGACAGGTCCAATCAATTTGTCGTTCCCGGCACAGCTAACAGCGCAACCAACCCTGCAGACCATCTTCAGCATGAGCTTCTTCACCCTCAACGTCAACGACACCACGGGGGAGAAACACTGGCTGATCTCGGACCGGTTCTGGATCTACTGGGTCATCACCATGCCATTGACGGTTCTGACCTTGATCTGTTGGTGGTATGGGCAACGCAAGGAGGACCGACGCGAGAAGGCTAGACAGCCGAGTTGGAAACTTGGTGCCGAGTCGTAGTTTTTTGGAGGGAGCTGTTATCCGCCGTCGCTATATCTATATCTAGGGAGGTAGGTATCTCTATCGTTCTGGGCTATAAGCTAGGTGTGCGTGCTTTGGTGTTTGTGAGTCTGGGTGTGAATGTTAACTATGCCTCTGACGGCACGGACCTCCCAAGTCATGTCGAATAAGGTCTGCTCTACCCTTCTCTACTCGAGTCCACTCCACTCTCCTCTCCTCTCCTCTGTCCACTTTTACTCTGGCGTGTCTCCTGAACCCCCAAAGTTCTACGAGTATCCACCACCTCCGCCGCCCTAACCTCGGCCGGACCGTATCCGCCGGATATGACATATCTCACCCGAGTCCCTCTTACGTACTCGTGTCCATTTATCTTGGTCTGGGTGGGTTGTTGACCGAGGCTTGTACAAGGATGGGGGACACCAATGCTGCCATCGTGACGGACGAATGGAGAGACCCCGGTCCGGTTTACGTAGGTATACGAATTAAGAGCCAGGAGAGGCGGTCGAGTGAATGAGTGAGTCTGCTGACCCGGGTGCTCGTTGCTGGTCTAGGTTGCATTAGTGCGTCTTCGTCCTTGCCATTGTCATCATCGTCGTCGTCGTGGTCGTCGTGGTCGTCATTGAGAATATCTATTCCCCAACACCTAATAAATAGGTAGGTATTATTCGAGAGACATGTAAATGTATTAATTACAGCACAGCCTCGCGGGTCTCATCACGGGTCCTCTTCAAAAACGGCATCACGCTTGTCCCGCCCGTGCCGTGTAACTGTCTCGTCGCCGATGCGTCGTCGGACCCGGTCCCAGCTCCTGCTCCGGCTTTTCGCGGCGCCGAGCACGCCGTGGCCAGGTTCGCCCCCTTGCGCTGCACGATGTATGCCGCTGGCGGGCGCCGCGAGGGCATGACAATGTACCTGGCGACGAGCTGGATGTGGCTATTGCGCAGGTGACTCAACGCCGCGACGGCGTCGTTGTATGCGGCCTTGAGCGCCGTCGGGGCTCCCTCCCGTGAGATGTATCCCCGCACATTGCTCATTCGTTCAACCTGTCCGAGAAACTCGCGGTGTCGTGGTTGCATGTAGTTCCTCATCTCCTGTTGTCTCGGGGGGTCAGTTCACCCGTACGGGCTATATGGCAAACCGACACACACCAACACTGACCTGTAAGTATCCATTCGGCCCGGTTCCTTCATCCTGCGACCTGGGCCGGCGAGTATTGTTGTCTCCCGTTTCATAATGTTCAACCGCGAGGAAGATGTCGAAGAGCTGGATCAGGGGGCTTTGGGCATTGCTCCCGCCACTATACTGCCTCCACTGACCTCGGCCATCGCCCTCGTCGTAAAAGACACCATTTGGCAGTCCAGCCGCTGCCATGCCCTTGGAACCTGCACAGAACGGTCGAATGTTGTGATAGAATACCTGGGGATCGCAATGTTCATACATGCGTTTGAGCGTATTTTCAATTTCTCCAATCCCACTCGCAAAGGCTCGAAGACAATTCAAAATAATGTCGTCATCGCAGTCATTTACAGCCTGGATGCATTGAAGCATCGTCAGAATGAGAGGCCCGCCCTTTGCTTCAATGGCCGTGGATACCATGTAGAACCACTCTTCATCTTTTGTGTTGGTGAAAGAGAGCAACGACTCGAGATTGTCAGGGTTGGCCCAATCACTGTCGGGGGTTTTCAAGCCAAAGTTCAAAAGACTAAGCGTCGAGAACATCGCGGTTGGCGGCAGTCCTAAGCGCTGAGACACGGCTAGAAAAGGGCAGCTAAGTTGAGGTGGGAGGTGCTATAAAGAGCGTCAGCTACATATCATACAATACCCACAATCTCAGAACACACCTCTGCCGGTCGTTCTCCGCCCCAGATATATGCGTGAGTCAAAAACCCCAGGACCGCATATGCTCGCTGCCATTCTGCGTCGCTGTGCAGCTGGCCTGTATCCAGAATCGGCAGGCAGTCGATCCTCGCCCTGATGACATCGCTCGCGATGAGTTCAGGCAGATTCTCGACCAAAGTCTCCCAGGGCTGGTAGGAGAGGTCTGGTAGGCGTCTCAAAGGAGCGGTATCACAAAGAAAGCCGGACTTGGCCGAGATGCCGTATCTTCGGGCAATCTCACTGGGTGCATCACGCATCCCGAAATCGCAATATCGAATCAAACAGAGTTAATCCACAGCTGAGATGGTGTGTGTTTGTCGAGAGAAGGTTGATCTGTTGAGGGTGAAGACGTGGTTCTGGCCGATGAAGCTCCCATCTTCAGTCTGCTATAAGCAGTAGCGGCTCTCGGAGGCGGACACGGAAGCGGTGATAAGGATTCCTGTCGTCCAGCAAGGATCCTGGCCATATACATCTTGATTGGTGGAGGGCTTCTCCACAAGCCCCGGATGTTACAGCAATGCTCTGGGCAGTTTCCGTCAGTGAAGCAGGCAGGGCAGGTTATGGACGTTGGATCGTCAGATGCTGGGACGAATAGGTTTGCTGATGGTTGATTTTCCTCTAATTGCAGAGTGTCCGATAGGCAGCCAATAATAAAATGCAATTACAGGCATGCGGTTGGCTGTTTAGCTCTGGTGACCTGAAAGCCACCAGTCGTCCAGACTTCCAGCCAAATCTTGTCCTTGTGCAAAATAACTTTGCGCCAAAATCGACACTCCCTCATTCATAAAGTCCACGTTACGGCCCTCCGAGTCTCGAACGGTGTCGCGAGGAGGCAGAGCAGTTGCCAACCCGGCTGATGTCGTACTGTGGTGAATGAGGCGAGTAGGTTTAGGTAGAAGATGACTGCGAAGCACTTCTCCCGAGGAAGACGATTGACGATGGGATGTGAGAGAGGTACCAAAGTAGACATCTGCGTCTTTGGGTAGTTCTCCGACAAACGACGACTCGATAATCTCCCAGAACAAGCTGAGGTCGATGAAGATGCGAGTATCTGGTGACCTCTGAGACGCAGAATCATGGAAAGAGTCCGACACCACCTTTTCAAACGCTTCTATCTTACCGACCTGTTGATCAAGTTAGAGAGTTGGGGAGAGAACGGAAGGCTGGTCAATACTCACAAGCTGGCCTATATAAGGCCAATATGTGCCCAAACCTCGAATGAATGACACACATTTCCTGAAGCCGCGTTGCTTCGCTGTCTTGACCTCAGTGTCATCGGAGAAACTCTGCTGTAGGTATATTGTGGCAGCAATAGCTACGCAATGGGCCAGGAACGGGTCATGCAGATGGAAGCTATGATTCATACACAAGTCCAATAGGTGTAAGATCCATTCTGTGTGAGTCTCATTGAGGTCGGCCGTGTGTTGAAGGAAGACCTCCGGAACCATGGTGAGCCTGAAGTTTCGCAGGCGGAGAAACAGCAGTAGCGGATGGTTGAGTAGACAGAGGATAGTGTGGTAAAGTAACTGTAGCATGATCCAGGGGGCCCAAAAATCACGATGCTTCTCCAGTTGGTCGTAGTTTTGATTTTGAAACCGTGATGGCCGAAAGCGATACTTGTATGGCAACCGCGTCTCGAGCTCCATGAGTTCCGCAGTAATCTGTGAGTACTCGGACTGCGGTGACCAGGCAGGGAGGGTACTCGTGGATCCACGCCTGTTTGCAAACCTGGCAGCTCTCTGCCAGATTTGACTTATTTGCACAACATATGCGAAGATGCCAAGGTCCGAGGGTTCATTAGATGAACTCCGCTGCTCCAGGGCCGCATCGGTCATCTGAGAGCTGGTACCTGCTGGAGGATCGGGTCTTTGGGGAAACCTCGGGGTCCTTTCATCCTGCACAGCGGAGAAAGTGCCAGTTGAAATTCCATAGAGATTTCTTAAAAGCACCACGCTCCAGAAGCAACGGCGTCGCTCTTCGTCAACACGGTCGTAGTCGGGTCTCCCGTGACCCGAGGACAGTCCTGAGGATGAAACAAGGTCCGTCGCCAGTGCAATGTAAGTGCTTGCCCGGGGAGTATTTCCGTCTGCGGCGATCAGCAATTGCTGCGAGAGTCAAGTCTGAGCTCACTTACGATTGAATTCTCCAAGGCTCAGAAGGCACAATGCTTGGATCGTGGACAGTTCAACGGGCCCATACGTGACCCGGCGCATTATTAGCTCTCTTGCCTGACTTGCCCAACGTTCGAACATGCGTCCTAGATCCGCATCGCCGACAACGGGGTTTCCCATCTCAAAGCGCGACACGAGGGCTAGGATAGACAGCAATAGCTCTGGATCTCGCGAGCTGAAAGTCGCCGTCAGGACCTCAGGGGAGAACAGCGGGAGTGGCTGGCAGTTGCAATGTTGGAGGTATAGCTGGACGAAATCACCCACAACACTCCAGGGTGGAAGTCTAGTTGTGTTGTAGGCTGAGCATAAGCCAAAGCAGAGCGCGATTGGGTCAAAATGTCATACCTGTCGCTTGGGGGCAACTCCGAGACCCGGGTGGCGGGATCAGCATGCGGTGAAGCAGTCTGAAGCATTGTCGGCGGAACAGGCTGTATTACCGCACTGGGCGGGTGTCTCCTTATCACAGTCAGTGCCCCATGCATCATCGTCTTATCCTCGAATTTCGCAACGCACGGCAAGAGCTTCCACATTTCAGCGATTCGTGCTTCGAGGACCCCAAACCTCTCAGCCTATGGCCCACATGTCAGCCCATCAACCTCAATGGACGCTGGAGCACCGGTTCACCATGTCCTGGTCACCTTGAGGCAGAAGAGGATTAGCATGTCGTGCAGCGGGCGTATTGCTCAGGTCTAGGCTTTGTTGGGTAGACGTGCGTCGATCAGGCGGCGCAACATAGGTACAATGCTGTCCCAGTCGCGAGCAATGAGCGCAGACCGGCCTCTCGCCTGTACATCGCGACTTCTTGCGGCTTTGAATATGGGTGAGCAGAATGACCTCGGTATCAAATGACCAGGTCCGATGAGCTTACCGGCATGGTTCACAGGCCTGACGCGTGCGTTTGGAAGGTGTCTTGGTCTGGGCCACGTCCATCACCAGCGGAGGGTCAAGGTTTCGATCACTTGGTGAGTAGTGACAGCAATTCCCGTGTCGATGTAAGCGGCCATCATGCTCAGCGTCATCGGGTTGTATAATATGTGTTGTAGTGTCTGTCTGCGCACTGTGATGCGGACTGCATTACTGACAATATGCGCTACCGTAGCGGCGGAGCAAATGAACCACAGTAGCACCTTCGTTCTGATTGGCTGTCCACCCACCACCTCCCTTTCTCTCATCCGGATCTTCGCTTCACAATTCTCTTCATTCATGGCCTCGTGGTTATTATCCGCAGCTTGCCACGCACGCACGCACTCCAGAGAAGGTTCTCATTCTTCTCTCCCCGCCTCAACCAAGACCAAAAACGCGTCAAGGGCTCGGCTGTTTCCCTGATTCTTTCGCTTGGCCATGCCTTTTACGTGGCATGATCAGCATCTCCGCATTCTGCCTCTGGCGAGCTTTCCCCATTGATGTCATTGTCGATCGTTCGCCGATGGCTGATGAATGGGTCTCTATAAAAGCCTGTCGTGCATTTCTTTTCACGGGGTCTTAGTCTTTTCCTGTAGATGAGCAGTATCCGCTTCTTGTGGGCCAAGGTAAATACACCGCAGACACTACTCACCATGCTCGCATTTTCTATTCTTTTTCTTGCATTCTGGCTACAGTCTTGCTGGGCTCAAAATTCATGTCCAGCTGTGACGCAGCACTTGACTGACCCCCCTTATGACAACTATTTCTACTCGGACTGCAACGGTGATTCGCAAGCCGTCGTCACCAGCCCACTTCCCGACTCAAATCTGAGTATCATCGGTCCTCGACTGATCATTGCCTGGCCGGCTGGCAACAGTGGGATTTGCACCTTTTTTCAACCTCAGAACGGGCCCAATGGATCGCTGGCCATAGAACTTGTCAATTCTACTGTAGGATCTCCATTGGGTCCGGTCTACAGAACGGCTCAAGGCTCGGCAAATCCATTTGTTGGTGTACAGGGAATCATCTCGTTCAACACCTCGGCCACTTTGACCATTCCAATATTGGGCAGTATTAGAACCATCCGAGACTTCACAGAAGGTCCGAGTCTGCTCCGTCCGATCATTCAGGATGCGATCAATATCACTAGATCGAATGGCACCGGAGCTACCCTCTCGCGACTGTGGCTAGACAATGTTACCACTACTACCTTCACCATGGTCCCTTACGAAAACCCGAGTTCCAACATCACAATTAACCAGCGGAATAAGACCATCAGCTTCGGCGCAGGGTTTTATTGGTTCTCTGCGAGCTTCAACTACCCGCAACTGACGCAGCTTCCTCCGAGCCGAGTCCTGAATACCGCCTCGCAGAACCTGATCACCGAACAGCCGGACCAAACCACGTCGCTTTCATTTTTGTCCTACACGGAAAAATTGCTTGCGGGAGCATGGAGATTTCTCACCTACTTTGGTCGGGACAGCATGATCGCCACATTGCTTCTGAAGCCAGTGTTGAGTCAAGGCAACGGTTCCGCGACAGAAGCCGTAATTGGGGCAGTCCTCGAGCGACTCAACCGGACTGACGGATCTGTCTGTCACGAGGAGACCATTGGTGACTATGCAACCTATCTCAACTTGCAGGACAACATCACCAGCACTGCCCCCGGTTTCACATATCCGATGATCGACACAGACTATTATCTCCCGGTTCTCATGGCACAATACTTCAACAGCAGCCCGTCCCGCATCGGTCCGTTTCTGAGCCGCAGGGCGGGCACGATCGATATACAAAATCGCAACCTGACCTACCAGGATTTGGCGCTCATTAATGCGGAGAAGATCATAAACATCACTGCTGCATTCGCGCAGAACCAGATGTCAGCCAATCTGATCCACCTGAAGTCAGACCAGATCGTAGGACAATGGCGGGATTCTACCTATGGACTCGGAGGGGGTCGGATTCCCTTCGATGTCAATACCGCTCTGGTCCCTGCCGCTTTACGCGCCATTGGTCAACTAGCACGTACGCCAGGCATCTTTCCGAACAATTCGAACGTCAATACTACTTCCTGGCGCACGCTTGCCGACTCCCGAGCTCAGATTTGGGAAGAGAATACGCTACAGTTCTTTGAAACCAATATCACAGCCTCGACTGCGCGGTCCCGCCTTGAAGATTTCGTGGACACGGCCACATTCTATAACGGACCGACTAACGCTTCGTCGCTACCTTCATCAGGCAACGTGACGACCTATTCGATTGCCCTGGACGGCTACAACAATCTGTCGTCGGTCAACGTCCAGCACAGCGACAGCAGCTTCCGTGTGTTCTTCGTCAATGCCACGTCTTCCACGCCAGAAGCCGAAGCACAGGAGACGCGATTCATCAACGCGACCGCGAACAGCTTGCTGCGACCCTTCCCGGCTGGTCTGATGACACCCCAGAGCATGATTGTGGCAAACCCGGCGCTGTCGGGGTCGGACGTGCTGGTCGCCAACTTCACCAACGCGGCATACCACGGCTGCGTAGTCTGGTCTTTCCAGCTCTCCATGATGGCCAAGGGTCTGGAGAGACAGCTTGCCCGGTGCAACGCTTCTAACTCGACGGCCTCTTCTTCTGCCACCGCCCGCCCCGCCTGGTGCGGGATATCCTCGGTGTACAACAACGTCGTGCGCGCGTACAACGCCCTGTGGGACAGCATCGACGCCAACGCCGCGCAGCTGCAGGGCGAGGTGTGGAGCTGGACCTTCAACAACCGCACGGGCGACTTCGTGACCACGCCGTTGGGCGTCCTGCCGCCGCCACCTGGGGTTGGGGCCGGCACCGAAAGCGATATCCGCCAACTCTGGAGCTTGACGTTCTTGGCCGTCAGGAGGAATGAAGATCTGCAATGAGATTTCTGCTGCCGGGGTGTCGGTTGACTTTTCGGTCACAGATGTGAGGATTGATCGCGTTGGTGTGCTCTCAAGGTGTAAGAGGAGAATGACAGAGAGGAATGTCCATGATCAATCATCCCAGACAAAGTCAAAGTCATGTATCACAGCACCAAAGCTATACGGTTCGGGGTATTAATATCAATCTACACAGTTTACAAAGTCCGAATCTCGCATTCATACATGCTGTTTGGAAGTCAATTACGGGACTTGTAAATCATCATCGGTATCAAGTATATCACGCCTTCGACCCACGTCACAACGATAATTAAGACTGACACCAAGGCTGACACCAACGAAACAGTAAATGATGCATTCTATCCACATTTCTATATTAATTTTTGGTTTCGAACCAGAGCAGAGCTGCCGGGACAATCCTAGATAGAGTACAAAATGTTTTAGCAGATGGGAAGAGAAATCCCACTACTCCTTCATCACAAGCCTCACTTTACCTCACCTCTCCCCTCCTCTCACACCTGTCACCACCACAGAAACCGGCCAGGATAAATCACAACCTGGCCTGCAACTTCTCGGCCATCTCGCCCAGGGCATACGCGGAGGGGGCCTTTTTGCTCTTGATCTTCTCAAAGTCGGCGAGGGTGATGCCCCGGGCCTCGACGGCGGGGTTATACCCGACACCGCTCTCCTGGGCGATCTGGGCGTCGGTCTCCGCAACGTCGGTGTTCTTGCGCCCGTCGGCGCGCTTGTAGATGGTGACGACGACGGCGCCGCCGAGGCCGAGGTTGTGCTGCAGTGCGACGTCGATGTCCTTGACCAGACGGCCGTTGTTGGCCCATCCGCGCAATTGCCACGCGAGCTCGGCGCATTGGGCGAGGCCCGTGGCTCCTATTTGTCCCCCGGCTGAGTTAGCATATATCCACATCGTGTCTTTTTGTGGGAGGGATTTGTTGAAGGATGGGGGCCACACATAAGGTGGTGTGGAACTTTGACATACCTAGAGGATGGCCCTTGGAGATCAGCCCTCCCGAGGGGTTCACAACAGGCCCCTTGCCACCGTACGTGATATCCCCGTTCCTCACCATGAGGTGGGCCTTGCCTTGGTCGCAGAACCCAAGGCCTTCGAGGAGAATGAGTTCGTTGGCAGAGAAGCAGTCGTGCACTTCGCACACCTTGACATCTCGGGCGGATACACCTGCCTCGGCGAGGGCAGCCTTGGCCGCACGTCTCGTCATGTCGAAGCCCACGAGGTCCATTGGGGAGCGCGAGAACAGACTAGGAGAATCCGTCATCAGAGATTGTCCTGCCATCAGGATAGCGCGGGACTTGAGTTCAGGTCGAGAGTCAAGGAAGCGCTGAGACACGATGACCGCTGCCCCCGCGCCGTCAGAGGTGGGCGAGCATTGGAGTTTGGTCAGTGGGTAGTGGATCATGGGCGACTTCTCGATCTCCTCGAGGGTGTAGACGTTGTTGAACTGGGCGTAAGGGTTACGCGAAGAGTGCTCGTGAGAGATGCGGCCGATTTCGGCGAAATCGCGGGCTGAGGCGCCGTATCTGTGATGCAGTAGCAGGTCAGGGAACCCGTCCATCGAGAACAAAGGGGGGAACAGCCTCGCGTGAGGCACAGATGATCTCGCCGAGATGGACGCCGTGCCAAACAGCGAAAGACGCCCATATACCAGGCGATCAGTCCATGGGAGTTTGTGTGACTTACTTCTCCATGTATTCCGTTCCAGCATTGGCAAAGTATTGCGCATTTGTCGGCGTGTCATGCTTTCCCATCGTCTCCTCCATCAACTTCGTGCTCAAGCCCATAGGGCTCGGTCTATCATCCCACACACTCTTGATGGCGCCGGGCTTCATGGTCTCAAACCCAATCACCAAGACGACGTCGACGATGCCTCCCCGGACCAGCGTCCGTGCCAGCTGCAGGCCCGTGGATCCGGTAGCGCAGGCATTATTGGTGTTATATACGGGGATGTTGGTCATGCCAAACTGGTAGAAGATGCGCTGGCCAGACGTGGTTTCGCCATAGCAATAACATGCCACGCCCGTTTGAACATCGTCGTATGTGATGTGGGCATCCAAGAGAGCTTTGGTGCCGGCTTCCAGGCCCAACCTACAATGGCCGTTGGTCAGTACTCGGTATGGCACCTCCAGTCGTGTGAAAGACTCGAGATGATGTTGTCTCCTGTAAGACTTACTCAGGATAGGTGCGCAGTTGGCGAGGCTTGATGAACTTGGTGAGACCCACCCCAAGCACGTAGGCGTTTTGCTGAAAGGACATGGTGGTGTTGTGCTTGTACGAGGTAGTCTGGGTGTTTGGGAAGATGAGGAATAGTGAACGAGCTCGGATGTGCAAGTAATAATAATAGCAAGAGTTCCAGTGCTGTTGATTACTATCTCGGGCTTCCTCCACCTCGTCCCGGTCATTATTTTCGAGGCCGAGGGCGACCATCATCAACGTCCCCCGCGGCTGGGAAAATCGTTAAACTCCCACTAGCCGAGGCTCAGACAAGACTCCACAAACGAATTATCATTCATCCCCACGCACCCACAATGCTTTTTAACTTGTTAGCAAGTCGCCGTGTGCTGCGGACCATCTGCCGATCGACGCCGATATGGGTCTCGTCGTGGCTCGTCCCGAGTACATGGCCCTATATCAACTCCAGTTGTAATTGTACATGGATATCTCCCAAACAAGCAAAACAAACCACATATGGTTGGGCCGCTTTCGTCACAGGCAGAGAAGTCAGCCCAGACTTGGCCCAGAGGATATCAGAAAGACTCCAAGCCCTGATAATGTCTGACGAATAAAGTGGAGATCCGTATCTTGCGTTCATGGTCGCGACTCTGCACACAGACCATCGTCGTTAAGCCCCAAAACACCGTGGACGTCCAAAACATGTTCCCAATAAGGACCTATCTCCTCTGACACCCGAGTCATCAAATCATAAGTCGTGGTCAAATGTCCTCTTGACATTCACTGGAGGCATGAAGAAAATGATCGAACTGTCTTTCCCGTGCTGGCACCGGGATTGGTATCTCTGGGTGCTGGTATGTATCCGCCATGAAAAACTCCACATTGATGTCAATCGGCATCCTGCGTGGGGATGCCGTAACCTTGACATGGTGTTTTAGAAGAGGAGAGTCGTGTCTCGGCACTGTCAAACGTCACCGAGGTGAAACTCCATTGCAGGTGGAACAAGTATGTAAAACTTGGGCCTCTCAACGGAGTGATTATTCAGGGGTTAACTTCGCAGATGAGAATCCGTGGAAAAGAAGGATTGATTGGAATTGGAGTTTGTGTGCCTTTGTGGTGTCACCAATAACTGTTGCTCGCTGACAAAGGCGTTGAAGTCCCAGTTATTATGAAAATGACGTGAAAGGCCAGGCGATAACATTTCCGCGTCTCGGGGCCGTTTCTGGGGAAGGCTGATCTGTGGGCTGGTACCAGACAGAAGCGTAAACGACGCGACAGAATAAGGGCTGGGAGGAGACGGAATGGATGAGGGCGGCATCGATGTAGCTAAGACTGGCTGTGAAACAGTGGGCGCGGTAGTACCTCTCGCCGTTCTTGCTCGACCCTGCTCATTCATGTCGTCGGCACTTGGCTGTCCTGTGCTGTATACATTGCGGAGGGAGTCGGCGGGGTTGTGAGGACCAATTTCGGCGTGACACCTTTCCAGATGGTTTTCGTAATGTCCCTGTCGGGTGTAGTTTTTCTTGCAATTCCTTGATGGACAGAAGAAGCGCTGTCCGGGTGGGGCAGTTCGACCAAGGTTCGCCGTCGTCGAATGGTCCTCAGTAGAACTAGGGCTCCCTGCAGTGCGAGATGGACCACCTGCGACCCGTCCCGGATGTTGTGTTACAAACCCGGGTTGAGTCTGTTGTGGGCCAAAAGGAGGGTGAAATGGATCCCCTCGAGGTCTCGTGTAAGTGGGTACGGAGGGAGGGCCAGTGCAGGCATGACTCGATCTCGGAAGATTTGTGATAGGAGATTCTGAATGAGGTCGAGCATTGTTGACCTGCATCAGCACCTCCTGCTTCATAGTGTCCCAGCTCTTGTCCGCTCTGATTTGCAGGATCAAGCAGAAGATCTCCGGAGGAGGAGTGGAGTAAACATTTCCAAAGAATTGTCGGAAGAGGGGGGACCGCGCTCTCTGACGGATGCTTTTCAGCATGGACAACTCGCACTCGTCGGCTAGGAGTAAGGCATGGATGACGTGTGAATAGACGAGGAAGTATTGGTGATGAGTCAGTTCGTTAGTTTTGGACGAGATGGCATGGAATTGTGAGGCATCAGCGCGGCTCTGGGAGTGAGCTGATATACTTGGCTGCAGGTGCTGGGACGGATTGCCTTGAGGATTGGCTAAGTGATTGCTGAACATGGTGTGCTGTACTTGGTCCGAAGGCCTGGAGACGGTACAGGGTTTTCGGGGAATTCAATGCGGAGGACGGAGGACGGAGGACGGAGGACGGACAGGGTACAACGTAATTGTCTGGGATGGTCAATCGTAGGTCGACCTGGCTGTGGTGCAAAGCAAAGGAAGAGTGGGCGGCGGGCATCAACGGTGAGGGCACGAGGCGTCACTTTTGCGCGGCAATTCTAGCCAGGTATTGTAGCAATCAACAGTAATCGAAGAGATGTTTACCGACAAAGGTTAGGAAAAGGATAGAGGACAAAGTGGGAGAAACAAGATGGTAGTAAATAGGCTGGGTGCATTCATTATATGAACGCTGTAGGTGCAAATGAGTTGAGCAGAGCGCAGACGGAGGGGGTATGGGCCAGAACGGGGTGATATAGTCGGATGGATGTAAGCGTGAAGCGTGGACGCGGGCGTATAAGAGGGCGCATGATAGCCAAAGGCGAGGTACACCGTTGTGATGGGACATAGCGAGCAAACATAGTTAGGCAAGGCAAGGCAGATACGGCTATCATCATGAGTGAGTTGTTGGACTACAAGAGGTGAGTGTCGCAAGTGTAGGGAAAGGATGAAAAAATACATGAAAACGAAGAAGTTTGTTACGTTCTGGCTCAGTTAGGTTAGGCTTATAATAGAGGCTGGTTATGCCCAGCCTAAGCCTAACCAGAGCCAGGGAGGTACCCGGACGAGTACAAGCGAGGCAGGTGTCCAAGCCCTGGGGGATGCCCACGCCGGACTGCTTGACCCAGAGCTTTGATCCTAAGTCCTTAAAAGTGATCCACTGGGGCAGTGATGGCGTGTCTTTGCTCGTCATTTGGAGCTAAAAGGATGCAAAATGCGCCAATCCCCCATCTCGACAACCCACTAGCCTTCATCCTCCCCTCAAAACGTGGTTTTTTCTTTCACCTGGTATCCGTCCCACGCCCTGTACTTGGTACTTGTACGCAATGGATCAATCACCTTCAACATGCGGCACGGGCACTGAACGGGTTTCAGCAGGGATGGGCCTCTATTACTCCACGCCGCCAGTCATCTCTCTCACTGGCCTCGATTGATCCCATCCACATCCCATCCCATCGCATCGCTCCCATCGCCCACCACCGCTCCACCCGCTCTCTCCCTTGCGTAACGAAAGCCGCGCCCCCCAGGGCCCCCCTGAAACCCGAGGAATATCATATCCGATACCTAAAGGAGCGCGGTCATCCCCGTACGAGGTTCACCTGAAAACGTGGGACTGGTGCCTGGCCGCTGCACCATGACCTCCCGCCCGCCTCTGTGCGAGTATTTGTAGGTATCTACTGGTACAGTAATATCTTACCTACACAGAAAGCAATGCAGCACTGGGAATGGAGTCATCCGTCCGCGTTGACTGGTTGTTGTGGCGAAATTGGCACCCTTCGTCTCATCGCGCTCCGGTTTCCTTCCTCCACACAGCGTCCTTCGAAGGCTCCAACGAAAGATGCGCTCTCCAGCAATCGGCAATCAGTCCACCTGCAAGCTGTCGCTCTGCGTGATACAGCAATACCTCACCGCCTGGAGTTGCTGATCGGGCGATTAATCTGTTGAAGCTTTGTGATTCCTGCTGATCGAGGCGAATTTCATCTCATCGTCATTGTGCTTTGGACCATTGAGGTGCAATCCAAAAAATAATATTCCGACACTGCACTTCGCACTGTGTTTTGGGGGCACTTTTGACGGCCAGGGTCAGAATATGTGCAGATCTGTCCATAATCCTATCGAAAGAGCCTTCGACATCAGCAACACCAGGACTCGAAAGTCCGTGGGGACCTGCATTCGAGGATCAGGAACCGATGAACCGCACCGTTGACCAGCTGGGCCGCTACGGTTCAACTGTCACCAGCAGCTCCATCATGCAGGCAAGCAGGTGTACCATCCGCTTTGTAACAGCTCGACCGATATCCCTGCGGCCAAATGCTAGAATCTCCCGCTACCTATTTAGCATGGTGCGCAACCTTGCATCCCGCCCACATCCGTAATCCCAATCACTTGCTGCCACGCTTCCTCAATTTGACATGGATTTCGGTTGTGGCGGAGATAGGAATCAGGTTCGCACCCTACCCAGCTGACTCCCACTGTTTGTCGACATACATACATCAATGCTCCCGTCCCTGCGTCCCAGGACATATTCTTGGACCTCCTCGCGCAGTCATAAGACCAACCCATTTAAAGATTAGCTCTAACAGGTGTGTTTCAGATTCCCAATTATCTCTATATCATCGAATGGAAGACGACGAAATTTTGATAAATATCATCTGTTCGCCTTTTCATATCATGGCTCCCCACCATCCGTTCGGCCACCGCGGGCAAACTCTGGACAGAGTTCCTTCCATCTGGTAATCACCCACTGCGGCCGTCGGGTTGATCGCAACCAGGAAATGCGTTTTGCAAACACGAGTCGCCTCATCAGACGAACAACGCACCCCCTGCCGATGTTCTTGCCGACTCGAATTTTTCAACCACATCATGCAGTCCTAGCGGCGGACCCGTACTTGGCTCTTTGGGCGGCTTTGGTAGTGCTCATGTCAATGGTGATTCTGGTAGGGTTACTGCGGCACCGGCTCCGGGGATCAGATACAGGAAATCGCCTCCCAAATGGGACCCAAGGGCCTTGAACCCTAATAGAGGTCCTAGAGCCTTCGCATTTGTCGGCTCGCTAATCCAAGCTGGAGCAGGGAGAGGAATTTCAGCGAACAGAAGCCTACACCCCAACCCGAGCTTCCAGGTTCTGCATAGACATCTCAACTGACATCCAAAACCTCACAGCAAAACTCCCTTTTGTGACAATGAGCTACTGACGACCCGAGCTAGCCTCTTCGCCTCGTCTTCCATCTTTGGTCTTCCATCATTTGAAATTGACCATATTCGACTTCGTCTTTCAGAGGATAGCAAGACTCGTGATTACGTTCATGTTGCGATGTGATGAGGCGTGACCCAGGATTACTCGGGTCAAAGCTGAAGGCCTCCAGAAGTGAAGTGGTCGATAGCCCACTGGATCCAGATGGTCCTGGAGAGCTTTCATCGAACACGCCCTGGCTCATGCTGATCTGGAAGCCATTGTGGCCAGTGGTGAAAGTGAAGTCTCCCGCATATCTGACACCATCTTGGCCAGCGTTCGAAATCTCATTTTCACCACCGTAGGACTCCTGGGACAATCGTCGTTGAGTCAGGGGCGAGTCGCTCGCACCTGTGACGACCGAGGAAGCGGTGTCGCCCTGATTACTCGGCTGAGGCGATGAGTCTCGCACCAGGAACTCTGCAGGATTCCGGTTGCGATACTCCGACTCTGCGTGGCAGTTGCGCATATGGTTGCTGAAGTTTCCAGCATTCCTGAAAGCATCATGCCTGCAATTCATGTAAGGGCATTTGTATCTCTCTCCTTTTGGTGCCCTTCCTTTTGCCCTCTGATAGGTAGGACTCTGGAATTTTTTCCTCCCGCCCACCATCGAAACAGGCGTCGTGGATCTTGTTTGACTACCTTGACCAGGACCTGGACTGGAAACGTGAGATGCGAGAGAACTGTTCCCCTCAGATGCACGAGGAACCAGGCGATTGCACGAGTCACCAAAGTCTCGCCCTCCATGCCCAGTAGCCGCTAAGCCGGTGGAAATCAGATCTGGTGGTGTTGGGATTGAGGAGATGATGTCGATACACTCAAAACGCGAATGCTCAAAATCATACTGATCTCTGAGTTCATTGATCAAGCGCCACAAGTCAGGAGGGAGTCTGCCGTACTCCTGGCAGAGATAGCGAGTTAGGAGGTGGTGAGCGGTGGAGTATTCTCGAGGATTGTACAACTCGGTCCACAAAGCGGACGTCAGACGAAGGTAGCTGCATACCGTGTCTCGAAAGATTGTAATGTCCTGTCGACCAATGATTGTGGCCAAGATGGCATGCGAGTTTGACGTTTGACGATGCGAAAGGGATGTTTGCGAATTGTCACTGGCGAAACCGATCCGGCCCTGGTCGAAGAGCGGTGACCAGGCCGCTTGTTGGAATGCATGTGCTGGACCCATTGGGGTGGCAACTGGCCTATGCGTTTGGTTCCCCATCTGGACAGGATATCGGATTTCCAGCTCCGAAGATGGACTGTCGATCATTCTCCCCGCCAGCATGGCCAGCGGCTGAAGGGCATCATTGGGAGTCGAGAAAGAAATCCTGAATTGCTCCATGACGGCGGGTGGCAAAGTGAAGACGACCAATCAGTTAACGCGCCAAGGACAAATGGCACTTGTAGGAAAGACGAAAGGAAACCGGCCAGCGGTCTGGGACTGAAGGAAACAACAAGGACAAGGAAATGTCAAGGCCGTGGAAGGAGAGCGGGGCGAGAGAAGAATCTGGACGGGAACATATTTTCGTAGACTGGATGAAAGTTGTCAGTAGATGAGATTTAGAAAACTCGGGGATTTTTGAAGCAAATGAAGCATTCGGGTCGGAGGAACTTGGGGGGGAGTTGATAATGGCTCGAGGCTGGGCCACCCATGGACGCGGCGTGATGCGAACAGACGCCAAACCAGTGTGCGTCATGGTCATGTCCACTCCATCCAGATCTAGCATCTCCAAGCCACTGGTGTGGCTTCTCAGACTCGGTTTAGGTAAGGGGCACGGATGCAAAAGTCGATGGGATTTTGCGGCTCTTGTTCGAACCAGGGGGGTTTGCATCAAGCTCGAAGGTGGATTGGGGGGACAAAAGGCCTCGCAATAGGTCCCGCGTCGTGCACAGCCTCAGGCACCACGGGGCCATCGGAGACCGCGGCCGACGCTGGTTGGTCAATCTGGAGCAAGGTGCCGAGGTATCAAAGTTAAATCGGACCCCCCTGCAAGCGGAGTTTCTCCAAAGGTAGTTAGCTCAACTTTATCTAACCAATAGACGCTGGAGCGCCACGACCTTTTGGGCCCTTTTGTGGCTGATGATTGTCCACTTGCCTGCAAGTACGAGTACCGAGTACCTTACTTGTACTTTCTTCCGAGAAAGAAGAACGAGATGCACTCTAACGAGTGCAATACGCGGGTATCAGAGTATGTACAATGCCTTCCTGTCAGAGCATGTGAAAAAGGAATTGTGACTATGTTACATAAACTTGTGCTTGTTTGTATATGCAGAGAATGATGACAAGTAAGGTGGATTCGCTGAGGTGATTTGAGTGATTTTTGGGCCGCCTTGGTACTACTTGTACCTAGAAGTATGTACTTGTACATAAACCCTTTTCAGACCAAACAACGAAGAGGCGGACCAAAAAAAAGACTGGGCGACAGGGTTACCACGCCTCACTCGTCCATTTGTTATTGTGGTCGTGAGGTGTATGTACAAGGACCCGGTACAAGTGCAATAATGGGTCTCGTCATAGGTACCGGCGAGTACATAGGTGGAAAGCCACATCGGTATTCGGTACAAGTACGAGGGAGGGGAGTGGTATCTCGTACAAGATCATTACCCTTGCCGAGTACCTACTCTCGGCACTTGTGGGCCCCATCAAGCGAAAGACCTGGTCCTCCGTATGTAGGTGTGGCTGGTCAACCCCTAAGACACGCTACGCTGCCCATTGCCCAGTGCCTGCTGAGCGACTAAGGCCTACCAAAACGATCAATGCGTGTGTGGCTGTGTCCGTGTCTTTTTTCCCATCTCGTCTCGTCTCCAAACCATCCAATCTCCATCCCCGATTCTCCATCATCTCTTTTTGGTTGTTCGATGAGTTTCCCAACAGTCCGGAACGGCCGTGGGTTTTACCAGGCTGCCAGGCTTGCCCGGGACGAAGGGAACCAAGACAAGCAAGGGTATCTCCCTACAAGTACACTTGACAAGGTGCTCGGTACTTGTACCCAATGGCGGTGCGTTTTTTTGACGCCAGCTTTATCCATTCAGAATCTACAAAGCACAAGTACAAGCACAAGTACAGTACCTACCTACCTACCTACGAGGTACTTCCTCCGTACGAGGAACGAGAACACATCTCGTAGTAAGAGAGAGAGAAAGAGAGAGGATTGGTCCATCGCCTCCCCTCTCCACTTTGCACCTTTCCGCCTTTACAGCTTTACCAGTACAATGTACTTTGACATTTACATTACCAGCAGAGGGTGACATGCCATGCCATGCCATGTCATGTCACGGATCTTGAGCCTTCTTTTGTCTTGTCTGAATAGAAATTGTCATCGACCCCCTTCCCGATCAAGTCCCCAAACCCAAAGTTTGAATCAAAGTGCCACTCCGTCGGCCTGCGGGAAAACAGTTTGTGCGAAACTTGTCGCCGTCTTTCTCACCTCACCTCACCTCATCTCAACATGTCTCGTGTCTGTCCACAGACCGCCCATGAGGGCGAGATACAAGTCCTCGGTACTGCTCGCTGAGGAGCGCGATTGATGGCGAAATGACGCACTGATTCGGGCAGAAACACCAGAAAAAGGTACAAGTAAGGGACCGCCGAGTCTCGAGTACCGAGTACTCGGTAATGACGGGCTTGGGACTTGTACGCTGACGATCACGATGAAGATGATTACTATTCCGCACATCTCCCGTGTCCCTACGTCGACCAAGGATACTAACGATGCTAAAGATGCTAAGGATCGGTATGTGATTAGTGGTATGTGATTAGTGGTATAGTAAGTAACCTAGAACATATCTCCTTGTACGAAGTGCATACGAGTTACTCATGTGTCCCTCGTGTTCGGGACAAGAATCTTCCGTGGATCAGCCATGGCGGTTGTGAGGCAATGACACGCACGGATACTTTTCTACCTCATACACCAAGTACTTGGTACTTGGTACATGGGATGTACTTGAGTAGATACTCGTCGTGTACATGGGAAACTTAAGCTTGCTTCGCTTATCAATTCACATTGTGCATCACAGGGCAATGCATCCTTGACTCTTCTCATTTGGTAACCCGCCACAGTCGCTTGCGCCTAGCATCTTGTCCCCCCACCACTGCTTCTATACATATTCCATGTCGCGTCCATTGGACGCCACACATTGCTTGGCGTTGCCTTGCATGAAGGTTGTGCCACCGCGTTGGAGGGCCCTTCAGCCATCGATTCGACGGCGGAGACTAGTCTGAGCCAGGCATCCAGCGGCCCACCAGTTCGTGATAATATGCCTGGTCTCCCAACGCCTAAAGGGTGTACCGGTGCGCCCTGGCTCAACTCGATGCCTCGAGGACCGAAGTTAGGCTCTTAACAGTCCACGCGCAGAGGGAGACTTCCGAGTCTGCCTCTGGCAGGCAGGGGCCGCGCCAATGGGAGAGCATGTCCGCCTTGAAGCCTTATTCAAACGGCGTCTCTTCAGGCATACCTTTCCAAGCGCTAAAGTGTTGATGGCGACAGCTAAAAACGGAGCCATTCGGCACGAATCTGCTGGATCGAGCCCGGCAGATCCAGAGGTGAAAAATCGTATTCCAGAGAAAAGACAACCAGCATCGGCCGTTCCTTTTGGCCTGAGACCATATGCCAGGGGACTGAATAGACTCGGTGCGAGTCGTTCGACCCTGTTGTCCAACATCTCCCCCATTCGATTCTCGCCAGGAGGCCACAAGCTCATATCTGATGTACCAGTCAAGGGTAGATATTGCAATCACGGCAACTGTGCCGTATAAAAAGTCGTCGCGTCACTAACCATGCCACTCACATCCGGCAGCTGACCATTGCTTCGCTCACTCTCCAAAATGGCCATAAGTTCCATTTGTTGCTGGGAACTCAGGCTCTGCATTGCATAATTGCCCGGGCCACCTGCGTTGTCTGTACCAGGATGCCCTCCTGCTACCGCTCTAGAAGACCCGTGCGAGCCCGGTGGAGGGAATGATTGCCCCATGTATCGACTGTACTCGTGACCGAAAGGGGCAAGGTATGGAAGGTCGTCGTAATTCATGTTGGGAGAGCCCGTCAAGCCGGGGATAACTCCTGGTATAAGAGGTCCAGCGGTCCACGAACCACCAGGACCCGCGCTGGCGCCGCTCGTTGCTGGGAAAGAATGTGGGTCGAAACCAGGCAGACTGTAGTGCATCGCTGTGGCGTCAATGCGGGGCAGTGTTTGGTGACTGGTTGTAGGGATATACTGTTGTTGCGGATTGGCCATGGGTTGCGTTGATGTAGGGAACATCTCCGGTTGAGGCTGAAACGGTTGTTGCGCAGAATGGTCAATGTAGCCAGCCGCCGCATTCTTAAAGTTGTGGTTGTTTGCTGTGGTGTGCACACTATGAATCGACTGGGGGGATTGAGCACCATAGATTGACGTATTTGTGGTACTGGCTGGACTGTTCGCAAATTGTGAAGCTGCTGCTGAACTCAGGTCTTGTGTCGTTGTGGAAGAGAGATAATCTGATTGCGAGGCAGGGGATTCCTTGCTGTCGGCTTCGTATGCCTTGAGACAACCAAACACAAGGTTCTCGTAGAGTTGTTGCGCAGAGCGCACCCCCGGCCAGCGGTCGGCGCAAAGGTCGATCGCTCTAAGTGCGTCCTGGATATGAACCTGGACCTCTTCCAAGGGATGCTGTTGTCTGATACCCAGATATGACAGGCACCAGAGCACTGTATTGAGCGCCATAAAGATGGCTTGAGTAAAAATCCAGGTAATATCGATCAAATGCCCTTCGACCTGCCGCTTCTGGAGTTGGATGTTGAACGTGGCTGCAGAATAGCATTGCTGGGCTGCGTAAAGAGAAGGACTGGGAATTTGCGGTGACGGTCGGTACATGAACACTATCATGGTGTTTTTACGACCAATAAACCAGGCCTCGCTCAAACCAGATCCCTCGTCGTTCTTGGGGCAATCCCGGACCCAATTGTCGATCTTGGTTAGCATTTGGTGAAACCACGGGTCTTGATCATGCACAGGTGCCTCTCGCTTCTTCAGGTATAGGGTCCGCCTGATCTCGGCTTGCAGCAGCCTCATCTTGAAGAAGTGGATTGAGATGCACTTTTTCATGATTGGATGGTGACCTGTAAGCAGTCCGTCTGCACTGATATATTTATCGTCGCAAAGCTCGAAAAAGTTGACGTTGATGTTGTCGACAGTTACGCCAAAGGCACTCGGCCTGCCGAGACTGTGGGCAAGTCCATACTCCATGGACGTTATGATCCAAAACAAACGTCGTCGCATGTCCACCTCTAGGGCATTGGGCCTGGCACCGGACGGCGGTCGATGAATCGTCTCTTCTTCGCATAAGCCCAGCTCTTGACATAGTTTCGCGGCGATTCCCACCACCCAATATGCCGCGGTTCGAGTCGGTGTGAGCAACGAATATTGAGCAATGAGCGCGAAGCATTGAAGCGTTGATAAATCCATCTTCTGAACAGCCCCTGTCAAAAACGGAAGCGCAGCCAGATAGTAGCTGTCAGCCAGCCCAGCGTATTGCTTGTCTAGCTTCTGCATGCTGATTGCCACAACGAGACGGACCTGGAAATTAAGAGTTGGGTCCTTTGATCCGTCGTATACAGCCTGCAGCTCCTTCCGAAAAGAGGGTTCGTGAAGAAGCGGGAGCATGTATTGGGCTTTCACCATGTATATTTCCACAAGCCGATCCATGAGGTCACGGTTGGGAAGATCTGGGGCGGCGACCGAACTGATGAGAGGGTATACTTTCGATGTAGGCTTGCTGCTCTCGGCGTCAAACTTGTCTTTGATCTCTTGAGCGGCGTGGTGCGGTACGACGTCCTTGATTGTTCTCCGGAGCGAGTTCTGCTTTGCGAATTCCATGACAAAACGGGTGATGGCAATGCCACTTGAAGGCCCCAGAAATCGGGATTCATCGTTCTCACTGAATTTGACCAGCCCAGCGCCACGCGCCATAGCCTCGTGGTCGGGTTCATATTCCTCCTCTTTCTGCAATGCCTTGAGTTCCTCATTGAGCCGGCGCACCGTCTCCTGCAGGGACGTGATGTATGTTCGCGGAATGGTTCTGTTCTTGGCCGAATCGTAGTATTCGCAGTGCGCATTGCTCCTTTCACAAGGCTCACACCGAGGAAGCGCGGGGTCGCATCGGGTTTTTCTCTGCGAAACGTTACGACTGGCTCTCTCAAGAACTCTGGCAGGACAAGAAGAAGGCTCACCTGTCTGCATCGTACACATGCAGTTACCGTATGGTGTACCTTATCCCGGGTTCGAGCCGTCTCCGGCGAGTCAGCCATTGTCGCATTTTCGCTGTCTGCCATCAATTCAGCAAGCGGATAGCAAAGGGTCGACGTTTAGGTAGTCAAGGATGGTGAAGGCGGCCTGCAGTGGAGATCGATTTCCATTCCTCATGATGCGTGCGTGGCCTGCCAGTGATGAAATAAAGTACGGGAAGTTTGCTCATGATCGGATGTTGGACAGTGCATTAGGTGAGGCCAGACTCCATTGGATTGCGCTGAGAGTTTGGGCATAGGGTTACCGCCTAGCGGAACCCGGATGAGCCTGTCAGCAACGAGAGATGGGCTTCAACAGGACAAAACATTCTTCTGCTCGCCTGGTGACAGATCCAGGTTCTGGGGCCAGATGTAACGGTCGGCCACAGATGTTGACGAGCTGGAGTGTCAGTGACCTGTCAAGAGGATTTGGATCCTGTGCAGCTCAGATTGAAGAATCGACACGGAGCTGAAATCCTAAAGCTGAGGAGGACAGCACAAGGTCAGGGAGGACTGCGATGACGCCTATTCGCCCAGTACCTGATGCTTACCTGTCCAGTAGCAGTAGGGGTCCTGCCTCTGAAGAGTTTACCTGTCATGCCTGTAGGCCCTGAAGTGGTCCAGGCGCTCACGGATCCCCCGCGGCTGAAGTCTAATAGGGGTTGGCCCTCGACTCGCTTCTCCCATTGGGTGGGGAACAGGCGAGAGAAGTGCCCGGGACCCCCAGCCGCCACCAAAAGAGGGGACCCAATGATGAAAGGTCAGTGCCCACCGAACCCCTCAATGGATGAGTCCCTTGGCCGAAATGTTCACTTGATCGTCGTCAATCGTCAAAGAGCAAGACACATCCCTCATCGTCATCAACCACAGCAGAAGACAACGGCAACAGCTACAATTCAGCTCAAAGTCTGTAGTAAAAGAGATCGCCAAATCGCCATCTCTGCCCATTGCCCTCTACGCAGACAGCGCACCCCTCCTTCACCATCGAGGTCGCACTACTCAGACTCTGGCCGGTAAAGATAGCGTCACAGCTCAGCGCCAACAATTTCATTGTTGTCGATATCCTCGGGAAAACCTACACGCATCAAGCAGAGATGCGTTGACTATCACCTCCGAATTCCTTTCTTCAGTCATGACGAAGAGCGAGTCCATCGAGGCCCTCCTAGCTCCCTCGCTGAGGGTGTCCAGACCTGTGGCTGCGTGCGCGAGATGTCGCTCTGCGAAGATCAAATGCGACGGAAAACTGCCCGCTTGTTCTGCCTGTGAGAGATCTGGTAAAGCAACCAGTTGCACAAGCGCCAACGATGAATTTGCGCGGGGCAAGGAAAGAAGCTATGTCGCAGCCCTCGAAGCTGCTGCTCAACGGCTACAGAAAAAGATCGATGCTGCGCGAGCGGAGGCTGCCAGTCAAACGACGCTGTCTAGCACGCACTTGACGACGGGGCGACCCCCCCAGCGACGAAAGATAAGCGGCGCTCGCCGAAAAGAGGCTTCGGATGTTGATGAGCTGGTCAGTGACTTTGGCTTCCTCACTGTCAACGCTACCTCGCGCGATTTCCATGGGTTTACCTCGACCATGTCATTTGCGAAGCTTCTCCTCTCGGCGGCGGCAAGAGAAGAGCTACCTCCTCTTGAATCGCGAGGGCTGCCCCCTCGATACGCCATCACTCCCATGATCAATCAATACCTTGAAAACATATTTGTCCTCTTCCCCTTCTTCTCCGAAACAGACTTGATGTCTAGCTTGTCTCGCATCTATCACGAGTCTTCTGCGATCTCATCGACTGTTACCCCCTTGGACGTGTGGTATGTACGCCTGATTCTGGCCATTGCCTATGCCTCGAGCTCGCAACGGAAAGGAGACGAGAATGACAAGACAGCGCTACAACACATGTCGGCAGCTAGAGGACTTGCTTGCTACGTATTACATCCTGGATCCATTGCTGGAGTGCAGGCTCTCCTCCTTCTGGTACAGTACTCACTGGTAGACCCAGCACACTATGATCCCTGGTACCTCGTAGGTATGGCAGCTCGCCTCATGGTCGATCTGGGGCTGCACTGCGAGCCACCTCCAGAGACGAAGATCAGCAAGAATGAATTGGACCTGCGACGAAGGATATTCCATTGTGTTTACGCTTTGGACCGCCTGGTCAGTATGTCTCTTGATCGGGCATTCTCATTCACCGACGATTCCGCTTCCGAGGTGCCTCTACCAGAATCAGCGTCGGAGTCATCCCAATCTCCGGTTTTCCAACGTTCAATCAGGCCATGCCTCTATATGTTTGACATTCGCCGCGTTCAGTCTAGCTTCTATCAGAGCACAAGATGGTCTTCCCGGTCTCAATGGCCTCTGGCAACGGCGGCTACCTATGCCAGCTCTGTATCCAACGATATCCACGCTTGGTATTCCACCATCCCCACGACACTATCACAGCGCCATTTGATGCTCTTCAATGTTGAAAGGCTGTATTGTCAAATCCTGGTAGTCTCGCCCAACCAGCGTGTCCCTGCACGCAGTATGACGGATCTCAACAAAGAGCTCGTGTTCGAGTACTCAGCCCAATACGCGGATCTTCTGCAACCGATCACGCAGGACGTGGGCTGGCACGCGTACCTGACATTCGCGGATATCAGTCGAGCAAAATACGTGGGACAGAAGTTTGTGGAAGTGATGTGGTCGGATTTCGATCGGCTCATCAAGACGACCCATGCTATTCGCGAAGGCTCGCCTCTCGCCAACAGTGTTCCTCTAGATAATGGTCAGCGGGCGACAATTTGCCTCCAGAAGATCATTGAGATTCTTGACTATGCACGGCACCGGTGGTCTATGCCAGAAATGCGCGAGAAGTTCGAACAAGAATCGGCCGTTCTCTTCTCACGACTGAAAAGCAGACAGCTGGAGATGGGCGCAGCGCAGTACACCAACACGGCCCATGTCAATGCTTCAACGACCGCTGGCATTGGGTATAACAGTGTGGCAAGCAACATCTATCCAGCTACGAATGCCTATCCATATGAAGGGTCTCAACTGCCGAGCCCTCCAATCAATCACGACCCTGTCCAACCTGATATGCAGCAACAATCGATGTTGACCCCACCAGAAGACTATCACATGCCCCCAATGTATCCGATGCCACCTGGATCCCTGCCTCGGCGGAGCTATGAGTTTTACGGCGGACGCAGTTGAGGGCAGCATTGGCCTTTGATGCATGCGAAATTACATCAGGCTCAACTGCCTAGAAATAGTGCGGGATGACTTCTGTCGCGTGCCTCGATGCCGCGAGTCGGTCAGCGGCACCATCAGTGACAAAAGATGTGCAAGCCTCTTTTGGATCATCTTTATCCCAAACCACGCAGACCACGCAATCATGTCTCCCCTATTAGAATCCAACACCAGGGTTCAAGAAACCTAGATCACTCGGAGCGCGACCAAGGAGGGTGTCAGCTCCCGTAAAGGAGGGCAGGCGCCCAAGTCATCTGAGAGCGCGATGAAGCCCACGTGTATTGCTCGGTTCTGCTAATTGGCCTTGCAACGCCTTCACCGCACAGTCTGAGTTTTGGGTGGTTGCAGCAGCGCAATGCCAACCTGATCTTGAGAGAGGGGGCCAGTTGCAAGATCATGCGAAGGTTGTAAGACGGAGCGAGGGCAGAAGTGCAGTCCCAACCTCCCACCGTCGATATTTATATTTCCTGCAAAAACCTCGAGGGACTTGGTTCAACTCATCTACAGCGCAGTCTGACGGGGGAGCTGACGCGCTGTTGTGCGGATCAGGGCATCGTATGACGCAATCTTGCACAGTGTCCGGTTATTACTTCCAGAATCTCTCGCCCCGTGCCTGACCATCGCAGGCGCATCGCGGGGGGCATCCAGTGGCTCATTAGGCCGTTGCAGGGGCGGCGGTTGGTCCAATTATTAGGCTCGCCCAGGCCAGTCGCCTCCTTCCGCAGGTGCCTGGGATTCCCGGCCAGTCGAACCGAGCTGGGTGTCGGACCCCCATTCGCTGGATGACGTGGGTTTCCCCTTGAGCCTGAACCCATTTTTCGAGGACCTTGACCTGCGCATGAGTCTCTTGCACGTTTCACTGTGAGGGATTTCGTTTACATGCAAGATTTATCCGCTCCCATTCACCAGCTTCACGCTTTGTCGCTCTCTGATGAAGTTTGTTTGCACGTCCAGGTCGAGTCCATGTGACTTCCTCCGGCATTTCAGTCATGGCCCGCGTTGCCCGTTACCTGTTGCTGTTGTTGGCAGCTCTCGTAGCGGCAGCACCTCCCAGTATCCCGTGGAACGATGATGGCCAACAACAAGTGATCGACGGGCCATCGACCTTGAAGTCGCAACCTGCACCTCGGAGGCTGCGCGGGAGGTTTCTGCACATCACTGGTACTGTTTCCGCAACCCCTGGCTTCCCTAGCTGCGCTGACCTGTTGCTCCAGACCTCCATCCCGATCCTTTCTACAAACCTCATTCCGATCCTGAAGAGCAATGCCATTACGGTCATGGCAGCGCCGCATATTACGGAGCAGAAACAACAGACTGTGATACACCCATTAGCCTGGTCAATGCCACCTTCAAGTGGATCGAGGCAAACCTCAAGGACGAGATTGATTTTGTCGTCTGGACCGGCGACTCGGCCCGCCATGACAACGATGACCGCCTTCCCCGGTCAGACAAGCAGGTGCTCAAGCTCAATCGATATGTTGTAAACAAGTTCGTCGAGACTTTTGGCAAGCCGGACAACATACACGACCCGGACCCGACCAACGACTTTGTCGTCCCCATCGTGCCTACTTTTGGCAATAACGATATTCTCCCCCACAATATCTTCACCGCCGGGCCCAACAAGTGGACGCGGACCTACCTGGATGTCTGGGAGCCGTTTATCCCACAGGCACAGCGCCATTCATTTGCAAGAGGTGGCTGGTTCTTCACTGAAGTTATCCCTGATAGACTGGCAGTATTTAGCCTCAACACTCTATACTTCTTCGACTCGAACTCGGCAGTCGATGGCTGCGACTTGAAGTCAGAGCCAGGCTACGAGCACATGGAATGGCTCCGAATCCAACTGCAATTCCTCCGCGACAGAGGCATGAAAGCCATTCTCATCGGTCATGTCCCACCAGCCAGGACTGAAAGCAAACAGAACTGGGATGAAAGCTGTTACCAAAAGTTCACCTTGTGGATGAGACAATATCGAGATGTGATCATCACCTCGATCTTTGGACACATGAACATCGATCATTTTATGTTTCAGGACGTCAAAGAACTGCATTACAAGTTCAAGATTGAAGGCATCGACGACGGACCCAATAAGATCCAGCGCTTCAAGTCGCAACCAGACAACACCTTCTCCCTCGCCGCAAAGGCACAATACTTGAATGAACTGAGGTCAGGCTGGTCAGCATTACCCACACCACCAGCTGGACATTCATATCTGTGTATGGATGGCGAGGAAGTATCCAACAACACTGTCGATACCCGAAAGAAGGATGAGGAGAAGGAACTCGCGAAGTTTCTCAAGGCCATCGGTGGACCTTGGGCGGAGAGATATAGCTTGACACTGGTGTCTCCGAGCGTCGTTCCCAACTTCTTTCCCACTCTTCGAGTGGTGGAGTACAACATCACAGGGATGGAAAATGACCACCCAGCCCAAGGCGCGATTGGAAAACCTGCGGTCGAACACCATGTCGATGGCTCGGCGGATCGGGAAGAGGTCTCTGAGTTGACAAAGGAAGATGAGTCTGACAACGATGTCGACACAAATAACGATATCCACGATCTTAAGAAGAAAAAGAAAGGTAAAAAGAGGAAGAAGAAGCCGAAGAAACCCAACTTTCCGGTGCCCAAACCACCATCCAGTTCATCTCCTCCTGGTCCGGCTTATTCTCCACAGCCGCTGTCTCTGGTATCGTTGACGCAATATTACGCCAATCTGACTCGAATTCACGAGCAGATGCACCAGGACAAGTCGTCCAACAAAGATCCTTACAAACACTTTGCATACTTTACCGAGTACACAACAAAGAACGACAGCGCCTATCAAATACAAGACTTGACCGTGCGATCGATGCTGGATCTGGCCGAGAGAATGGGACGAGACAGCCTGAAGCTGAGTGATGAAGACCTCGAGGATGTGGAGAGAGATGTTGATTTGTCCAAGAAAAAGGGTGACAAGCACAAGACATCAACTCGCAAGAACCATCTATGGAAGGTGTTTATCAAACGGGCTTTTGTGCACACGAAGCCTGACGATGAGATCGACCAGCGGTTTGGCTAAATGTCTGGCTTGGAAGAACAGCCAGGCAGCGCCAATGCTGTTTTTTCCCCTCGGTGGGCCATGTCTTATCCTTCTCTCTCTGTACGATCAGTCATGTTATGAGCCAACGACTTGCTGTTTTCACCATGTTGCTGGATTCGGGAGAGGTCTTTGGAACTGGGACAGGATAGAGACCCGACGACTTACGATGTAATGGAGAATGTAGTTGGTTTTTCTGCTGACGTCGGGCGTATACATTATCACGGGGGTGGATGTTTTATTTTTGTATAAGAGATACATGATGATTGCAGGCGGCAACAGCGACAATGAAGGCGACGACGAAACTGCGGGGTCTATGAGTGACTGGGTAGACGTGACATGGCATTATTATTACTTGTCTACTAATTACCCCATCAGATTCTATATACCTCGTACACTCTCGTGTTTTCTCTCTGCGTCTTTGCGTCTTTCTGAGCCCGTTTGTTGATCTTGATCGAGTCTGACCAACATTTCCAACTCTCTTGGCTTTCTCCAGCTCTCTATTGTCAAGAGATGTGAGGTGGTGAAAAGGATGATCCTTACGACTCTTCTTCGTCTTTGTCCCCTCGGTACCTCGTAAGGAAAGGAAAACCCTGCACGGCCCGTCCAAGACGAGGAAGGACGCCAGTCGAATGCGCTTCCTTTCCACCACGTCTACTCCAGATTGATGTCCAAGCTGTGTCTCGATCACATGGCTACTCCCAACTCTTCTGCCGCTCAAGCGGACACTCCATACGCTACACGCCCCTCCACCCTGGCCGACCACCCGAGCCTGCAGCCGGCGTTCCACCTCGCGATCGTCATCGGCGCCGCCACGCCCATCGGCTCGCTCTCGCGGGGCACGCCGCTGACCGTCGTCCCCCTCGTGTCCGGCAGTTTCGTGAGCGAGCCGGGCTTCCCTGTGAGGGTGGACGCGAGGTTACGGGGCCAGGGAGTGGATTACGTGCACAATGACCCGGACGGAGGACGGATGCGGTTGCGGAGTGATTTGATTGTTGGGTGAGTGCCTTTTTTTTTCCTTCTACTGTCGAGGACATCTGGTGAGAGATGGCTGATTGGATGTCCTTTTCTTGAGAGGAATGCCAGAGATCAGAATGGAGAGGTCAGTTTCTTTGCCCTCCAAAACGGTCCATCTAGGATTTCCTCAAGCCTGGCCACATTTGAGGAGTACGTCGGGAGAGCATATCGTTGACCACCAGGTCTCCTTTGGGAGGTGCTGCAGACTATACACATCCACTACACCGGAATAGTTGACATTACGAACGAGATGCGCCGAATCCTCGGGCGCAGCGTCAATGCCAGATCCACAGAGTTTGGCCATTCCTGTACGTCTGGGAGCCTTTGAGTGTGACCCCTTTCTCCTTTTTCCAAGTCGAACGCTGGACCCCGCCCGTTCTTTCACTGACCGGTTCGATGTTGTGTTGATGCGTGTGGTGCTGCTTTGATGCTGACCTTTGGCATCCCTCTGGGGTTTGTACTTGGTGGGAAAAAGTCATACAGGTGTCGTTTGAGACTGGATCGATGCGGTACAAGGCTCTGGAACAGGCGCTCTTTGTCGGCGCCGGCAGATTTGTCGTGGGAGAAGGCGGGCTCACCGTCGAGTACCGTATCAGCAAGGTATCTAAAGGTCTCGGGCCTGCTGGCGGCGAGGTTGGTGGGAGTGGTGACGGTGACGCTGGAGGGGAGGGAGCAAGTCAGGGAGACTGACAAACTAGTCAGCGCGCTCACTCGGTCGTGATGCGTTGCTTGTTAGATACGAGGGTAGTAAAAAGAATATGCGCCTTTTGCAGTGCCAAATCGGATCATACAAGCAACGGCGTCGTCTCGTCTGTTGCTGCTCTACCACCGCCGCCACCACTAGTATCCCTCTGTCTCTGTACGTCTGTCGCCGTACTCGTAGCAGCATCTCTACTCTCGCTACTCCTCGTCCACACCACCATCCACCGCCCCTGCTTCCTCCCCCTCCACTTCCTCCCAGCCCACCTCCCGACCCTCACGCCCGCCCAGATCAAGCACAAGCCCAACAACGTCGCCAGCACGGCGACCACGACACTGACAAACGTCATGCTCGAGCACCGACAGCTGAATGGCCGGGCGCGCAGTTCCCACCGCTCGCGCCACCCCAGGGGACAGAGGTCGGCGGTCTTGAGGGGCGAGAGGATCCCAAACGGGTACGGGTAGACCGTGTTGGGGACGCAGGTCTGCGACGTGGCGCACCAGGAGCACGGGTACGGGTTCGATGCGGACAGGCACGCCGGGCAATGCGGCCGGATCCAGCAGTGGAAGAAGAGGTCGAGGTCGTTGTCGCCGGGGATGGTGGAGGTGTTGTTGTTGACCGTGTTTAGCAAAGAGGCGATATGTGGTGGGAGATTCTGGGTGTTGGCAAGGTCTGGATGTGTCATTTTGTTTGGGAGAGGAGCGTTGAGAGTTTCGGTATATTTGAGCTTGGGGATATATTCGAGTTTGAATCTTTGAATTGTGTCTTTACTCCTGGTATGATATCTGTTCGAGTGATACCTATGTAGTAGGTGATTGGGAGATGGGAACAAGGCCAACGTGAAAAATAATGAAATGTCAAAAAATATTTTCACGTTGAGCACCACATCAGGCATAGAAACATCTCGAGTGATTGTAATGACGAATACGTCCTAAACTACTCCTGGGCGCTCCGGTGAGGCATTGAGGGCGATTGCGGGGTACAGAAGGGGAGGAGGATTAAGGCTCTCACCACATACTACGTATCTAGCAAGCTAGGTACCAGGCCACCATCGCTACACACAACTATTGTCTTGTTACCTGTACCTGGTTGTAAACCTCCGAGGTCTCACACACCCCGGTCGGTTCTTCAATGCTGTCAACACCAAATGTGACACGCCTCACTTCGCCGTGCGCCGATCAGGCTCACCCACTCCATGCCATGGCTCTTCTGCGTGGCCTTCCAATCTCACTCTCACAGATGCTTATGCTTCTTTGAAAGCCATCCATCCTCGTGTGTCTTGTCACCGCCATCATGACTCGTGAATCTACAGACCAGTGGCTGGCAAAATGCCGCCCGGGGAGACCACTGCTCGAGGCCTGGATCCTGTCTGCCATCATCGTCTCCATCTCCAATACTCTGGCGCAAGTCATCGACGCTTACAAAAAAGAGGTACTGTGCACGCTTTTTTCCCCTCTCACTGTCTCATCATCGCATCGAGACCAGGTAAGAAAGAGAATTAACGAGAGCCTCCGTTTTCAGGAGGCGTTTGAATTCGATCTCGCTCGTCTCTCGAGATTTCTCTGCCTCGACCTCATCACCGCGCCACTGAACTACAAATGGCAGGAGTTGCTCGAGAGATCATTTCCACGACACGCGCCCGCCTCGTCGCGCGAGGAGTACCGCTCGATCCCGCTTGATGATCGTGATGTGGAAAAGGACTCCAACACAGACGAAATGGACGACGACCACGAGCTCACGATTGCCGAGGGCTCCGTTTCGCAGCACCATCATCGACAGAAGCCTAAACGGAGGAAGAAGAAAAGAAAGACCTCGACGAGGAAGAACTGGAAAAACATCTGGATCAAGTGGTTCATAGACTGCATCACCCTGGGCGCCATCTTCAACACGGTCGCGTTCCTGGTCATCATGGGGCTTGTGAACGGCCAACCCGGCAAGATCCTGCACAATCTGCGCACCAAAACCATGACCATCATCGTCAATGGGTACAAGATATGGCCCTTTGCCAACATCGTCGCGCACAGTGTCATTTCCTTTGAACGGCGGATCCCGTTCTTCGCGACCGTCGCGCTGTGTTGGAATGTCTACTTGAGTTTGGTGGCGGAGAGACTCTAGAGGGATCTTTCGGTGTTGCCAGACTCGGTAGGTGTGCGCAATGGGATCCGAAAGCTACATAACTGGGTGGGTATATACGAGATAGAAGTGCGAGATGGTCTGGACAGCTGCGTCCTAGCGATTCTGTATTCCCATCGCAACGGAAGAATGGGATCTGTTCAAGAATACACCCTCCAGGCCTTTCATGTGTCGCCAATGTGTGGCTTACAAGGCTTTTGGAGATGGGGACCCGGCCTTTCGTGGGTCTCCCCAGCACCAAGCATGCCGGCTGTCTGGCTGTGCACCTGTGGTTGGGTGGGGGAATCAATCAATCGACCTGTTCTCCAACCAAGGCAACTCATCGCCCATCCAACCATCTCTTATGTCCGTTGCCCGTATTAATAATATGTATGCCGCCAATTTGATCCTCTTCGGGGTAGGGTAGAATAAGTTGAATAGTTCCCTCTTCTACTCATATTTATGATCAAGTCGACACGACACGACACGACACGACAACCCCAGAGACATATTCTGTCAGCGTCGAGGGTGAAATTTACTTCTATATCCCGCACCAAACTCCGGGACATTAATTTCTGAAGAGGACGTGGCCTTGGGCCCTGGGAAATACCATTTGAGGTGGAGCTCGAGAGTGTGAGTGAGAGTGCAGGCGATAGTGAAAAGGCATGGCCTCTTCCACTCCAACAACCACGGCTGGCTATCGAATAGACCTCACTGCCGGCAACTTCGATGGCCTCAAACTGGACACTTCGATGCCCATCCCCTCGCTGGGCCCACATGACTGCCTCGTGGCCATGCGCGCAGTCTCCCTAAACTATCGGGACATTGCTATGCCGCTCAGGATATACCCCGCCTACACTCGAGAGGATGTCGTGCCGTGCTCAGACGCGGCCGGGGTGGTGGTCGCGGTGGGCAGCGGGGTCAAGTCCTTCGCCGTCGGGGACAAGGTATGTCCCACCTTCTTCCAGGACTTTGAGGACGGGTACCCAACCAAGGAATGTCGGGCGACGAGTCTGGGAGGATTAAACGACGGGGTGCTCCGGAGACACGCCGTCTTTGCCGAGCGCGGGTTGATCAAGATACCTGGATTTCTCAGTGCGCGGGAAGCGAGCACCCTGCCTTGCGCCGCATTGACGGCGTGGAATGCCCTGTTCGGCGTCGAGGGCCGCGCGTTGAAGCAGGGCGATTGGGTCCTGACCCAGGGGTCTGGGGGTGTCAGTGTCTTTGCCCTGCTGTTCGCGAAGGCACTCGGTGCGCATGTCGTCGCCACGACTGGCGACCGGGGAAAGGAGCAGAGACTACGGGATCTCGGGGCAGACCTCGTGCTCAACTACCGCGACGACCCGACTTGGGGCGTCGCTGCGCGCGAGTACATCGAGAAACAGGGCGGCACGGGAGCTCAACACATCATCGAGGTCGGTGGCGAGACGTCCATGGAGCAGAGCCTGAAAGCCGTGGCGCCCGAAGGCATCATCTCCATCATCGGGTTCCTCGGCGGCTCAGGGACTTCGGAGAGAAAGACGGGGTTCTGGGACTGTTTCGCCAGCGCCTGTCTGGTCAGAGGCGTGCTCGTGGGCAGCAAGAGGCAGTTTCGAGAGATGCTCGCTTTCATGGAGGACAAGGGCGTGAGACCGGTGGTGGACGAGCAGGTCTGGGGGTTTGAGCAGGCCAAGAAGGCGTACGAGTATCTGCGGGCGCAAAAGTTCTTTGGTAAGGTGGTGATTGAGATTGAAGCGTGGTAGAAACAGGCACCAAGCGAGAAAGGTGGACGGCAAGGCTGTGGTTACATGTGACAAGGCTGACTCTCCCGAAGTGGAAGAAAAGGACGAAGTGGAATATTGTTTTTCCACTTCCAACTGTGTGGGGACCCAGATTGGCCGACGTCATACGTCATTCTCTCTTTCTTGTCATTTCGTCTTTTGATCACCTCAACAGTTTGCACCGTATTGAGGGCCATACCTAGTCCTCCAAAGAGCACATTTCAGAGGGTTAGCTTACATATCGAGCTCCTCTTTGAGAGTTATTTCCCTCCTGGGAGCTACATTTCTACAAAACATGCCGCTACAGGGACAAGCACGTCACCTTCTACTACGGTCTCGCTGTCATTTTGCCTGACTGGGAAAAATCCCGCGAGCAGCCGCTTCGAGATGCTTCGTCGAATTCGTCGGTCTTTGCCGCTACCGCCGCTACAAGCGAGAATAGAATAAAGGCGAAGCGATGCCGAGCAGTACCGCGAGTACAAGTACCTAGACAAATACAAGAGTAGGGGACATGAACAAGTGAAGAGTGCAACAGTTGAGACCTTTTCGAACGTCGTTTGAGCTCCTCCCCTCGCTCTCATACATTGAGTACATATCCAGCACTCCGGACGAGATACCCAGAGTCTAGAGGACCATGGCGGACTCTCAAGAACAGCCCCATCAAGGCACATCCTCCAAGCTCCTCAAGCCTGTCGATGCCTTTCTGAAAGAAATCGGCCTCGTAACCCTCTACCACTCTCCCCTCGACACCAAAATCCTCATCTTCCAGCGCTTCGTCCGCCTCTTCGCCTACGGCGGGTCAACGTTGATCCTCGCCTCCTACCTCTCCGACCTAGGTAACGAAGATGCCCGCATCGGCTTGTTTATGACCCTCACTCTGATCGGGGATGTCTTTATCTCGTTCCTACTCACCCTGGTCGCCGACCAATTGGGCCGACGGTGGATTCTTGTCCTGGGAGCCGCATTGATGTCGGCCAGCGGTGTTGTATTTGCTCTGAGTGGAAACTATTGGGTTCTGTTGGCCGGGGCCATTCTAGGCGTCATCAGTCCTGCGTAGGTTCTTTAATGCCGTCCTTTACTCACTCCCTCAGATCTCGTTGCTGATGGTGTTTGGTCGTTCTAGAGGTAATGAAATCGGACCTTTCCGCGCTATCGAGGAGTCCACCATCGCCCATCTGACTGCCAGTACCGATCGCAGCGACATCTACGCGTGGTACTCGCTGATAGGAACTGCCGGGACAGCATTGGGGTTCATTGGATGCGGCTGGCTCATTACGCTGTTGCAGGAGAGAAAGCACTACGGCTCTGTCCAGGCGTATCGTATCATCTTCTTCATCTACGCGTTTGTCGGGATTATCAAGCTGTGCTTGGCCCTCTTGCTGAGCAAAGAATGCGAGGTGGATGCTCAGCCAAAGTCCACCAATACCACCGAGACGGCGCCTCTGCTGGGTAATGACCGCGGCACGCAGAACAAGGACGACGACATTCAGAAGAAGCGACGATGGAGACTCCTCCCTGATATCAGCAAGGAGAGTAAGGTTGTGTTGGTCCAGTTGTGTATTCTGTTTGCCTTTGACAACTTTGCTTCTGGACTGGCGCCATTGTAAGTGCCTGAAATGGAGATTTTCTTGGACGTTGGCTAACAACTACAGATCATGGGTGACGTATTTCTTCAAGCGAAAGTTCAATCTGCCAGAGGGCAAGCTGGGATCGATATTTTCCATTACAGGCATCATCTCGGCGCTATCCATGCTCGTGGCATCCTCCATCTCGAAACGGATTGGGAACGTCAAGGTAAGACACCGGGATCAGCTTGTTAGAAATTGGACAGCGCTGACACGATGTGTACATTAGACCATGGTCTTCACTCACCTCCCCTCGGCCATCTGCCTCGCCCTGATCCCTATCCCATCCACCCTCCCAGGAGCTCTCGTTTTTCTCATCGGTCGTGCATGCACACAAGTCATGGACGTGGCACCGCGATCTGCCTTCCTCGCGGCGATTGTCCTCCCCCACGAACGCACCGCCGTCATGGGCACTATCAACGTCGTTAAGACGTGCGCGCAGAGCATGGGCCCCGTCATCACCGGCGTCCTCGGCACCAAGAACCACTTCTGGGTCGCCTTTGTCGCGGCCGGGTCTTTGAAGGCGACTTACGACTTGGGACTGCTGGCCCTGTTTGCGGAGCGGAAGAGCCGAGAAGAGAGAATATCGGAGGAGAGGAGGGACGAGGAGCAATAGGAGCGCTTTATTCGTGTAATGCCGACATGGCCATCGGTCTCTTGAAGAGGAATTACCCAGTCTTGGGGGGAAAAGCAAGTGCACTTTCATGATATGATACTTATCTCATTGTACTCAGTCCACAACAGGCAGGCAAACAAGCAAGACACGTTCTGGGTAGTCAAAGTATTCAAAGTATTCTCAATTTCTCAGCTTCTCAGTTTCTTTTTTTTAAACGATGTGGTTCGGTGTTTCCAGTCTTCTAGAAGTCTTTATGATTCACCGTCCGCCTCGGGTGTTTTCTTCAATGGAAAAATAATAGTCCCAAAGTAATAAAGTAAGACGCGCTTTGTTTGTGTTCTATCTCGTCAATCAATCAGTCAGTCCACTTAGCACCTGCAGTCCTTTTTTTGTCCTTTTCTTTTGGATGGTGCGGGTGGGATGAGGATGTGGATGAGGATGAGACGCGGGCTGCTGGTACTACTACTACTGCTGCTGCTGCTGCTGCTGCTGCTGCTGGCGCCGCCGTCGCCGCCATCAGGGTCGCTGCTATGTACAACGCGATACCTGCTTGCGTTTGCGTCTGCGTCTGCGTTTGCGTAGCAAGAATGACGATATCCAACACCACCACAACCACCACCACCACCATCATCATGATCGGCAGAAGCAGAAGCATGAAGCATGAAGCAGAGGCAGTATCAGCATCAGCGACAGCCAGCCAACCAAGCAGCTAAAAAGCCATCGTCAACTAACCAACTAGCAAGCAAGCAAGCGAGCGAGCCAACACACGCACACACACCCTCCCACACACATACACAAAAGGAGGACGTATAAACCCCAATCCACGCCGGTGCCATGCCATATTCAATACGTACAGTGCCGTGAGAAACAAGAAGGAACAAGAGAAGACTGGAGAGGTAAGTCCCTCCCTGGCGTCCTCCCCCCAACCTCCCAAAAGTCTTTCTTTACGCGCTCCCGTTCTGCTGAGTAGTCTCGGACGCCTTGATCTCGCCTCGAATCCCTCCCTTGCCACCTATTTCTCGAGCGGCAATCGATAAGGCCAGTTCTGCGTCCACGTTGACCATGACTTCTACTTTGGATCCTTTCTTCAGGCCCCGGAAGACAAACTCTGCCAAGGGGTTCTTGGGCCGCCACACCTTCTCGCGGATCTCTTCTGGCTCGTCATCCACATCTTCGTCGTCGTCATCATCATCATCATCGTCTCCGTCATCCGCTTTCGTGCCGTTGGTTTCAGGCTTCGCTGGGCGCTCTGGCTGGGTGACTGTGATCTCGCGTTCACCCTCGCTGATTCGGAAGAGCACATCGCCCTCAAGACCTTCGATGACCTTGGTCCTTCGAGCGGGGACGGCCGTGTCGGGTGGGATGATCACATTGAGCACATCTTCAGGCTGGCCTGTTACTTGATAGCCGATGGCTGTTGACAGGTGAGGCGTCACGGTGACCATCTCGTGCGTTGATTGGTCAATATCCTCTTTCTCAAACTCCTGGATCAGAGAAGCTTGCAATGCGGCTCCTCTTGCTGACAACTCTGAAGGGTTGAGTGCAGTGGGTGTCGTAGCTGGGGCCAGAACCGCGGTTGACTCCGGGAACAGCGCTTCGATGTTCTTCGCAATCTTGGGGGTGTGTGATGTGCCGCCAGACAGGATGACCTCGTCAATATCCAACACATCCAGACCAGCCTTCTTGATCACTTCCTCGACAAGTCGGGTAAACCGTCCAAATGTCTTCAAAGCCAGAATCTCGTACCGACTTCTGTTGACCGTAGACCTAAAGTCCACGCCCTCTGCAAGGCTCTCGACGCTGAAAGTGGCGCTGTTGCTCTGGCTGAGAGCCTTCTTGACCGCCTCAGCTTCCAGCTTCAACTTGGCCAGGCTCCGCTCGTTCTTGCGTGGGTCGGACTTGTGCTTTTTCTCGAACTCCTTGGCGAAATGGTCAATCAAAACCTGGTCGAGTTGAGTGCCGCCCAGTTCGTAATCGTGTGCAGTGGCCAGGATGCTGTACATGCCTCCTCTTGATGCCACAACGGCGACATCGGATCGGTTCCCTCCAAAGTCTGCCACAAGCACGATCTTATCGGCGTGGGCATCTGGAGACCGCGATTCGTAGGCAAGGAGGGCTGCGATCGGTTCTGGCATGAACTGGAGGATTTCCACCTGGATGTTTGCGGCGGCTTTGGTCAAGGCGGCTTTTTGGTCGTCGCTTGTGTCAGTGGGCACAGCGACCACGGCCGACGTTATAACCCTGCCAGTAAAGTCGGACGCAGAGTTCTTCAAACGCCGCAAATGCCGCGCAGCAATCTCCAGAACCGACACCTTGTTCTCGGTTTCGCTGTCTGCGGTGTCCCGAATGGCAAAAGAGATCTCGCCCTTTTCTTCGATGGGATGGGCGGAGGCATGGCAGGGCGTGGGGTCGATGGACTTGTAGTCCTTGCCGATAAAGTCCCTGAAGAATGCGACCGTGTTCTTGCTGTTCCGCACCAACTGCGCCTTTGCCTGCGTGCCATGGAACTCTTCTCCCTCGATGTAAGACAGGATGGACGGGATTTGTCGATCTCCTTCTTCGTTTGCTATGACCTCAACTTTGCCCTCGCCTGAGATATGTGCAATTGAGCTGTACGAATTCCCAAACGAGATACCAATGGCATAATGCTCGGGCGGCCCTTGGGCCGGAACCCCGTTCGTGTCGTCACTCATGGCGTGACTCAGTGGACCGGAACTTCAAGAGAGAGGCTTGGGAATTTGTGGAGGAGGTTCTATGCACACGGACTTATTGAAAAAGACTCGTAGCCCTGGAAACCAACAATATGGTTGCGCACCTTGAACCGACAAAAATGCCATGGGAAACTTTTTTTTGAGCCTCGCGGCGGATATTCATGGCTCGGGGAAGGTTAAGCGAGTGCGTCCCTCGGCCTCGTCATATCTGAGCCACTTTTTTTCCGCAGCCTTGTCTCTGCTAACTCATCCGTGAAGAACTCGAGGGGGGTTTCTTTGACGTCAAAACTTTAGACAGTGTGGACGAGTCATGTTTGTCGAGTCTATCATGCCAGTATTCCTGCCTGGGGACTTGATCCCCTCTGATCAGATCCCAACATCTCAGAAGCGCAAAATAGGGCGTGGACTCCAACAAGACGAACAGAATAACTTCCTCGCCACCATTGGGGGATACTTGGACATCGACTACCGTAAGAAGACGGCACAGATATCCACGCCAGATGCTCGCTATATCCCAAGAGCAGGAGACCTCGTGATTGCCCAAGTACGAATCTCAACCGCAGACTTTTTCCACGTCTACATCAACCCTTACTCCCCTCAGGCCTTCTTGCCACAGTTGGCCTTTGAGGGCGCTACCAAGAAGACGAGGCCTCAGCTCAAGACGACTGACCTCGTCTACGCCATAGTTGTCTCTGCACAGAAGAACATGGAGATCGAATTAAGTTGCGTGAATCCATCCACAGGCAAGGCGGAACCTGACGGTCTGGGTCCGCTTACCGGTGGAATGGTTTTCGATGTCAGTCCTGGTCTCGCTGACAGACTTCTCAAGAAACAAGGTGTCGTGGCACTGGAGGAACTGGGGTCGAAACTACCCGGCGGGTTTGAGATTGCTGTTGGCAAAAACGGGAAGGTATGGGTCGATTGTCCTGAAGCCGGCGTGAAGGGGATTTGTGCGGTGGGGCGATGCCTCAGCGAGATGGATGAGAATGAGTTGAAGGAGAGGGAACAAAAGAAGCTGGCGAACAGGATCATAGCGGAGCTGGAGCGTGGTTGATCTTGCAACGTCGCCTGGGAATGAAAGGAGATTTCTGCCCAAGGAAGGGGCTGCTCTCTAGGCGATGCGAAAGGGTGAGGATGCACCCTAGCAGAGATCGATCTGCTCACAGCGGCTGCAGAGGAATGAGCCAGTCATGCCAGCAAGTGGCAACCTGCGCCGCCTTCTATGGCACATCGACCAACAAGTCGAGGACAGGCACCTATGGTTCGTCACACCGACGTGACGTACGGCCAGGACATACAATGAGCGGGAATTTACAGCAGATTCAAGAATATGCACACATCCGAGGTACATGTGAGCGACTGTGAACCAGGTGCAGAGGAATCGAGACAGGGCTCAGAGGCAAAACAAAACGCAAATAGCGACGAGGAATCAAGATGCTTTTCGAAGATTTTATTGTTTCGCCTTCTGTACTACGAGTACATACTATCCACGTTCCAACCACCATGACTTTGGGGTTAGCCTGATGCAAGGTCATAGGCTTTCCTCAACATCGGAACCCTGCCCTCGTCACGATACAGCAGTAAAGTGTATGTTCACGCAGAATCCGGATGCCTCATGCCCGGTCATCCCATGCAAGAAAGACTTTTTTTCGCGAAGGGTATTCCCCATTCGTAACTTGGAAAAGAATTCGACGCCGGTTTCGTTGCGCAAAAGAAGGAAATGATTTGTCCGCCATGCTCTCATAAAGTCTTCTTTTTTGCAAGATATCCGGAAACTCCCTGTCGTGATGGCATAGCTCCTGCGGAATCCATCTTCTATCGAGCAAAAATTCTCAATGCCGTCCCGTTTTCATCCCGTTTTGGTTCGTTGTGCATTTACTTTCTTCGGAAAGAGCAGCCCTCTGTGAGGCGGGCTTTGCCACCGGTGGGCTGGCAAAGCACAGTTGAGCAGCCCGCGCAGATGACGACGGTCTGGGCGTGGGAGAAGACGGTGGTAATCGTGAAGCAGCCAGGGCACTTGACGTCCATGAAGAATGATCGGGGTGCTGGGACGAGAGTCTAGTGTGGTTGTTAGATTTTTCGATGACTTTTGCCCCAGGGACTGCGGGAATCTAAACCGTACCTTGAGCTTGTGCTTGCGGGCCTCAGCCTGAGGCGTTGGGTTTAGGAGATCGACCGCGAGAACCTGCAGTCGAAGATGTCAACGCCTGGTCAAGATAAAGATGGTTGCGTTGGTGGTGGTTGGGTTTGTAGTGCTCGTGTGCTTGATAATGCGGGAGGACAAATTTTGAGTCTCCTCGATTTGTTGCATCATTTTGCGCAGGTGTACATACCATTTTGTTTGGTTTGTGGAGGTGAAATGAAGAGTCTGTTCGATCCTAAGCTGTCTTCCGAAGGTCGAGGGTTGCGACGAAGAGGCGATGGATCAATTGATGTACTGCGATGGACGAGTGTGGTGGTAGAAATCGACTTTGAGGAGTCGTGGTTGTGCGGCCAACTGCCAAGGCCGCTAAGCCAAAAACTCCACACCGGCATCGTCTCTACCATTCCCAGCCAATCACGTGTCTGTCTCTACTTTGGTCTTTGACTCACGGCCAGAGTCATTGAAACAGCCTAGGCAGCTCTATAGCACATTGTATCTACTTCTAGACGAATCTATCGCTTGTATATGGTGTCACATGTGGCGTTAACGGCTCCAAATTGCACCGAACGGCCTCAGAACGGCACATCCATGTCCTCTACCCCCTCCTCTGTCCCTCCCGCCTTTCCCTGCGACGACATGTTATGTTTGATAAACCCTGCAATCATGTCTAGATATTGCTTTCCGCTCGGTACAAAGTGCCCTCCGGGGTGTGTCACGACTTGTGTCTTCTCTGCGCCTCCAGTTGCTTCGACCAGTGCCTGTGTTCTTGACTCTTCGACCACACTGTCAAGACTCCCGATGACATGACACACTGGGGTCTGAATATGGGGATCCTCGTAAAATCCGCGGTATCTCTCCCCGGGAGCCCTAAAGCCACAGTATGCTGCACAAAATTTGAGTGGCGGGTGACTGAGTTTCTCAAAGGATGATGGATATGGAATGGCCAGCGGGGATCTTGCTCGTGCCTTTTCGAACGCCTGTTTTCTCGACCCTCCTTCCAGTAACGAAGCAACCATGGCGGCTAGACATGCTCCTTGCGAGAATCCAATGACGCCATCGAAAGGTCCCTCTGACTCCAGAACTTTGGCGACTGTCTCCAGGCCTTCCTCGAGACCGACATATTCAGGTGGATCGGACGTATCTGACCGCCGCCACCAGCCATAAGCTTCGATACTGTCCGGATCTTCAGTCGAACTCAGGTCAAACCCCGGGACGTCGCTTGGCCTGAGCTGCAGAGGACCTGTTGGGTAGCTTAACGAAATCCCCGGGAATGCCTTCTGTAAATGCTTTTCCATTGCTCTTGTTTTTGCGTGGAACAGATTTCCATTCTGAGTATAACCATGAAGCATCAACACCTTGATGCCAGGACTGGACTCCTTCGTGGGTGGCATAATGTTCAAGTGCCTCACTGTCTGTGGCTTTAGGAATCTCGAAAAGTTAGCTCTGAGTAATGTTGTCAAAATTGTTGAGGCTTGCTGGCCGAGTCGAAGGCTATTCATAGGAGGGTCGAGCGGCCAAAGCAGGACATATGGATGCACGAATGAAGAGGCTCCGGAATGCAAATGTTAAAACGATGGAGATGATCGGGTCAGCAAATCCCGACCATCGATTTCCTGCCAAGGCCGTGCCAAGCCTTTGCAAATGCTCCGAAATGTTTTTCCGCCCCAACGACCAACGATCAACGAAACCTTCTCTCCTCCACTACCAGCACTACCACCACATTTCCAAATGTTTACCACCTTCTAAAGCTTGAGACTGGACAGACCAGGTAAGAGAGTTTGAGAAGGTACTCTATATTTGTTTGAACCACCGGTGCTACCCCGGCTATCCTCCACAGGGAGTCGCCCTCACATCCGCCTGGAGAAGCCAATATGGGTTCGACTTGCTCCTCACGGATCAGACGAAGCATGAACAACTGTATCTCCGCCTGGCTGAGATCCTGCCGAGCTATCCATCTGGATGCGGGAGGACTATTTGGCAGTCTGTCCATCACTTAAGCCTGACAAGACAAAACCAGGAAAACTAAGAGCTGGCTTCCCATGATGCTGGGACGACCTTTGCATTCTGAATGGTTAACCCGATGGCTCACAATACATGGTACGAGTCTGTCTTTGTGCAGCCAGGGACGAAAATTTTGGAAGAGGTAGGTCCTGAGGGAGGTCCTCAGCGCACACTGTGCACTCCCAGGTATAAGAATAAGCCCTTTCTCGCCTTTCCTGCGCAACCTCTATCCATCTTGTCATCTCATCCCACATTGAGAGCGGAATTTCTTCCAACCATCTGCCACCTCTTTATATGTTGCAAACATCCTCTGTGTACTCCTCCTCAGGAATCTGTACCTCGAACAGTCTCCTCTAATCTCCAACTTTCTCATTCTGTCCTCTGGGAACCCTTGATCTTTCTCAACTTCTCGTCAACATCTCTACTCCAAAATGGTTAACTTCGGTCCTATCCTCGAGCGCATTAAGCGCCTCGATGTCCAATACAACAAACCAACCAAGGAGATCCGGGGACGAGACACCATCCTACCCATCACTCTCACCTCCATCTTCATCTTCTTCATGTGGGGCCTCGCCTATGGCCTGCTCGACATCATGAACTACCACGTCAAAGTAGCCATGGGCATCGGCCGCCAGAAGGCCGCCATCTTGGCCGCTGGGTACTATAGCGCCTACATCCCCGGCGCTCTTCTAATCGGTGGCCCCCTAGTCAAGAAAGGTGGCTATCGAATCGCCATGACGCTGGGACTATGCGTTCTCGCCCTGGGCAACGAGTTCATGTCTATTGGCGCGAGCCACTGCAGTCTTGCAGGCATGGTAGCAGCACATTTCGTCATCGGTCTGGGAGTTTCAACTCTGGAACGCTCGGCGAACCCATACGCCGTCAACTGTGGACCTCGCAGGCAAGCCGCCTTGCGAATCTTGATGGCACAAGCTTGGGCTGGGATCGGCACCGTTGTCGCTCCATTCCTGGCCAACGCATTCGTCTTCAACCCCGACACCTCTACAGCACGTCCGGCTCCAGACCCTCTTCGCCCTGGTAGATGCCAGATGCCCACAATGCAGAGTGCCTCCTGCGCCAACCTAGGCAGCGTCATCACCTTCTACCGTGCCCTAGGTGCCTGTGTCTTCGCCCTGACGATCTTCGTGGCGATCCTCTTCTTCCGCACTAACTGGTTCCCCGAGGTCGAGGTTCCCGCCTCGGCGCCTGTCGACTGTGGCTGGAAGAAGTGGAAACACCCTCTCGTCTCCAGACGGTTTGCTCGGATCTGGTGGGGTGTGGCAGCAAACTTTGTCAACCTTGGCTGCCAGGTGACCTTTGCACAGTTTTTCATCGAGCACATGAAGGTCAACGCCTGCGCCAGCGACAGATGGGCGGCTTACTACATGTCGCTTGCGCAGACCGCCTTCGTTATCGGTCGCTTCGCCGCCGCAGGGCTCGTCACTGCCCCCAAGGTCTTCAAGCCCCGATATGTGCTGATGTGCTTCATGGCCGGTGCAGTCGCAACAACCGCCGCTGGGACAGGAATCACCGCCAACGCCGCCATCGCGGTTGCCATTATGGTCATGTTCTTCGAGGCACCGTCGTTCCCCATGATCTTTGAGAGCGCGACCGCCAGCTTCGAGGAGTGGACGCCCACCTGCGAGACGCTGATGATTGTCAGCATCTCCGGCGGCGCATTGCAGCCCGCGCTGATGGGCCAGCTCGTCGAGTCTGTGCGCATCTCGCGCGCCTGGTGGTTGACGGCGTCGTGCTTCTTGCTCGTATTCAGCTACCCGGTTGCCACGAACTTGATCCCTTCGTTCAAGAGGGCTCTGGACCAGGCCGAGATCGGCCCCGACGCCATCAACCAAGTCGGCATGACTGGTGCCGCTGGCGACGAGGAGACCGGGCTCCGGCGAGAGTCGACAACCAAGGACAACTTTGTCGTCAGGATCGTCGAGAAGGTCACTTCCAGCAGGAAGAAGTCTTCGGCTTCTTCGGATACGGGGTCCGCCGCGCCTCAGTCGAGCGAGGGCCCTGCTCAAAGCTCGTAGGGTGGTGCTGTGGTTGTGGTGTATGGTACTATCGTGGTTCTTTATCGGTGGTTCTCGGCTGGAATTTATTTCTACTACTAGGTGTTTGCAATGATGCAGACGGGCAAATACTCGCACTGGCATCAGATTGGGACGGCGTTGGGCGACGAGTATAGGAGGAAAGACTGGTCTGTTTAGTTTGGAAATGGGAGGGAGGTTTCTGTCGTTTTGGGGGGATCATGAGACTTTGATCTATACGAAAGTCGCTCCGCGCGAGATAATACGCGCCAGGATAGGCAGTATACATGGTGGTAGCACAGGAATAGAACTTGAAAAAGAGTACTCGTACTTTTCCCTTCGCTTGCTGTCCTGTCAGGGATATCAAGACCGGCTTAATCGACCTGACCGTCTCCTTCCTGTGTCATCAGACGCAGCCCCTGAGACGGAGGGCTTCGCTTCCTTTACGCGGGAAACCGAGGCCTTCTCTTGTTTTGATTTGACTGACTTGACCTCTGCCTTGTTTGCTGAGCCGTTGCTGGCCCGTTTTGCCTTCGTTGTCGATTTGAGAGTCCCGTTAACCACAGGCTTTGTCTCTTCCCGGTCAGGTTCTAGCTTTGCTTGAGCCTTCTTTCCCCTGGCAGTCGTTTTCTTCGGCATCACTTCCTCTTCCTCGTCATCATCATCATCATCGTCCTCGTCGTCGTCTTCCTCCTTCTTCACAGGAGACTTGCGTTTCTTCCCCTTGGATTTCTTGGGTTCGACTTCGTCATCATCGTGTTCTTTGGCCACTTTGCGCTTTGTACCCTTAGACTTCTTCGGCGGATCTCCATCCTCATCGTCGAGACCCTCAGCCTCACTCATCTCTTTCGCGACAGGTCCCGTCTTCTTCTGTATCGACGGCACCACGGCACTGGTCCGTCCGCCCACTGTCAGAAATGCGATTTTTTCGCCATTGGGCAAAGTATGTGAGGCGCCCTTTTTGCCTTTACCCCATCGATGCTTGAACAGCCAGTCCTCGGGGAACTTCTCAGAGTCAGCGAGAAGCTCCACCGAGGTGCTGCAGATGTAATGGATCGATTTGTGGAGCTGTGCAATCTGTTCATCACTCAAAGTATTCGCATATTGCTCAGGGTGGATCTTTGCATTGTACATGATCTCATCGCCGACCCAGTTGCCAATGCCACTGATGTTGGCCTGATCCAGCAGCATGGCCTTGATGGGGCACTTTTTGGACCTGCACTTTTTCTTGAGCCACTCAACGGTGACGATGTCTTTGTCGATGACTGGATCCGGCCCGTTCTCGACCAACGGCGAATTATTTCGTATCTCGGCAGCAGGACAGTCGACGAGCCTGACGCGGGCGAGTCTCCTCATATCCACAAAAGCTGCCTCGATGGCCTCTGCTTCCCCCTCGGCCTTGGTCTCGAGCATGAACTTGACAAACTTTGGGGGCCATGTTTCGTCCTTCTTGCCCTCTTGCGGCTGGTAGTAGTACGTGTGTTCGGACTTGAATTTCAACCACCCCGTCATCCCGAAATGCATTACTGGATGCGGGGGACTCGACATGATCATCCAGAAGTATTTGCCCTGCTGCCCGGCATCGACAATCTTCTTCCCAGCCATGTGTGTCTCGAACTCGGCGGCCGAGGTGCCCACCTTACCGTAGACGTTGGCATCGTCGGTGGCGGTGACTTTGGCGATTGTTTTCCCGACCAGCAGTTTCCGGATGTAATGTACTGTGCGCGCGACTTCGGCGATCTCAGGCATGTTGGGCTTGACTTGGGCCTCAGAGAGGATTTTCTGAGCGGAAGAAACCTCTTCTTTAAAGGCGCAGTGGGGACGGGGAGGATGTCTTTGGGTCTTTGTGGTGTTGCTATTGAACTGGCCAATCCACTTGCTTGATCCAGTCGCAGATGTATGACTGAAGGGTCAGAGAGAGATTGGACGCAGTCTTGAGGTCAATACTCGTACAGCAGGCTAGAAGTGAAGCTCAGGCTGCGTCGTCCGCTGAAACACCAGATACAATAATGTGTCAAGCCGGAGGCCTGAAACGCGTATTTAGAATACGAACCAACCGACGCGTTTAGTGGTTTTCCACGTTTCTATGGCAGGAGCGACGATGACATAATGAATCTGCCGATGGTGGAGGCGGACGTGGAGGTGGAAAAGTGCAGCCTCGTTCGTCTCCGCTCCGCATCTTGCTCTGATACTGTACAGTGATTCATAAGTACATACTTGTATACTTCTTCGACTAATCAAGGCTGTCTCCTCCTGCGTCGGTGACTAGCCAAAGGATACGCCCTGTTAAATGTCTGTTTCATTTGCATCCCATCTCATCTGGTAACCAGTCAAGCTGGCGTGGTTTTGGACATCATCTGCTTCGGAGACGAGCTCGCAGTCTCCCCCATCCACCTCGCAACCTCGTTTTCAGAGAGCTGCTCCTAGTCTTCCTCCCTCCCGACGATCCATCCCACCGTCTACCGTCCCTGACCAAGCTCCTCCGGCGGGGACTGGAGCTCAGGCCCAGCCCAACTCACGACCGCTGATAATGTCCAAACCCACGGCGCCACCCATAAGCTTGACGCCGCAGTTCTGCTTCAACACCCGCGTTCTGCGGGACTTTCTCCGCCTCTCACGCGCGAGCATCGACGACAGCATCTCCACGAACTTGAACGCATTAATCACCCCGGCGACCACGTCGCCGTTCGACCCGACTTCGACATCGATCCGAAACCCGTCACTGCCATCCTCGCTCACGAGAGCACCCATACCTCGAGAAACCAGTCGCACCTTTCTGCACTCCGTCCTGTTCCCCTCGTGGAATGTGAGGTCGGATGTGATATCTTACTGCACGAGCGTGGCGACGAGTCCGGACCCAAATGACCCGGATCTCATTGAGCGGGAGGCGCTGAATAGGCGAGACGCCGAGCGGATCGTGAACGAGCGGCTGGATCCCTACTCCGGAAGGTTCTTCCCCCGAGAGTCGAGGGCGGAGATGCTAGCGGATGTACTGCGGAACGAGAATGCGGTGGAGAAGATCGTGAGGACAAGGACGTGGGGCATAGTGCAGGAACGGTGTGAAGGCGTCGAGGAAGGGTCCTGGGAGGAAGCAGTCAATTCCTGGAGGGAAGGAAAGCGATAAAATCAGCGTCGAACATCTCCGGTCCGTTTATGAAACAATCTGGGAAGAAAACGAATGTGGTAATTGGCTCTTGCTTTGCACATGCCGATACCACCTCGTATATACCTGGTGCGAAACCGAGGGGAAACCCGACCGGTCGCCATTCCCAGTCAGAGTGAGGACTTGTCTTCAAGCCACTTGAAGACTGTTCGCTTGGAACATGTGTGGTCGCCCTATCGGACTAGCAGATGGTATGAATTTGACGGACAGAGCGCAAATGGGCTGAGATTAGACAGTCGGTGACCCTAGGCTGGAGGTCAAGCCTGTGCAAGGACGAGGCTTCGTCAACTCTCCTGCAAGCTAGGTGCATATATGGGGACTGAAGGTCAGTATCAGGGTCATCAATCCATCGAAGAGAAACCGATGGCAGCAAAGCACCGGGGAAAAGGGAATACAACACCAAAGAGGAAACGAAACTCGACTCAAAATGGAATATCACAGTCTGGATATGCCACATAGATCATTCCGCGTCGCATCATGTACAAATATCTAGATCCCAGTGCCTACACAGCCGGGTATCAAAACCAAATTCTATCTCTTTGTCTTCTTTCGTCTCGTAAACCGCGCATTAGTGAACTTCTCGAAAGTAAGGCACATCTAGCTGGTAGCCATATCATTTGAACCAAAGTTACCATCCACCGCCACTCAGTCCGGCAATGCTCGCAATGCGCTCCGTGTCGCTCATCTTGCTGGCGGGTTTGTTCTTGCCAACATCGCTCTCGACTTGCCGGAATGTCGTATATGCTAGCTTAGAGACCGGCACGTTCACAAGCCGAGACCACTGATAAAGGAAGTCGTAGACCTCGGTAGTGTCGATTCCGTTGATGATTGTGTGTTTGGTCTTCTCGTGCCCGTTCAGACAGCTAATACCGTTCGTCATCGGCACGTCCTCGCCTTGCTCGTCTGTATCAATGTCCTCGGAGGAATCACCCGAGTAATAGGCTTCATCCACAAGTCGCAACCACTCCTTCTGACTCTGCGGGCCACTGACAACATTGACCACATCTTCGCTCCGTGTCTGGGGCAACGTCTCCATCACGTCGTCAACCTTGATTTGTCCGCCTCCGTTCGTACACCCCCCAGGACAAGCCATGACTTCTACATAAGCGTAGTCACTGATGCTTCCGCTTCCACCCGCTGGATTCATACGTCTCGCAGCGCCAGGTAATTTGCTCTGCCTCGCAGGTTTCAGTTTCCGCACGAGATTCTGAATGTTACGGAAACCGTAATATCTTGCGGACTTCATAAGAACTTGGCCTGAGGAGGCAACAAGCGAATATTCCACCACATCAGCGTTACGACCACGCTGGACGGAAATAGTGGAGCCTGGATGGCGCGATTGTTCGGTTAGGAGGATATGATAAAGGTAACCGCCTGAAGAGCCGGCTGCCACACTTTGCTCTTGTTGGACCCGTGGCCGTTGTTTTGGGAAGAGGAAGCGAGAAATATGTGGATCTGGGAACGGAGTGCGTTCGGCGGATGAGAGCGGTCGGCGTGGAAGACTGGAGAGTTGAATACCGCGAGCTGAGGCAAGGGATAGGAGCTCGCGGGAGGTGATCACACAATCAACGTCTCGTATAGGAGGAGCGGATGGGTCTGAAGACTCAGAATATCGCCACCACCGATCCGTTAGCTCTTCTCTGCTGGCCTCGAGTTTCTTGTCAAAGCAGGGCATTATTGCCAAATGCCATATCTGTGAAGGATGGATGTCCAGCGTCTTGCTCAGAACCGACTTGAGCAGTGTTCCAGACAACGCCTGTGGAGATTTCAGTGCTGAGAGATGCGGAAGGATATAAGGATGTGTCTTCTCCGCATAACAAATCCAACCCGGACAAGCTGAAGTCAGGATCGGCTTGGGTTTCGACCCTGCTGTGATTGAGTCTGCCACCTCTTCAGCTCCTAATACCAGGCACGCTTTCCGGGCTTGGTTAGTGTCCACCACATATGTAAATCGGCTATTGTGCTGGCCACCTATCCGCAAGCCCTGTGATCCGCTAAGAAACTGTTCAATCATGAATCCGGCTCTTCGTTCGGAGATACCATATGTCGCAGCGAGACTAGCCCGAACCTGCGGGCTCACGCTGGCAACGAAGATTTTCGCATTCGAAGGCGGAGATGTGTGACCATTTGCAAGCCCGTTTTGCCTGTCGATAAGATGTTGTACATCTAGCGAGGGATAGGAATCGAGCGTATTCAGGACTTCAGTATGAGATTGTAACGAAACGAGAACGGCCTCTGCAGACGTAACACAACCAGAGCAAGCGAGACAATCGGTGAGGGAGATCGAGGCAGGCGCCGGGTTCTTGGTCTGGACCTTATCCTCGGTGGTCACTTCGTAAGGATTGCCATCGTCCTCCTGTCTCGGGAGTGTCTCGACCGGTTTAATGCAGGCGACGCCAGGTGAAATGAAGTCGTTGAGATCGTCTGCGGAGAGGATGGCGCTCATGGCTGCCAGAAGGTGGCGACCGCGAAAGGGGCGACGAGGTTGGCTTTGGAAGTAGGCGGGTACACTCTCTGTGTCCGCTTCAGAAGAGTGATCCTACAGCGCATGAGTTGTCCTCGGTCTTTCTTGGGGAACAGTGTCAAAATCACTATCTTGATCGTGTTTTGAATTATTAATTGCGAGATGCTGTTTGGGGTGCGAAACTCCGATGGTCGGCATGGAAAATCCAAAGTTCTAGACTTAGTTGACGTAGGTGGGCGGATGACTAAGAACTTAGGTAAACTCATCTCCAGATCTAACCGGGCCAACCGGGCGTGGTCGGGAAGTTCAACGTCCGCAGCCTTTCATTCTCACTCACGAGGCGTGCACGCGACCATTGTAGGACAACACACCATGCGGCTATTATGACACTCCATGCTCAACAATCGAACAGAAGGGAAAATAGAAGAGGTGGAACTTCGAGACATGCCCTCTACACACGATGATACATCTCCAGATGCCCCACTCATCGCAGACCGCGAACAAGACGACAGACACGCTTCTCCCTCCTCAACCACACAGTCCTCTGCAAATGCCTTCATATGGGCTTTGACGGTCTCCGCTTGCGTGTCAGGACTGCTCTTTGGCTATGACACAGGAGTTATAAGCAGCACCTTGGTTTCCATCGGTACCGACTTGTCCTCTCGCCATTTGACGACCTTGGACAAGGGCCTCATAACTTCATGCACCAGTCTCTTTGCGCTCGTTGCGAGTCCCATTGCCGGCGTCCTGGCGGATCGGGTTGGGAGAAAAAACATTATATTGTTTGCCGATGCGCTTTTCACACTGGGCGCTTTATGGCAGGCCGTCACAACGTCTGTTTGGGGGATGATAGTCGGCCGAAGTATTGTGGGCCTGGCTATTGGGGGTGCCAGTCTGATCGTGCCGCTGTACATCTCGGAACTAGCACCTAGTCACCTGAGAGGCAGACTTGTTACGGTATCTCTTCTCTTCATCACTGGCGGACAAGTTATCGCTTACTTGGTGGGCTGGGCATTTTCCACAATGAGCGGCGGATGGAGATGGATGGTCGGCCTAGGCTCTGCTCCTGCGCTTGCACAACTTGTCATGTTAGCATTCATGCCCGAGACACCTCGCTATCTAGCCAAAGTGCAAAGGGAAAGTGAAGCTCGAGCCGTGCTGAAGAGAGTCTACCATGGGATGGAAGGCAACACCACCAGCATCGTGAATGAAACCATACACGCCATTAAAAAGGAGCTGCTTGACGAAGAAGAGGCGCACGTCCAGCTCCGTCACTCAGCACAGTCAAAGTCCAACTTCCTGATCTCCCCAACCCTGCAATCCCTTCTCCTCCACCCTCCACATGCCCGAGCACTGACCATTACATGCACATTACAAGCCCTTCAGCAGCTGTGTGGATTCAACAGCCTCATGTACTTCTCGGCTACCATCTTCCAACTCTTGGGGTTCCAGTCGCCGACCTTGACATCACTCAGCGTCGCCGGAACGAACTTTATGTTTACCATTGCGGCGTTCCATCTGATTGACCGATTGGGCCGGAGAAGGATTCTGCTGCTCACCATTCCCATCATGGTCCTGGCCCTTCTGCTCTGCGCTGCAGCTTTTACATTCGTTCCTTTGCATTCAGGCGATAGGGTAGAAACTACTGCGGATAGTTCTACTGGAAAACCCGTCCCTCAACTCCCTGCCATTGCCATCCTGGTGGCCATGCTCCTCTACGTCTCAACCTACGCGATGGGTCTCGGCCCTGTACCCTGGCAACAATCCGAGCTCTTCCCTCTCTCCGTCCGCTCTCTGGGCTCCTCGCTGGCGACTGCGACGAACTGGCTCTGCAACACCATCGTCGGCCTGACCTTCCTGCCCATGATGGATTTGCTAGGCGCGCAATGGACGTTCGTCACCTACGCGGCCATCTGTGCGCTGGGCTGGGTGGTCGTGTGGTGGATCTACCCGGAGACGATGGGCCTGAGGTTGGAGGAGGTCGGCGAGTTGTTGAAGCACGGCTGGGGCGTCGATGAGAGCTTGGAACGGTTAAAGAGTTCTAGACGGGTCACTCCGAGTGACTAGGGTCCCGTTTATTGTTTTCGGATTCAGATACTTAGAATTATTAGACTGTAACCATGTTTGGGACATGGAGACGACTGTGGTTTGGCACTGTAGTCAGTACTGGCTGGCTAGCTACCCATGGGGCACATCTATGTAACTTGAAGACCAGTCGCTCGGCTTAGGTTCAGAGTGGGTGTTAGTGAGGGAGGTGAATGCACCTGGTTATTCCTTCTCGAGGTGGAGGCTCTATATGAAGCCAGAAGACACGCTGCTCACAGGCTCGTTGCCCTCGTCGGTCTTGGAAATATCTGTCGCCTTCTTCCGTGCCATCCTCCTAGCATGTTTCCTCTCCCTCCTCTCCTTTTCCCTCAACTCTCTCTCCTTCACCACCACCTGCCAGTACTTGTCCCCTAGCTCCGCGTACTGCCGTCCGCGCGCCTGAACGGCCTGCTCAAGTTGTCGGTCGACTTGGCGTAGCGCCAGTGTCCACGAAGCTTTGGGAGCGGCGGGACTGTCAGAGGCGGGTTGCCGTTTTTGGTCTCTCTTCTCTCTAACGTTGTAGCGGTTTAGTCCGACAACCTGGATGCTGACACTCGACGAGGCTTCGTTGTGGTCCTGTTGCGTCTCTGCTCCCTGCTTTTCTGGTTGAGCATACGCAGTACCAGTCTCCTGTGACTCTGTAATGCCCTTCTCTCGGGCGAGGATGCCGTCCCACTCGTCTTCCCATTCAGCGACCTGAATCCTTGCTGCGAGGTCCAAGTGCTGTGCCCACTTCCGAACACCCCACTGCAGCTTATTCTTCAACACTCGATTCATCAGCACCGGCGTCGGGCCTGGATATTTCAGAAGGGGAATTCCCTGGGTCAACATCAGGTTGGGCACTTTGCGGACACCTGATTTCACTTCAGATATCGGTCTCGGGTGCTGAAAGACGCGTGGGTTGTCAGGAGTGGAGAGGTGGTTTGCCTTGTCAGCCACGCGGCGCAGGTTCTCCAGATGAGCACGCCGCTGGGGTGGAGGCGGTTTCCATCGCGAAGCGAGTTCGGCGCGGTGTTTCGATATAGATTCAGCTTGTTGAGCCACATGCTCGAGGGTTTGGCTCAGCTTGTGTAAGGCATCGCCCGATTTAGCGGCGCATGCGCGGAGGAGCGATAGGGCGTCATGGCTGGCCTGTAGACCGTTGGCGACCTGTGAAGGGGAAAGCAGCTTGCGGTCTTGATGGAAACGGAAGCGGATCAAGGACTGAAGTGTTCCAGCGACGGCATTGTTTTGGATTGCCGTCCCAACTCGCGTGCTCTCGCGGAGCAGAGCTTTGTATAGTGACAGACCTGCATCCTGCTTGTTAGAAGTCTCCGCCAAAACCACGGATGTCGCACCTACACGCTAGTCGATGAAGCCCCGATTTGTGCGGAGCAAGAATACGTGGCATCCGCACATCTCAGGTGGGATTCACACAGAGTACATGAAGTTCGGAAGTGAAAGAAATTGTACTCGGTACAGAGAATACAGATACAGGTCAGCCTCGCAAGCGACCAGCCAACTATAGATACCCAGGCAGGTTTGCCGATGACGAGGCTGAAGTCGACCGGAATCTATCATGATGTCTGACGACATTCTCTTGCTACCACCGTACATCCAGACATCCAAGGAGACAGTGGAAATACAAGTGACCAATGATAGCTGCTAACTGTGCATACCTTTCTATCATCTCACTCCTGAAGCTAGAATGGTGCTATGAACGATTCCCGACGCCAAGTATGCCTTCGTAAGAACTCGTGATTCATCGCTATACGTTCAGAGGTCCAACTCCATAATACCATGCCCATATTGCATATCTTAGAAAGTGGTGCCTTCTTGGGGTTGCGGAAGTTTCTTGTGTTGTGGTAGAGCCATGTACCTGCGGACATCAGTAACCTTTCGCGCACGACAGGATAGCCCAGCGTATGTACCTTCTAAGCTCGATCAAAATTGTCTCCATGGTGTAGTCTCGTTTCCAGTTCGCCAAGCAAGGCAGCTTCGATGGATCAACCTTATCCGCAAGGGTTAGAGTTGACAGTGTGCCTTTGATGGTATTTATCCTCACCTTCCCCGTCTTTTGATCGACACATGGCAGATTCACCCTCGACACGAACTGGATGGTAGGTGGGAGGTCAGGATACTGTTCGCCGCAATGGATGTTGACGCTGTAGATGCGATTCTCGTGGACGCTCTGTATAGCAAATGGGTCAGCTCAATCTGCCCCTCAGTGGAAACGGTGGTATGGGCGCTGTACGTGAGGAGGTCCAAGGATGGTGCCGTTCCAATTGGTCATCATCAAGTCATCACTGTCGGCCAAGCCATATGAGCACGCCTCTGCACGAGAGTCAGAAACAACATTCCTCAAGCAACATTCACAGGTAGTCGCAGACCTGCACCGAGGCCTTTCTCGCCCTTCTCCAACTCTTCCAGAAGCCGGAAATTTCGCGGCACTTTGGCACCCATGTTGAGATGGCGATCGGGTCGGATAAAGCGTGTGTTGTCACAAAATCGTTCTGCGGCGGGTCAATACTGTGGGAAGGAAAGACGAATACAAGAACTTAGGAGGGGCGACTTTAATGGGGAGAAACTTGAGAAGGCGGGCACGCGCCACAGCCTCGTCGCTTGGGTCATTCAGCCTTGGCATAGGACGACGCGCCCACGTGATCTCGTCTGTGGTTGGCTTGGCACGCTTGGCGATATTGTGGGGGCCAATAGAGACAACAGACTCAATCACAACCATCCCTAGTAGTCTACATAGATACCAGGCCGTCAAATATACAATGTATCAGAGAAACGATTGAGGATGATGGATTATCGATACCATATCGCTGGCCCTAGCAAAATGATGAGCTTGGTTAAAGTGGCTCAACTTCCCTCTTCCGTCCACTACTATTTCATCATCCATCGACTTTCTGGCCTCGCAAAGGACATCTCGGACAGATCTTCCGACCAGATGTTGTCAAAACTAAGACGACGACTGGGTCAAGACTGCCGTTGATCACCCTTCTGCATCTCCTGGAAGAGCCTTCCATTTTCCCATCCCCCGCAGCCGGAGCGAAAGTCGATTCTCTCTCAGAGCATGAGCTATCCCACCCCAGCCTCGGGCCCGTGCTGGCTTGCGTCTTTTTCTTTCCCGGACGCGGAGATCAATCCAGACCAGTACTCCCACCAGGATGGAGACGCAAAGCAGCACAATCGCAAAAATCTCGTACCACTTCAATTCCTTCCGTTTGGGCCGGAAAAGGACAGGTGACTGTCTCGACTCGGAATCGTCCTCCGCGGAGCCATAGAACACACCGGTGTCGGCCCCTTTCTGGCCCAGTGCAGGACTGACACCGCAGCGCTCCACTAGCCAGTTCTTGATGGCCGTTCTCTCGCTCTCCTTGTGGCAGTTCGACTGGCAATCAAATAAGCTCCCATGAAGACAGAAGCAGTTGCGGCCCTCGCTGACACAGCCGTAATAGACAAGCGCTGGGTGTAGACAACTCCGCGCACAGGCCGGCAGGCCATCGTATGAAAGGTAGTCAGATTCTGGACCGCATTCCTGGACGAACCAGTCCTCGACGGCCATCCATTCCCACCAAGTGCACGACCACGCGCAGTAAAGGGGGTCCTTGAGAGCGCAGTAGCAACTTTTCTCATATAACAGTGTCGACGGTTTTATCGGCGTGCACGCGTCTTTTGGGGCGCTTCCGAGAGGATCGGAGCTGCAAGTGGATAGCAGACAAGGCGGCAGTTTGGAGACATCGATTTGCTGGGTGCTATTAGTTGACTGACGCTGTGACAACTCTACGCCAGCATGTGTGGTCTGTGAGAGGATCTGCACAACGAGGGAGAGTGTGTATATCCTCCAGCCTATTTCCATTCTGCCGAGTGTTGTGCAGAAGAGTGGGAATTGAGCAAAGACGTGAAGAAGCTCAAGGGAATCTACCGCAGCTGAACATATTGTTCTCTGTATTCGGGCAAGCAAAAGAACCCCAGCGTGGGGACTTTGGGACAATGAGGCTGAGAATGCACGGACCACGAATACATCGCCTCGACCACGGGCATGCTCCAGTCTGCGAGAAGTGACTGGACAGACTTCAAGCTGGAAGTCCGAAGGTCTTGTAAACGGTCGAGCAAATAAGATGCTGCCAGCAACGCACCAGAGAAAAGATGCCCTCAAAGTACAATGCAAGGTGCCGGATTCGTGTCCTTGCAGATGAAGCTCGCACCCAAAGGAGCATGGGCGCTGCATCGCTCCGGTCCTAGTGGTCGCTTCCAGCACATTTACGCGAGACCACCCGTTTCTGCCCGTCCCGTCTGGGGCCAGAGCAACCATACCACACCAACATGAGATGGCTCTGCGTCTTGCTCCCAGCGAGAACTGGCGAGCCACCCTGTTCGTGGTGTTCCGAGGAGCCCGATTCAGCCTTATTGTGGGCAAAACTCTGCGTCTACGAGTATAAGGAGTGTGCACATCATCGCCAACCTCAGCACGTTGGCCGGGCAGATGCTGCTGAAGACCACCGTCGATGTCTAACTTCGCAATTCAGCGCCCAGTATGACACTCCCGACAGAGGTGACTGCAGCTACCAGGCTGGCGATGCTGCTCGCCTTAAGCCTCATCATTGCTTCGACCTCTGCCTACGACGGCAACATCTGTTGCATGAAGGCCGCCCGTTCGCCGGAGCTCCGGATCCTTTTGCAAGAGGAACCTTGGGATGTTTGCAGCCTGAACGACACCGAAACTTACCGCCCAGGGACCACGTTCCCTTCGATTAATATCACGATGGGATGGTGCAAAGCACACTGTCCTGGCAGTCAGCCAAGCGACCTGTCACAATGGCTGCAGCCCCTGACCAGCTGGGTTGTGCCTTACATCGGCCTTCTCTTGCTGTGTCCCTTCGGCGACATTAAAGATTCAGTCTCAGGGTCGCAAGCAAGGCTAACTTCGATGAAGTTTAGAGATATCTGGAACTGGTTCTGGGGATTCGTTCGAAGATATACTCAGGAATGGATTAATCTGCTCGGCGATCCAGCAAGTGCTATTTTTGGTGCGTTCTCAGAGATTTGGTCTGATGCAACGATGCTGCGCGAAATTAACTCGCGTCTGGATGCTGAAAGGCCGAATTGGGGCGAACGTTATTTGGTCAATCTCTTGAAATGGGTGGTCGTCCTAGTCGGCGACACCGAATGCCCCTATGAATACGATGAACAAACAGCGAATAGGAAGACCATTGAACTTGACACATTGTTCTCGCCAGAATCAGACAAAGGAGTGGATAATCCTCCTAAAGTTCGAGCATTGGTGGAGATTGCGATCAAGACTCTCGTCGAGGCTCGTACCGACTTCTTCAAGGCCGTCTTCTTGCCAACGGTCCTCTTCCTTGCGGTGACGGCATCGGTCTTCTATGACGCTTACACAAAACTTGGCGACAATGATACTGCAAATGGCCTGGCTTTTGGGATTTGGTACTCGTGGCTGGTGGTTCTCTCTGTGGCTGCAAATTGCTTTGCCAGCAGCGTGAATGCGGGTTTGACCAAGACTACGCTGGGCCGATATTTTCAGCTCTCTGACCGAAGTGTTCCACTGCGCGAGCGCTATTTCAACGGGCTGCTGTGGCATGAATGGTTGGCTTGTGTTCAGAGCAACCCAGAGAAGACGTTGTCCGACTTAAACGATAATGAACCCTTGTCACTCAACCTAATGGCGGACAGAATCGAAAACTCAGAAGGACAGCCTCTGGTCAAATACCCATCCCTCACATTGGCGAAGAGTTTCCAGCTGCTGGTGGGCCATGGGATTGCTTGGCTCTGCGTGGCCATTCCGTCCGTGGGCGCTATTATTGTCTCATACGTAAGTCCGATTGATCTGCAAGACCAGTATTGTTCCAGACGGGAGCATGGTCAGCACTGGGTGCGTTAAGGCTGACTCTTGATGGCCGACAGAACACGCCAACTGTTGGCTTTGACTGCCGATCATTCAACTTCCTCGTCTATGGAATCCTTGCATTGGTTGCTCCGGCCCTGCACATCGCATACCAGTGGATGCTTCGCAACAAGGGAAACAAATACGCGACAGAAGGACTGAAGATGTTTTACTGGGTCTTTGTCTGTGCCAATGCGGCTGTACTAACCATTGGCACCATTTTGCAGCTGGCTGGTGTCTATCGGAGCTGCCGGTGTCAACTCCTGTTCGCCTCGGATACCGACATCATCGAAGTGAACCGCAATACTCATCTGGCGGTTGACAATGCAAAGGCTTACTGGCTTCCGGTAGGATATGTGGCGTTTGGATTTGTTTGGGTGGTTTGTGGGCTTGTAACGGCAGCTAGGGCGCATATCTCGGTCGGCCTGGACCACATTGATGCGCATGACTGAGTCCAGGGTCTTTCGCCCTTCCGTGGTCTTCCCGCGGGCCGAGTTATACCCCTTGATGTTTTGTATACTGTTGTTCTGCAGAACCTGCAATGCTCTCCAAGTCCCTTCACACCGGGGTTTAGACTTGCCATTCACATTTGCAGTGTGGTTGGCATTTTGTTCCAGGAGAGACGCTCCTCCACCGACTAATTGACTAAATCATGTTGTATCTCTTCCTCGAGACTGTGCTCTGTTCCCTCGCTGTAGACGAGACTTCGATGGGACGAGGCTGTCAGGGGGTAGTAGCATTCATAAAGCAGCATCACATTTGCCCTCAAAGGGTATGGCTGAGTCTTGGCAGCATATTATTGGTCGCCTTGGAGAGGCCACCTTGAGCCACTTTGCGCTGCTTCTCTTGTACCACCAACACCAAGCAGTACGACGCTCCCTTCTCTCCGCCCATGATGAGGCGAAGCAGGGATGACACATGCATTTCTCCAGTCCGAGTTGGCGAGCCTCATATCAGACTCGAAGCGACGAAACAATGACGTGCGCGTCGCCGCCGAGCAGTCGCTCGCTGACCTCAAAACAATCTCGGTGACATCCGAATCTCAACTGGCCGGCGACCTGTGCCGGCGGCCCCTCTTCGTTGAGCCCTTTATTCTCGCTTGCAGAACCAAAAATACCAAGCTTGCAGCCACCGGAACTGCCTGCATCCAGAGGCTGACTGCAAGCAACGCGCTTGCTCGGACGAGGCTACCTGATCTCTTAGCCGCTTTCCGTGATGGGGCTGCTGCCGGCTATGAGCCTCAACTCAAAATCCTCCAGACCCTGCCTTCTCTGCTCCAGCTCTATGCCGATGACATACATGGAGACCTCCTTGCGACAGTTCTAGAGCTATGTGCGTCTCTCCAATCCAGCCGGACGGCCGCTGTGAGCAATACAGCTGCCGCGACTTTCCAACAATTAGTCTCGGCCGTATTTGAGAAGGCTGTGCAGGGAGAAAGTCTGAGGCCGTCGGGTGGGGATGATGGAGAGGACTTCTCTGCTGCAGATTCAAGAGGTGCCTCTCTGGACGATGCAGTTTGGCTGTTCGATGACTTTTGTTTGCTGCTTGACCACCAAAAACCGCATTACCTGAAAGTGGAAAGTCTACCCATTGGCTTTCTGCTCGAAACTCTGCAGACCATTCTGTCAACTTACGACTCGCTCCTTACAGCTGACCGACTCCGCGATCAGACATGGCCGGAAACCCTTGCACACGGTCTGTCGCGCGTCTTGGCGAGAAAGGATGCATTCGGCATGACGGCGCGCGCTCTGTCTATCTTGCTCCTGATGTTTCAATCTCGCGCTGTAGACCTCCGAGATCAACTGGCCGAGATGACACCTCTACTCATGGCTGCCTTGGAGAAGGACGGCAACCCACCATGGAAACGAGCTCTTTTCCTCGAGTTCTTTCGTACTCTCTGCTCTGACTTCAGCGTGTTCCGAGAAGCCTTTCGTCTGTTCGACAAGGGAGAAGACCCCGTCAAACTAATAGGCCAGTTGATGTCTGCATTAGTCCGTATTGCAGCGGAGGATCCATCGTTGATTGGGCTTGGGCGCCAATCTACTGTGCCTGTTCAGCGTGTAACTGACCCAAAGAGCGAAGAGGCTGCATCCATTGAGGCGCAAGGCTTAGGTGGTGCCATCACCTCTGTGACCTCGAATGACGCAAATACTACTGGTATCAGCGTCGACTGGAGTGTCGTGGCTGTTCGTCTGATGGATCAACCCGAGAAGAACACTCCCCCTGCAATCCCAAGCACTTATATCTACACTCTGGTGCTGGGTTGCATCTCACATCTATGTGATGGCCTGTCAAAGTTCATTATGCCACTGAGTGTTCCGAGCCGAGTCTCTCAACGAGACTCGTCGGAACTGGGCCGCAGAGATAGTTCTGCCACAGATCGGACAGACGACGATGCCACACGGAGACCTATTCGTCCCACTTCTGCCTCTCAGAAATATCAGCGACTCATAAATCCTCTGACCTTGACAAATCATCGATTATACGCCCAGATCCGGACATCTGCAGATCTCATCGAGTCCTGCTGGCCCGCTGCGCTTGCAACTTGCTCAACGTTCCTCAATGCCGCACTGGACTCTGAGTTTTACCATATGTTGATCCGATCAGTTCAAAAATTGGCCCAGGTTTCGGGTGTGCTCGAGCTCTCCACGCCCAGAGATGCCTTGCTCACGACTTTGGCAAAAGCATCCATACCTTCCAATGCGAGTAGCTTCATAGCAGCCTCTCAAAGTCTCAAGTCCCCCCGAACCACAAATGCGGAACATGGGTTTTTCAACGATGTGCTTAAATCCCCAGCTGAGCCACCGCCGACACCCACTTTCCAGGTCAGCAGTTCACCGCTCAACGTCAGGCACCTGCTTTGTCTTCGGGCGTTGCTAAACCTTGGTATAGCTCTCGGGCCGACGCTAGAAGAGGATGCTTGGTTCATCCTCATTGAAACCATGCAGACGGTTGAAGCTTTGATTGCAATGCCAAACACGGTTGCGGCAACCTCGCAATCAGAAAGTCCGAGGATGGGTCACGACGGTCAGACAACTCTCTCGACCGAGATAGCCGCTGTCCAGGCGGCAACAAAGCGAATGCTTGACAGCACACGAAGTTTTAGTGCCGAGGCGTTTGCGGTTATTGTGCATGCCTTATTCCGCCTGCTTGGACAAAGTGATGCGGAAGGTGATTCGCAACCCGCGGAGCAAAGCCTTGGCTCTCCTATCTCACCAACTCGTCTAGGGGCTCCAAGACCTGCACATCATGTCTCTCGAAGTGTATCTGGTCTGTGGACAAAGTCAAAAACATTCGATCTGGAGATCGGGTTCGTGCTTAACAAGCTCAGCGATTTGTCGCGCATCAACATATACCGCTTCGCATCTTCTGCAGAGCAAGCCTGTTCCTGGGATCTAATTGCAAGTCGTTTGCTGCGCCTCTCTCATGACACCAGTGTTGCTGACAATCATCGCATACAATCTGCGAGCATATTGGACTTGATCTCGATGGAGACAGTCAAGTTGTTGGATGACCCACGTTTCGAAGCCAGCGAGGCTGATACCATTAGATCCCGCTGCCTGCGATCCCTCTTACAACAGTTAGATTTCTTTGATGAGACTCCCAGTCGAAGGTATGATGGTGTCGAGCTGGAAATCCACAAGAGACTTCTAGATTCTCTTGAAAGTATGCTGAGCCATAGCGGAGAATCTCTGAACAACTGCTGGCCTATCGCCCTCGAGATACTGTCAATCTCGTTCGCGAAGAGGGGACAGGCACGACCGCCGCCTACCGACGCATCCACGGAACAGGCCGACAATCATGCGCAGACGGCTCAGATATTAAGAGTGGCATTCAGATCTATACAGCTGATTGCCTCGGACTTTCTCGGTGTTCTCGATACTGCTTCGCTCGCAAAACTGGCTCAACTTCTGCGTCAATTTGGCTCTCAGTATTATGACTTGAACGTGGCGTTAACAAGCACGACTGTTCTGTGGAGTCTCGCCTCTCAAGCTTTGTCAAGGATCGAGACGATCGATCTCTCTTCCATGCCAACTCTGGAGAGCCGGATTGAATCAGTCACCGCAACCTCCGAGTCTTCTTCTGGAATAATCTGGAGTGTCATTTTGCTGCAGTTGATTGAATTGTGCAAAGATGAGCGTGCAGATGTTCGAAACGCAGCCATCAAAGTCCTGCTGAAGATGCTTGATGCTTCGAGCGAGGCGCTAAGCCCAAATACATGGGCAATCATGCTCGAAGGTGGTCTACTCGACACTGTTAGATTTTGCATCACGCAGTATGCCGCAGACAAGAGCGATCAGAGCGAATGGATGGACTCCGCGGCTCAACTGACGGAGGGTATCATTCAGATTATATCTCAGAATCTAACAGTGGTCGCCACCCACAATGGCTTTGGCGACACATGGCTCCGTACTATGGACGTTTTGAAGTCTCTCCTAAGTACGAGCTCGCTGGTTGCGTCTTCGTTGGCCTTTTCGAATTTGTCCAAGCTTCTTTCCGCGCTGTCGATCTTGGGAGAAGTGGATGAAGATCTGATTGTGCCTCCAATGCAGCTTTGGACAGACTATCATCCTGCAAAGATTGGACAAGACTCTGAGCCTCACCATGTGGCCGGTGATGGACCGTCGAATCAACAAGCATTCACTTCGCATGCTAATGTCCTGGTCGAAGCGTACAAGACCAGGCCCGTCGCTGTTTCGAATTATATGCAAGGCCAAACACCTATGCTAATGAATGCCATCGAGTGCGGAATTCTGCTGTGTCTGCATCCTCCTTACACAAACGACATAAAAGCTCTGGCACCGGAACAGAAGGAGGGCTTGCAGTGCATGGCAATCCTGAAATCCCTCTTGCGTGGCCAAGTGTCGGAATATTCTCAGTTCATGCTCAGAATGCTGAGTCTCACTCTTAACATTCAGGATGGGAGGATTGGTCCCCAACATAAGAAATCAGCCATCTCGAAATCTGCGCAGAAGCCAACATTCATAGCCTTTGCTTCCACATGTTTGGATAACCTTCGGAACTTGATCCTGGAGTATGCAGAGGATGAGCAGTTCATCGACAATTTAGCCGTGCAAAGGGCATGCCAAGTGCTTTCCGTGATCATCAACACGAAATACACCAAGATTCCCACAAACAGTCAAGCACCGTTATGGAGGAATGCCACCGTCACTGCAGTGGTGATGCTCGAAGCTTTGCAGAAACATGTGAGCCACAGAAGGTCACGGTCAGTGGATCGCCCTCGCCTGGATGGTTTGGCACCCGACATCACGTCCATCGCCGTTAGTATCCTGAATTCTGGTGGTCTACCCAACCCGCCTGGTTCAGGTTACACCGAAGAGACAATCCTCGAAGATGAGACGTTTGACATCGAACATTTCCGGCTTCTGCATGATGCCATTGTTCCCATCTTCCAGCTGTCAGAAGAAATCCGGGAAGACGCATGCAAGGGGTATGCCGTTGTCATATTCCAGGCATCACTGCTCGCGAACCCTTGGTTTTACGACATTCCAGATGATCTCACTAATGACCCGTTGAAAGACTTCCTGGTGACGAGACCTGGGAGTGTCCACCGGCCGGTGTTTGCCGTGAGACGCAGTATCTGCTACGCGGCGCTGGATGCGCTATTTGGGCTTGTTTCACTACAGCGGCCTACGGAAAGGGGTAAGGACCAGGGAAATCTCAGGATCGAATCTTCCAAGTTAGCAAGCGCAGCAGCCCCTTATCTCGTATTGCGCGTGGCGCACCCTTCTAAGACATTTCTAGCAGACCAGCGGCTGCGAGGTCTTACTCCGCCGCCAGAGCCCCAGCAGGTGGAGTTGCAGGTTGTGCTATCCAAGTTCGTTGAGTTGAGGAGTGACGGTCAGGCGATTGCTAGGATGACACAGGATCTCGAGCAAAAGGACCCTTCTCAAGGATTGCCCATTGCCATGCGGAGACTGGGAGTCGGCGAAGTGGACGACGGCAAGGCCCACCTCCGCGTTCTCTACGCCTTGATGCTGCGCGTCCGGAAGTTCTGGCAAGGGCTGCCGAGATTACAAGGCCCAGGAGCACGCGCGTGGCAGGATGACGGGCCGGGCAAGGCGATCGAAGCGGCTCTAGACAGCTGGGCCAGGGTTGTGGCAGAGGATTGGGGGTTTCTGGGCATCGAATAGGGAAGGAGTTTCTCGGGGCTTTTCGAGAAGATGAGGATGTTAAGGTTGTTGCGAACGACTCTGAATATCACGACCGGGAGCTCGGAGCACGAATGTATCACCGCATGTTTTCGAGAGGAGAAAGACACATGAGGATACGTAGAACTGAGAGACAAATCGGCGCATGGAAAATATTGTGTTTGATCAAGTATGGAGGGCGATTGCCATCAATCCACCCAAACTTCGGGGTAATCGCATTGAGTTATTGGAGAAATTCTGGGAGTCAACGTCGGCAGGCTGCCTAGTCGAGCTAGTCTATGCCATCCACTGGGGACCGGTGGATCGAGTCCACAGCCTTCCAGCGTACCATTCCACAGCATGTTCTTCGAGGAAGAGCCGGTAACATCCCCGGATTTGACGTTGTACTCTGGACCAGACTCGAACTCGCCGCGTGGAACCCCGAATTAGACTTGCAGACATGGTGGTGTCACTTATGAGATGCCCAATGGCAATGTGAAGGTACACGATTCGACGCGGAATATTGCCCATTTTGGGTCGAGTCCCTCTGTGCATTGTAACCCTATCCAGACGCCTGCATCTCTGGTAGAAAGATTTTCCCGGCGAGGGTCTTCATGGCTAATGGCGAATACAAGGAGGAGGTTTCCTGGTTTAGGCAGGTGTCGGCGGTGTGTGGATGGGCAATTTGCCGCCAGCACCAGGCTGGTCTGTTGCTAGTGGGGGAGCTAGTTCGGGCGCCTGTCGGTAGAGCACTATTTCTGACTGTTTGAAGTAGCGGCGGGCATCTATTTGCACAATGTCAGCTGGAACAAAAGGTGGAATTCAACATAGACCGGGTATTGAAAAGTCGGATACCAGGCCTAGCGTGGGGGGTTTTGGCCCGTGTCGGCAATTGAAGATGAGCCTCGCGTGGAGAACAGCCAGTGTAGGTATGTTTGCAAGGCTGATACAAGGCCCAATGGCTCTCACCAAAACCCATGGATTGGACGACTCGTCCAAAGTCGGAGCATATCATAGGAACGTACCTTCGTCAATCAACACCAGACTGAGGTAATATCTGGTGGAATATTTCTTGTTCACCTCGCGGAAGGTCGGGGTCAGGTCAAAGCCTCCCAAGAACAGTCGGATGGGGATCGTTTCGCCTGGTCTCTCGTCAGTATATCATTTGGTACTCGTCCTTGTCCCACAACCCAAAGCATTGGTATAGAGCGAGACTCCATGCACAAGCACATCGGGGAAGGACGGGAAATCATACCTCTTGATGGAGAACCGTCCATAATCTGGAATCAACCGTGAGCATCAAGGACATGCAAAGCCATGGACCACGTACCTCAAACCGCACCAACGTCTCGCTCTCATTGTATTGATTGGGGGCGACACCAGTCGTCTCCCGTCGGATGATAGACAGCTCCATATGTTTGATCTTCAGTCTAACCAGTAAGAAGTAGATTCTCCCAACAATGACATCTTTGAGGTGGTATTTGCTCTTGGAGTATTCGAACTCGATGTGCAAGCAGTCTTCAATGCCGACATCCATCTTGATTGAGCTGTTTGTCTCCGGCGGTATCCGATATGAGTAGACCCAAATGTCCTTTTCCCGAATAACATCGGCCATCCTTCTCGAGACTGTGACGCGCACAAAGTATCGGAGCTTGACGTTGATGCCGTTGTATGACTCGTACTGTTTTTCGACGTTCTTGAAGTTGAATGGGAAGGTCTGAGGATGTTGGAGCTCCCCCGGCGCAGCAAGTTCCTGTCCTAGCGACAAGAACTCATAATGATTTCCCCGGTCAAAGAACATTTCTGGACAAGCTAGAGTCAGACCCCAACGGTGGCCCAGCCAAAGCGCAGTTCTATTGTGGCATACCTATCAGACCGATGAATTGGACCTTGATACCCGTGTGTTCCAGCCTTTTCCCATCCTTTGGTCTTATTGTGACAGCGCCTTTGACAGACTCGCCATCGAGATATAGGGGCGCCTTTTCCCGTCTGTTCTTGTCGAGCTTAACATCGACTGTCTGTCGCTCGTCGGCGTCTTCGAGGACAATGTCGATGTCGACCGGAGTTGAGAAGAAGAATGCTGACATGGTAGAGAAGGTGGGGGACGGAAGGGGATGCGGCAGGTGTAGTTATCTAGCGACTGGGATGCTGTGAGGAGAATATTGCCTGAGAATATGGGAGATGCAGCAGAGATGTTGTCGGCGTTCAAAAGATGTGAGCTGCGCTACACTTTGTATAACAGGCGACAATAATGCCCTAGCGAGCCTGGCTACCTAGGTACGTCGTTCTCTGGAACCGCAGCTGCGCTTAGCCATCCGTGCTGCCCCAGATGAGTGCCAAGCCCCCATCAATCTTAAGCGACAAGCGCCTTTACTCTTGGTTTTGGCTGCGCGTTGATTCTCTTCACCACCTTTCCGTCAACAATCTTCCTACAGCATTCAGAGACCCGGTTAGCCTAGGGCAAAGGTATGGAATATACCAGAGGATCCTCGAGTCCGTACCCATCATGTTACGAGTGGGTGATCAGGCATCGCCTACATCATCTCCCACATACCCATGCCCTTCTTCACTGTCCTGCGGTGAATGTTTTGGGCTTCACATCGACCACGGGCCTGCCTCGAGACGGACCTCCGTGAAGACTTGAATCAGGTACAATGCACTGCAAGGTTGTGACTTCCAACTGTTGGGCCAAGACAAGACCAGTCAGATGTGAAGCAAGAGAAGAGTTTCTGGATGATAAGCATGTGGCGGTTATGGAGTCGTTGAGTCTTATCTGTGACCCGAGCGGACGGATGGTACTCTTGGTCGACACTCTCCCAACTCTTTGGATTTCCTCATCGTCGTCCTCCTCCTCAACGCCTCCCATCGGCAACGGTAACTGACGGGGATTGCCCTCCATTGTCAAAGGCTGATGGTTCAATTGCCGATCCCTTGGAATCTTTTCCGTCTTCCCCGCAGGCCGCACATTCTCCAAAGTCTCTAGCACCATTCCAGCCCTTGTCACTGCTTCCCCGATCAATACGAGAACTCTGTCCCTGGGGGCCTCGATTCCACGTCAATCACTATTCTCCTTAAGCTTCAGACGGTCATCTCGGTGCCGCAGTCCGCGACTGGACCTGATCTGATCCTGCCACCTGGTCATCATCGCCAGATATTAACCGGCAGAACCACCGTCCTAAGTGGACTTCAGCGTGTGGGGTAAGACCGGGCAACTGTCACCCTGGATCGAATCCAGCTCTGTACGACATTCAGCCATCTCGAGTCTTTCGAATTCTTTCCCATCCAGAATTCCAGCACTGACCGCCACCCCAAAAAGCAAGTTTGGTGAACCTGAACGGCAATCCTCAACCCTACATCCGCCCCCCTTTATGTGCTATTTCTTTATATCCCAACCCTCCTCCCCAGTAAGTGACCGGTTCTTTTACTCTTCATTTCTCTTATACTTGACTTGCTCGAACCCCACGCACTATTCCTGTCGCTCGTTGCCTTTGTTTGCTCGCGTGTCTCCCCCCGGCACTAGGCGCCGCATCTCGTGTTCGCTTCAACCGTGACATCACCCGTTTGCTTTGCCTGACATACGCCGCCATGCTGTCGACAGAACGATCGAGTAGACCTCATCCCTTTCGGCACCCTCATCGACCGATTTCTTCAAATTACGGGGCCTCTGCACGAGCCATGCAAAACGGGACCGATCACCTGGAACACATTTGGATCATTACCGGTCCTGCAGGATGTGGAAAGACTACGGTAGCTCAGCACCTTGCTGCTGAGTTGTCGTTACCCTACATCGAGGGTGATGATGTATGTTCTGCTGTCTTCAATTTATGTGCGTCTAGACTAAATAAAAGCACAGTATCATCCCACTGCCAACAAGCAAAAAATGGCCTCAGGAATTCCTCTGACGGACGCTGACCGCTGGGATTGGCTGATCACCCTCCGAGAAGAAGCCATCAAAAGGCTTCAAACCTCCAATTCCGTCATTGTCACATGTTCGGCCCTGAAGCGCAAATATCGCGACGTCATTCGTGTCGCCAACTACGACCATCCGTCTGTTCAAGTCCACTTCATCTACCTCAAGGTTGACGAGGTAACGCTGCAAGCGAGAGTGGCTGCGCGAGTCGGTCACTACATGAAAGAAGGGATGGTGCACAGCCAGATGGCCACGTTGGAGGAGCCGGAGGAGGAGCTTGAGTGGGATGTCATGCAAGTCGATGTGAGAGAAGATAAAGAACTGGTCAAGCGACATGCACTCGAGCTCGTGCAACGCAAGCTGAAAGAATATGATGAGCTGGCAGTGCCGCAACAAGGCCAGTGACGGCGTATTGGGTGCAAGTCAGGGATTTGGCTGACTTTGGTACTGATTGGAACATACTAGGGTGAGCAAATGATTTGAGCAAGGGCGCAGGGCGTTATGCAATGGGTCGGAGTCAGACCTTGATAACTGGCAAGAAAGAGACCAACATCCGCAGTGTACTTGTAAGCGACAGCAAGGGAAGGAAATACATCAAGAGGGCCGGAGTAGCCAGGGCGATGGGTTTGGGCGCCACTCTTTTTCTTGGGATTGCGACAAACACCGTGGGCGAGAACTTTCTTCCAGCTTGGGTGAACCGCCGCGGAGCATCTTGCGTTACAGCAACGGAGTGAGACAAAGTCAACCCAGATTTCTGAGAGAGACAAGAAAGTAAATTCTATCTGATCATTACACTCTTTATTCTCAGCCAGACCATCGACAGACCAAGTCGAGGCTACTGAGCCATCATGTGCCATCAAGGTGATTCTATCGTCTGCGCTCTTCCCTCGATGTACAAGACAGAAAAAAAGATTGCTGCTTTGCTTTCCCCCGTAAGTTTGTTGTCCAGAAAAGCACTGTCCCACTGTACTTGTATGTACATTACGTACGTACATGATATTACGAGCAAGGCCATGTCATGTCCCTTTTTCCTGGTATCAATCAATCAATCCATCCATCCAGGAAGTCATGGCGGCCACTAATTAATTACCCCTGCCCTTTCCCCTTCAAAGGTATATGTACATGCATACATTACCTATGTACCTATTCGGTAGACGAGGAGGTCACAACAGGAACCATGCGGCGAGAATCAAGGTCCAAGCACCGAGGCCGATACCGCCACGGCGCCAGAAACGCGTCTTCTCGCTGGATGCTGCGTTGGGCGCCTCCTTTCCGACACCTGGCCCAGTCACGTCCGCAGGGACGCCGCAGCTGGTGGCGCCGCAGAGGTAACCGCTCGGACAGCACCCGCCGCCGACGCTGGGGGCGCACGTCGCCCAGCCCTGTGCGCAGTTGCCCGTGGGCAGCGTGCCGGGCGCGGTCATGCCCGACCCCGTCGGCGCGACGATCGTCAAGGTGCTCCCCGACACGAGCGTCGTCGAGGGCAGCGCCGGGCACGACGTCGAGGCGCAGTCGCGGCCGATCTGGCAACATCCGCCCACGTAATATGCGGAGCAGGCGTAGAAGCCCGTCGGACACCCGGTCACCGGGTAAGATGGCGACGTGGAGTGGGTGGTCGTGGTGGTGGTGGTTTCTACCGTCGTGGTCAGAGAGGTCGGCCGCACGGGCGGTTCTGGCGTCGCTGACGATGAGGTAGAGAGGGGAGGGCAATTTGCGGAGCCGCATTGACGATCGGTCGGACAGCATCCACCGCCCAGCGTGGCCGGGCATGAGCGGAAGCCCGACGAGCAGGTCAGTGGCAGGGTAGTGGCAGATGTGACCGTGACCGTGAGGGTGACTGTCGAGATTACTGGAGGCAGTGGGGAGACGCTGGAAGTTCTGGTCGAGGTCGGTGTGGTCGTGGTCGTCGAGGTAGGGGTTGTGGGCGTGGGCGTAGAGGGTGAAGGCGTGATTGTCGTGTATCTCGTTACTGTGGTCGTGGACGGCGTTGGGTTGGTCAGAATCGTCGCGGTCGATGTCTGGACACATCCGACCTGGTAGCACGCGTATCCTGGAAGACAGCACCCACCGCCCGGATCGTTCGGGCACGAGGTATAACCGCTGGCGCATGTCGTCGAGAGTGCATTCCCGCACACCTGGCCACTCGGGCAGCATCCCACATCACCCAGTCCAGTATCCTGAACCAGTTGGCAGGTGTAGCCCGTGGCGCAGCAGCTGTTGGGTCGGTCGATCGAGGTGCAGGCAGATGTGCCCGTCGGACATTGAAAATCCCTCTCCGCGAAGAGATGCCATCCTGGCAGCAGTCGCCGGAAGAGGCGCGGACTCTGGTCCTTGTCGTGGACTCGGACCGGGAGATCGAAGGATGTGAACGTGGTTGCATTGGCCCACTCTGATGAGTCGCCGCTGAATTCGACCTCCTGCTGCTGCTCAAAGCCCCAGTATTGTAGATAGAACATCTCTCCCGGGTCTCCGCTCATCTTTCTCACCCCGGTTGGGATATTCTTTTGAAGTTTCTGTTGTGCATCTAGATCCCTTTTGACCCTCAATTCATCTTCGGGGTAGTATTTCGAATCGGGTGGGAGATTGTATGGCCACTGCAACTTCAGCTCTTGACATGTCACCGACGGAATCGAGCTGCCGATGAGGACGAGGAGCGATGAGGGTAGGGCTGCCAGTTGCAGCCATGGTGCCATAGGCACTGTAGAAAAAAGGGCAGCTTCAGCGTCCGGCTACGACGATGAAAGGCGGTGGTGGTAATTCGTGAGGACGAGGCGAGGACGATGCAACCCCTAGAGAGGTGAGGTAGACGGAGAGTGAGTAATTCCTGACAGTAATGGAGTCAGTGATCTCAGGACCTTACAGTGACATTTACAACAAAAGTTTAGAGACATGATGAGGCATGAAGACTTGGTGGCATTTGTTGGCATTGTTGGCACCGCAAGATGCGAGATGCGAGATGCGAGATGGCTGGGATGGATCATTTCCTGTGGCCGCGCAGAGATGGAGCTGCGCTGGTGAGACGCGACCATTCGGCTGGTGGGATTTTGGCTGTGGATCCGCTGGTGTGTCCCACCTCCGTCACCAGCTGGTCCTGTCGGACCTCGTGGCGCCCTCAACGGCTATCCCGAGTCTCCGGCCGTGACTTCGCGGCCCCTGGCCCAGCCTTGCATGCCGTGATCTTCATTGGGCACATGTCTTTCATCCTGCATTTTTCCACCACACAAACACACACACCGACATCTGCGCTTCCATTTTGACCACGGCTCTGTAGCCAGTCCCTCAGTGACTAGACTGACGGTACTGCCCATCCTGCTGGTGCTCGGCGGCCTCATTTGGTTCCCACCTCCAGATCGAATGGTCTAGTAAGTGCCTGCCTTCAAACCCTTCAATGACCCCAGGCTCAAGGCCAGCCCCTGTGATCGTGACCGAATCCGAATAAACCCTACAATCGAGTTGTCCGCCGTCTTTTCTATGCTCAAGTTCGCCAAAGCATCCTCACCTAGGTCCAGAGTCAGTCACACCAAAACAAATTTACACGCAGAGATGCGTCACTTACCGAAAACACTCCTCGCATATAGATTTGCGCTCAGGAATTGGCAGTCACCTTTCAAGCTGGCTTCCGGTGTCAGACACGTCATATTCGTACTCTTCATAAGTTGATCCAAGAATTCTCGTAGCGTCTTCGTTGTCGCTTTGCTGTTGATATTCACTTTGTTTTCCCATTCAAACTCGGTCCACATGGTCCGGAATGCCGATTCGGAGCATGTCGCGGGCTGAATGTAGTCCATGATATCTGCATGCACGTCGTTCAGGATGACAACATGTGTGTCTGTCCCCGATGGCGAGTCATAGACGACGTTGCCAAATATCACTCCGGTATCCGTGCTTGACACCTTGATGGTCGACTGCACATTGAGGAAGTCGTGCGGTCCTAGATTGTGTGTAGTTGGTCGTTCCACCACCTTCAGATCACCTAACGTCGCAAATTCCACCGAGAGGTTCTGGAGAGTCTCGGTCGTCTGATTGACCAGGAGTACATCGAGGATGATGTCGAATTGGTGAACCTTGACATATGCCTCGGCGTATACCGGGTCTGAAAACCCAGTCAGTTGCACCACACGGCTCAGCTTGGAGGATAGATCTTCAAACGAAGCATCCCCGCCGGTTGCTTTCTCGAGATCAAGTTCCATCTCATCTGTCCCATCGCCTGCATTCTTCTTCGATAGCTGTCGTATCGAAAGAACATCGTCTACTTGGACAGCTGTCTTTGCCTTTTCTACGGCTTCTTTCGCCGCCCGTTTCTTCTCTTCGGCTTGTACCATGGCACGGAAGGCCTTCCGAGTATCGTCCAGGAAGGAAACCTCAAGTTCCTTGCGTTCCGTGAACTCGGCCAAAGCTCGTACACAAGACATGATTCGGTCCACAGAATCCTCGTCAATGGGCGCCTTGACGAAATGCGACTGCCCGACTCGAACGATCGAAATCATGATCAGCATGGCCTCAGCACGCAAAGCATTAGTGCGTGCCTGATCTTTCGAGATCTCCGAGTGACGCATAACAAGTTTGGTCAAGGTAGAAGAAAGCACCGTCGCCAGGTAGTAGTCTCCATCGAGGATAAGCTGTCTCAACGGAGGTTTCTGTGCTGCTTTGACTGCTTCCAGTCTCGCCTTTGCGGCGGAATCGCTGGTTAGAGCGCTCTCAGTCGCGTATGTACCGTCGGCGAGGATTTTCCGTGATCCACTGGCGGCGGGCTTGGGTGCGGAGTGACCGTTGACCTGCTCCTTAGCCTCACCGTCCTCGTTCGACTGCTCATCTAACAGCCGTTGCTCCGAAGCAAGTATGGGGATCTCCCCAAGGCTCGCCCGGATGCGTTTCCAGGCCTCCTTGATATCGTTCTCTTGTAATGAATATTCCCCAATCACCCACAGCGAACCACGGTATACCTTTCCTGCCCGGACCTCTCCCAAGGTCGACACCAGGCGTTCGACGATGGAAGATCTGAGCTTAGGAAACTTCTCAACCACCTCCTTGACAAAGGAGATGACGTCCACTGCGGAGGTGTTGTTGAAGTCGGCGATAAAGTCCATCAAGACATCGACCACACTGGCTGCAATCTCCGAGAACTTGATGGCGCAGTGGTGGATGGACTGAATCAGGAGTTGTCGGTATTCCGAGTTCTTTTCGTATTGTTCAACCACAGTCTTGCTGAGTTCCTTCTTCAGTAGCATGACGATCTCTTGAACGTTTTTGCTGGAAACCATCTCCAATGCAATCGCCAAAGCCTTCCGTCGGACGTCTAGGTCGGGGCTGGACAGGACACGCAAAATTTCCATGGTGAGATCATCCAGCACGCCCTCATTCCGTCTCCGCAACTGGTCAACCCGGTCAAGCACGATAAGCTTGACGTTGTTGTCCGCCTCTTTGATGCTGAGCTCGATCAGTTTCCCAGCGGCAGCCTTCACAGCCACGGGATTGTTAGTCAGTGCTGTTAGGGAGGTTGCAGCTTCATAGACAACCGTGCTTGTGTTCGCTTCCAACAGATCAAAGATCAACCGCAAATACCGCGCCTTGTTTGCTTGATTTTGGACAGCATCTTTGCGGATAAACTCGAGCTCAACCAGCTGGAGCAGCTCATCGGCATTCGGCACTCCGTCTAGGACTCCGGTGAGATATTCCAACGCTTTGTCATGGCTTATAGTCATCAAAGCCGCAAAGGCATTCCTTTTACAGGTGGTATCGGTCTCGCCAGCGAGGAACGTGTGGAGCATCTCAGGAGCATCTGGAATCAGGTGCTGGGCATTCTGGTATACAGAGGCCAAGGCCCATACCGCGTTCTTCCTCACGTAGGCATGTCTGTGATCGAGGCAGGTTTGTGCGGCAGAGAGGAGGGGTTCGATCAATTCGGGTTCTCGAAGTTTGGAAAGAAAGCGCAGTGTATTGCCCCGGACGAACTCGTTGGGATGCTGGAGATCGTTCCGAATTCCATTACTAGCGGCTATTAGTCTCAATTTCGCTCATGTTTGCACAGACAGTTGAGCGCACCAAACAAGAATCATCTCTTGCTTTAACTTTCCATTCGCGTCCAACTTCGGACAGATTTCGTAGTAGAAGTAGAGAAGTTTCTTCAGAGACTTGCTTTTCGAGGGCATGACAAAACGGATAATGTGCATCAACAGATTGGGCATGGGATCGCCATTGAGCATGATCGTGAGAATCCGCCGCATGGTTTCCATCTTCGTCTCATCTGTGCCCTTTTCTAATTGTGTCTTGAGGTCCTGCTGACTTGGCTGGTCGGCGGTGTTGTCAAGGTGCACTAGACTGTACGAGTTATCAAGGAAGGTCGCCATGGTTGCGGGAATGTCTTCAGCACAGACGGACGTGTTCAGGACAGGACTCTAGAGATGATTGAAAGACGTTGCAACAAGTTGCGCGGAGGAGGGTCGGCTGCGGTAGGAAAGGATCAAAGCATTCTCGTGAAATTCTAAAGGTCGTTCCGGAAGTGTCCCAGAGATCAAAAGACACACCAAGAGTAGCAACCAAGGACGAGGACTTCCTGAAGCCTTTTGACAAGTTGTCGTGGGGGGAGACTGCGACCGCCAGAAGATGCATACACAGTGATCTGTCCAAATGTGGATGGCCTTGGCGGTCTGTTTGTAGCGGCGAGGAGGTTGTCCCTGAGCTAACGCAAAATGGAGAAGGCAGCGGCTGCTATAGACATCACTACAGAGTAGACAAAAGAGGATCTAGTTGGGCTTGGCATTCTTTGCTTGAAAAAGGGGAAACTAACGCGAAGGCCACATGGGAGATTCCACTGTCAATATCACTCTATATCTACCACTTTCATGCCTCCGATGTCTGTTGACGAGAGCGGAAGTTGGGGTAGTCTAAGCTGTGACGACGGCACCTGTTTGTTGACTTGACCGCTTCCGGAGGGTGGTCACCCGGATTGTGTTGCTGACGGGTTATCTCCCCGGACTAGATCAAATGATACTGATGCTGCCGAGTTCGACATTCTGGACGTGTTCTACAAGGTCAGTGGAAAATGTATGAGTGATGTGCGCCCACCACATTTCGAAGCCATTTGTTGAACAACGTCCATTGACTCCTACATCCTCCAACAATATAAGGAGACGGACGTGATGGGTTCGGTCGATTCCGTCACAGACCTGTCGCAGGTCTCTCCTGTCTTGCTTCGAAAGTACATCGACGGCTGTCACATGCTCCATCAGCATGATCTCGTCGACGCATACGGCCACCTGTCGATGCGTTTATCCAATTCGACTTTTCTGATGTCCAGGTATCTCGCTCCGGCTTTGGTTGCATCTCTTGAAGACCTTGTCATATACAAGATTGAAGATGCACAACCTGTGAAACTAGATGCCCCACGAGGTAAGTAAACCATGACAGGTGCTTCCTTGACATTGCGAAGTTTGCCTCCATCGGATACACTGAATGATATTGTAACACGGCCAAAACAGGATTCTCGGAGCGGTTCATTCACTCGGAAGTGTACAAAGCCTATCCAGCTGTCCAGTCAGTGGTTCATTCACATAGTCTGGATGTAGTGCCGTTTTCAATTTCGACAGTGCCGCTGTCCGCGTGTTTCCACATGGCAGGGTTTCTGGGCACTGCTGTTCCCGTGTGGGATGCTGCTTCTGTGTATAAAGACCATCCATCCGACAATCAGGACATGTTGGTGAGGAACATCAAGCTTGCGTCTTCGCTGGCTAAGACGTTAGGGGAGGATGGCCAGGTCAAGCATCCAGTTGTGCTCATGAGAGGTCACGGGATGGTGGTGACTTCTGAGAGCCTCGAAATGTGCATCTTCAACTGTATCTATACACAACAAAATGCAAGGGTTCAACGCAGTGCAATGGGACTGGGTGGCGACGTCAAGTACTTTACGCAGCGCGAGGCCCACGATACAGGAACGACGACCGGGATGGGAGCTGTGAAGCCATGGCCGCTGTGGGAAAAGGAGGTTGCCAATCAAACCATGTACCGCAATCTAATACCTACATCCGAGGCTGGACAAGGCTGAGTGGGAGGGAGTCTACAGGCAACTCATGGACTATATCGGAGATTGCTTGTGCTCGGTCGATCTAGGTTATCGAAATAAGACGGGTACCAGAGTTGTTGGGGGATTTCTATCAGTCCTTTAGCCCGGGCGCCTCCAACTTTTCCCTGAAGCTGCCAATAATGGAGGATGATCTGGGCGGGACAGACACCAAGTTGATGCCAAGCCATTGCCCCACTTCTCGGCTCTAACTCCCCGGCCATCCCGGCACAGGATTCCGAGGTCGGAAATAAAGATATCTCCCCTTTCAAAACCACCCCGACTCCGCGTTTTCCAACCTGGTCAGGAGACAAAAACAAAAGTCACACAACCTAGAGACTGTCTCATGCAGCATGATAGCCGAGTCTTCTACTGCTTCGCCTGCGGACAATGAGCAAGACGCCGCTAAGCAACCCTCCAAGAGACGCCGGATTGGCTATGCATGCGATCTTTGCAGGTGGGACTTTTTGACCCCAGACTCCACCTGTGTACCGTCTGCAGGGCTGTGACGTTTTGACGACTGACGACTCTCCAGACTGAAGAAGAATAGATGTGATGGCGAACGTCCGTCTTGCCAACAATGTCGACAACGTCGGCAGGAGTGTGTTTACTCACCCCAGAGGGCGCGAGTGACTGTCACGCAAGAGTAGGTATCACCGTGTCGTATATGGCGGGGTGTTTCATATCTCACAAGCTAAACAATGAAATGCTAATGCGGAGACTGGGAAAGTTATGTTGAAGAGCTCAAGATGCGAAATGAACTCCTCGAGAGACAGCTTGCGGCTACGCAACGAGCCAATCCACGCCATTTGTAAGTGCTATCATCGATGCCCCAACCGGCCCTGTACAACGGCTCACAGATGGGAAGCAATGTCCCTACCTTACCGGGAGAGATGGAAGGTCCTGCAACGATATCCAGCGACGACGGCCGAGCCACGAATCCAGGGAACCAATACGTCTCCCCGTCACAGAACCAGACGCTGGACCGTCCCCGCTTAGTGGAACAACAACAAGCTATGCGAATGCCTAGCGAAAGCCACACTGCTGCATCTGATCCAGCAACTGTTTTGAGCGATGCAAACAAGGGCACACCAACCGAGTACTTTGGCGAGTCTTCGACTTTTGATTTCATGGCCAAAGTTGGTTCACCAGAGAAGGAAGCATCAACTGTGCGGTCAGGTATTCCCGCCGGTGGATCCTCTCTGAGAGATCCCAACACGTCCCTCGCAACCTCGTCTCCATCGGTACCGTTGTTTGACCTCTTGAGTGCCGAGTCGGATGATCCATTTGGGCTACCGTCTCGATTCGTGGCTGACCGTCTGGTGGATGCATATTTCAAGTACCGGCATCCGCTTAATCCATATCTTCACGAAGGGACATTTCGACAGAGATATCGGCGGCTGTGGCTCAGTCAAGATCTAGGCGGAGAAGAGGCTACACAGCAGAGCCTGGCCTGGTATGGGCTGGTTAACCTTGTGTTTGCGTTCGGCAGCGACCACGCCAATATCAGTGGCCGTTCAGCTGGCGACCGATCCCGCTATTTCAAAAGGGCCAAGACTCTGCTTGTGTCTGGCATGTTACAAGTCAGCACCATCGAGCTCGTTCAAGCTCTGCTATTGATGGGTCAATACCTCCACGGGGCTCTCGAGCTCAACAACTGCTGGACCGTCATCGGACTTGCAATACGCACAGCACAGGGACTTGGGTTGCACCTCAATCCTGCCACCTTTACTTCAGATAAGATTGAGCAGGAGGTTCGCAAGCGGGTGTGGTGGGGCTGTTTCGTCCTCGACCGAGTCTTGAGCATGAAAGTCGGGCGTCCCACGATTCCAGACGGCCCAGGAATCGAAGTGGGAATGCCGCTCGCAGTAGACGACGAGTTCCTGTCCAACGAAGAGGAACAATCTGTTCAGCCTCAAGGGGTACCTTCCAAGCTGGAGTATTTCAACCAGGTTATTCCGCAGTGCCGTTTGATGGAAAAGATCTTGAAGACTCTGTACAGTGGTGACGGGCTCGGCGACAATTCGCAGAAGGCAAGGCCCGTAATGGACACAACTCAATTCCTGGCCTTGTCGATCCAGCTCGATGGAGAGTTGACCACGTGGCAAGAGAACCTCCCGAACCATCTGAAACCAGGGGCAGAGGGCCTGGAGTGGCACTTTGAGCGACAGAGAAATGTTCTGCTTATGAGGTGGGTATCACTCGCTCCTAGGGGCTTCTTTCTCCATTGGCTAACAGAGAGGTCTTGCAGATATCTTCACGCGCGACATCTGATCCACCGCCAGACTCTGTTGCTTTACATGACGCGGCGAGTCACGGACCATTTCCAGCGCGAAATTATGCTCAAATGTGTCAAGCGCTGCGTGACGGCGGCCTACGACTCGATCACTCAGATGGGAAGCTTGCATCATCAGAACAAGTTATCGTCGTTCTGGCACAACTCGCACTGTAAGTGCTCTCTGATGGTTGTTCGAATCGACGAGACTGACTTGTTTCTAGATGTCTTCGCGGCACTTGGTGTCCTCTTAGTATACCAGACCGTCGAACCCCAGTCCAAGGCTAATATTGCTTTGCCTCCGAATGTGGACGTTGATCATGCTGTCAGAATGGGCCTTGAGCTACTTCAACGGGTGGGTGGCCAAATGCACCCACTTGCATCTCGATATGTACAAGCCATCCAACAACTACGGGCGAGACTGCAAGCCCTGCCCACGTCGAGGAGCAAGGCCCCGTCGCGAGAGATGAGCAGCTCTGACAGAAACGGAGCACAGACCGGGGCTGTATCTTCTGGAAATGCCAACACCAATCAGCCACAAGTACCTGCTAATGCCGTCGGGTATCAGTATCCTCATCAAGCCCAGCATCAACAGGTCGTAAATCCCCTATATCCTGCTTACTCGCAAGAGACGTATCATGTGACGGCCGGTGAAGGGTCCTTGAGGGCTGGATTTGAGGACGAATTTGCCAGCATTGAGAGCATGTTGATGGACAGCACCGGCTGGACTGGCTTGATGGATGATTGGAGTGACAACCCGGTACGTGGCCCGCTTCAAACCCCTCTGATAACTCTGAAAGGCCTGACGAACTAACCCCGTGCCAATCCCTCAGACCTACGCCAGATTTACATATAATGGATTTGCCTGAACCTCCCTGCTCCAGGCAGTCCACGGCCTGAGAACTGTTTTCTCATTGATCCCGGTGCAGTCGGCCACCTCATCGTCATCGAGAAACGTCAGATCAGCCGCTGTGCCGTCATCTTGCCCGTGGCGGGTCGCATTGGATCCCATCCTCAACGAGCTCTTCAGCATCACCGCCGTGGTCTGGACAATGGCATTGTTTCTCGTGTAGATGGAACGAAAAACACAATGCTCGACTGACGTGGCAGCCACACTCATGCCGTGCCCTCGCATCAATACCACGCTCCGGTCAAGGTTGCCGCCACAGCCGGGTGTATTGGTGAACAATGCCGCAAGCGCCGCGCCGAGGTGCTCGGAGCGGATCAGGAGGTCTTTGATGTCTCCTTGCCTGAAGTGCGGACGAGGTTCGAAGACGGGCGTTTCTTTCCCTGCAATTCAGAATTAGTATCATTCCCATTTCCGGTGAGCTCCCCTTGTTCTTCATCTCAAACTACCGTTTTCACATCATCTCCCAAGTCGAGACTCCACCAGAAGGGGAAAAAGGCTGACTCCTGCAGAAAACGCCTGGAACACGGCAGCACGACAACACCAAGGGTCGACGAGACTTACCCAGAAATCCACTCGTGTTGACACAAGCCTTGAGCCCCGAATCCCCTCTCCCTCCTCCCAGCAACCCCCACGGAATGACCTCCCGCGCGTGGCTGTGGCACACGCTCTTCACGGTCGCGAACCGCTTGTACAGCTCCGAATGGATGAAGCGCTCCGTGTAGCCCCTGGGGGCGTGCGGGTCGACGGGCTCGGCGTCCTCGACGCGGTACTCGACAATGTCGTCGGGCGAGGCGACCAGCGCGGCGGGCACGTAGCGCGCCATCAGGAACACGGCCGGGTTGGTCGGGTGCCGCACGCTGATGTGGCCGTAGGCGTCGAGGACTTGGCCCTGGTGGTGGAGGATGTGGTTGGCCGTGATGAGGGTGCGTTTGGCCGTGGAGAGATCCATCTCTCTCGCGGCTTCTTGACGGGATGGTCGCTCCTTTTTTTCTCGTGGGGAATATTTCTGTCGACAAAGAACAGTGTGAACAGTGTGATGATGATTCACACTGTGATGATGACGATACGATAGTCACGGTGACGACGAACGACGAAACGACAGACCTGAACGATGTGTACGTTTTCCTCCGCCTTCTCTAAAGGGGCGACTAGGGACAAGGGACAAGGAGCAACTATTATATGCAGCTACAGACCCAAGACAGGACAGGACAGGACAAGACAGGACAGCCGAGCCAGATCGATCCTCGTGCTTGAAAAGGAACCAAATGTGGATTCAGACGGGACATACTGTACCCAGGTAACTGTCAATGACAACTCCGCTTGGCTATGGATATCCATGGAAAACCTCCTCAGCACATGGTTCTCGGTAAAGGATACCTACCATACTACCAAGGTATTTTGTTGGGGGTGGTCTCCTGACACTTTTCCAACACTATACCCCAATAACTCATGAGGTACATACATTCCTACAACTCAAGAGGTAAGGTACATACATAATTCCCTCTGATGGGCTGTGTAACTCTGCCCTCCCTCTCCTGCCATCTCTGGAAGAAATTTATCTCCCCGGGACGATCCCCCTCCCCTCCCGGCTGTAAGCTCCGCCATGTCTACGAGCATGACCTATTTACGGGATATGATCCGGCAAATTGTAACATGTGGACTCGACGGGTGTGGACTAGATGGTCTGTTCTATTAGATCAGATTAGGGGTTGTTTGATCAAGGGCCTGTGTATTTGTTCTTCGTCAGTATGAATTGATCAGTCAGGATGTCAGACTAAAGGGAAGGGTGTGTTTGTTCAGTGGTGGATTAACTGACTTATACAAAGCATGTCTGTTACCGCGCATACCCGTGCTAGATCGCTATCATTGTACAATTACCATAAACCCCGCGATCCGAAGCATCCAATTCATACTCGCCTCGCCTTACCCCCCAATTTATAGTCTCGAGACCAGTCAAGCTCAAGCCTTGACCTCTCCTTCCGCGGATGTCGTTGTCGTTTCAACCGGGATGTTTGCGTCCGGCACAGGCTCATTGATCGACCTCCATTCCGCCATGAAGGCAGTGAGAAAGGCGACACCGCTGACGACAGTGGTGAAGATCCACGCGTCCCTCAACCCAATCATGTACGAGGCCACGACGGCGGCGAGATCGCGGGGGTGGGGGAATGCCTGTCGAAGACCCGTCGCTCCGGCGGCCAGGACGCTTGCAGGGGTGACGACCGAGTTGCCATTGGGGAGGCTGTCGAGGAGGCGGTTGTTCAGAATGGCCTGGCCGGTCGACACGCCGAAACCGCCCCCAACGAACTGTGCAACTGTGCGTGGGTGGGTGACGTGTCAGCTGTTGGGATCCCCATGCACTCCTCCAAGTGGTTGGAAACTCACACATCATGACACCCACAGTGACGGACAGGTCTTGTCGCGCCGAGACCTTCTGCGCGACCATGACGGGAAGCTGGATGACGATGCCCTGTCCAACGCCTGCGACGATCTGGTATCCGATCCAATGCCCGGCCGAGGAGCTCGGTGTCAAGGTGTAGTATAGCCCCGAGCCGATCGTGATCAAGATGCCGCCCGCCCAGAGGAAAGGCTGGTAGTAGCCAATCTTCCCCAGAAGGATGGCGCAGCTGAAGGTTGCGAGTGCTTGTAGTAGTTGTCGTCAGCAAGATGAGCATGTGACAGGAGGGGAATGTGACAACATACAGAATGATAGCACGCTGGGAATCGTGCGCACGCCACTGTCGGATGGCGACACGCCTTGGACAGCCTGGAAGTAGATGGGAAGAGTGTATGTTCGGGAGACGCCGCCCATGTTGGACCTTGAGACACAGAATAATCAGTCTCGAAATCCACACCATCCACCATCTTGGACCTTACACGAAGCTGTAAATGGCACATGCTGCAATGGTGCGACTCTTCAAGAGTCGTCTGGGAATAGTGGCTCCGTCGCCCTGCGTCCACTCGGCGACGACGAAGGCGATGACAAATAGCCCAAAACCAACGAGCAACCCAATGGAGAAGCTGGAGTTCCAGGCGTGCCGGACTCCCCCGTCTTGCAGCACGAGCAGCAAACAGAGCCAGGCGCCTAATCCCAGAGTAACTCCCATAATGTCAAACTCTCGATGGTATTCTCTCCACGTCGGAGCCTTGACCGATTGAGACTGCGGTGGCGTGTTGAAGAGAAGGAGAATGATGAGAAATGTTGCACCTCCAATAGGCAAGTTGATCCAAAAGCACCATCTCCAGGTAAGATCCTGGGTAAAGACTCCACCGAGCACAGGGCCCAAGACAGAAACACAGGCCCAGATGGCGCCAAACAGGCCCATGACGATGGACAAGCGTGAAGGCTGGACGATGAATGCAGCAATGATATAGCTCCCTGAGGTGAGGCCCGAGCCCCCGAGACCCTGGACCGCACGCCCAGCAATGACGGCGATGCTGTTAGGAGCCAAAGCGACGACGAGGCTTCCAACTTCGAATATGAGGATGCAGGAAAGAAAGACAACCTTCTGCGGGAAGAATTTGTATGCCTTGCTCCAGACACCTTGGAACATGGCCAGATACATCAAGAACGCGGAGCCGTACCAGCCAACCTGGTCAACGCTGTGGAACTCTTTGGTGATGGTTGGGATAGCCGTGGCAATGATGCTCTATGTCCGTTGTCAGCGTGCTACTACTCGGCCAAGATATCCGCTCCAGACCGTATCAAGGCCAACTATGAACGTGGCGAGCATCAAGGCAATCACGAGGATCGCTTGTTTGAGTGGACCGAGGTACAACGGCGCGGCTGTCGGCGCGGCGGTTTCTTGGGACGTCGCCTCTGGCTGTCGTTTGATTGACGTTGCGGCATCCTTGCCTTGGGAGGTGCGGATGTGAAGAGACGAGACATCGGTAGATTTGGGGTTGAGGGAATAATCTGTGAGGAGTCGCTCAGCCGGTCTATCAAGCAGATGGTCGGAAGGAATGGGAACGGCTGAGGGTACCTGCTGCCATGATGAAGAGTGAGGCGCAGAGCGAAAAGGTCCGAGATGCCTTTAATGCAGAGAGCAGCCGTGTCACAGTCGAACAGCAGGCAGGAGTCACAAGCCTTTGGAGGTGGGAGCCTCTTCAATCCATCAAACCATTAAGGGTTGATTGAAAAGCAAGTCAGACAGCACAAGGCTGCGCAGCTAGTTTGACCTCAGAGGTGAGACATTCAAGAATTGTTCCAGAAGATTGAAAATCCATGAGATTGATGTTTGGCTCCGTCGGGTGGGCTCCTTTCCAGACAAAGATCCCCCGTAGGTGGGACAGTTGAAAGGGGTGGCGATCGGTACGAGGGTACCGAGTACATACGAAGTAGGTCCCCGTAGGGAGACAAGGGCAGCCGATAAGCAAACTTGCTGGGGACCACGACACCCACGCAGTGTAGGCGAGTTGCGCAATACACGAGGTCTCAAAATCTGTCTTGTCCTTGTCTCGCTTGATTGCCGCCGTTCTCGTTGCCAGAAACTGCTGTGAGCCAACGATGCCACCCAAATGCCGCCTGAACCGAATCCTGCCACCGAAACTGCATCACCGTCAGCACGATCTTGAGATGGATGTGATTGGGGTTCCTGAGGCAGGGATCTACCGCAATCGACAGGGGGGACCCATTGACATTCCTGGCTAGGTACAGCGGTACTGATTGTGGGTGGGTTGGGTCCGACCTCGTTCAGCTGCATGGGGCCTAATGCCGCTCATGGGCGGACGCTAGACTAGCGTCGGGATGAATTTATGCGCTAATCGAATCAGGTTAGTGTTTTGTGTGGTAGTTGACCTATCATGGCTAAACATCCCCTAGTGAAGGTGGGGTTGACATTCGCCGAAAGGGAGGGGTCGCAGTTGCCTCTCTACCAGTGCTCGTGCTCGTACGAAAGCAAATAGTCTGTCGGTGATTCTAATATGCGGCACCGAACACTTTGATCATCAAAACTTGGGGTAGACACTCATGTTAGGCACAATTCGCCGACTCCCCTGGTTTCCTGCAGCGCCTTCCTCACTTCCCCCAGGCAATCGTACCTGAACAACATCTTCCTCACGCACCCAATGGTAAAGTCTGGGAGCTCCTCCTTCGACAGGATCTGCCTCACCATCGCCTGTGTCTCCTTGCTGAGGTCATACCCCACCCCCGTCGTCCGACTCAATAGCTGGACAGCGCTCGCCCTCGTTATCCGCACGCGGTTCCATAGGGCTAACCTTCCCGCCACCTCGTCCACAGCTCTGACTCCTGTCACGGCCAACCCTAGAGCTCCTGCATCCTCAATCGCCATTCCCGCGCCGTTGCCAAGGGTGGGAAGCATAGGGTGTGCTGCGTCGCCGAGGACGATCAGACGGCCCTTGTGGTACGTGGGCAGGGGATCGCGGTCCGCCACTCTCCAGAGATACATGTCCTCCTCCTCACAGTAGTCGAGAATCTTGTGAAGATCGGGGTGGAAGCTCTGCATCCGGTCGCGGGCGACTTGTTTTGACGACTGGGTCGTCCATTTTTGCTCGTTGGCAGGCCCTTCGTCGACAGCGGCGTAGAAGCCGAAGTTTTGGAGGAGATTGCTAGACAAACGGGTCAGGTTAGTGAAGACTCGGTCGAGGTGAGTGAGATACGAACTTACTCCCGACACGGGTACCGCAGAATCATCTGGTCTTGCCTTGCACCCAGTGTGACAGAGGTCCCGTGGGGTGCAAGCTCCATGTACTCTCTCAATACTTCGTCTTGCATGAGTGATTCTGTCGGCACGCAAACACGCACATTGCTGATCCCACTGAGTTTCGCGGGCCTCTCTGCACCATCTTCCATGATGGCTTGGTGAGCTGTGGATTTCACGCCGTCTGCCGCGACTATGAAATCTGCCTTTAACACTTCCCCGTTATTCAGTGTGACAGAGCCTGTAGAGTCAAAATGCACGGCGGAAACTCCCTCTACAATCTCCACCGGCTCACCGGCACCATCTTTGGAGGTGGCAAGATCTCTTAGACAGTTGTGCAGATCTGCCCGGTACGCAGTCATTGACGGTGCTCCACACTCCGTCTCGAGTTGGGCCAAGGACGACCGCAGGAGAACGCGAAATGGACGCTGACCCGGCGCTGCTTGTATGAACACGTCTTCGGTGCAATGTACCATACGAGCACTCTTTTGGTCGACTCCCAGACTCCGTAGCACCTTGATGGCGTTGGGCGATATACTGACTGCGAAGCCGACTTCGTGCTTGTGACGGTACTTTTCGAGGACCGTGACTTTGTGGCCGGCTTGACGGAGTGCGACGGCAGCGGCTAGGCCGCCAATGCCCGCGCCGACGATTGTGACGGTCAACTGGAGCGACATCTTGAATCGAGTGAAGCAAAAAGGGGCGAACGTGGGATAGGAGCGAACTGTTGACTCCTAGACCTTTGCAGAGATATAGAAGGATCCAAACAGTCTGTTAATTGGGTGCCTGTGCAACATGGTAAATGCAACACAATAGAGACATTGCGTACTCGCTCTCTCTGAACCCTTGAAAAGAATCCAGCGGAACCAACCAAGGCCGAATTTGGTTCCTGAACCACAATACATATCCATATATCATATCCATTCGGCGATTTCGGGGTTTGTCAGATAACAGTTGGTATCGATGTACAACCTGTAGATGGTAGGACATCTCAACTTCCCAATATAAGCAAAAACTAGCAGCGCTATACAATTGACTTTGTCGTCGACACATTGTTCTCGTGTTGGAGAACAAGAAGATGATTTACTCGTTGTTTCTAGCTGGCGTGGTTGCCGGCCTGATCTGGTTCCTCGCCACCCCCTTGCGGACAGGACTATGGCGCTTTCCAGGACCATGGTGGCGTCGTTATACAGGTATCTATCTAGCCACCACGATATTACCCAATCGACTGTTGGGCAATGCAAAATCTAACTCGTCCACCAGATCTCTTTCAAGTGCTCGACACATACCACGAGCGCACACGTCTGACCGTCGTGCAACTCCACGAGGAATATGGTCCGGTGGTCCAAGTTGGTCCTCGCACGCTGCTGTTCTCGGACCCGGCCATGATTGAACAAGTCTATGGCAACAGGTCACCACTTCCCAAAGTATGCATTTTACCGACTCTATCCGTGGGCCCACGGGAGGACATTTGCTAAAGTCGGAGCAATCCCTCCCCAGAGCCATCACTTTAAACCGTTGCGACACGAGCTCAATGGCGTCGTCTACCCGAACATCCTGGCCATGGAGAGCACCAAGGATCACGCAGCCATCAAACGGCCCATTGCAGGCATCTACTCCATGTCCAATGTCACAAAGTCGGAGCGCTTCATTGACGAGTGTATCCTTCAGTTTGTGCATCAGCTCAACAACGAGTTTATTGTAACGGAGAAGCCGCTGCCCGTTTACCAGTGGGCACATTATTGTGGGTAGCAACCCTTTTTCCTTTTGGCATGTTAACTCTCGACTCACCGTGTCTCTACACAGTTGCATACGACACGATCATGAAGGTCACGGCATCGGTCGACTTTGGACTCATTCGGGGCGAAGCTGATCGAGAAGGCATGTTCAAGGGGTTGCATGATGCCCAAAAGTTCCGGTCCATGGTATGTTGGCGTTCTGACCAAAAGACAACCCTTGGGTGATCGCTGTCGACTAACCGGTATTGCAATCACGACAGGGTGTCTGCATGCCTTGGGTCTTTGCACTCCTCAAAAGAACCCCTCTGGCGCAGGTCATGATCAAACGCATGGGCTCCTTTCCCCGCCGGGCACGCGAGCTGATCCAGAACAGGAGAGCACAGGGAAGGACAACGACCAAGACCAACGACCGCGAAGACCTCCTCGACCAGCTGCTGGAGACAAAGGAGAAGTTCCCCCAGACGGTTGACGAACTGGTGCTGCACGGGTATGCCACGACGCCCCTGTTCGCGGGTGGCGAGTCGGTGGCTGCGATCGTGACGGCCGTGGTCTACTTTCTAGGGAAACAGCCCTCGATCGCCGATAAACTGCATGCCGAACTGCAATCCTCAGGCCTCCAGATGCCGCCGCAGTGGGTTGAGGTGCAGAAGATGACCTATCTCGACGCCGTCATCCACGAAACCTTCCGCTGCTTCCCGCTGGGGGCAGCACTATCCCGCCGCGCCATCCCTCCCGGTCGCGAGTTCGTCCTCGACGCCGGTCGCCGTGTCCCAGCCGGCACGTCTGTCGCGATACTGGGTGGTGCGACTCATTTCAACCAAGACGTCTACGGCGCGGATGCGCCATTGTTCCGGCCCGAACGGTGGCTCAAGGAGCCCACAGAGAGCCTCGACGAGTACGCCGAGCGGCTACGCTGGATGAACAGGGCCGATTTGACCTGGGGCGCCGGTGATCGTGCCTGTATGGGCAAGAACATTGCGCGGTGCGAGATCTACAAGCTCGTGGCGACGCTGTATTCGACGTTTGATGTGAGTGAGGCTTTCTTGTTATCTTCTCTCTCTCACATGCACACACACACATGGAGAACTTTGTTTGTGAAGTAGAACTGACACCATCTGAGCAGATAAGACTGGTCGACCCGGAGAAGGAGTGGAAGTTGAGGGAGGCTCTCGGGATTAAGCAAGAGGGCGTGGAGGCAACGCTTCGTTTCAGACCTGGGGCGAGCCTCGAACAGCTTCAAAAAGCAAACTAGTAGCAAGTAAAGAGACGTATCTGACGCACGACAACGGCTGTTCACCGGCCGGTAATATAAACTATGCAGTATAGCTACCAGGCAGTTACGTCTCACGCTGTTTGCCATGAAATTTCAAGCAATAAACCCCCGTAAACGAACCAGTATGGCCCCCTCTGTAGGAGGTAGAAGCGAGGCACACCACCAAACCTGGGCTGAAGCAGACTACGAAGTCAACCTGACCACACACTTCTCGCCCCTCAGCTCGCCCTTCCTCACCATGTCCATCCCCACCAACACCTCCTCCAACCCCCCTTCCAGCGTCCTCAGCGGATGATGCCTCAAGCGGTCCTCGTCCAGCAGCCGCTGCGCGATCGCCCACAGTCTCTCCCCCAACGCGAGATCCTCGGCGCTCGGCGCCCGCGCGTACGGCGGCGGCCACACGCACCCTTCGCCGTAGAGGCTCGGGCCCAGGACCCAGTCGGTCTTGACGACGGCGCGGGTCGCCGCGACGGCGGTGTCGAAGGGGTCGAGCGAGACGTACTTGCCCCCCGCGCGGCCGAGCGCCGCGAAGCAGAGCGTCGTGGATTCGACGGTGCTGATGCAGTCGAGCGCGTAGCGGAGGTTGTTTCGCGTGTAGGATTTCTAGAATGGTCCAGAATGGACGGATAAGACGGTGTTGTTGAATGAACGCGGAAGATAAAAAGAAATGGGGTCCATGTGTATGTCTGGCCAGGGACCAGTGGTAAATGACAGGGCCAGAACTCTGGATGTGGCACAGAGAGGGGATGGATACACGGGATTGGTCACACTTACTATTTGACTCGCACAGTCGGGTTCATGGTAGTCAAAAGTCGCTTCGACGCCGTAGGACTTGAGTCGCTCGTTGTGCACAGGCGAGCACGCCGTTATGGGGATCATATTGATACTGTGCCGCTGATCAACGAGTCATCCATACATCCTGGGATCACCTCAACAGTCCTCGACAGCACTTTCATCCCCACGTCCAACAGGGAAGAATTGTGCATCGTAATGGGGTTTCCTCACAGACTCACAGTTTGAGTAGCTGGATGGCTATAGTCGCCGTCGCCGTCCCGCCGCCATAGACGAGGACATGCGCGGGTTTTGTGACGGGCGCGTCGGGGAGGGGCAGACCGAGCCTGTCGAGCGCGAGGCCCGCGGTGCCGATGGCGGCGCTCATGGTGGCGCCGCCCTCGGTGCTGACCGAGGGGGGCAGCTTGAGCCAGAACGGGCCCGTCGGGATGTTATACTGGCCGAAGGCGGCGCGGAAGGGTCTCTTGGCGTTCATCTCGTACTGCGCGCCGCACACGCGGTCGCCGATCGCGACGGCCGTGACGCCCGCGCCCCGCGCGACCACCGTCCCCGCGTAGTCGGCCCCGAGCATCGCCCCGGGCGTGACGAAGGCGCCGCGCATCTTGGTGTCGCTGGGGTTGAGCGACAGGGCCTCGGTGCGGACGAGGAATTCGTGGCTCTGGAGCGGAGCCAGAGGCGTGTCTTCGCGGATGAGGATCCGGTCGCCTGCCTCGGCGATGATGGCGCGGTGAGTCGTTGGAGGGACGAAGCCTCTGGCTGTTTCAATGCCGACGGATCCCATACTGACGAGCGGCGGGTGTCTCGGACCTAAGAGGGATATTCGCAGGTGTTGGAGAGTGAACGAGTTGGTTTGTTTAGTGAGAAATCGCCCAAGTTGCAGATGATACTTATACAAGGTACCCTGTCTCCGTCATAGAAATTGTCGCTTGACGCAGCTATACATTCTGTCCCATTGTTTCTGCATTGAGCATCGGGTACAAGTCCTCGGTCTGTACCACGTACACTCCTGCAACGAAGATATGGTGGTGGATCCCCACATGTAGTGGGTCCTCACTAACCCGATACGGACCCATTCGGTGATTTTAGGCTTTATTCGGACAATCACCAGACAACCATTTGGGAGAAGGAGATTAGGAAGAAAGTCCCTCCGAAACGAAGAACAAGAGGCCTTCCCTCCTAGCAAGGCATAAGAAAAGAGTTACTTTTCACGACATGGGGACGATATGATACACGGACATCAAATAAAACAAAAAGAGAACAATGACCGTCAAACAACCCGCCCCGAAAAAAGCCCTTCTCTGCTTCCACGGCACCGGCGCCAAGGGCTCCATCTTTAACGTCCAGATGGCCCGGATTTGCTACCAGCTGCGCGACGCCTTCGAGTTCATCTTCCTCGAGGGCCCGCGCGAGTGTCCACCTGGACCGGGCGTGCTGCCCATGTTCAGCGGCCAGGAGCCGTACCGGGGCTGGTTCGGCGGGCACGACGTCAGCATCGACGACAGTATCCGGGAGATCAGCGGCGCGGTGCAGCGAGGTCTGGAGTACTGGAGAGAGAGCCATGTGGATGGAAATGTGGAGATTGTCGGGGCCATTGGCTTCTCCGAGGGCGGACTGGCGCTGGCGATGATGCTGTGGCTGCAGCAGGAACAGCGGGAACGAGAGAGACGGCAACAGCGACGGGAGCAGCGGCAACAGGAGCAAGAAGAAGATGAAGTCTACGATGAAGAGCAAGGCGACCAACTCCTCCCCTCCAACCTCCCACCACTACAGTTCGCCGTCGTCAGCTGCTGCTTCTTCCCCCGAGAAGCGTCGCTGTGGTTGAACGCACGCGCACAGGCCCAGGGCATGACCACGGCCCTCATCGACGTCCCGACGTTACATATCCACGGCAATCGCGACTTCTGTCTCGGCCGCGCCCGTCAGCTGGTCCGCAATCACTACCGTCCACAGTGCGCCACGGTCGTCCAAGTCGACACCAGCCACCACATGCCCACCCAGAAAGGCGATGTCGCCGAAGTCGTCAAGCACATCCGCGGATTGGGTGGTGTGGAGAGTGAATGAGTAGCGTAGATCTCTTATTCTTCACCAAGTCGGACAAATAAAGGCGTCTTAGAATGCTGGGTGAATTGCACGAGAGGACGGAAAAACTATGAGATTCTTGGAGGTTCCGGTGGCGATGAGATATAGACTTAAGATCTATGATTGCAGCACCAGCAAGTGCCGGACAACACTGTTTCAGCCCCTGGCCTTGGTCCCCTGATCCAACACTGCATCTGTGACTCTAAGAACGGGATTCCTCGCAAAGGTGTTCAGGATTGACAAATACCCTTGCATCAGCGCCTCTGCTGCTCCGACCCCATATGTCTCCTTCCGCAACTTGAATGTAATCAACGGCTCTCCCTTGCTCGGATCGTCCCCCATCTGCAGTGTGATGTCATACGGAGTCCCCGCCCGTGGGATGTCGGTCTCGACAATCTTCGCCTCGCCGATGCTTCCGCTCTCCGTCTGGCCTTGCTTGTAGTCGAAGATGGCCTGGAAGAGCGGTGCGTGAGAGAAGGGGTGCTCGGGACTGGGCTTGGTGGGTAGGCCGAGACGGTCGAGGATGGCGGGCAAGGGGACGGCGCTGTGAAGGAGAGCGGCACGCATTTGCTCTTTGGTGGAGCCAAGGGCTTCGTTGAACACGTGGCTGGAGTCATAAGTCAATCGCAAGGGGAGGTAGGATGCGAAGAAGCCCATTGTGGCTTGGTCAACCAGGGAAGCTCGGCCGGAGTCGGCTACACCGATGGTGATGTCGTCGGAGCCAGCCAGCCGCGCAAGCAGGATGTGGAATGAGGCGAGGTAGAAGTGCATAGGAGTGGTCTGCTGTTTGCGGCTACGGTCCTTGATTCGGACTGCTACCATCCGAGTGAGCCTCGTAGAAACCTCGTTCGTGGTCCAGTCGAGGGTTTCGGGGCCGGACGCATCATTGAGGGTGAGCGGGAGGATAGGCAGCCGGGGTGGCAGAGATTGAAAGAGGCCGGACCAGTAAGCTAAGTCAGCATCAAAAGCTCCTGAGGCGAGCTGTGCGCGCTGCCGAATCGCATACTCGACGTAGCTGGGAGCTGGCTCGAGCGGGAGACCACTGTAGAGTTGGCTGACGTCGATAAAAAGGTGTTCGGTGGTCCAGCCGTCACCAACCAATCGGTGGTAGGCTATGATCAGAAGGTGGTCCGTGGATGTCCAGAAGTAGTCAATGACCTTCAGCGTGTCTCCTTTCTCCAATTCGTACCTGGCAACTTGGAGCTCTTTGAATGCTTCCTCGGCAGCCTTCCTGTCTGCCACTTTGACGGCTTGGAAAGAGTTTCGTGGTAACCTCATAACAGCTTGCATCGGATCGTTGATATCAGAGTCAGAGTCTGAGATGAAACACGTCCGGAAGGCGTCGCTGCGCTGCAGTGCCTGATCAAAAGCCCATGCGAGACGACCCATGTTGAGAGGACCTTGCATGTACATGCCGATGGTGCTGTTGAACGTGGCTGGCTCCAGAGGGAGCTGCATCTGCTTCCACGTGTATTCTTGCATGATGGACAGCGGTGCAACGCGCTGAAACCCGTCTTCATCTGCTTCAGAAGGTTGAGAAGGCGGTGTTGGTATGTCGCCATTGTGGTCTACCGAGAAAGTGGAACTTTCATGGGAGGTGCCGGTGATCGATGATGGCGTAGCAGCGGGCCCGCCTTGAGTAGTTGGCGTTGCATCCTCTAGAGATCCAGAATCAACCAGCGGGATCAAGTCGGGGTTCAAGCGAGAGACAGCGTCATCGACCAAGTCGGTAACCGAAGCGCCGCCCAGAATCTTCAGCAAAGGAACGTCAAGGCTGAGATTTTTGGCGAACCACGAGGCAACAGTCACGGCGGACAAGGAATCCACTCCCTGGTCGATCAAAGGAGCTGTCAAGTTCAGCTCGTCGGCCGTGGCGATCAGTAGGGCTCCACGTATTCTGCCAGACACGCCTTCGAGGATGATATCGCGGACCTGCTCGATGGTTTCGGCCTTTGATAGTTGCTCTTTCAGGGATGCGACAGCGCCAGTGGCTTCGTTGCCAGTGGTACGACGGTCAGACATTTTGAATGCGGCAAAGCGTGGGTCGTTGTACCAGGGAATTCGCTCCTGGTCTTTCTCATCCATGTGGACCATGCCCGTAACGAGTTCTACGTCGTCGAGCTCCTGCTTTCGCCCGGCCACAACTGCTTCCGCAAAGAGTGCATGGAGTTCCCACTCTTTAACCTCGTCGGCCAGGAACTTTCGGGTTTGGGATTCATTCTCACGACCGGCACGGGAAATGAAGCCGACCCCAATGACAGCACCGATATCGATGGTTGATGCGGCCATGCCTTGAGCGCGTCTTTTCTGGGCTGTAGCATGGAGGTACGCATTCGCAGCGCTGTAGGCGGCTTGTCCGGGATTTCCTACCACCATGACGATTGACGAGAACATGACGAAGAAGTCCAGGGGGTTTGCAGGATCAGACAAACGCTCGTTCAACAAGCGAACACCTGTTACCTTGGGTGCAAGGACCATCTCCATCATCGGCAGCTCCATGTTCTTGAACATGACATCCTGCAGCAAGAGAGGTCCAAAAGCCACGCCGGCGATCGGAGGCATCGATCTACGCACCTCCGCCAGACCTTTGTCGACCGCAGCTTCATTAGAGACATCCCTGGTTCAATATAGTTAGCATCGTATACAAGAAGATATATCATAATAACAACATACATGGCGAGCACCATTACTCTTCCTCCAGAGCGAGCAATGTCGTCGATCCAACGTTGGTCGATTTTAGGGACTCGACTCGACAGGACCAGATGGCGTGCGCCATGCTCCACCATGAAGCGAGCAAGCGAACGGCCCATGTCACCCGCAAGGCCGATCAGCAAGTACGTCTTATCGCCCACAAACAAGTGGTTTGACTCAATGGGGCGGATACGGCTTGTGATATGTTCGTCTGTTGACCAATCGATAATCGCGTTGCTGGATGAAGGGATGTTTGAAGCCAATACCTCACGTGCAGCGAGAATAGGCACGTCGCTGATATCTCTGTCCTTGTGCACCGTCTTGACAGCATCGATCAGAATCTGCACTGCTGCTTGAGCGCTCGATGATGACACCGGTGTCGCCATAGTTTGGAACAAGTAGTCTGGTCCACGGATCGTGCAGGCAGGTGGAAGACACTTGACCACTCGAGAGCTCAAACTGGCCGGGTTCTGATCGGCAAGGAAATCGTAGAGCACGGAAGCGTTCGCTGGCAATTTCTGGCGCAGGCTTCGCTCCGTCTCCTTTTCGTGTAAATGAATCCACAGGGCACCGTCTCTTCTGGGAGGAGGTTTGGTGGAAGCAAATGTCAGTGAGACACCAGCTGCCGCAGCTTGGTCGCGTAGACTCTCGACATAGAAGCTCGGAGGCTCCAAGACGACGACATTTGTGCCTTTTACCAGGTCAGACATCAAAGTTCTGGCGACAATATCCGCTGTGATGCTAAAAAGCCGCAAATTGTCGCACTCCTCTCGGTTTCCGGCATAGACAACATGGCTAGACGGCACTTGGACAGAGGAAGCATTGCTGCTCGAAAGTGCCACCACCATCTTACCATCAGAACCGACAACGCAACCCTGAGTCAGATGGTAAAACCCGAATTGGCCGATCCGGAGAGCCTTAGCAAGCGAATACTGTACCTGGACCTCGATCAAAGTCTCGTTGTCAACAACAGGACTAATTCGCTCCACGTTGGCTCCAAAGAACGGCTTCCCTTGGTCGTACTCCAGGCTCAGGATTTCCTTCTGGGGGTCTAGATCGGCAAGTATCAGGCGCCGACCAGAGTTTAGTCGGTTGTTCCTGCCCACATCGCGTTTGAGACGTGGTATTAAAACTTTGCCGCCACGGAGGTAGAGCTCCGGCTCCTGCGTCCATAGAGAGCCGCTATCCTCCCATTTCGCACTGTGCTCCAGACGCAGCACAGTCTCGACAAGGAAGCGAGGCTCCAGATCTTGAACATTGTCAACATCTAGCAATTGGATCTGGATGTCAGGGTATTCATGACGCAAGGTCCGGAGTAGGCCGACTGTCATGGCTTGCTGTGCGTTCGTGGTCCAAGCGTCTTCAGTCACCCACAAGACATGTTGGGCTGCATTGAAAATGGTTTGCAAAGCATCAAACTTTTCCTCGTCCAATCCCTCAAAAGTGTGTTCATCGAGCTCTGACAACACAATGAAGGTTGATCCGGGTTGTAGGTCGGAGTTGATAATCTCTCGAAGGTTCGGAACAGTGTCCAGCTGACGTTGCGGCAGAATGCTGGCGAGTTGGGAGACGAGTTCGGTCGTTTTCGGCGATGAGCCTCCAACGACAACCAATGGGCCATAGAAATCTTCTTCAACCGTGGCAGTCAGTGGTGAATCCAGTCTCTCTATAAAGTCGTCTACTGCATGGCTCAGGAAGACGCCGCTCGGGAAGGTTGTGCTGTCTGGGTCAAGAGAGCGCGTGTCAATACCGGAGAACCCAGTTTTCTTCAATAGTTTGTCCCACTCAGCATAAGAAACATTCGGCGCCAGTACGCGGCCCTCGTCATGGCCGGACCACCAATCGGGGAACAATCCAAAAATGAATCCAACACGAGTGTGTTCGGGATGTGCAATTTCGATGACAATGAGCCGACCACCAGGTTTTAGAAGAGACCGAACGTTTGTGAGGGTTTCTTCGAGATTCGGAGTGGCATGGAGCACGTTGGATGCCGCTACCAAGTCGTAGGAGTTGGGCTTGAAGCCCTGTTCAGCAGGAGGCCGGCGGATGTCAAGCGGTTGAAACTCCATCTTGTCGGCATGCCGCTCAAACTCGTTGGCAGCCGGCTCGAAGAAGGTGCGTGAAATATCGGTAAAGGTGTAGCTGTTAAAAGAGAGCTGCTCGTGGTTCAAGAACAGTCGTGTCGCTCCTCCTGTGCCGGCTCCTGTTGATGTTGTCAGTTATCGTTGTGCCTGGAGTTGCTGTGGATGTAACGTACCAATCTCAAGAACGTCCAAGTTTGGATACCGATGATTGAGTTGCTCGAGAATTCGTTGATAATAGTAATAAGATTGACCATAACTCACTTCTCCGCTGTAGAACTCGGTGAGCAGGCCGTCGTGGTCGAGAAGGTCGAAGGCATTCTCATCGTTGCGGAATGTGTCCAGAGCGGCCTCGCCAACTCTTTGGATGAGGCGCACGAATGGTTGGGATATATTTCTAGAACATTGGTCAGACGAAATCGTAACTGTGTCGATAAGAAGGTCACTTACTCTCGGATCATGACTTCAAGATCGGCGCGTGTATCCTGATCCCAGTCTGGTGTGTACCACACATTGCGTCCAGCTCGGGTCTCACTAAGCACATGTTCGCACCACTGGATATACTTTGCGAAATGGAAGGATGCGTTTTCACGATCCTCGGCGGTCACGTTGTCCAAAACAAATCGTATGTACCAATAAGTGATTCGCTCGATAATTGCAACGTCCTTCTTGTCCTGATCTGTGGCATGTCTTTCGACCTCGTCGAGCAAGGCATCAGGATTCAAAGGGCTGAAGCTCCATTGGGTGTACATATGGTGATCGTCTTCAGCCGAGGGAGGAATAGTGGGCTTGAAGCCAATCCCCTCAATGTGAAGCATCGTTGCCTTGGTCTCGGGGTCAAAGACCTCAATGTCGCCTTGAAGATTTGTGCCAGTGCTTGATACAGTGGTGGAAATAAAGTCTACCTGACTGGACGACGCGTTGATCTGATCAGCGACCCCCGGGCTCAAAGCGATGCGACCGATACCTGTAGGAACCAGTAGGGATCTCAGACGCCCATCACCTGGAGCGGCATAAGCCCCAATCATGCTCTGGAAGGCGACATCGAGTGTGCTGGGATGGATGACCATGTTTCGGTGGCCGTCTTTCAAGCGGTGGAACTGGATGGCACCGTACGCCTTGCTGTCACCCCGTTTCAGGTTGGTGATTCCGCGGAATTGCTTGGTATAGTTGTATCCAGCCTGGTCGAGCATGTTGTAGAACCTGTCGATTCCAACGTCGTTGAGGTGAGCGGGCTCGTCTGAGGCAGTTGGCAGAGCATCGGACGTTGCTGGGCCGTAGGTGATGGTCAGTGTGCCAGTGACCGAACGAGTAGGGCCAGCTTCTTTGGCGAGGCACGAGTCGACGGTGAAGGAATAGACCGCATAAGCATCCGTACTCTGTGATGCGTCAACGTCAAGACTGAGGTTGAGTTCGACCATGCTGTTCTCATCCTCGAAGGTGACCGCCTTGTCGATTTTGAGGTCCAGAACTTCTAGAAGTTGAATTCTCCGATCGCCGCTAAGCTTGACGCCGGCTTCCATGGCCATGACGACGTAGCCTGCCCCCGGGAATACAGTCTGGCCCTGAAGCGAGTGACCGTCGAGCCATTCTATATCACGTGGGCGTATGAAGTTCTGCCAGTGTATTGACGAAGGGGTGCTGTGCAAAGATCGCCTGCCGAGTAGGAGATGTGGTTTTTCTGCCTCAAGTAATGCACGAAGCGCGCGAGACTCCTTCCTGTACGAGCGCGAGTGGTCCCAGGAATAGCTCGGAAGCTGCTTGGACACATCACAGACGCCGTGGAGATCAATTGACAAGCACCTGTACAAGTGATCAATATCGATAGCCGCTGAGCCGAAGTGAGACCACAGGTATCCCAGACATGAAGAGAAGGCTTCGACGTCGTCCCTCTTCCGCTCCATGCAGCCAACATACGGGAGGTCGGAACCGGTACAGTTCTGGATGGTCTGCAAGGTTGGATTCTTCAACGCAGGGTGGGCACCGATCTCAATACAGATGTCGAGGGGTGTGTGCTTCAAAACTGCTAGCTCAACAGCTGACGAGAAGAGGACCGGAGAGAGCAAGTTCTCTTTCCAGTAGTCGGCGCTAAGATCCGCGAGCCGCATGATTTTCCCTTCGTAGACGGATGAGAGCCAGGTGCACTTGGCGGCCGCGAGCGGGGAGGGATTATCACATCCGCAAGCTTTCAGAGCAGCAACGTACGGCTCTGCACAAGGACGCATATGGTGCGAGTGGTAAGCCTTGTCAACTTTGAGAACTCGAGCAAAGCGTGATTCGTCAATCAAAACATCATATGCCTCAAGAATGGCATCCTTATCTCCTGACAGCGTGACACTTTCTGGAGCATTACTCGCTGCGACTGTTATTCTTCCTTCGAAGGCCTCAAGAGCGCATAGGTCGATGGCGTCGTCAAAAGAGGTGCCAGCCGCCATCATGGAGCCTTCGACGCCATCTGGGCCACATGCGTATTCTGCTGTGAGGCCGCGAAGGTATGCAATGCGGATGGCTTGGGACGCCGATATAAAGCCCGCAGCAAATGCACAAGCTATCTCTCCGGAGCTGTGGCCGATGACAACTTTGAATGTTACTCCTGCCGCCTCAAGAAGCCTGATAAGCATGATCTGGACCGCACAACAGAGTGGTTGTGAGAAGGCTGCATCGTGCACGTTTGAGGCTTCGCCCACCCGGAGAAGCTGGTCCACAAGGCTCCAGCGAGGTCGAAATTTATCTGGCAAGCTCTGAAGGCTGTAATCAAGTTCTGAAATGATGCTCCGTGCATACCCAACTTCAGTAATCAGAATTCTCCCCATAGCTGGCCATTGAGCACCCTGTCCGGTAAAAATACCCAAGACATGAGGCTTTCTCTTGGTGTCCAGTACAATTGGGCTTGTCTGCTTCGCCGAGAGCAGAGCTGCGTCACGATCGAGAGCATCACGTAGTGCCGGCACGGTTTTGGCTTGGATGGTATGGCAGATTTGAAGGGTCGACCTCTTTTTCAGAAGTGTCCAGACGAGATCTCGCAGCTGAAGTTCTGGGTGGCTGTCTAGACATTGTTTCAAGTCGTCCATGGTAGCTCTGAGCGAGACAATAGAGTTTGCGGACAGAACAATCGGCGCCAGGCATGGCGTCGGCAATTGCTCCAGCGCTTCCTTCGAGGCAGGGACATATGATTCCACAATTACATGAGCGTTCGTTCCACCAAACCCAAAGGAGTTGACGCTTACACGTCGGGGTTGATTGAACTTGAGCGCTGGCCAGGCTTGTCGTTCTGTCACAATCCTCAGATCTGAATAGAATGGGGCAACTCTAGGATTCAGTTCATTGAAAAGCATATTCGGGGGAAGGAGTCCATGCTGAATGATCTGCGATGCCTTGATTAGCCCAGCAACGCCTGCAGTCCCTTCTGTGTGGCCGATAATGGTCTTGATACTCCCCACGTACAGGGGATCTTCGTCGACGGCACGTTTTCTGTCGCCAAAGAAAGCAGATGAGATGGCGCAGGCCTCTTGTGGGTCTCCTGCTTGTGTCCCCGTCCCGTGGGCTTCAAAGTATTGACAGCGGTCCTCAGGTTTCGTTATATCGAGACCTGCCTCTTTGTAAACCTGTCGAATGAGCGCCTCTTGTGCTGCAGGGCTGGGCATGGTTATGCCAGGGGTCTTGCCGTCTTGATTGATACCACTTTCGCGGATTATGCATTCGATGGTGTCACCATCCGCGACAGCCTGAGACAGGGTTTTTAGAACCACAGCGGCAATGCCTTCACCCCGAGCGTAGCCATCGGCGGCGGCATCCCACATCCGAGAACGGCCTGTTGGTGAGAACATATTGAGCTTGCTGGCGGTGACAAAAGGGGTCGGGCCGAGGATTAGATTCGAGCCGGCTGCGACAGCCACCTGGCTGGCTCCGGTTCGAAGCTGCTGGATCGCAAGGTGCACCGCGACAAGGGACGAGCTACAGGCAGTGTCGATAGTCATACTGGGACCATGCCAGCCAAACGCGTATGAAACCCTGTTTGAAAGGATTGATGCCGCGGCGCCGGTGGCGGCATAGGTGCTCAATGAATCTAGGTCATAGTTCGAGTTGTCGAGAAAATCTCGTTGCATCAACCCCACGTAGACGGCGGTCGGAGAGCCTCGAAGGTCCTCCATCCTGAGCCCCGCCGAAGTGAGGCTGTCATAGACAGTTTCGAGAAGTAGGCGCTGCTGGGGATCGATTGTGTCTACTTCGTTGGGGGAGATGTTGAAGAACCCAGGATCAAAGGCATATGGGTCTTCTTCGAGAAAGTATGCGTATTGCGCATTGGTTCGGCCATGATGAGCTCCGTCAGGGTGGTAGTAGCCGTCTATGTTGAACCTCTCCTTGGGAACCTTCTTGACCAAGTCTCTGGGAGATTTCAGAAGGTCCCAGAGTCGAGAAGGGTTGCTTGCACCACCAGGAAAGCGACAGCCGCTGCCAATCAATGCGATGGGCTCTTTGGGCCGAGCTTCGAAGGGAGTCATGGTGGCCTAGCAAAAGGTATTGTGACACAGGATTTCCCTCTCTTCATCTCCTTGAGCTCTCTGCAGTTGGTCGACGCTCCATCATTAAGAGAGAATGTGGCCTCAACGCCCAGTACCTCTAACGCCGACATTTCGGCTTCGCTAGTGTTTATACCGTCCGAAGTTATGTTGCATGGCAGAACTGTCTGAACCGAAACAACTCGCATGCCGATCGCCAGAGAGAGTTGCATGTCTATCAGAATACGAGCATGTACGAGGATCTAGGATTAAGCAATGAAGTGTCTTCGGTAGTGGTGGGAGGATTTTACCATGTCGGTTAGCGTCTTGGCTTTGCGCTAGAACTAGCGGGAAGGGGACGGGATTGAGCGGACCGTGCCTAGTACAAACCTTGCTAACGCCTAAAGAACACTAGCGCCGTAAATGCTACAACTTACTACTGCAGAACTACATCCTTGGGCTTCAGAGAGTCCACCTTAGGGTCCTCGGTTGCACCCTCGCCTGTGCCTATACACCTCTCAAGAAACCCCAGAAGATACAGGCTAAATGCTTGAACATGGATCTCGTATCAGAAGAAAACCAGTAGTCGATGCATGTGGCATGTAGATCATCGCAAATTTCAGTTTCCCCGGCCGGGAGGATTCGGATATTTGATAACGCAATTGATCTGTCAACCTCACCTGAAATGTATCTCTCCACTCTCGTACCGCTTCTCTGGGGGGCAGTTGCGCTGTTCATGGACTAACCATAAGATACCTCTTCCCCGTTGACCCTGGATGGTCTGTATCGTTGTTGGTGTCCTCATATCATGCCCGTATCATGTACCGGATGTACCCCGACCAACTCTGGGCAGTATCTCGGCAGTTCGGCATTTGCTTGATAAAGTCTGTGGCTCACATCGCACAGGAACCGAAGTAAATATTCGCAATATATATCTCTGTGGCACACAGTTGTGGGTCGGGTCATCTATCAAATGGTCATACCGGTAGTAGGGTGAATCTCCCCCAACAAAGAGTATTTTTTATCGGGCGTCGGGGGTTCAGAATGGGGATTGTCCGTTGAACACCTATAGCGGGTAGGAATTGAGCAGGGTATCCTTGAGTAGTGCATAAAGACCAAGTTACCCTGCATGCAACGACAGGAAAACTGCAACTGGATATCAATTGTCTGTTAGACAACTGGCATTTGCAACGGTAGAGCGGGGAATTTTAAAGACACGCACCAGGGTCAAGCCGCTTTTGCAGACGACTATAGAGACCGCATCTGCTTATCAGTAACGTCGCAAAGCAGCACCTTGTGATACGAGCCAGCCACATGCACTTGCTTCACCAAAGTGTGCATTGCATGAGACTTGTCGAGCCCACTTGAATGCTTGTACATCAGGAAGCTACGTGTACTTTCGATGTACTTTTGGCTCCCGATGCTGTCGATCAGTTTGCGGGCAGGTATAAGTGCACCATGTGCATCGGCATTTTCACCTCAATGACCTTTCCGGCGTTTTCATTCTCCTGTCCTGCTTCTTCGCTTTTGCCGAGAGCACCGAATGTCGTTGCATCGTCACTTGGAATATGTGTCGACGAAAGTGGTCGATCCGAGCACGGCAGAGATTGCCGTTGTTCGACGCGCTGACGGCCGAACATTGCGCAAGTCGTGCGACAGATGCCACCAGCAGAAACTGCGATGTGTCGGAGACAAAGCTTCATTGACTCGGTGCAAGCGCTGTCAAAGGGCTGGACTCGAGTGTGTGTACGGGGCGCGATCCAGCAAAAAGGCGAGCCAATGTAGTCTCGACGACTTTGCCTCGTGGGAGAATTGGCCGGGAAATTCCACGACTCCGCTATTGAATGATTCGGTGGGCGAGCTGGACACAATGTTCGATCTCGAGTTGGCACATTTCGATGCTGTCTTTCCTGTCTCTCCCACGTCTCAGCCTGGTAGCGGCGAAGGAAGTACTTCATTCGTCCCGCCTGCTTCTGAGCAAACGTCGGAGGATTCCGCCAATGTGGCGCCTGGCACGCATCTGGTGCCGTCAGACAGCACGCCAAAAGCAGGAGAGAGACGCATAGCTGAAGCTCCAGGAACAGAGACGGACCTTGCCAAAGCTTTCCAGGACTTGGAAACGACATTCCTCAGGACAATGCGAAATCAGACCGACAACGGAACCCAAGATTGTAGAGTCAATCCCAATTCATGAAGTGACTGCAGCTGACTCCGGGTTGCAGATGCGATAGGTGAAGTCTTGAACGCCCTGGGCGATTTCTTGGGAGCTCTGAAGCTCAGCAACGTGGCAGAAGCGAGCCACACTAGTACGCCTCAAAGTCCTCACGGCGCACACTTAAGAAGTAAACAGGCGTCCATCGCAGCTCAAGGCTACGTGCTTTGTGTTAGATTTTTGGCCTCCTCCTTGGAGCAGATGCTTCAAAGCCTCATGGCATCGCCATCGCCGGCGCCAGCACTGACTGCATCTGGCACCTCTGCTGGTCTTGGAGAGACTCAACATGCAGGATGTCTGAGAACAGGCCGGGGGGTATCGGCGAGTCTCTACTCCGAAGCGAGCCATATCCCACGCAGTCTGCGGCTCGGAGATCTGTTCGTTGCTCCAGACCCATTCAGCCACGCCGTAAATTCCAGCGTCGACCTACTCCGCGTTGGTTGCAGCCATCTCAACAAGATGGAAGATTTGCTTGGGATTCCTTCGAAGCTGCGAGAACCAAGTACATCGTCACTCATTCATGTGGATCCAGTGGATCTCGGTGAGCGGGCAGCCAGAGATAACGATCCTTCAAGGCTGTCATTGCCAGCTCGCTTTGTCGCGTCGATATGGGAAGATGAGGCAAGCATCAACAAAAAGTCTTCTGTGGTGTGTCTACAGCGGTATCGTGCCGCAATCTTGGGCCTCACTGAGCACTGTCTTTGATGAGTAGGATTGCGGCGTCTCAAATAGATGTGGGTGGTACAAACTTCAGATTTGCAGCGTGGTTTACTCCAATACATAGATTAAATCAAGCCTCTATTCCACACCAAGTAGACATCCTGTCCACACAATCGAGGGAAATGCAAAGCCGAAACCGAAAACTCCCAGATGGTACCCATATCTTCATACCCAACAAATCGAACCTGTAATGCGCCGGACGGTAGGATGCGGTTGGTGAGATTGCTGGCCCCTAAGAGGTGAAACACGCCTTCTCGGACTGATTCACGCCTCGACTTCCTGGACATTGATTCCAGGTTGAGTCGCGCCAACCTTGCCGCTCGTTGTCCCATTGACGACTCCGTTGACCGTTCCATTCGTCTTGGGCGGTGCTTTCGACTGAGTCTGGGCGGCCAAACCCGCCTCTTCACGGGCCTTCTGATAGTCGGCCTCGAGATCGTGGCCCCAAACCCACTTCATCCGACCAGAGAGCTTCTCGCACACGATTGGCAGACAATCTTCGTACGACGAGATACCTTCAAACTCCTTGCCTTGCATCTCGTACACGTCACCCGCCTGGCGGCTGGTGATCTGGGCCTTCTGAGCGCGGGGCCGCCGGACCGCTTGATAGAGGGCGGTGTATGCGGCTACGCCTGGCGCAGGGTTGGAGAAATAGTCCCTGACAACGAGGCCTAGAATGTAGGCGTCTTCGATGGCGTGGCCGGCGCCAGAGCCTGTGTGTTTACCACGAGTTAGCGAGATGAAGCTTGAAACGATGGGCAGTTGGCACACAGTTCGAAGGGGGAAGTATTCACCTTGATGTGGCAACATGGCGTGGGCCGCGTCCCCTGCCAACACGACCTTGCCGTTGAGATATGTCCACTGCTCAAGCAGCTCACGGTCATTGAGCCGCCACTTTCCAGGACGGGCCTCCATCTCGCGAATTACCGCCCCGACCGTTGGTTCCCAGCCCGCATACTCGCGTTCGAGCTCCTCGCGGGGCGCACTGCTGGTCCAACTCTCCTTCAAGTCGCCCAGCTCACTCTCCGGCTTGGTCACAAAGCCCACGACATTGAGCGTCTTGTTTTGCGAGATCGGGAAGACCAGGAAGTGCTTGTCCGGCGCCAACCAACTCACCGCGTAGCTGGGGTAAGGCCACTTGTCGCTGATGGCGCTGAGCGGGAGCAGGCCTCGGTAGGCGATGCGGCCGCTGTATCGCGGTTTGTCGAGAGCGAACTGAGATCGAATCGTGCTGTGAATGCCATCACAGGCGATGACCAGGTTCGCCGTTTCGGTCGGATTTGTCTCATTCGCAAAGTGAATTGTCACTTGGTCGCCGTTCTCCTGCACCAACGATCAAGTGTTAGCAACACTGGGGCCAGAGCGTGCTTGGGGGGCATAGTAGCTCGCAAGGGAGATAAGGGGCCTTGGTTGGCTTACCTCGACGTTAGTTGCCTTCATGTCCGTCTTCAGCGAGACGCGACCGTCGTAATTGCGCCTCAATTCCTGGTACAAGACATCGAGAATCTCTGCACGGTGCACGCTCAATTGCCTGACGCCGCCGTCGACATCCTCATCCATGGCACCAACCGCCACGATTTCCTCCCCGGTATCGTACCGTCGACAGCTTCGGTGCACGCCATTGCGCTCGCCGGAGATGGCATTTGCTGCTTGCCAAACACCCAATTTCTTCAAGATCCGGGCGGCGTTGACACCGATACCGATGCCCGCGCCGATCTCCTTGTACGCTGGAGCCTGCTCATAGACAGTGATGTTTTGCAGAGCTGGGTTGTGATATGCGATGCTCAGAGCTGTTGTCAGACCTCCAATGCCACCACCGATGACCGCGACTTTGAATGCTGCCGGGTCAGTGAGTGAACCGTTGCTAAGTGTTGCGGACGGCATCTTTAGAGCGGCTGAAGCTGATGATGGCTTGGTACCCGCGACGAGGACTGTGATATGAGTGCAAGCCTTTGAGAATGGCAAAGTATTTCAAGCTCTCCGTCAATTTATACCTGCTTGGCAGATCTTGAACGAGGGGGGTGTGGAACGCGAATCTGTTCAAGTACAAACCAAAAGACAACAGGTCTGGGAAGCGAGTGAACACGAACCGTGCAGCAGACTCGATGGGCCGGGGCGTGTCTGTTGGGTCGAGAACCATGACCTACGGAGGTTTCATGAAGGTCTCCATGTCTCTTCTCCTCCTCGGAGGGCGTCCCCGGGTGGTACTGGGGATGGACGGGGGACATTCAGAGAGGCCGAGAACGACTTGGGTCGGCCCCGCGGATATCACATTGGGTGATTACTGCTAAGTCTACAGTGGAAGAGAGGTACGCCAAATGGGATGAATGAAAGGTTGAAGATCCGGAGACGGTTTCCGGCCGGGGAGAACAAGATATTCGCAAGGGTGGTGGTGGGCCGGGGAGATACAGAAACCAATTAATCCATACTGTCTATTTCCTGTCACTCCCCGCCTCTCTGTGAGAATCTCTACCCGAAAGCCGGATGAGGACCCTCTTCCGCCCTAGAACTCCTTGACCCGGGTGTCGGCATCCTTGCGGCGGCCGTGACCTGTGACCTGGAGCTCGCTTACGCTCTAGGTCATTGTCTGCCCGCGGAGAGACGCCGGACTACCCTTTGATCATGCCGGCAGTGGCATTTGCTGTCCAGGTTGCGTAGATCACAAGGCAACAGTCAGTGTTGATGCGAAACGGGCACATTGGTAAATCAAGCGCAGATGGGATGGCTAGACGATGCAATTGACGAGATACTCGTACTCTGGGCTCATTGTATTGTTCGGACAGACGGGACTATATCCAACCAAGATTCGAGCATATTGCCCAAGTCCCCTGCGCTGGACTTCCTTGTGGCAACTGTTCAACCACCACCAAGCTCGCAATCCGAAGACCATCACAAATCCTTGTGCAAATTGGGCTCGCCTTGTGCCTTCCTGATCTTTTCGCCTTTCCAGATGAGAAGCAGCAGACCCAACCATGTGATGAAGTTGATGGACGCAAAGGTTCCCCAGGCGGCGCCAAAGCTGACACCCTCGCCAAAGGGCAGTGCGTAGAAACCGATAGTGAAGGCGAAGATCTGACGGAACAGATTGATGATGGTCGACACTTCGGCGGCTTGGGGCTTGTAGCAGTCCGTGCAGTAGGCGTAGGTCAACGTCGTGCCCGCCTGGACACCAATACTGGCGACCGTCATGCCGACGGCGAGACCGATCCACGGGGTCTCGTTGTTGACGCAGAGGCCATGGATGATCAGTCCTGCGGGCAGGAAGAGACCCAGAAAACAAAGGTACAGACGAGCCTCGGGCTTCCTGTATCCATCGTGGCGGCGTGCATAGCGGTTGATCAATTGGTCGGAGATCCAACCGGTGCATGACTCTCCGATCAGACAGCCGAGCGTGAGCGGGATACCCAGCAGGAGACCGTTTTGCGCCGTGTTGAAGTCGTAGAGCCTCTCGGTGATGGACGACGCGGTGAGAACGAAGACAATCGAGCCATAGGTGTTGGTTGTCATGTAGTAGATACAAGGGATCGTGATGGCCACGTATTGGAGCATCTTGAAATTGGCTGAGAAATCCGATAGGCTCAACTTGCGATCCAGAACCTTGCCGCGGAACGCCATCTTATGCCAGTAGGTTTGGTTCTCAAGCTTGCTGAAGTCCGTGCGCGAGAAGAGCGTCTCGGGAAAGGAGACCAAGAAGATGGCCAGGACGACGCCGAAGATGATGGCATTGATCTATCGCGGTAGTCAGTCTAAACCGAGTCTTTATCTGTGAGATATGGTCGATGGCAGATAGTCGTAGCACATACGAAGAAGATCCATCGCCACCCCAGGTTCAGCGCGATATAGCCACCGGCAATGGGACCAAAATGGGGCTGTATGTCTGTCAGTGGGTTCGTTTGCTTTCAGATTCCTTGTTTTCCACTCACTCCGTTGGTGACAGCCAGAGCGTAAAATCCCATGTACTTTCCACGTTCGCCTTGGAAGAACATATCACAAATCTGGGGCATGTCAGACCAGTGACCAGAGAAGAGCTTCAGTATCGTTTTCGCTTACAGTGGCACCGCCAATGGCCAAAGCAACACTGGCGCCAATTCCGACAAAGCAGCGGCTGACGATCTCGCGAGCATAGGTCGAAGCATATCCTGACCCGACATTTGCACCGATGGCGATCAAAGTAAAGATCTGTCCGAGAGTCAGAGAGACTGTTCCCTTGGAGCAAGATGGAAGAGTGACTTACCAGATAAGCAGGCCTCCGACCATACATATTGACGTACGGAGTCAAGAGCAGAGGAGTGATTCCACCAAAGAGCGTATACGACGTCGTCAGGTAGCTGGCCTGCTGGTGAGTAACTCCAAAGTCTTTTGCAATCACTCCAAAAGCTGCTGGTACCATGCCAGCTCCGACTGTGGCAGGGTCAGTACCACTCTCCATAGCCTTGAGAACCCCCAATTATACTCACATTGAACGCAGAAAGCAAGGAGACACAGCAAGAAAAGCACATAGTACTTGTACCACTTGGGCCAGTTCTGTTTCCAATGTCAGCCTATATCCTTTGGTGGGCATACTACCCTAGCGACAACGAGTCCCCGGCAAGACGTACGAGTGGATCAGCCTTGTGATCGGTAGGCTGGGGCACAAGAGGGAGGCCATGCTCATCGAGCTTCAACTCGGGTCTTTGGCCATGCTTCTCGATCTCAATCTCCATGCCGTCGTTATCTTCCACATGTGCCAGGACACGTAGGCTTTTCTCCTGACCCAGAGTTTCAGCGGCCATGGTTTGCACCGTAGAGGACAAGATGTCAACCAAGGATTCCCAAAGAGAAGACAGTCAAGGGTAGTGAGGGTAGAGGGCACCGTAGGGTGTAGGAGGTTAAGCAAGGCCTATGGGGGGAAAGGGATGAAGAGAGGAAGGGCGGGAAAGGTTCATATAGCCAGCTCGACAAAAGAAGTCCTTTATCTTATTTACCATTCTGTTCCGCCTCGCGACGCCATGGCTCTAACGACCCTAACGCCAATAACCCGGATTGAAGGGGGTCTGAGCTCCCAGGAATGGGCGAGCTGTGAGCGAGGCCGGGATAATCAACATACAGCACTAATAAGAGGAACTAACGTCTGGGGAACAGGAGGAAGACCGGGGGATGATATTTTTCTCTCGAGTGGGGATATACTTCCCCGGGCGGTCACGGGGAGCAAAACAATTGCGGGGAAAAAAGGACGAAGGAAGGGAGTCTTATATCAAAGTCTCCCCGGACCGAAGAATACTTGGCCAGTCGTACTTAGACCGTACGAGTACAACGAACAAAGTCCTTCAAGATGCTCCTGTCCCTCAGCCTATCCTGAAATTGATCTTCCTCACTGGCGCAAATAGCTCCTCGATAGGTACCTTCTTCTCAATCATTGACTGATCATAAAGATACTGTACCAGCGCCTCCAGAGTCTTCCGGTTCTCTTCGATGCCATATGGCCAGCAGTCCTCCCCAAACACGTCATGAATCTCATCAAGCTCCTGAGGTAGCCACGGAAGCATGTATCTGAGGGCACCCGTGCTCTCCATCCGCTTTCGGGCCAACTCCTTGCTTTCGTTCAGAGCGTTGTACAAGGCCGACGCCGCGAACTTGTTTTGCTCGTAGTAGTCTCGGCGCATGGCAACCAGATGCATGATCGGGAATATGCCTGTGCGTTTGTAATAGTCCATTTCCACTTTCTTGAAGTCGGGGAAGAGCCGGTCGATGTGCGGTGCTTTGCCCAGGCACGCTGGAATATCAGCGCCGATTGTCGCGTCAATCTCGCCAGTCTCGAGGAGGTCGGACAGAGACTTTGTGGGATTGGTGTTCTGGGTGATTTTGATCGGCTTCAGTGGTTTCAAGGCGGACGGCTTCCCGTGAGAACCTGGTCCCTCCATTTTGCCTTCCACCCACTCAATGGACGATATGTCGACACCATATTCATGCTGAAGCAGGCCTCGGATGAAGACGGCAGCGGTCATGGTGTACAGTTGTACCCCAATCCTCTTACCATCCAGGTCCTTTGGCTCTTTGATTCTGTCTTTGTTCACGACGATGAAACTGTGCCTGAAGACCCGAGAGGGGAAGACTGGTAGTGCAATGAAGGTGCTATCTCCTGCCACATGACGGGTAATATATTCTGAACTCGACAATTCCGAAGCATCGAATTCCTGGTTTGCTATCATCCGGTCGAAAATGTCCCGGGGGTGATGGACGTCAATGAAGTTCACCGACAGACCGGCTGGTTGCACCTCACCGACCGCAAGAGGCACCATACGGTCATAGAGTGCCGAGGCAAAGTTGCACCGTACAGGAGGCATGGCGAGAAGCGAAGGATGCCTTGTGTAAGACTTGCACAACGTCTAATGTGCTAAGGTAGGTATATGCGACACGATGGGGAGGTCGATTCAAACAGTAATATGCGGTCAGGGTTCGATAGGACAGGCATCTGAGTATGGAACATATACTCATGAACCGTCCCTTTCTAGAAATGCGTCCACGCGTCTGGCCTCTAGGAGATGGAGTTACGCTGACTGTGGTAACTCCCCGCCCGGTAAGTAATTCCGGCACATATTGAGCTTACGATGCTGCACCTCAGGAACTCGTCACTCGTCTTTTGTACTTCTTTGATCGTTTTCGTGCTCTCGTAACTTGTCATTGTCTTTCTCATATGGCCATCTTGTTTCTAGTATCGTTGAACGGGTATTTATGTAATATAGGATGAGAGAGGAGAAGAGATGCTGTCCTGAAAGGGCATTGCGGGAGCGCTGCTTTTGAGAGGCGACTAGCATAGCACCCTTGTCAGTGCCAAGGCTCTAAAACCGAAGTCCTTCTAGGGCGGCGCTAATAATATTGCAAACGGGTAAGCGCCAGTCTACTGTTTACTTCTACTTTACACACTCCCCTGCGCACTTCGAACAAACAGCCCTACATCTTCCAAACCTTCTCGACTTCCTCTGAAAGTGCCTGGTATGCTTTCAACTCGACGCATTGGCCGCGAAGAGATCACTTACGAGGAGGCCAAAAACAAGGAAACCAACATTCTGCACAAGTTGAGTTATATCTCGAAGCAACTCAGATTTTATAACCATCTGTACAAACGCCGCAACCTCATAGAGGAGCGCGTTGCGCATCACCTGGGGTTGAGAACAGCTACTCTTTGTCATGTCGCCGAACCGACGCTGTGGCTCAATGGCAGCTTCAATGTTTGCATCCCAGTTCTTGTCGATGGCGCTTCCCGCGTGTTGATGCGGTTTCCACTGCCTTATCGAGTGGGGGAAGAGTTTCGGCCAGGCAATGGTGACGAGAAGGTCCGCTGTGAAGCTGGAGCGTATGCCTGGCTACAACAGGAATGTCCTACCATACCAATTCCGCGTCTCTATGGCTTCTCTCTGTCCTCTGGTCAATGTGTATGTGGCCTGCACTGTTCTACATGGTTTTTCATTGCTAAGGTTGATAGTTTACGACCGTAGAATGTCTCAATCCTATCCGCCGCATATTTGAGCGCTTTCGCCGTCTGCTTCTTTCGATTCTACACTATCCTCTCCCCTCTCCCCTCATTCCTCATCAGTGTCGGCTCTCGAATGAGCTTGGGCCGTACCTACTTCTGGAATACATTGAAGAGGGGGAAATGCTCTCGAACACTTTAGATGACCGGTATAACGATGAAAAGTTATGGACCAATCTATTTCGCGGCCTCTCGCGGGTTATTCTCATGCTCTCTCGCATCCCCTTACCCAAGATCGGATCGTTTACCGTGGATGACCGTGGCTTTTTGCAACTTACAAATCGACCTCTGACAATACAAATACAAGAGCTTGAGAACGAGTGTATCCCTGTGAATACTGCAAGAGACCAAACCTACTTTTCTGTCGACTCATATGTGAACGGTCTCCTTTCGAATCACGATATCCGCCTTCGCTACCAACCAAATGCAGTGAACGACAAATACGATTGTATAAATCAAATGTCGGCTCTAGTTGTTATGCGGTCCCTGGCTTCTCAGTTCTTCGATTACAAGCTTAATACTGGCCCATTCGTATTTTGCCTGACTGATTTACACGCAAGCAACATTATTGTGGACAACGCCTGGAATATTCGATGTCTTATTGATCTAGAATGGGCAGCATCGCTTCCCATTGAGTTTCTCCGACCTCCATCTTGGCTGACTAGGCAAGCAGTCGACGTGATCGATACCGAGGCTTACAATATTCGCCGCGAGGAATTCATGAAGATATTCGAAGACGAGGAGTCCAAGTTGTACCCGGCAAGGAGCTCAACCTATTCGACGGTCATGAATCGTGTCTGGCAAAACGGGACATTTTGGTATACACTTGCCTTGGAAAGTATAACCGGTCTTAATTCACTCTTCTACAAGAGGATCCAGCCAAAGTATTCAGGAAGTCACCTGAAAGATGGCCACTTTTATCTTGTTACTCACCTCTATTGGTCGCAAAACGTTGAAGAGTTTATCGATGAAAGGGTTGAGGCCAAGAAGAAGTATGATCAAGATCTCGAAAATGAATTCAGAGCACATTGAGATGACTTCTTTCAGTCATATTGGAATGACACTTCAACAATTGTCTCAGAAACCACAGGATCATTTTTCTCCAGCTTTGCTGCTCCCTTGATCATTAACACCTTGATCATTAGCATCTTGCTCATTAGCATCCTTGTCCTGTTCGAATCTCCCTTCGTCCTTGGCGGTCTGAATTGCCTTTTCAATTGACTCTTTGACTTCACGGTGTCTTGCATCTTGAGCAGCTGCCCCAGAAGATGTGAGTTGCTTAAGGGTGTCGAGATCGATTTTAATCCCAATGACTGCGTTTTCGATGACTGGATCAACATAGTCATCAGAAGAGACGGAGGTCCTGTTTGCCATTGTCGTTCTGTTGGGAGCACTGTGGAGGTGTCAAGGCAACTATCGAAAGGTGCACATGGGGCATTGCACTTACAGCTTTAGAATGGTGGAGATATTGATAGAGCTGGGAAGGAATATGGATACGAACATCCCAGGTAAGTATGACTTTAAGTTCAAACGCGAACACGTCTCGACGTTCATGGAGGGGCAAAGGACCTCTGTCCCACCTGAGAACAATGGACTGCGGGCGAGATGGCGATTGGAAGGTTCATATTTGCAGAGAAGAAAACAGGCGTTAACATACCGGGGTGTGGATGCAGAGCGAAGGCTCCAATTTGCAGGGTATCTCAGATGACCGAGTCTCGGTTACGACGAAACCATTGATGATACCTATCATGCAAAGCCACGAGGAGACTGGGTGTGACTGCGTAGCCAATTACCCCTACACACAACAACAGAAGTTCCGAAACACATGCTCATGACAGTACTGGGCTGGGCAAGGGTTCGCAAGAGTCTCATGGGCTTTGTAAATCCCAGAGATCCGACCATTTCTGGGTACACAGCCCCAAGGAATAGGAAAATAGTCGTCAGGATAGTAGAGTCGTAATCGTCAGAAGCATGTGTGAATTAGGATTTTCCAAGTTTCTTTGGTACCATCTGAGTACTTCGGGGAGTACCTCATACAAGTACTGCTACAAGTAGAAGAGCAGTCTGACGCATATCACGTGGTACTGGGTCCATTATGAGGCTGAGGCGACCACAGAGCGGCATCACCTTTGTCCCAACCCAGGTTGAGGTGCGAAGAGCTTGGCGCCAGTTTTGGCAATGCGCAGCCTCGACCTGAGGGGCGGGCAATCTTCGACACAAAGGTCAATGTTCCCAAGTCACTCCTGTTGTCGCTCCCTCAAAGCTCCGCGTTAGCAGCACAGTATTGTTTCCGGAATGGCGAATTTGAAAGACCTGAATGAGCCATTCTATGTGCGGTACTAGTACGGATTTCTGCCATTGCTTTCATTTTCCTGAGTGATACTGACCGTGTGCAGCTCTGGCCACTCCGGTCGATTTGGCCATGAATTTTTAGGTACAAAGGCCTCAAGTATCCCACACTCGAATATCACTGACTGCTAGACAGAATTTGACTTCAGAGTGATCGGAGACGGTCGAAGCGCAACGGCGAGATATGCAAACAATTCAAATTACCGCAATGATTCCCTCATCCGCAAAGAGAGTACGTATTGGGTCTTCAGTGCCGCGTCGAGCGACTGACATTTGTCCAGTGTGTGTCAGCGCCCTCCTCGTTTCAGAGATCAAGCGCATCATCAAAGACAGTGAGATCATGAAGGAAGATGACTCGCGGTGGCCACAAAAGAACAAAGATGGAAGACAAGAGCTTGAGATCAGACTGGGAAATGAACACATCCAATTTGAGGTTTGTCAGGCTCTCTACATGAATTGCGACTCGACTGACGCTGGGCAGACCGCAAAGATAGGCTCGCTCGGGGACGTGACAGACTCAGCCGATCCAGAAGGGCTGCGTGTGTTCTACTATCTGGTGCAGGATCTCAAAGCTCTAGTGTTCTCTCTGATATCTCTACATTTCAAGGTAAGCCTTCGTCGATCCAGGCGTGGAAAGCTATGCTAATGAGAACCAACCGCAGATCAAACCCATTTAGCCACCCTGCCTGCTACCCACGATGGTCGATACTCAGCAAATCCTGAGTCTTGCTGCCGAAGCTATTTGGCATTCAATCTCGGTCGAAGCAGAATCCCTTGGGATTCCAAAGGCGAAGAAATTTTGGTCGGAAAGAGGGCCTCATATAATGGCTTGCCCAAGACGGCTTCGATTTGATGGCCGCCGGACAAAAGTTGGATGCGTACAGAACATCGAGGTCCAACAGTGATTTCCACTGATCAGCCAAGATGCATCGAACCAGAACAGAGGCGGCCCACGAACAAGAGCAGCCATGACATAGCCCGGCAAGCCTGGCACCCGTGATGGGATCGGTGATGCCAGGCCCGCGGCTTCACGACTTGAACCCCGCAAATGGCGAGAACCTCCGAAAGTCGGGGCGGGAGTTTTCTTAGCTGATGAAGGACCTTGAGCCCTCGCCTCTCCAATCGACTAGATTCCCGCTGCCATCCACCCGTCCACTATTCTCCGTACCTCTCATCATTCTCCTCCCCATGTATCTCGTGCTCTGACGAAGGGTTCTGTGCATTCTCTCATCCTGCGATTTCCCTGGCAATCCCATCCATCCGCGCTTCCCTCCCCACGTCCCGACATCTCCATCATCCTCGCTCCATATGATAACCTTGCGGTTCCTCACCTTTCAATGCCAACCCATGCACCTGCTACGCCGTTTGGTCCTCACACCTCCGAAATAGCTATCACTCAACCCAATGTCGCGTGCCCTGCTCCATTGACACCACCTCCGGAGAATGACGGAAATGAGACCTCGAGGCGTCTAGTGACGCCGCAGACACTCAATAGCGGGCATGTTTTCAACCGGCGACAAGTCGGCGACAACACCGCTGCCGGTATGGCCCAGATGCAAGAAGAGACTTTGTATACCACCCCGCCAAGTTTCGATGAGAAAATCCACGCGGACGGCACCAGCGCGACATCTATGATAGATGGTGTTGATGATGACATGAGCCTAAGTGAGCGCATTGAGGACGACGGCGATCGGGAAACAGACGGATTTGATGCGACATCGGGCACACCCATCGTATCGCAAGGCAATGCCCGTCAAGTGTTGTCTGAGATGAGAGCCACAGAGGATGAGACAGGACCAGTATGCGGCAAGAGTGGCCTGGGCACATCATCGCCTCCGCTGATCTCGTCCGCGAACAATCGAACTGGAGGCTTTCCTCGAGCTGGGGAAACCCCCGGCAGGCCAGCGATTGATCAAGAACTAGACTGGTCGAATAACGATTTGAAGGAATGGGACTTTTCTCATCGGCAACTTCGACCGCAATATCCATCGGCCACATTCCAACCGTATTCCAAGTTCAAAGGCACGCAACAGTCAGACCGACAGATTTACAATGTGGAAGTGACCATTTTGACCGTGGACATTGAACAATGCAGCATGTCGGGATACCTTCAGATATGCGGCCTGACACCAGATCATCCCACATTGACCACCTTCTTCACCGGCGAGATCATCGGCGGCCCAAACCAGAAGTATAGCTTCAGGACCCGGGATCCCGCATGGGGCGCGAGCGACAAGACGGACCTGACGCACTGGGCTCGGTTTCCTGCATGGAGACCACTCAGTTTGCACGCGAAGCGCAACATCAACTTTGTCTATCCCATGAACCACGAGAACTGGTGGCAACAAGACTACATCTTCATGAGATGGAAGGAGCACTTTCTGGTCCCCGACTACAAGTTGAAATCCATCCAGGGAGCCAGTTTCGAAGGGTTCTACTACATCTGTTTTAATCAGATTGAGGGGAGAGTGAGTGGCATTTATTTCCACTCCAAGAGTGAGAAGTGAGTTCTTCAACAGTCCCCATTGTGCGCTGAGATATACGAAGGCTAATCTTCCAGGAACAGATACCAACAACTCGAATTGAAGCACGAAGGAGAACCCGGCGTCTGGAGGATGGGGGTCTGTCCAGCGGTGGAGTTCCGTTGAAAGACGAATCCGAACATGTTTCACGGCTCACTGGGGGAGAATCCGACCTGCGTTCTTGTGTATACTTTACATCTGTAGATGATCATCTTGCTGCGGGTGTCTCGTTTTTTTTTCCCTTTTTATTTTGCTGGCAGGATAGATTTTTGATAACGGCCAGATCACGAACTTGAGACTTAGCCGGGGCCTTCTGCAACGCGGCGCCTTTTTCATTGCTGTGGGAGAATCGAGACGCAGAAATTTGATACCGTTGTCATTTTGGAATTGTTCTGTTTCTTTCGGAAATCACACGAGACTGTGAAACTGATTCGTCATCGTCCAGGGTCAGGAAGCTTGATTTTGCGAAACTTTGCGAAGCTGCCAAAAAAAGGGAAGAGAGCACATGGCTTGTCAGCTAATGGCAATAAAGATTCAGACCCGATGACAATTAACCTTGTGGCCCAATGTGATGCGTGATTGCATGATTGCATGATGCATGATGTATGATGTATGATGTCGAGTGTAGGGACACGTAGTACGCAAGGAGGAACACCGAGGCGTTAGGCCTGGTTGGATTTTGGGGAGATGGAAGAGACATGAGGTAAGGGGGTGCTGGGACCAACTGGGATTATTTTTAGGGGCCTTCAAGGGGATTACTGGGGGGTCGATGCACCTGGACACATACCTGGAGGTGGTACACAACACATGCCTACAAGTAGGCACGACTCGTAGGTTTACTAGTTGGTTGTGGGCCTTCACTAGCCTAATCGATATAGGTGCTTTGAGTTTTCTTGGGGTGGCTCTAGGTGGTTCTGGGCCTGGTTCCGTGCTTTCTCCGCGCTGCCCCTCTGACTCCAAGGCTCGAGTGCCTATAACCATTACCCAACTGCAAGGCCCACCCGCCTGCGCCGCTTATCCCCTCAAAGGACTCATTCGATGCCTTGTGTGGCCAGCGTCTATTTGCTGCAAACGCACCCAAGTGCGGTTTCTTTGTAGACAGCAAACCGTTCAGGTCATGCATCTAGCCACCACGGTTTCAGTGCAAATGACTATTATTCCATCCCTCTCTTCGTCTGCGTCTATGGTATCTGCGCTCTAGTAGTGTCTCAATCCCCAATCGCCTGCTGGCCGTGCGCTCGTTCGCGGCTTCGCCTCTTCTCATTTGCAGTGTTGCAGGTTTGGCTTGTCCCGACTCTTATCTTTGTCGCATTCCCACTACGCTTCACGTGGGAAAATCCGGGGGGTGTCGATGACATATTACCATCGCCAGCCCGACAGTTCAGATCCTTTGATGACGACCGGGTCGGGGTCAGATATGAATTGACCTGCACTATGGTAAAGCAGGCTCTCCACACCCGCACAACTAACTTTTGGGAATTGTTCAATGACTGATACTCGCTGTATAGGGTTGCTGTGCATCGAGACCGACAGAGTCGCGTGATCCAGACCATGGACACCCACATGCCCCTCCTCAGACTCAACACTCCTCCCAGGTCATAACATCGCAGACGGCGATCAATGGTGCATCCCACGATCCCGACTCGCGCAACTTCGGGGCCCCTTCAGGTCTGTCGATCCATCCGAGTGAGACCTCGAGATCGGCACTCTCCACGCCCCGAGACTCAGTCAACCACAACGCCAGGTCGCGGCAGAACCGACCCTTGTCTCTAGCAGATCATTATAACCTGCCTCTGCAGCCGCCGAAGCCGTGGAAGAGCAAAGACAGGACGTGGACATACACCCAGTTGCAGCGAGAGAGGTATGAGTTCTTCGAGACCAGAGTCACAGGGATCCCCGAAATCTGGCATGGCTTGAAGCAGGTGATTGAATGTCTGCACGAAGGTGATCTGGCCGACGCCCAGGGGATCCTCGATGCCCTCTCGGTGACACTCCCCACGGGGAAACTCGAGGAGGGGGCATATGATGAGCACGGAAACCTGTACAAGATACCCCAAGCCGTCATCTCAGACCCCATCGACGTGATCGAGGACCACACAGACATGGACTCCCAGACCGTCAACGGGACTAACGATATCGACCCCATTGCAGCCAAGCTAGAGGCAGCAGAGGGTGGCGGCAATCTAGACGGCAACAAGGACGGATCCAACGAAGAAAAGGTCAAGGAAGCAAAGGGCAAAGCACCCGTGCCAAAGGACGCTGTTAAAGTTAGATGCCGGCTTAGCGATCGCGGAGACCCTGATGTGGTTGTTCTGTTGGGTAAAAGCCAGAGGGTGAGCGCACTGGTTCAGAGGATCCGGGACGAAACAGACGTGAGAACTTCAGCCAGTAGCCCGCTGACACTATAACTGACATCTCACGCAGGTTCCCAGCAAAGCCAAGATACGCATCGCATATCTGGGCAAGATTTTGGACGAAAAGCTGACCTTGGAAGAACAAGGCTGGAAGGAAGGCCATGTGGTCAATGCTCTTGTGGTGGGGGTATACAGTTGACCTGCCAGCCTGCCTTGCCTGACATATGTTGAGCAATGAATGCTGTGAGGAGATTCAAGGGGTTTTTCCTTTTGTTTGGGTTTCATACGGGACCGCGTTGTCCAAGCCAGCGATGATTGATTTTCAGATACCCTGCACAGTGTATATCCATCTAATGAAGATGTACAAAAGGCTCGACGGCGTCAAACACGATCCCAGAGGGAGGGGGAGGTCGCTGCAGAGAAGAAAGACAGGAGAATCTGTGGAGAGCGAAGGGAACAGCTGCGATGAGATTAATTTCTAATTACATGCATTGAGTGATGAACCAGCAATCCGATATCCGAGGGGATATTTCGCATTGATTTCTCCTGAGCATTGGTCATGATACGACTACGACTACTACGCCTACAGGGCTGAAACCGCGAGGCTGAGATGCAAAGGAGGAGACGAGGTATATAACTATGACACAACAAGATTTGAGAATGTTGGATGCATCGTCTGCCTATCCACAAGTACATCAAGGAACTATGGGACACTGTCTTCCATTGCTTGTACAATGAGTAGTACGAAAGAGGATATTGGAATAACCTCTACTTGGTATTGTTGAGCGGTGGTGTGATGGGAATTCCCTCGCATGAAAGTACTTGTAAAGGAAACGTGTGACGGTCCTTGCTTGAGTGGTGGGCACACTGGAGAATTGATCCCATTGCTTGGAGAGAGACACCTAAGTTCTCGCACCCCATACTGCCCGTACAAACTTTTTATACTTGGAGAGACCAGAAGACTCACATCATTACGAACCACCTAAACCAGGAAGCAAACAAACAGAGTCTACTTTTTTCATCATAGACATGGCCACCCGTGCATCCATGTATCTGTCCATCGTCTTCTTTTCCATCCTGTTGGGCCTCAGACGAACCCTGGTCTTTCTGCAGACGCTTCTCGCCCGGGTGGTGGTGGGCCCACGCACGGCCGAGGTGCTGCAGCGTTTCTTGGATGACCAGCAACAGTGTTGGGATTTTCTGTGATTTTTGGGAGAGATCATACGACGAGGAGAATAAGGACGAGAAAGATTGAATAGGCTGCTCTGGTATATAGCGCTGTGTGTAGCAACGGGACAGGATAACAATTTGGGAGGAGGAAGTGAAAAGTGGGAAGAAAAGAAGCAAAGAAGAAAGAAAGGCAGGTCAGCCGTGCGCAGATTTCGTCCACCTCGAAACATCCAACATCGACCACTCACACTTCAACCACCACCATCACCTCGACTCAACATAGTCAACTTACACACTAATAACTGTGTGATGGTAATCTATGGCACCAACATATCCAGGAGAAACCGCTCCGATCAACTTCCTAGACACTGAGCGGCTCAAACCTTGACCATGCCACCCTCAACCACCGCATCGACACCACTCACCCCCTCAGCCGTGTCTACACTCATCGAACACTCGGCTGCCAAATCCGCCGCCGAGTCCCTGGCAATCACCGTCCTACACAACCTGCAGTACCAGCACGAATGGACAGATCTCAAGCTCCACCTCGCCTGCCCCAGTATCACTCCTGGCGACGCCCATGCCTCTGCAGGGCTCATTGACTTGGACGGGATCCACTTTGTGCATTCGAGTAATTCCTCCAGGTCGACTTCTCCGTCGAGGTCGGGCTCATCCACGCCGACTGGGAATGGAGTTTCGTCATCACAGCCATTCATCCAGCCACTCCCACTGGCGAGTTCTCCCGGAGGCACCGTTCCCATAATCTCTGGCCTCCCACCCCAGCACACCTACCTCCATCCGGACCTGCAGACGTACCTGATCAAGCACAAGATCAAGGAGTCGGATATCCAGGTCCAAAGGGAGTTTGTGCTGCCGCTCGCAATGGGCGAGAAATGGTCCTTGGCGAGGCTATGTGGTGTGTTCGACCAGTTGCCCGAGAGGGAGAGTGTCAGGGTCCGCCGTCCTATGTCCCCAACTGGAGGGAACCCAGGGGAGAGGCGCAGTAAGGTTGGTGAAACTGCCAACGAGAGCGGCTCGGCCGGTGCAGTGTACGAACACAAGGACTCCAAAAGGGTGCTCTGTGGCATGCGCGCTCGCGAAGGCGGAGGCGGCGACGGCACCATCGTCTACTACATCATGCAAGAAGGGGAGGTTAAACCGCGGCAGAACGGATGAAGCCGGCAAGCCATCCATTACTCAATCCAATGTCGTTGCTACTCGGGCACTGAAACGATCTTGAACGGATGCCCTCCCCCAGCGAGCAGCGAGTGGCCAAGTGGATCCAGCGCAGCGCCACAACCTCTCGATAATCAGTGTCGGCGAACAAACACGACATGCTCGAAAGCGAATATGACTGCACGAGGTGGTACCAGCTTGAAGATACGCCGTCCCACGCAATCATCATTGTGCCCTGCCAGATACGGGAGATACATCAACGTACGAGGTACATGCACGTATATGCGATGTCGTGTGGTCCCGCGACTTTACTGGCCACCATCGATACAGAGGAGACTGGAGCGAGGGATATATCACATCCGTTTCTTTTCTCTGCAGCCTCAGTCAGCAAATCATGGCATAGTACGCGCTACAATGCCAGACCAGACATGTCCTGCACATGCAGACCGAGGTCGACGGTGCCCTGACTGGAAGTCATTGTACCACCCGAAAAGGAGAAAAAGATGGCAGCCGATTAGCGCAGAGGAAAGCGAAGACGACAGGGACAAACACAGGATGAAGATAGACAGGTGCAGAGGACGACGACAGATTATTAGTTTTAATGTAGATTACACACGTCAGGGTCCTTTTCCCAAGATCTCCTCACGCTGGACTTTTTTTTTGGCGAAAGAGGAGGGGAAAAAAGAAAGAGAGAGAGCGCCTATTGCATGCACCCAAAACCCCGTCTCGTAGCGAAGAGATCAAGCAGGTGAATGAACATGGCTATCGAAAACACATTTCCTTCGTTCCTTCAATTAATGCGGTGTGGCCCTGGAGATAGACAGACAGAGGGTACCCTCGCTCCCCATAAAGACTAGACTCCCAAAGCGCTTTCATCAGACACACTAGAGGTGCCGTGCTATGCCGGATAATCCTCAAAGCCCGCTGTAAACCAGAATGCGCTCCGGTGTCCCAAAAAAGGGTGCTCGGTTTGTGTATGAGTGAGTGAGTGAGTGATGTGTGTTTTGCTTTCCCCCCCTATGCAGCAGCAGCCTGTCCGAATCGCTAATGTCGAGTGAACCATTGGTGGCCCTTCAACTTCTCCGACCTGACCACCTTGTGGCTCTCGCCGTGCCGGAAGTGGCGATGGTGATCGTGTCTCGCCAACTTCTTGGCCTCTTTCGCGTCTTCTTTGGCCTTTCTCTCCTGGAAGTCTTCGATCGATTCGAGCACGTCGTATTCCTGGACCGGAATGCCTTCAATCTTCTTGACCTTGGACCCTTCGATAAAGACGCACAAGCCCGCGGCAATGGCGACTAGACAGCCCAACGTGATCCAAACACCGGTACCCCACGAAGGTCGGTCGAATCGGTTCCAATGCCACATCCAGACGCAAAGAAGAACTTGGAAAAAGGTGTTGAGTATGTACATCCACACGACAAAGTCGATGGTCCATGATTTTGAAGGGGGAGCCCGAAGGCCTGTTAGAGGCGCCTCCGGCATGGACGCCGCAGGGATAGGGATGGCAGGGTTCTCTTCCATCTTGGCGATTTCTTCTTCTGTATACGGGGGAGGCGCTTCTGGAGTGCGCGGGTGGTCATTATTGTACACGGGGGGAGGACCGATGTGTTCCTCCAACTTCTCGGAGCCCGGAAGACGGTACCAACCCCGATATATGCCTGCGAGACGGCGGTGGAAGCGTTCGTCGCCACCGATCCGCCAGCGCATGAGGTAAAACCAATCTCGTGCTCGCCAAGGCAACAGACCAAAGGCCGTCACGCAGAAGAGGCCGTTGAGGATCTGGGAATCAATCTCGATCCACTTCTCTCGAGCGCTACTGTCGTCGTCGCAGGACGGGTGGCACATGGCCGGAGCAGCTTTAAGGAGGACGAAGAAGATCATGGCGCCCCATCCAACGATGTTAAGCCCGTAGATGGTGACAATAAAACCAAACGGGGTGAGGAAGAATGTCCAGAAGGCGCGGAGACCAATCATGGTGGACTGGGTCCAGGTGTGTTTCTTGGGGAAGCGGTAGCCATTAGGATATGTGCCTGTCTCGTCCGGACCCCCTTGGATTCGCACTGTTTGCGGCCCGTCACTGGTAGTTTTCGAGGTCATGGAGGAATCTCGCTCTTGAGCTTTGGCAGTCTCGTCGTGCTTCTCCGAGCTAAAATGGATCGTATTAGCGGGGGTGTTCTGTGTCTGTGTGTCTGTGTGTCTGTGATAGATAAGAATGGAAATCAGCAAGAGAAGAGCTCACCTGGCGACTGGCTGGATTTGTTCTGGCTGGCCATGAGCCGGCTGTTGGATTTGAGTAGTCGCTGCCTCCTCAAGGAGCGGTTCCTGCATTATAGTCGGCGCCCTCTTGGGAAAGTATTCATGTCTCTCTTCTGCAATGGCCGGCGGTGCGTTGGCTGACAGCGAGCTCTTTCTCGTCCGCGTACTAGCAGAACTTGTCCTGGCCACCCGTCGCGCATGGATGTCATGCGGGTTGGTCCCTCGACGTTCCATCTGGCCCTCATGCGTCCATCCCTCGGCTGCAAAAGCGCCATTCCTGATCTCGGGTAGTGTAGGGATTTTGGAGCCGATTTCGCCAGTGGCCTGCCACATGCCTAGAGGAGGGTTGCTCTCGAGAAACGACTGTGTGAGGGAGCCTGTCCGCGTGCGAGACCGTATAGAAGAGGGGGTTTTGGAGAGGCGAGAGACAATCGAGGGTCTCCGACTTGGGTCCCTTGTGCTATTGCCGACCCTTCTGAAAGATACATCGTTGACATCGGGTTCGTAGGAGGGAAATGGCTCCGATTGTGTCGGAGGAGTCGCCATCGTGGGCTGTGGTGGCAAATGTGAACAAGAGCCGCGGCCAAGTTTGAAAAAGACTAACGGTCCAAGTCACGCAACGAGGGCGGACCGGGCATTATAACTGAACAACTGAAACCTGGCGTGGCGGCGGACGCAGTGTCATGGTGATTCGTGTCCAAGGTGGACAATCGCATGGCATCCCTAGTTTGGTGTTTGGACGCAGGTTTGGTGGTGGCATTTCGTCCACAATGTGACGGGCGCATCTCTTGGGTGGAGCTTCACACCCCCCAACTGACCCAATGGTGGACACGGATTGAACAAGTATTGACCCTGATCAGCCACCAACGATCTCCTCTACTCCTCTTCTCCCCAAATCCAGCCTCTTTGTCCCTTCCAAGTCTCCACCTGCATCGGCCTGGAGACTGCTGAGCTCAGCAAATCTGGTTTGTCCACAGTCCGATGTAGAACCCAATGTGGTAAAGGGCTAGACGCTGCGATGAGTGTCGAGTTAGTCATGGCCACCCCAGATGCCCTGCACTTGCTTCCTCATCCAATGGTCTCATCGTTCCAAGCCCGTTGATGCATCTCGCTCAGCACATTGTGCCTCATTCGGACAGGGGCTGCAGAGTCCTCGAGCGCAACGGCCACTGCTCAATGTCTGGTCTATGTTTGGCCTTGTACCCCTCGACGTCGTCACTAAGACGATGTTCTATTACCAGATGAACCTCACGTTGGAGCCAGGCTAATCACAAAGGAACAATTCAGGCCTTCAACGCTGAGAAATCTGCGCTGACCGCCAAGATGTTTCGGCATGGGCTACTGTTATGCCGGGGATGGAAACATCTGCAAGACATGCTGATTCACTAGAGATACTAGTCACGAGTTTTTTCATTCCAGACAAAGGAAGGGGACAGAATGCATGCTATCAATAATTGCATTTGAGGAAAAAGTCACGCTGTGGACAGCGTCCTCTATAAAAATAAACCTCCGTCTCAGAGGATATCCCTACTGCTTGCCTTTTCTGGCGCTAACAGTATCACCGTGTCGAGGACAAACACCATCAATTACTCGCTTCTCAATATCCACTGCTCGTCTTCACTCTGGGATCCAGCTCGTTGAGGAGCTTGCTATCATGCACAGTGCCATGGTGCGTTCCAGCTGTCCCTCCGTGTCCCGTCGTCCCAACAGTGCCCGTGGCTCCTACCGGGTGTACCGTCGTACCGCCTGAGGTTACCCCAGCACCGCCATAGCCGCCAACATGACTCGCAGGGTTGGTGCGGTGGTCGGCATCGCTGTCCACACGAGGGTCAAGCTTGTTTGCCATGTTGGATGAGTGAGGACCTGCTGTTGAGGTTGAGGTTGTTCCGTAGCCTGAACTACCATGTCCTCCAACCGTGCTAGTTGGATTGGCGCGGTGATCAAAATCACTGTCGACGCGAGGATCAAGTTTGTTGGCCAGGTTAGATGAGTGAGGACCGGCTGTGGTAGTTGATGTTGCTCCATATTCTGAGCTGCCATGTCCTCCAACCGTGCTTGCTGGATTTGCCCGGTGATCAAAGTCGCTATCGACCCGAGGATCGGCTTTGTTGACGAGGTTGGACGAGTGTGGGCCCGCAGTGGTAGTACTGGTGGTAGTGGTCGGTCCATATCCCGAACTACCATGCCCTCCGACATTGCTGACTGGATTTGCTCGATGATCCCTGTCTGAGTCTACACGGGGATCGAGTTTGTTGGCAAGATTGGACGTGTGAGGCCCAGCGGAGCCGGTAGACGTGCCAGTTCGACTATCCACGGTAGGGTCCACGCGGTTGACGGTGTTAGAGGCATGGGGCCCATGTGGCCCGGTCCCTGTGGTGCCATATGCAGAAGAGGTGCTGGTTGCAGTCGTATCATGACCTTTGTGGCCAGACAGGGCATCCTTGGCCTTATTGATGAGGTTCGACATGGTGAATGGTGATGTTGTATTGGTTTTGAATGGTAATAGAGACAAAAAGTGCTATCAATATTGTTGGACGGGAAGTAAGCCTAGTGACTGAAGACAATCAATGTTGCAGCTGTGCAGAGGAATGAAACATCCACCTTATATAGGCGGTACGAGACAATGTGTATGTGGTCGATCCTTCTGCCACCTGGTTTGAAGAACTTGGGCAGTCGGCCGGTTGCGTCACGTATTGGCAATTTCCTTCCCGATACAGCCAGGTCAGGAGGTGAATATTTCGAATGGGATATCGTGCTTGACGCAACCAGCTCGCCAGGCCGATGCTCTTGCCCGAAGCGTCCAGATCAAGACCTCAAGCGCGATCAAGGCCCTTCCAACGAACTGTGGCTGGTCTCGTGTGATTGGACATCTCAAACGGTCAGCCACAGCTGGATCCATTGCCCTGGCGTCATTTGTGCGTCACCGGCGTCACACGCAGTCGTTAGGGGGCAGCAACTGTGGCGTCAAATTCTCCGATTTGATGAATCTGTTTTCGTGCCCGTTTGGAGATTCTGGGCCAAGCGAGAACGGCTGGCGAAGGGTCTTTCGCGAGAGCCACCAAAGTCCACTTGTCGGTGGTCAATGGTCAGAGTCTTCCAGTCGTACGGGATGTGGAACCCCCAAGGCGCCAATTCTTGGATGAAGGCTGAGTTGCGTGCTTTCAATCTTCCGTGGTATCTTCATCCAGTCCCTCCATTGACGACGTATTTCGTCACTGCGTCTTTCAAAACCTGTATCTCACGCTGTGTCTTGACAAACACTTCGCGGTACTGCTCCAAGCTTTCCTGGACCACCTCAGTCCGGCTTTTCCGTCCCTCGCAGATCGCCTTCATTTTCAGCTCCATCTCTTTACGGAGGAAAGGCTTGCTGACACTGACGTCGAGGCCCACATTGTCATACCCTTCAATCAAGGCCACGCCGAGGGTAGTGGGGATGAATTCCGGGACAGCGTTGCGACCGCTTCCAGACCGTCTTGTATCGACGTAAGATCGATCCTGGATCTTGGCAATGTGCTCGGCCATCGTTGCGTCTGTCCCAATGCCGTTTGCATCCATCAGAGCGATCAGCTCGGGTTCAGTAAGATACCCAGGCGCCGTAGTTTTTCCATCCACCATGTTTGCTTCTGTTGGCTCAAATGTCTCGCCAAGTGTAAACTCAGGAAGTTGTTGGCTACTTTCCCATTTGTCGTAAACGTAGACATCGAGATAATTCCTTTCCAGGACAAGCAGACCATGGGTATGAAACATCTCGGGGCCCCAGAGTATTTCAATGTCAGTTGCCTCGCCCTTGGCATCCTCGGAACAACAAGCCAAAAATCTTCGGGTAACAAACTCGTACACCTTCTTTTCCTGGGCATCTAGAGCATCACTAGCAACATAATTGACCGGGTGAATGGGCGGATGGGCTTGATCATTGTGACGGCCTGATCGTGGGGTCCTAAAGTCACCATTCAGTAGCCGCTGCGCGTATTGCCCCCAATTGTTATCCTGGGTTTGACGTTGAATTATGGCGTTGAAATCGAACTCTCGCGGGAATTGATCCGTCTCGGTTCGGGGATAGCTGATGAACCCTTTTTGGTAGAGCTTCTCAGCGACGGACATGACTTGCTGACTGGTCATGCGAAGAAAGCGGCTGCCTTGCATTTGCAATTCCACAGTGGTCAAAGGCAGTGGTCTCCATTTCGAGGTTGGTTTCTTCTGGACCTTGGTGACTTTGGCATGTTTCGCATCGAGACATGCCTCAAATATGATAGTCACTGCTGCTCGATCGAATAGAGAAACCCTCCGCCAGTTGAAGTTGACCTTGATCCTGTTCCGCACGTGGACCAGCTTGATCAGCCAGAAGGTCTCGGGCTTGAAATTCCTGACACGATTGTACCGATCCACCACGAAGCCCAGGGTGGGAAATTGGCAGGAGCCATAGGAAATCGTTTGGTCTCGAAGGTTGTCGCTTAGACGCTGGAGTTCGAGGCTTTGTAGCCTGGTAAAGGAGGCACCTATACGAAGGTCGAGCTCGATTCTTGCTGCCACTGCACTGACTTGACGTTCGTCCATATCAATGGGAGAATGAGCCGCATGTATAACATGGCTGGACCGGTCAGGCTTAGAAACCCAAGGGAGGGGAGGAGGCCTTACGCTCTTTCAGTGTTGCTGAACTTGGCTCGCTTCACGACAATGGTCGGATTGCCCTTTTTGGCCTGATCCCGTACTTCGCCTCCAATGTGTTCCCCTTCACGATCACAATCGGTCCAGATGAAGAGGATTCGGGCAAAGCGGGCCTGGCGTTGAATATTTTCGGCGATGGACTGCTTGTCTCTGTCGATGGTGATCTTTGTTTCGGCTTCAAACAGTTGACTTGGAGGACACGACTTCCAACTTTTATACTTGGGATCGAAGTCCAAACCAGTGAGGTGGCCCAGCACGCTGGTCATGGTTACCGAGCAGTTGCCCCATTGCTGGAAGTGGAAGTCAAACTCGTAATTCTTTACATATTGGTTCCCATTGACGGGCCGCTGGAAGTTTCATAAGATACTGGCCGAAGACTGAGGGCTGCTGTTACCTACCGTGGTGACCCTTCCACCCGCCAGGTGTTGAGCCACTGCCTTGGCTATTGCAGGCTTTTCTGCGACGCAGAGGATCTTTTGACCGGGCATAGTTCATTTTTGACGCGCCTCATACTCGGCGATGGAGGAGTCACTGGATTTGATGGTGATCAGATGAGAAGCGAGGGGAAATAATGAAGCGACGCGTCCGAAAAAAATTGGTGATCGTAGTTGAACGCGCCACCATGTGATCACTGTAGTACATGTACATGTCCCTCGTACAAAGGTGTGGATGGGGCACGGGGGGTTAAAGATCTGAACATTAGGGGCGAGCATCGCTTGGAATCGGTGGCGAGATCTCATCTTGAACGCCTAAGAAACTTCCGCCAGTTGCCCCTGGCTAGCGCTCTTAGGCGCTTCCCCTCACCCAACAAAGTTTACTCGTACAAGGAGAATTAAAATGATTGCGTCATTACATTTTACTGCAAGGCTTCAGTGACGCTTCATCAACAGCCAGTTTCTGCCTGATCTCTTCCTACATCTTGTAATTCGTGTTGAAAACTTCACCAGCTTCTGTCAAGTGCTACACAATGGCTCTACCTGTCGTACTAAACCTAGCTGAATGCTCCGACTACAGCAGTACGGTTGCCCCCTACCTCTACCAACTTGCCTCGCTGCCCAACATCCTCTCTTCGTCGATCACGAATTCTGCAGCCCTGAAACAATTGTACCTCGACTCGAATCCTCTGATTACCTCCATTGCTTTTGGGATTGCTCTGGCTCCCATCTTCCTACTGGTCTCCGAAGTAAACAAGAACTACTCCCAGGTAGACCGGGTTTGGTCAATTCTTCCGACGGTTTACGCCCTTCACTATGCGGTTTATTCTCACCTTGCCGGTCTACATACAGCGAGACTAGATGCCCTGTGCATTGTTAGCCTTTTGTGGAGTGTAAGTGTCCTCCTCCGCTCTCATGCGTCATGCTGATATCATGGTAGGTTCGGTTGACCTACAACTACTATCGGAAGGGAGGCTATGCGATTGGGAGCGAGGATTATCGCTGGGCCACCGTCAAGGACTATGCTGGACCTGTCTTGATGTTCCTCTTCAACATTCTGTTCATTTCGCTGGCGCAGTCCCTCCTCTTAGTCTGCATCACCACCCCGGCCTACATTCTCTTGCTGACCGAACGCCTGGCAACATACGACGGACCAATTCAATCCTGGAATATAGTGGATGGTGTCGCGTGTGCTCTCATGTTGGCCTTCATAGCCATATCGTACGTGGCAGACCAGCAACAGTGGAAATACCATGCTGCGAAGGCCGAGTATCGCAACACAGCTAAAGTACCACACGGTTGGGAACGAGCAGACCTAGACCGAGGCTTCCTCACCAAGGGCCTATTTGCTTACTCGCGACACCCCAATTTCGCGGCAGAGCAAAGCGTCTGGGTCACATTGTACCTGTGGTCTTGCTTGGCCACGGGAACCTGGTACAACTGGAGTGGGATCGGAGCAGCTTCTTACCTGCTGCTTTTCCAGTCCAGTACCTGGCTCACCGAGCTACTCTCTTCAGGCAAGTATCCTGATTATAAGATATATCGGGAACAAGTCGGAAAGTTTTTGCCCAGCCCCGGATGCGGCCGCCCGAGCTTCCACGACCACGACACATCCCGGACGAATGGCAGGGAGTTGAGGAAACGAGACGTTACAAAGACAAAATAGACTATCGGCTGGAGGAAACATTCATAGTGAGGAGGTTTTTGGTACTCGGTACTATCATGGATGCATTTTGTAGGGCTGGAGTAATTGTGTGTTGGTTATTCCGTGCTGCCTCGGTCACTTTGGCCAATCATACTTGGCTGCGCCCCAAAAGTCATGACGGGCAGGACTCTCATCCATCCCTTTGCAATGTATGACCCGTCCATCTCTTATTTTGGCATCCGCCAGAGTGGTGCAGCGTGGTCCAATCTAGAACCGCCCTGCATGAGAAGCGTTTGCAATGGCTGATGCGCTGGATCGCGTCGGGCTGCACCAGATCGCCATCTGGCATTCGCACTTGTCCCCATCGTCATCGGCTTCCTTTCGCGAATCGGAGCTGCAGGCCACAGGCCACAGGCCACTGACTCCTCAGACCACCGCATCTGCTTTTCCGCCTCCCGTCATCTACTCATTGTTTTCTGGAATGTACATCTCTTCTGTCGTTGTTTCTTACCAGACAATTCAATGGTCTTTCTTTCGTCGGGCAAGCTGGACAGGCTCAATCTCAACTTGAGTCGGTTCCAACGTGATGGACCTGGAGCGAATCAAACAAAGCCTGCGCCTTCGGTCCGGTCGATCCAAGAAACCTCGCAAGCAACCGACCGCCGAGCTGTCAAGCACAGCTGCTCGTCCTAGCCAGCCGGCCCAGAAGACCATTGCCAATGGTGAAGTGAAGCCGCCTCCTAGGGTGATCACCAAAGCCAGGCCAAGTCCTCGTTCAGAGTTGCCCGTGGGCCCCAAGCCCAAGCAAGCGACTGAGATTGCTGGAGCACCAAAGCTCCGACAACGAGACAGCCCAGTGTATCGACCACAACTTCCACACGCATCGACTGACGTGGATGCGAAAGTACCTACCGCAGTTCCCCGTCCTCGCGAAGAATGTCCTCCAAGGGATCCTGGACAAGAGCCGGGCTTGGATCCGGCCCCTCTACTACGCACCACGTCTGAGGGAGATCCTGGGTTCATCCGAAACTCCGAGTCCTCCTCTGTTCTGGATTTCGACCTGCACCCTCCGCCTCCGCCCTCCAGACCTAGGCCACCCTCAGTCGAAACGCTTTCGGAGTCGCTCTTCTCTTCAGGTCATCTCAACACCCTGCTCCGTGATCCACAGTACCTCGCCCGCTTCACTACCTTTCTGACACGGTATCGACCGCAGTATCATCCTGTGCTCCTACGATATCTCGACACGCAGAAGGCCATCAAGGCCATTGAGTATGCGAACGCTGTTGCTGAGGGACTATTTCCGTCTTCTGACAATGGAGACGATTCGAATGGCGAGGTTTCCATTGCAGCAACCCTTGATCGGGCTTTTGAGCAATTGAGCAATGCTGCCTTTCGCCTTATGGTCGACTCTGCCCTTCCAATGTACGTGACGTACAACCTGGTAAAACTGGTTACCGAGTGTCTCATAGACGAGATTACCGGCAGTCGAACTTCGTCTACAAGGGATTTAGTAGGAGGCTTATCTGAAGTCTTTTGTCTCACGGATCCGAAACAGGAGGATAATCCAATCATTTTTGCGAGTGACGAGTTTTACCGCCAAACTGGATATGGTCGTGACGATGTCATTGGGCGGAATTGTCGATTCCTTCAGGGCTCCAAAACCAACAGAGAGTCGATCGCGAGACTCAAAGATAGTATTGCGAGAGGCGAAGATATATGTGAGACCTTACTGAACTACCGGAGAGATGGCAGAGCTTTCATAAATCTACTGATGATAGCCCCGCTTCACGATGACAAGGGTAATGTCAAATATCACATTGGAGCTCAGGTTGATGTCACAGGAATGTTCGAACGGGGAAAGGGATTCGAAGGGTTGAAACGGTATCTGACCACACGGGAGATGGAGAGACGTGAGAGGGAAGTCCGCGGCAATGGAATTGGAAGAGACAACCAAGATTTACAAAAACCAAAGGCACTGGCGAAACTGCGCGACCTAAGCGAGATGTTCGATCTAGAGGAATCCGTCGTGGTGCGTTCGAATGGGAGATCGACATCGACATCGAGAGAAGATGACGAACGCAGCGTTACAAGCAGTCGTAAGGTTCCTCGACGAGTATTCGATGACGCCGATGCGAACTCCGAGGATGGCAGCGAAGAGTCTGCTGAAGATGCGGACAAGGCTTGGGATCTTGGACAGTCGGGGCGATCTGGATTATCAGGAAAGTTACCAGGCGTCTACGACAGCTATATTCTGGTCAGACCCGCGCCTTCGCTCCGAATTGTCTTTGTATCCTCTGTCCTACGTCGACGTGTGGGCAACATCACCCAGCATCCCTTCCTATCACATGTTGCTGCCCCCACAAATACGCTGAAAGGGCTCAAGGAGAGCTTCAGTGTTGGTGTCCCAGTCTCGGCGAAGATCAACTTACTGCTCGAAGCGGGAAACCAACCACATGGCACAGCAACTCGCAGTGGAGGCAAACTCCAGGATGCAGGGCAAGGCAGAGTCTGCTGGATCTCTGCAACACCGTTGCTCGGAGGTGACGACAAAATCGGTGTCTGGATGATTGTGATTGTCGAGAATGCCAAAGTACCAAAAATCACCAGTCGTGAACCCTTGCTGGATGCTGCAGAGGATCAGGCTTCAAAACAATCTAGGTCTGGCGAATTAGCACAGACTGATGCCTCGACCAAGATTGACTCACAGGAACCCAATGGGCCTGCCCCATTTGATCCGTCGAAGACCGGTACAGAAAGTGCAGATGTTCCGACTGTGCCGAAAACCCTTGACAGCACGCCCGAAGACGGTCAAAACGCTCCATCACCCCCACCCCCAGCCAAAGACGACAACGTCAAAGAAGAGATATTTCAAGAGCGAGACAGTCAGCCGATTCCAACTGAGGACGGAACGCTTGTTGGAGTAGAAGAAGAGAAACCCACGCTGAACCACGCAAGCACTGATGAGCCTGAGCACCTCAATGATGACAAGAACGGTTTTGTCCGCACAAATGGTGCGCTCTCCAGCTCGCCCAGCCCACCAAGGACCTATGCTCACGTAAATGGCCTTGGGGAGCCCAAGACGCCGACAGCAACGGAATTGAACAATGCCCTCGAACGCGCTGCGTCAGGAACAAATGTGACCAAAACCTGGGCAATACCTCTATCACCGGCAGACAACCATTTCACGGGCGGGCTCAATGGGCACCATGGATTTTCCGATGACGAGAAGACACCCGTCAATTTTCGAAAGACTGGGTTTGGGGATCACACGCCTTCTCCCTCGCGGCCAGGAACCAGTGGTGTGGATTCTTCGACCGCAAAATCCAATAGCAAGCATTACATGGACTACCTGCTCCACCCTGGAAGTCGCCCATCTTCTGAATATAACCGTACATTATCAGGAAGTTTCATGTCCGCCAAGTACAACGCAGATGACGAGCCTCAAGAAGAGGTGGATGACTTTAACGACTCCGAGTGTGCTAGGACACCGTATAGCGTGGATTGACGTTGCTAGAGTAACAGATTTGAACTGGCGTTGGTGGCTCATTCCGTCTTCTTGTGCACACGAACACTATTTTGGAATGGCTCATAGATTTCTGAATACTGGATGTAGCCTCTGGGAAGAAAATGTGGTTTCATAGTACAAAAGTGAATTGACGAATAAAGGGAATCTACCACCTTTCAGCCCTGTCCAGCCCTGTCCACGCAGCCTTGTCGCGACAGCCTTGCCTACCAGCGCCAAGCCTTTCACATGCTTTCCGATTCGCTCGTTCAAGACCAACTTTTTCCATCTGGCAGCATCTCCGTCTCCCCATGACAACACATTGAACCCGAGAACGAGACTTTTAAAGTATTTCAGCGCGTGCGATTTGTACTTAAAACTACGAGATACTTCTACAAATCTCCATACCAGACAGGATTGCCCCCCGGAGTCAAGTACGCAGACATGGCTCAGCAGGCTGAAGCGGCGACCATTCCGTCGGTCAAAGATCTTGCCAGTAGTGGTACGTTACCCTTTCATTTTTTTTGTTCTGGCGGATATTCCATGTGTTTTTAACTGGGAGAAGTACGGGTCACTATGTTGTTGTTCTTCGCACAATACCAAGAATCTATTCCTGGCCGCTGACTCTGAAACCGTAGAGGCGTCTCGGCGGCGCGCATGTCTCAGCACCATCATGGCATTTCTCGAGGACCTGAGCCCCTCGTCGCCACTGTCGCCGACCGAGTGCCTCCAACTCTGGCGCGGCTTCTACGTGGCGCTCTACATGCACGACAGCAAAAACGCCCTGTCGGTCCAGAAACTCATCGCCGAACTGGCCGGGACGCTGAGGATCGTGGACGCAAAAGACCACGACTCACGGGCGGCATCCGGGTCAGATGAGCCGGGAGATCACCACCCGTGGCTCGACGTGTGGGCAACCGCCTTCTGGGAAACCGTGAGCAGGGAGTGGGTCTCGATCGACCAGTGGCGCATGAACAAGGTCCTCCTGCTCGTGCGTCTCGTCGTGAGGGAACTGTTCAGCCTCGCGCTCGGCTGGGCCACGGACGCCACGTCCACGTCCGAGTCGCGCACCCCGCAGAATCTCGTCGCGAGTCAACTCGAAATCCTCGAATCCTGGCCCCTCAGCCCTCGCGAGCGCAAGGTGCCGGACGGGCTGAGGCTGCATGTCCTGGACGTCTGGGTCGACGAGCTCGCGGGTCAACTCGGCGCCGCCCAAAATGCCATTGACGAGGCCGATCAGAGCGACACTGCCGGTGACGCCGCTGCAGCCAAGAAAGCGGTCCTCCTCGACACCGCCAAAGCGTTCATGACTCCTGTCGAAAAGCTCACTAAAGAGGCACTCAGCAAGGCAGTCAAGGTCAGGGCCAAGGAGGCTGTACAACTGGCCGAGGAGAAACTCTCCCGGTGATAGAGGGTGGGAGGGGAGGAGAATCTCCTGCAAAGAAAAAGGTGCCGTCAGAAGGAGAAAGCGACATATTTGCCTGTCCTCCAAAGATCTTGTTTGCTGTAATAGCCTCTCTCGAGACGCAGATTAATTCTCACCCGTACCACACCACGCGCCCGGGCCACCAAATCGACACGTCGTCGTCAGCGGGAGCAATGAGGCAGAGGCAGAGGCTTCGAGATCACCCGCGAGATGGGACAATGAACTCTACGACAAACAACCAACAGATATCTACTTGGCCCCGAAAGTATCTTCGAACGGTGGAACAGGTTGAAAGACCTCGGAATCTGCGTTGCACGGATTGGGGTCGAAATTAATAACATATGTCAAACTGTATCAACACACATAACGAAGAATGTCCACAACTCCACGCCTGCCAAATTGTTGCAAAACGAACATCGACCAAAAAGACAAAAACAAATCCGAGTCTTTGCGATCAATGGTCCGAAGCTCTCAGCTGGAAAAGACAGCTGGCTGCCACCAACTCCCACCCGCCTTGTTGTCCTCCGGTTTGGCTTTCTCATGCTCGTGCTCGTTGCTCGCATCCTTCATAGCTCCATCCTCCGTAGCCTCAGTGCTCGCTAGGGAAAACGTGGGATCTACCAAACAGCAGAATCGCAGAAATCAGTAAACAAATTGCACACGCTGAAAAAGGGAGACATGACTCAGGGCTGGACCAGAAATTGTAGTCGTATTACAATGTTAAGATGCCGTCAACCAGCCTCACTCATGGAATCACGGAAAAATGACATACCGAGTCCCTTGTCGCCTTCACCTTCTTTGCCAACTCCGGTCTCCGACAATTGCGGTGTCTCCGCTGGAACCGACTCGACAGCCTCATCTACCACTGGGGCAGGGGCTGACTCTGGCAAGGTCTCTCGTTCGGGCGCATGTACCTCCTCTTTTACGTCCTGCGAAGCCGCTTCCACGTCCTGTGAGTTGTCATGATCCGAGTTTTGCTGTATAGCGCCATCTGTCTCAATGGAGGGCTCTTCTGCCGTTGCTGCTGCTGCTGCCGCCTTCGCCGCTGCCTCGGCAGCACGTTTCTTCTCCAATTCAGCCGCTCTCGCTTGTTGCCGCTCATAGTTCTCCCTCCTCGCCTGCTCATCTTTTAACTTCCTCCTCCGTTCCACCTCGTCCATGCCGCCAGTCTTCTTCAACTTCCCTTCTTCAACAAACTTTTCGACCTCACGCTGAAATTCGCCAACCTTGCGGCTCTCCAACTCTCGCTGACGAACTTTCTCGGCTCGCTCTATTGCCTCGAGGCGGCTTTCGTGATTCGGCTGCAGAGCCCGGACTTCATCCAGCATACCACTTTTGGCTTCATGGGGGTCAACATCCGTGTCGAAGGCAAGGTTTCTCGAAGGTTGACGACCACTATTCGCGTTTTGCAGGTTTTGCTGCTTTGTTGCCTCCTCCACGAGCTTGAAGACACTTGTGATATCCTCCAGGTCACCATCAAGATCATTCATCAACTCATCTTGCTGTGTCAAATCGTCTCTTTCCGTCATGACGACCTGTAGTTCTTGCTCCCATATCTTGGTCCAGATAGGCTTCTCGCGCTTGACAAACTCTTTGACCTTACCGAGTTGTTTGGCTGCTGCACTGATTTCTTTACTGATATCCTCCAGTTGTCGAGGAAGCGGTCTGACTCCTCGGGTCACGACATCCTTGCGCAACTCTTCAACAATATCCGAAAGATCATCGACCCGATTGACGAGCGCCTCAGAGTCGTCAGATAGTTGTTTCTTGCCTTCATTGATATGAGCTCGACCGGCATCTCCTTTGTATGTGGCATTGGCAGCCTCTGCAGCGACAGCCTTGACGTGGGCGGCCTTGGCCTTAATGTCGCTCATGGCTGCAGTAAAGTCTGAAGACATTGTGGAGTACGTCTGGCGCAACACTGCAATCTCTCGGCGAAGGTTTTGGATTTCTTGAAGAGTGGACTCCGAAGATGGAGGAGCTGTGAAATTACCAGGAGCCAGTGTCGGCGTCCGCCCTGGATGCTGCGCAGGCAGAGCAGACATTCTTGCCATCTCCTTGGAGGTTTCGAGCTGTCGATCTGCAAATCGCTGCATCATTGTACTCTGGCCTTCGAGCAAAGACCGGACACCATCCAGACTTCTTTGAAGTCCACCCATCCCTTCATCAATGTGTTTTTTGACTTCATCTAGAGCTTCCACGTTCAGCACCAGTACGCTTCGGTCCTTGACATCCGAGAGGTCTTCTAATTCATGCCGGACGCCAGAGACAGGGTCTTGGACATATATCTCGGGGAGGTCTACTCCGTTATGCTGAGTGTTCCACGCAAATTTTTCAATAAAAGCAAGCTGCAACCTAGCAATGGTTAGTTCGTCGTAGCCGTCTGCAAGTACAAATTTCTTGATTTTGCTTCGATATTGCAAGAAAAGAGTCAACTCCTTGCCCTGTGGAGGTGACGAATCCGAGGCGGTAATATGCGATCTTGGTGGCGTATGACTTTCGGGTGGTCTTCGTTGAACGGTCTCAGGCGTCTTCACTGGTTCTATATCTACCGACCCTTTGTGTTCGGGAAGAGGCGGGACGGCTTGTGAGTCGAGTGACAGCGTTGCTTGCAACTCCTCGGGTGGTGGATCGAGGGGCCCATTAACGGTTGCTCCCATCAGCAGATTATCACCGCTGCCAGAAACAGATTTCGGGATTGGCAGATATTCATCCGGGGTTTTTACAGTTGGGCTATCAAAATTGACAGGGTCTTCGGGCGGTTGCATTGGTGGCACTTCCTCCAGAGTTAGGACCGGAGTCTCCTCTCTCTCTTCTGATATGCGTTGGGGTGCCTTGACAGTCCCGCTCCTACTGGGCGACACATCTCCTTGACGAAGGGACTTTGATCTTGATTGTTGGTAGGAACTTCGTGACCGAACCGCGGTCAAAGATTCGCGCACCTCCTTCCCCCTGTTTGGTATGGGGGAATTTTGAGCAGCTGGGATGACGGGCACACCATTAGGAGAAGCGCCCAGATGCTTTTGAATTTGGTATGCCGAAAATCTTCTCGAAGCCCGCCTCTCCAAATCCCCGCCACGCTGTAATCTCGTGAGGGCATCTGCTTGTTTCGGTGGCGGCGGGGGAGGGTGTGGAAAATGGACTTGAGGAACGGAAGGAGATCGGTCGACGTCCTGATAAAGCGTTTGACTGGGAGGATTTTGCGGGGTCCCTGAAGACAATGTCGAGCCAGAATCAGATTGAGGTATTTGGGGGGCAACATCCCTTCGCATTGAGTGTCTATTTATAGCCGATCGACTTGACTGTTGCGCAGCCGAAGTGTTTGTATCAACCCAGGGCTGATCGGTTGCCGTACTGCTTTGAGGGGGTGATTGGGCGCGCAGACTTGGAGCAGGTCCAATCGCTACATCGTCAAGCATGTTCGTCAGACCAGTTTCATTGCTTCCTGTTGTCGAGATGCTAGGCTGTCTCGCTGGAGTAGTAGGTGGTCTCGATTGTGTTGTTGCGGAGGCTTCCTTTGCTGTTCGACCACGTAGTCGGCTCTGCTTCCTCTTGAGGCCATGTAGAAGATTGATAATGATGTCGCGGATGCGTGGTAGGTAGGTATCGAGGGCTTGAGGAGAGGCGGGCTGGCTCAGAGTATCCTCGAGGATACTCCTCAAAAGATCAGGCACAGGACCGAGGTCGGAGGTTTCGACACCTATTGAGTTGAAGGCGCGGCATGCCAGATTAAATTCGTATCCCAGTCGAACATATACGTCCGAGACCTCCTCTTCCTGCGCCTGCCCGCGCGACCACTGTGTCAATGTCTCGAGCAATTGTTTCGTAGCAACCAGCAGATGAGTGACGCTCTTCTCTATTTGCGATATTTGCTTGTCGGGCTGTATAATGGGTTCGTCAGAGTTGAGATCCGAAGGTAACAAGAAACACTCACATTAGCGCTCCGTTGCGAGCGGCCAGAACCAGAAGACGACCTCGCCTGGGAGGCGGAGCTCGCTGTAGGATTCATGGCCGCCGGTTGGGCTTGAGAATACATTGCGTCGGGGTAGTCTTGTCGACGCTGAGACTGCGAAGGCCGCTGGGCTCCTGCGACGCTAGATGATTGCATCGTGTCGTTATTGGACAGGTGTTGACTTCCACTCGCGGGACATGATGGAGAGGAATTCTAGACGTGTCACTTCATATGAGAAGATCACATGGTGAGTGAGGAGCCGCTGGTAGGAAAGGGGAAAGCAACGATAAAGGTGACGGGGGGTTTAGGTAGAATTGGGACTGAGATGGAGATGGAGAAGACGATCAGCCTTGGTGTCTTTTCCGTTTCTCTTTTGGGGCCACGGGTGCCCAAAAGCACAATGGGCGGCGTCAAGCAGCATCGGGGGGGAGAGGAGCTGTCAGCAGGCCGCTTTGCGCCAAGCAATGGTGATCCTTACCTATAAGTAGGTGCAGCCTGGTGCTTGGTTAGGGACAGGCTAGGTGCAGTCGCGCCTACAGAATAGAATCGATCCGTCCAGCGTGTGCGCGTCTCACTTCGCCCCTGCCGCTTTACAAACCCTCGGCTTACTTTCTGCTCCTGAGGCACTCTCCGTAAAGGCTTGGCATTTACTTTATCGAAACAACCACAAGTTCTCGGTACCCCGGCCTGCCCGGTCAACATAGTTACAGACACTGTTAGGAAAGTACCGGGTACATGATACAACTCTGTTGCGAACTTCAACAAGGACACAATCTTACACCATCTCCCGCTGGAACTGACGCCGTATGGACAGTTTGATCGTCATGAAATCCACGAGTACCATCATCTCAGTGTCACCAATGGGCCCCAAGACTTGGTCAGGAAGGGATCACGGAACCCGACAAAACATTATGTGACCATCTTTCGATAACGGTCGTAAAGCTCATCGATATGAAGCCCTATGAGGATGTCTCGTCGATCATAAGATTCAGATGACACCCAGGATTGAGCAACCCATGTTGACTCTCGAGGATCCTGTGGTGCGTTGGAAGTATCCTCGTCCATACCTAGTCAGTCGATATAACCACCAATGTGGCCCTCCTTGGGGGACGGAGTGTCCTAGCAGGCCGGTTGGTGAGACTCTTTGGACATGACACACGTAGGATTGTCGTATCTGCGAAAGATAAAATCATATGGTTCGCTCAAGTGTCTGGTGGCGAACCAACAAATATGAATTTTCTCGCTGTGAAGGTTCCGTGCTTGTTTGCCTTCCGTGTTTCTCTCTTCTTGTATGCTGGCTAATCACTGTCAATACTAGGCGTCTCGCGAATATCGAGGAGACATCGACAGAGGAACGCAATCAAATCCCTTCTGACGGGCTCATCGCAGACCATCAGAAGTTTCAATCCGGAGGCAGCGTCCATCAGCATGTCCACTTTATTGCAGTGGATGACCTTTTTGTCGCCAAAGGCTTCGTAGACCTCAAATGCCGCTTTGATCACGAGCCACGAGAAGCCCTCGAGGTTGATCACATATTTCCCATTGGAGTCCAGCGCGCTGCTCTTTACGAATAGGGTGTCCACTCGGTCAAGGAAGAATCTCTGCAGCAAAGAAGTCCTCCGCAACTTCCACAACGTTGATACCATGATGAACAAGGCCAGGAAATGCGAGGAGATCTTGGTATACCTTGGATATTCCCAGGTATCTGGTTGCAGGAACGGTTCAATGGCCTTGGAAGCCAGGGGTGGATATAAGTCGTCATCCATTGTCAACTTTAGCGCTGAAGCTCGCTGAGATTTGTGTGGAACTTGCTTGTCTGTGGTGCTGAAGATCAACTTTGAGGGATCGACCTTATTTTCACCTTTGGCCAGAAATTGGAGGACGTCAATAGCTTGGTCAGAGTAGTGTTCCTGAAAAACAACTTCGTCGGGTAGAGGCTCGCTAACGACCAGCGGCATCAAATGGCTTGTGTGGGGGATGGGATCGGCTGAAGCAAGAAGAATGGCCCTGAGACCTCCCCTAGCTGCGACGACGGCCTCATAAGCTTTTAGGTGTATGTTGGAGACACCCGGTGGCGATATCCTCGACTCGGCAACGGTCGCCATGATGATGCCGAAGATAAAGTCATCCGAGAGCTGGTCTCCAGAAGCACCTTCAAGCCGATCTTTCATGGTAAGGTATGCAATGGCTTTTCGGCGGAAAAAAGACGGCGTCTCTTGACCTCCTGTGAGTGATAATAATAGACCTTGGGCATTGACCACCATCCATTGCAGAACGAAGGGTGATTTCAAAGTGTTCACCAGGCTGACATCCCGGACAGAGCTGAAAAGGGGGTCAGGTTTCGTGCCGTACAAGACATGTGGGAGATAGGAGATGTCTTCGACCTCGTAGTTAGCAACAAAGACACTGCAGGTGACGGATAAAGAACCCGCACGGGTTACTGACAGAATTGAAGCAACTGTTGGTCCTCCCGAGGGAGATCTGACGGCAATGCACAGAAGGGATCTAGGATGGACCTGATCTCGCTCAAGGGGGAATTGGGTGGTGACTCGTCTATCCACAGGATGTCGGAGGTCAGGTCTGTCGATGGTGTTCTCTTGATTCGAGATAGAGGCTGCTTGTGACCCTCATGTTCGGATTTGCCTTGTCGCAGCTGCGACTTTGGGTCTTCCAGGTCGGCAGCATTCTTGTCCTTGGGGAGGAGTCAGGTATGGTCTTTTTCCATTTCTCGCACAGAGGACAGCACAGCAACAAGACAATGGCAGTGCCTCGAGATGAATGTCTACCAAACGCACCCTGTATCTTTTGGGGGGCGCATTTGAAACCCGCCATGTAGCCAAGGTTTCATATCGACGGCTGCGAATCGATCGAGATGCCGTCGAGGAAGTTGAGGTTGGTGATGGTTCATTCATCGTGGTTCGCAGCGCCCAGAAAAGCGCAGAAAGTGATGCCCCTCGGCCATTTTCCGCCTCCGCAACCGATGCGCATGCGCCGTCGCATACGAGAAGGTGTAGTCTCTCGAGACACTGGCCAAACAACAACCTTCGTCTGAAGATTCTTGAGAGATAGGTTTGAGAAATCGTCCCTCCAGTGGACGAGAGATCAGAATTGAGAATGACTGTGTTTAAGCGAGTCTCTACAAATATCTGATGCCGAAGAAATCTTCTGTCCCTCGGCGCATCCAGCCCCAGTGTGCATAGCTCCAACCGAGACGCCTAGGGTTGAGCTGATCCGGTCTATTGCAGCCCACTCGTCCCGCTACTTCCGAAGAGGGTAAATGTACTTATTTGTGCTCGGTCCCTTCCGAGGAAGTGGGGGAAGATGGAGCTCTGATATCCCTGTCTTCTCGAACATGAATTCAATTCCTATTCCTCACGAGGTCCGGGGAACCACCTAGACTATTCAACCTTGATTGAGCCGTATGACTAAAGAATGATGCCCTGACTGGATATAGGACGATTTAGGACGATCTCCCCGACGCCTTCTTCATATTCGGGTCCGAATAGATCTCGATCTCAGCCCCCCATAAGGCTGCATCGTCCAGGACAGTCGCCGATATCCGCTGCTCTCTTCCCCTGATATACGAGCCATGTTTACTGAACCATATTGAATGCTTCTATCCCCGGATCGTCCTTTGTGGCTGTTCGAGCCGCAGCTCAGGTGGCTATGTCTCCGCAATTTCGACATGTGGCACGTACATCCAACAAGCTTCAAGTTTGGCTAAAACAACGCGATTGCTGATGGGAAAGGCTTGGAACAAGATTTTATTGCGTTTCTTTCCGAGGACTTCTCACTTGATGTGGTTCGTTTGCTCTGGTGTGGGTATTCGGGTATCCATGGACATGTATATCGTGAAGGATCAGAGCCAAGCAGGAGGATTGTGAGATGATGCCTTGGCTACAAATACGAGTAAGTGTGTCATCTAACAAGTAGTGGTCAACGATTACTAACCGGATATTTCTGACACAGTTGTCCCATCATGGGACCTGTCCGCCCCGCACGACAGCTTGCCCACCCCTCCATAAGGAAAACGAGTCGGACTCTTCAGGTTGATTATCTCCTTGTACCAGGAATGAAGTCATCGGTCAAGCACAATGACAATGTGGTTTGGGGGGGTGAAGCCGACCTGGAGACACAAGCTCAGATTGTGCTGTGAAAATGCGAGAGCTGGTGGTTCTGCTTTACAACTCGTCGTTTCCACCCGAGTAGTACTATAACTACTCAGAGAATGTGGTCAGTACTTCAGAGAGCGAAGCAACGGGGCATGAGGGCATTGGATGTAGCAGCGATGTCAACCCAATACTTTGGGACTGGGTTCAATTGGCAGCATATCCTGGCTGACTTGTATCCAAAGATATCTGCTCGGATCAAGAGAGAGAGAGAGAGAGAGAGATAGAGGAACCATTTCAATCCACACGCCCCTTTTTGGTGGCGATTCTTCTGAGTGATTGATCGGCTTATACTGGAAACGTGGAATGTAGATGACAAGGCTGAGCCTTTTTGAGATGGGCGACGAGGGAGCGCCGACGAGGAGAGAAGAAGGGTAATATCACGCAATTCACCTTGTGTATCGCTAAGCTCTGTTCCTGTCCTGGCTATTTTATGTGAGATTCTAACATGGCAGGCTCAGCCATTGGCTCTAGACTTGCTAGAAGTGAATTGCTGACGAGGCTGAAGATTTGCTTGGAGGTGACAGCGCCAAGCCCGACGAGGCTGTCAACCCGGCGCCGCAGTTGAAACTCCAAGGCTTTGAGCAGGCGACATCCCGCTCCACAGTATCCGCCTTTCATCGAGTCGTGTGGTGCCTTGTCGCAGTTGCACAGTGGTGGACAATCGCTTGGTTTCCTTCTCATTGAACATGGTTTTAGCCTTGTACACTCTTTGAAAACGCCCGTCCTCTACATCATTGTACAGCGTTGAGCCTCTGCACACTTTTTCTGAACATTGCACAACCATCGCAGCCATAGCAAAGTCGCTCGACTCTAACATTCACCATGGCGCAACCCCAGCAGCAACTGAGTCACAAGGACGCAGCCTTGTTCAGGCAAGTCGTCCGTAACTTTGAAAACAAGCAGTACAAAAAAGGTGAGAGCCACTGACGCCGCGGTTCTGAAACCCCCGGGAAAAAATCCCAAAGCTCACTCTCTCCTAGGTCTCAAGGCCGCCGAACAAATCCTACGGAAAACGCCCAACCATGCAGACACCCAAGCCATGAAGGCTCTGATCATGAGCCATCAAGGCCACAGCGAAGAAGCATTTGCCCTCGCGAAGACAGCCCTCAACAACAACATGAAGTCGCATGTCTGCTGGCACGTGTATGGCTTATTATACCGCGGTGTAAAGAATTATGAAGAGGCTATCAAGGCATACAAGTTCGCGCTGCGGTTAGAACCAGACTCGGCCCCTATACAAAGGGATTTGGCACACCTTCAGGTTCAAATGCGAGATTACGAGGGTTACATCCAGAGCCGGAAAAACATGCTGCAGCAGAAACCGGGATTCCGCCAAAATTGGACAGCTCTGGCCATAGCTCACCATCTCGCGGGAAACTATGAGGACGCAGAGAATGTCCTCACCACATACGAAGAGACGCTCAAGGCAAAGCCGAACAGGTCAGACATCGAACACTGGGAAGCCGTACTCTACAAGAATTACATCATTGCAGACTCGGGTGAAGTCGAAAAGGCGCTCGATCACCTGGAGGCCGTAGGGAAGAAAAGCCCCGATGTCCTTGCAGTGATGGAAATGAAAGCAGACTACCTCGCGAGATTGGGTCGAAAATCGGAAGCCGAGGCAGCGTATGCCGCCTTGCTCGAGCGCAACCCGGATGACTCTGCGTACTATGACGGGTATATCGCTGCTAAGGGTCTGACCGATGGTCCGGTGTCGGAGGTCAAGAAGGCGTACCAGGAGCTCGCAGAAAGACACCCCAAAGCCGATCTTCCCAGACGGAGAGCTTTGGATGTCCTGTCCGGGGAAGAATTCAAACAAGCGGCAGACCAATACCTGCAAAGAATGCTGCGAAAAGGGGTTCCTTCGACCTTTGCCAACATCAAGCACCTTTATACCGACGAGTCCAAGCGGGACATTGTTCAGTCGTTGGTAGAGGAATACACCTCTGGGCATGGACAATCACATACCAATGGAACCAAGGAGAATGGCGACAAGGAAGAAACACGCTTCCATTCCTCGGCTCTCTACTTCCTTGCTCAACATTATAACTATAAATTAAGTCGCAACCTGGACAAAGCTCTCGATTACGCCGAGAAATGTATTGCCCTGGACCCGAAATCCGTCGACTTTCACTCTGTCAAGGCTCGTACGTACAAGCATAAAGGGGAGCTAACCAAGGCTGCCGAAATCATGGACCAGGCGCGCTCCCTGGACGAGAAAGACCGCGCAATCAACACCAAGTGCGCAAAGTATCAGCTTCGATCCGATCAAAACGACAAAGCCCTCGAGACGGCAAGTAAATTCACCCAGAACCGCACCGGAGGCCCGCTGGGTGACCTCGTTGATATGCAATGCGTCTGGTATCTGACAGAGGACGGGAAATCCTACTTGCGCCAACGAAAACTCGGTCTTGCGCTGAAACGATTTCACCAGATCCTCGCCATTTTTGACCTGTGGCAAGAAGACCAGTTTGACTTTCATAACTTCTCTCTTCGTAAAGGCATGATCAGAGCCTACATTGACATGTTGCGATGGGAGGATCGCCTGAGGGAGCACCCTTTCTTTTCCAACATGGCCGTCTCCGCGGTGAAAGCGTATTTGCTGCTATTTGACAACCCGGATCTGGTCCATGGACCGATCATGGATACTGTCAACGGCACAAGCAAGGCAGGAGAGATGAGCGCGGCAGACCGCAAGAAGGTGCTCAAGAAGGCTAAAAGGGAACAGGAGAAAATGGAAAGGGCGGAGGCAGAAAAGAAAGCGGCGTTGAAGGCGAGCAAGCCCACGCCCAAGATTGACGATGGTGAAACTAAAAAGGAAGACCCCGACCCTTTCGGCAAGACTCTTATTGAGACGAAAGAGCCCCTGAAGGATGCGATGAAGTTTCTGGGCCCGCTATTGGAGTTCTGCCCGGACGTGGCAGAGGCGCAGAAGGTTGGTTTCGAGGTGTTCCTCCGAAGAAAGAAGTACCTGCTTGCATTGAAGTGTCTGCTGGAGCTGCAGCGCCTCGCAGCTAAAGAAAGCGAGGTGACAGAGTTGGGATCAAGATTGAGAAAGGCATTCGAAGGAGACGAGAAGAACGTGCCAGAGCAGGCTCGGGAGATTTTCAAGGCGGAAATAGGGAAGCTGGTTCAGTGACAACAGATGTATCACATCTCCAAGAACATGGGGCGATTTTAAAAGTCGGATCCGGTTCTGCGACGCATCTACGCTCCAAGACAGACTTTGATTCTACGCATGTTACGGCCGGAGAATTGCCACAGAGACGATGAGACCAATTTTCGGCGAAGGCTGCATAAAAGTTTTGGGAGTCCTCTGTGTGCTACTAGAAACATGGTGGACGAAATGAATGTTGAGACACGAAGGTGATCTATTTTTCCGGGGTTGTTCTCCCTCGTCTGTGTCATGATCTTTGTTCTTTGTGAGAAATCTGCGGCAGAAAAGGACGGATAGATAGGGTTGGTGGAACGTGGAATGTGTCACAGTGTGTGTATCAGCGTGTGTATCAGCGTGTTGTATCTGAACCACGGTAAATGTCTAGAGATACCTCGATCGACCGAGCACGCAAAAGATGTCTGGGGAGGAGGAAGAGGAAGAGGAAGATGAGAAGAAAAAGAAACAAAAAAACAAAGGATACTGCCCCTTTCTGTAATGCATACTAGGTCAAATGGCGCTCAAGAATCAAGTCGATCAGATCTCGTTTCCATGGCCAAGGCAGATGAGGGACAATCGATGGGCAGATACATACTACACTACAAGACAGACCCTCGTTTCGCCATACTTTTAGTCGTGGTTGTGGTGTATGTTGCCAGTCGAAAAGGGGGGCATGAACAGACACACGCATAGTGTACGTTTCCGTGGCGCCATATCTACACATACAAGCACACACACTCACATATATATATACACACAAGTCAAGTGTCCCGTAGACGCATACAAGATGTCTCAAAGAACATCGTCAGCCTAGGCAAATCCTTGGTCGCTCTTATCCGTAACATGCAGTTGTTGCTTGAAAAAGGAAAAAAGAAAAAGGTATCGCTGGACACCCAACGCCCAACCTAGTACGGATCCCATTCCAGCCTGCGTTCCAATAGGTACGACTCGACAGGCAAGCCCCTCCAGACCGATGACCCGTTGACGACTTTGAAGAACTCGGGCTCAAAGCTCACGCGAGCCCAGCCGTGAATGACCTTGCGCCAGTAGCAGACCTCTGCCGCCGGCGTGAGATACTGCTCGCGGAACGTCCTGACGCTGTTCGCCGCGATGCGCTCCGCCTCCTTGTCGTGGTTCTGCAGCCACGAAATTTTTTGCTCCAAATCCTCGAAGCTGCGCTCCACCTCGAGGTAGTTCTGCTGCGGCCCGCTGGAGCGCATGAGCGGGTGGTGGTGTTGGATCCAGTCCATCTTGTGCGCGACCACGACCGACTTGCATGCTTGCAGGTACTTTAGACGTCCGGAGTACGAGTTGCCTTCGGTGTGTGCGAGATACTTGTACTGGCAATGCTCGGCCATGGACTTGAGGTCCTGGGTCATGGAATCGGTGTTATGCCAGTTCAGAGCCTTGACGTCGGCCCAGGGTTTGTCGGCCGTCATCTGGATCAGTCGTTCACGCAGTTCCAGACCCATAGTCGCGCCGCGCCAAAGCAGCTTGGCGACCTTCTCGCCCCAACCCCATCCCTCGACCTGTTCCGTCAGGGCAGCTTTCATCTGCACTTCGCGCATCGAGCCCACTTTGGTCTCGGGCCAGGACCAGTAGCCGAAGTCCGGGATGAGCCAGATGTGAGTGTCTTCTGCACGGCGAGCGTAACCCCACAAGGGGACCGAGGGGATGCGGTCATCCGTATTGAATGCGAACTCAATGTTGGGCAGAGGTTCCGGAGACGTCAGAATGGCGCGGTGCAAGGCATGTAAGGTCGCGATCTCGCGAGAGTAGATGCCTCCTGCAGTGGCAATAACATAGAGCTTTACCAGTAGATAGCAGCAGTCAGCCCAGAAGATTCAGTAGTCGTGCATGGGGTAGTCCTGTGACAACCCCTCGTTACACGGCCAAAAACAAAATACATCGGTGGTGTATACCTGTTGATTATAGATCATGGCACGAACATAACCATTTTGCTTTGGCATGGCGTCGATCTCTTCAAACGTGATGGGATTGTGCATCCTCTGATTCACCGGCCTCTCAACTTCCTCGAACAGGTCGGGGAAGGCCTGTTCACATTGCTGCGAGTCCAGCATCAAGTTTTCCGCGTCCCTCCTGTAATCCCAGTGCCCATCGAACCCTCTCTTTCGCCCATATGCGCCGTAGTCGCTGTGCAACAAGGGGGCCGAAGGTCCGTGGGCCGATCTATACCACGCGAATAAGGCGAACGTGCAAAGGACGGAAAGCAGCACCAGGGGAGTGCGTCGGTTGAATGTCGCCAAAAGGGGTTCCACGGCGTGGTCGTAAAAGCCCCTCCTCGAGGCGGGCATGTGCATCATTAGGACTCGCAGAGGGGACTGCTTGCTCTCATGATTAGGAGGCGCGGCGTATCGAACGTAGAAGGGGACAAGGCATAGGGAGAACAAGTCAATCTAGGAGTTACACGTTTGAATGAATAGCAGCAAAAGCGACCATGGACGTTATTGTCCGCAGCCGGAAATCACATCCTGTCGTCGGGACATATCAACTCCCGAGATGACCTCGATGAGTAAGACGCACATGGGCATTGGACGGCAGCGGCAAGGTGATGACGTTGCCGTTTCGCGTTGTTCTGTGCTCAGCCCTAGCGTACCTGAGTGATATCAATGATCACCCGTAAGCCATATCCACACGTGACAAGCCGTTACGCCAAGACTACATGCCAAGACACCAAGGGGTCGTGCCGATATATACACGTGTAGTTGGTGTAATCTTGGCCCAGATAAGGTTTTCGCAACTATGTATTTCCGTCCCGAGCCGCATGGCGCACTAGGCCCCTGACGGTACTTCCTTCGCACTTACGTCATTTGTCCACGACTTTGTTTACACTGCAGTTGGATTTCTCTACCGCACAGGGCAAGACAGGGACAGCAGATCTGAGAAAGGGTCAACACACAAAGGCTGTTCAGAAACATGATGGATAAGAATTGCAGAATCCACGATCGGAATGCAAAAGCTTCTTTGAACTGTCTGCGCCTCGATTGTAGCATTGAAAGGCATCTCCTGTCCTGGCTCCTTTTCCCATCTCCCCCCTTTGATCCCTTTTTCGAAAAACTTCAGCCCATGCCTGAATACATTCCATCCTTCGAATGCCCTTGGACCGCCCCTCCAAGCCACGACCTGCTTGAATGTTTCCCTCGGTAAACCCCTCCTCACAGGATAATACAACACGTTCTGGTGGATCGCTGTGCGGCTGGCGCTGGCCCTGGGTTCGGTGCTGGAGGAAAGACATGAGGTGCAGGTGCAGGTGGAGCCGTATATTCCGCAGTTACCCAAAAGGCCATGTTTCTACCACCAAGACTCATCAACGTCAGGCCGTTGGCACCCTGTGGGACTCCAAAGCGTATGGTGTTGCCGATAGGTGTATTCAGCAAGGTGGCGTATCGGGGGTCAGTGGCGCTGACCCTTACTGGTTGACCTCCTCCTTGTGACGCCGCGTTATAGACCTCATCGTACCTTGCTTGTGTTGTGGGTTCGGCGATATTCGTGATAAGCAGGTATGGGATTTGTGCAAGGGTCAAATGGCGTTGCCGACAGAACTGGTCGACCAAGTCGTTTTGGTGGAGCGGAGAATTTTGCGCAGTGCTCAAGTGGTCTATTCGGATGATGTCAGGTCTTGGTATACTGACCGAAATCGATGCCTGAACTAAGACCTGGCCATTGACTGTGAACTGGCAGTTAAAGGTATCGAACCTAGGCTCTTCTGGTACTCCGAGCGCTGGCCAAAGAGGACGGAGGCCTGAAATCCTGGCATTATGGCCGGCTGGGGTTTCCACATATTGCGGTTGATTTGCGGCCATTTTGTGCTTTGTTCTTCTCTTTTTGTATGTCGACTATTTGAGGGTTTTCGTGTCCCGGTGCCTTCTTTTCTGTTTTGGGAGGGGGCGTTCAATGTGGGCGATTTTACGAAAAGACCTTGGAGATGTCGTTTTGTTCTTACGTCTTATATGTGTTGTGGTTTCTGATTCGGACACAGCAGACTGACGGGCTTAGTGGGATGAAATGATACCATGACCTCTCCGTGGATCGCGCTCACTGGCAACACTGAACTTCCGGTTCTGTTGGAATAGCATACACCTCGGACCCATCCGCCACGCCTGCTATCCACCTTGTATTGCTACATTTCCCTATTCTTAGGTGATACGATACTAAAGATACTCCTGAATGCCTATATTCTCTCATGTCATGAGAGGGGCGACCAGGTATAAGCCTCCCATCTCATTTTATATATAGGAATCGGTGTCCAGACGCTCTCGTTATCAGAGCCACTTCTGTGGTCATGGAGGCAATTCTACCCATTTGATGAGACTAAAATACAATGGGAGCTTCAGCGGTCTTAGTGCTGACAAGACGGTGGTGGGCGTAATGCCTGAATCTGTTTCATCGCCACGATGCTTTTGACTCGGTTAGCGGCTGTGGCCGGACAGAACGTGAGAGGGGGGAAAACTAGAAGCAGGCCATCATATCTTTGGATCATTTCTTGGAACTTCTAGACACTTATCGAGGCCAAACCGGGCTTTCAAACTATAAAGAGCCAAAGGAAAAGTCGTCAGAAGTCCAGTGGCTTGACATTGCAGCACCTGAAACCTACGAACTCCCGACCTCTGAACACCAACACCCCGATACCTTCTGCGCATACATCAGACAACATGGCGTCTCGATCGAACCCATACGGCTCCTATATGCCAGCTCCCACCAGCAATCGACCTTCAACAAGTACGCAGGGATACAACGGCCACCCTCTGTACAGCCAACCCATGCAATCTATGTACGGCCAACCCATGCAACCTGTGTACGGCCAGCCTATGTACAGTCAAGCACCACGAGGAGGCCCGAGTGCCCCGCAGCCGACAGCTTCAGCCACCTCGCTCGATGAAGTGTCTCGCTTGTTGGCAGCTTTTTTTGGCGCCACTCAACCGACAAGGGCCCCAAGCGGTTATGGTTACATGCCGCAGCCAACCGCCCTGAGAGGCCCGGCGGTTTCGACCAGACCGAGTTCGACGACAACTCAAGCACCCAGGCGAACGGCCCCATCAGGAACTCCGTCGAGACGCTATTAGTGCACCAGCATACCAAAGGGCCTGATGAAGGCCGGGCCCAGTTATTCTAGCAGGCAGATAGGAAAACCTTTCGGGCGATGTGAGAAAGAGTGGGGGGGAGGGGCTATGTACGAGGTAGTCGACTCGAAAAAGACTGGCGTCGAAATCTGTCTTGAAAACAGCAAGTGGAAAGGGGGGAGGGAGGGACGTGATTTGGTTTTTTGGAGGCTCTTTCCATACCTCAATACCTGACTCAGATATTTCCAAGCCACAGAGTACATGCTCGTTTTTTAATCCCCACCTTTGGTCTTGTCATAAGCATCCCCGCTATCCGACGGACCTGTACTCGGTCCAGCTTCGGTATACATTAGATACCACAGAAGGACATGTCAAGTCACTATTTGTTACGATATCTTCACCAAACCCAGCCCCCCACCCCTTAGATACCTGCTTCGGAAAACCCCCAACACAAACCTTGGTATCTTCGCTATAAGGGGGAACAGCTAGCAAGGCTTCGTAGCGCCCTGACCTTGGGCGAGAAAATGGGGGGAGGTGCCGTCTCCCTTTCCTTATCAACGTGGTTCTACGCCGCAATTTCTAGAGAAGGAACGGGCCTCTCTTGGTGTGTTTTTGCCGACTAGGTATGCGATCACTAATCTCTGACTGTGGGTGGGGTGGGCACTACATCGGATTGCTTTTCTACGAGGTACAGTACGAGGTACTGTCAGTGGAATAACTTGATTGATTGATTGGGTAAGGGAATCTATCTAGCGCGGCTGCGGATTTGTTGTGTGCCGCGATTGGAAATTTTTCGGCTAACTTACCTGATATGGTTAGGGCAGCATTTACGTGTATCTAAAAGCCCTGACTCGGTAAAAGGTAGCCAGTCTGCCAGTGCCATTCGCAGTTAAGTTGAGTGGAGTGTGGACCCACATCTCTCAGCCCTCAGGTCCCGCCTGCCCTCTCTCGTGACTCGCGATGTAGCTCTACGGTGTCGAGTAGTACTTCCTCATTCGGCTTGTCAAAGCCCGAACAGCCCCTAGTCTGGTGTGCTACTAAAGTGAGTTTCACTCGTACTCGTACCCGTACCTGTACTTGTATACTGGTCCAGCCAACCCGCGTAAGCAGGTCACACAGTCCGTGGATACCTACAAGTAAGCGTACTCCGGAAGACTATGTATGTCCCCTGAGGAAAATGCAGGGTGGGGGGGTGGGTGGGTGTTCGTTTTGGTAATACCATAGCATCGTTCTTTGCACAAAAGAGATGGAGGAAATTTCTCGCGAGAGGGGGTGTGGTTCGCCTTAACATCGATTCCGTAATACAGTCTTTTTCTGTCTCCGTCGAGGTCCACACCCCTCGCCCACTCCCTCTTGCCATAGAGATTTGAGCTATTCTCTCTCTCTCATCCGGCTAACGTTATAGACAGGAATGGTCTAGTGGTCTGGGTAGTGCTCGTGATGAGGCACATCGTGCTCCTCACCCCCTTCTTCACCACCGTGCTCTCCGTAGCCACCGTGGCCCCATTCACCTTCGCCTTCACCTTGATCCTCGCCGTGCCCGTCGTGACCCCATTCGTCCTGGTCGCCTCCATGGCCACCGTGACCCCATTCACCGTGATCTTCTCCCCCTTGCCCATCGTGCCCCCACTCACCGCCGTCGTGCTCGCCACAGCCCCCGTGGCCTCCATGCTCCTGGCTCGGGTCTCCTCCTTCTTGATCCCAATCCCCCTGTTCCTCTTGATACTCGTCTTCTACGCCGGCCTCACTCCCAGCATCCGAGTCCGAGTCTGAGTCCGAGTTGTCCTCCGACTCCTCGCCCATGAGATCGTGCTTGTAGGGGACGTGCGAGTGGACATCCTCGCCCTCGTGCGGGACGTACCTGCCCGTATGCGCGTACTTGAACAGCTTGTACGAGTTCTTCACCTCTGGGTCGTCCGGGTCCATATCGCGAAGCTCTTTGGCGTGGCGCTTGAGCGCTCGGAGTATTCGACGGAGGCTGTTTTGCTGGTCCTCCTCCGAGACTGCAAAATAACACCCCCCAAAAAAACATCAGTATTAGTTCATTCTACCTCAAAGATTTTGGGGATCGGGGGAGTTCTCCCTTACGTGAAGAGTCGCCCATGACTCGCTCATACTCGTCGATATGAGTGTCGATCTGGATTTTGATGGTCTGACGATAATCGACTTCTTCTTCATTCCCGTAGTTGCCGCTGTCGTCGTATCCCTGGTCCCCTGCATCGCCTTGGTGTTGACTGTCGTCCTGGTGTTGGCCATCGTCATGGTGACCACCGTCGTGGTGGCTTTCTGTATCCATTTGCTCAAGTTTGTTGGGTTTGGTGGTGGTATAATTCGTGTCTTAGTCGTAGTCGAAAACAGATGGACCAATAGAATACGCAATCTGGCTGGTCCGTATACTCTAGTAGACAAAACTAGTTGCAGAAACACACAAATTCGATCAATGGCATCGTAAAGGAGAGGTCTAAGGGGTGGAATATCACGCCGACTTATACGGGCGAGCAGCAAGCTTCGAGCGAGGTCAGATAGGACCCCATGGTCTTGTCAGGACCACCCGCTCGACGCCGCCTTCAGCAACCGTCAGCACGAGAGTGTGGGAAAGGGCAAAAGATGCTCTGAATGGACCTTCAGCAAGGGCAAAGGGACTGATGCAAGAGCAACACGTCCGGGAGACAAAGGCTGTGTTTGCTTGTTGCCTCTCCGAATATAGAATCTCCCATTGCTATTCAGCGTAGGTAGATAAGCACTTATTCAAACCGCTCTCTTCTCACGGGCTATCCTAGTTCCTCCGATAGATACTGTCAGGCGTAGCCACAGCCGGGAATGGGGGGGCCGTCAACATGTGTATTTTTATTCCGTTCGTTCTGTATGAGAGGGGGAAAAAAAAGGGGGAGAGAGGAAGGTGGAGGAGACGGAGGCGATACTATTTTGATTATCTCTCTCCCCAGTGTAACACTTGGGCTGATCGATGATCTCCTCGCCGTGACAGCTCCATCCAAGTTTCCAGAAACGTACTGCGTGTATGTATATATATCAACATACAATACGAGGTATAGGTCAACGAGAACGGGACCCCTTGAGCCCGTGCGCCCTTGGTAGGCGGCAGGACCCACAAACGACCCCATAACAAAAAGGAACGTTTTCTGCGGGTCTGATTGTGGAAACGAGGGTTTACACGACGAGGCTGACTCGATCCAGACCATGCCATGATCGGAATGGTCGGAATCATTAGTATGATTCAGCCGCGTCTGACCCCTTGACATCGCCAGCAAATCACAAATCACGACATGGGAACTACTACGTATGCACCATGACTAAAGGTGGTGGTGGCGATGCGATGATTTTCCTAACAAAGGGCCTTGAAAACCTAATGTCATTGCGTACTTGTGCTCGGTGTGCAGAACCAGGCGACCAGCGTACCACCCCCCGAAGCTAGTCTTGAAATATGCTTTTCGGCGGCCTTGTGATCGAGGTGGAGGTGCCATGTGACGGGGGTTCTCAACCAGTCTTGTTGCGTCGTGTTGATTCCTTGACAGGTCAAGGCCCGTTGAGGACCGTCGAGGACCGTCAAGGGCGTCGTAGGTATCCGCAGCCTCTCTCTCCGTCCTTGTAAAAGCTGAGTCAAAGTCCTGGGTCCCAAAGTCCTCGTGTGCGTAGTCCAGAGGTGTGGACCTCAATCTCACATCATGGACGGTTGTACCCTCTGAGGGGTCGTCGTCGAGTCTATCCGTCTCCCATTCTCATACAAGCGTGATGGGAGATTCTCATTGCTCGTGTATATGTAAAGCCTGTGAAGGGGCCAGGACCCGATATATCCCGTCATCAAGTGTCGGTGCGTGGAGTCGCCCATCGGATTCCTCGTCTGGTTCCTCTCATGGAGCCATTGGTGCAAAGTACCTCTGGGTAAACTTTACCAAGAAGCAATGCTAAGACTTTTGAAATCTGCATCTTGAGGGAAAAGAAGCCGGTCCAGATTAAGTAAAATGATACTTTCCGAGATCTCTTTTTCCTTTTTTCTCGGCCCGTTGACACGCCCACCCACCCGCGTGCCGAGTCGGAGGCTACTGATAGTTCGTGGTTTGTACATATACCCGGGAGATCAGGAGAGAGAGTTTGGAGGAGAAAAGTACTAGGCATGCGAGGAGTGAGTGTAATTACTAAGTATGAATAGGAGGACACTCACTGGGTTAGCGTGGGGGTAAAATACCTGTACAGACCTCGTAATATCATTCAGAAGTCAACAGCCCGATTCGGGTGGAAAGGGAAAAGCCGTAATTACGAGATCAACAGACACACGCCGGTTGAAAGATTTATTGTTACGGCCGGTACCTCGTTACTTCGTTCACCTTGTTCACCTTTCTCCCTCCATCACTACCTATAGGTCCTCACGCATTCGCTCCCTCTCTCTCTCTTTCTCAGAAGTCGGGCACCGAACTCATGAGTCGATTCGTTCATGGCCTTCTTCCATCAGCCAGTACAACTTGCTTGCTAGATACCCTCCATGTGAGCACCATACACGATCACTACCTGCTCGAACTGATTCCCCTCCCACCTCTACTCGTATGGACAAAGTCACTGGTCATCTCTCCAGCTGAAAGTCTTGGGCCCCCGGCCTCCTCCTCCTGCTACCGAAGCTCCATGTCTCACCGGCGAACCGCCCTCCTGTGTCGCAGTCACAGTCCAAGTCTCAATGCCTGGTAACGAAATATCTGCGAGACCATACAAGCAGAAGAGGAGAGAGGAACGAGATAACCAGACAAGAGAGTTGAGTTGAGGAGAGGTATGTTGTGCTCGGCAACACGCAGGGATTGTTCATCAAGACATGGAGCTTTTTTCTTCTCTCTCGCGCGCGCTTGTTCGGCTCAGCTCAGCTCCTTCGGGGCGGGCTATAGTTGCACCCAATCAACAAGAGCAGGATTGATTCAGGCATCCAATTACAGATCATGTGACGACGGAACAGGTATTGATCTACGAGGTAAGGTAGGGCTGCAGACTTGACCCTTTCCCACTTCATCAGCCCAGCCTTGCTGATGTCACCAACACCTGCGAACAAGGACGCACATCTCACTCCCTCCCGTGAGTGGCAGATCTCTTTACCCTCCTGCAACTTCCAGCCCAGCCTTGCTCAGTGTCACCTCAAGCAACAGATCGCGATAATCTTGTGATGATAACGACGACAATGACGATGTGCACCGAGACTGTGATCAATTCATCAACTCATCCATCAACACATGCACGCCGATACCATCCAATCGGGCCGCTTTCCAAAGAACTTTTTCGTCATATGTTGATCAGTGCGATACAATGACCCAGGCCACTTTTTTTCTTCTACATACTTCTAGCATTCTCTTTTTGCAGGCAATTCGTATCATACCCTTTTATTCTTTACCTTTGGCTATATTTTGTCCATCCTCAGCTTGAACTTGCGTATAATTCTTGCAGACTATGGTGTCCATCGACCGTGCCGTGGTGAATTAATCCCAGCGCAGATCCCACATATTCCGCAAGAGATGGAATCCGCACCGACTCGGATGTTGGTTCCCGACCAATGCAATCACCTTGCTCAGCCTTCCATCACTCAGTTCGTCGTGTCTTGGTATGCTATACTGTGGCTGCTTCCCCTGTTGTGCTCTGTCCGTTCTGAAAAGGAAATCAACAAAACACCCGGATGAACCAATACTAACACCACCGCTTTCCTACAGCTCGTTGATGGGCTGGCTGCTCATCTGCTACATTCCGCAATGGGGTCGCATCGTCGCACGCAGATCGGCAGAGGGTCTGTCGACGTACTATATCCTCCTTGGCTCCCTATCCGGCGTGTGTGCCGTGGGCAATATCATGATGCTCCTCTCTAGCGCCGTCGATATCGGCTGCTGCAGGACAAACACGCGCTTTGCCTGCGTCAGTGGCCTGCTCGGCATGCTCCAGGTCATCTTTGGCATCGCGTGCTTTTGGGTCGTGTAAGTATAGGAGCGGGCCCCCTGCAGCGCAATCACTACCTTCTCGCTGATCTGCTCTCGCGGGACTTTGCTGAACTCCTCGTCCAGCCTTTTCATGTACGTCTACTACTCGGAGGAAGAGGCCGACGCAGAACTACACCGCCGTAGACCATCACTGTCCGGTCCCGACCGCACATTCGACGAGCAAAGCGGGCGTGGAAGGTCCTCGTCGCCGCATGCAGCTTCGCATTTGCCGTCCTCATGGTGTCGGCCATCATCTTGCATCGCTTCCCGTGGTATGCCCAAGCGTGGGCAGACATCCTCGGCATCGCCGTGGCCGTCTTTGCTTGCATCCAGTGGATTCCCCAGGTGCGGACCACATGGCATCTGGGTCATCTGAGAAGTCTCAGCCCCGTGTCTATCTGCCTGACTGCTCCCGTAGGTTTTCCTTGGTCTCGTCGCCCGTGGTGTTCCGCCATGCAAAGCTGACAACTTCACGCTGGTCAAAGTACATCTGGATCTTCGGAATCAACATGATGATCCGAGTCGGGTTGAAGGGCTGGAGTGCGTGGATCGTCTACGTGCTTGTGGGAACCATGCAGATCGTCCTGATCGTCTTGGCCATCTGTTTCGCCGTGAGGGACCGGAGACTGGCCAAGCAAGGGAAACAACACTGTGCGACTCCCGCAAATTTCGAGGGGTGGAACACTTGGGGTGCTCGTACCCGCACCTCATCAGTCGTCTCCCGTGTCCATTCCCTGCTGGCGCTAGACGAGCAAAGCCCGTTGCTTTACGAGCAGCCCTCATCGCGACGGCAAACCATCCCTTAGAGTGCTGGAGCTATTGGTTGTCCGACATTGGCTATTGCAAGGTGGTACATATGGATGGACAAGCAACTGAGCAGAGATCGGCTCTATGCATGATTTGGACCAGAGCTGACGGTTGTCACCCTCCTGAGATAGATTAAGAATGATTTTGCGGAAAATGGACTAGATAGATAGTAGCAGGCATAGATGGCTCTTACAGCATCAGTTGACGTAATGGTGACTATGTCGGAAGTCGCTTTATGAAGCCATGTGCTCACCGCTTCGACTAGGGTCTCTGGGAGAGGCGAGGAGTCGTCTTTTGCGCTCTTTTTACGCATCCCTTGTGAATTCGCCTCAGCAAGCGAGACAAAGTCCAAAACAGTATACTCGATACTGATGAATTGGACATGGTCAATTTTGCAAGAGCTTAGCTGGACGGCCAGGATGTGTGCTCCACGCATCCTTATTCCCTTTCACCACGGGTCGGGCTTTGACATTTTTGTCGAGAGCTCTTACGCCCGGCTGCAATCGACCCGTGGAAGTGTCCTGCCTTTCCGGCAATACGACTTCACGGTCGTCGGTCTCTTCTTGTCGAGCGCTCTCTCCTCTCTCTCTGCCGATCATACTGCCGATTCAAGCTTGATAGGAAATGCCTCATGTGCCGCACCAGCTTGTTCTGGGGATCCAGTGTGCGTTCTCGCTCCGCCAATACCTGTTCGGCAAGATCAGCAGCCTGTTTCACGTTACCTTCTCGCTTGTAAATGTAAGCAACTTCAGTCATGCATGCAAGTGTCTGAGGATGTGAATCACCCAGTGAATGCCGACAGCGGCTTAGCACTTCTTTGCTAATATCGTCCGCCTTCGCCCTTCGTTTGGACTTTCTGTATGTCGAAGCTAGACTGGACATGGTTGACAGCGTGGAATAGTTGTATTTCCCATGGATCCGTTCTTTGATCTTGAGCGTCTCCCAGTCTAGCTCTTCTGCCTTATCATATCTGCCCTGATTGCGATAAGTGGCTGCAAGGTTTGTCCTCGCCGTCAAGGTATGGGGGTCGTCTTTCCCTAAAATGCTGGTTCGCAATGCCAGGACGTCACTTTCTATGTGTTCGGCTTCCCCCCAACGCTCTTGCTTCCGCCATGTTGAGCCAACATTGGCCATGCTCCGAAGAGTGTCGGGGTGATGCGGCCCGAGGACTCGCTTTCTCCGATTGAGTACGTCTAATGCGAGCGTTTCCGCCTCCGCAAGTCGATTTGAATTTCGATATGTCGAAGCGAGACGTGCCATTGATGAGAGAAGGACTGGATCGTCCTCTCCCATAACGAGACTCTGTTCCTCAACGACACGATGGAGAAGCTCCTCTGCCTTTTCTGGCGAGCCCATGCTTTTGTAAGACGCGGCCAAGTTCGCCATACTGCTCAAGGTGTCTGGGTGATTATCGCCGAGAATGTTCTGTCTTGCCCTCATAACCATCCGATCCAGATTGAGGGCTTCTTTCCACTCGTGCTGCCTTCGCTTTACCGAAGCGATGTTGGAAAAAGCTGTGAGTACGAGAGGGTGATCAGGAGGCAATGTTGCTGTGTATCCCCAGAGTGCTTTTCGACCATACTCCAACGATTTATCCAGCTGACTCCAACGTTCCAGAGCCACTGACAAGTCCATGTAAGCTTGTAGAAGGCTGTGATCAAAAGGTTCGAGTGTTTGTTCCCTGTGTTCGACGACAAGTTGGATCTTTGTGGTCGCGTCACGGTATTTGCCCTCGAGAAACAGACATTGCCCCACTAACGATTCAAGCTCAAAGCGGTTCTCCATATGAGCAATGTGAGGCGACTGTAGAAGTCGAGATGCGTGCGGAAGATACAGTGACCACGTAGATCTATTGCTATGGTCGGGTTTAGGAAAGGTCTCAAGCATGTGACGGAGCGCCGCCCGAGGTGCGCATGTCTGTAAGGCTGACTCTTTGTGCAGCCAACTGCGGCACGCCAGGTGGACGAGGCTGTGCATATCGTAGGTGGTGCTGCTCCCGGGGCTTGAATCTCTTCGTGTCAAGAAGTAGTATCTAATTAGTAGACCTATTGCATCTATTTGCTCCTTCCGAGAAGCGCCTTGTGGAAAGAGACGTTCGGGGATAATCTTTGAATCGATGCATGCAATCATGGATAGGTATCGTCGGGCCAATGGGCTTCGATGTGCAATGCTCTCAAAGGTGATTCTCCAGGTTGAAATGATTGAGTTTTTGGCTTCCGGTGCCCGTACTTCGTCCTCGAAATCTTCATCCAGGAGCTTAAAAACAGTTTCCTCCTTGTCGTCTAACAAACTTACATAGTCTGAAACGCCAATTCTGTTGAGGTTGATGTATGCAGTAGCTTGCACAATCGCAAGAGGAAGATGGTTCAGACGATCCACCAAAGCACAGGCGACGGTTCTGTCCAGAGTAGCAGGCGGAGGGTCAAGCAAGGTCATTAAGAGATTGAGAGCGACCTCCTGATCCAGGCACGGGATTTCAATAGTGTGGCTGCGACTGAAATTGAGTGCCACCTTTCTATCACGCGTGGTGATGAGGGTGCAGCCGTGAGGGCTTCGTGGAACAAAGGAGCTGAGTGATTTAGAGCGTGCAGTGCCATCATCGCCGAAGAATAGTCCAAAGTCATCCACGTTATCAATGATCAGGAGCCAACGGCCCAAGCTCTCTAGGCTCAGATGTTGCTTTACCAAATGCTTGAGCTCGACCTGCAGTTCTGCCATCGAAGATATCTGTAATTGGCGACCAATTTCTGCATAGCCATTGTCAAAGGTGGTGGCGTCTGACGCCTGAACCCAGAAGATAGAAACATCCGGCGACTTCTCTCTAAGGGAATAGGCAAACTCAAGGGCAAGATTGCTTTTGCCGACACCGCCCAGCCCAAGTAAGGAAATGCATGAGCAATCGGGGTTGTTGTACTTGGCTTCCAAGGCGGCAAGCTCGCTGATTCTGCCGGCAAACCCGGGCTTTCGACGCACTGGAACACACCAAACCGCCTGCTGGCGAGCATGATATTCAGACGATGGAGCTTCGGATGGTGGTACCACGGATGCCTGCGAAGCTATCCCAGTGGTTGGCGAGCTGTGAAGGGACCATTGATCGTAGCCGTGACCCGGATATTCGGTGGGTTGCTCCGGCCAAAAACTCTCCAGGAAAGCCCTTGCGCAGCAGGCGGCAGTGGCAGACGCATAATGGTGCCAAACGTCGTTCTTGTGGCTATCAGCGTAGTCGGCAACACCCTTGATCACGAGAAATGGGAAATGGTCGATTAAGCCTGCGCCTTCCATCTCGAAAGCAATAACACCGTACTGTTGTGCAATGGCATCACGATGAATGCCTGACTTCATGACTCGATCTCCGGAGGCTATAGTGCCTATATGGACAGAGGGCACTCTTCTGTTGTCGGAAGATAGGACTGGAGCGGGGCGGTTGACCAAGTGCCAGTCTTCGCAGCCAAGTCTCGAGCACGGCACATTGAACGCCGCTGAGCACACGACAGAGTCTGCGCCAGTGTTACAAACATTGCAATAGGTATTCCGGTGCTTGTGCAGATACCCTGGTTCGAAGAGGCGGTCGAATTCGGTGCCAGGATATCTGACCTTTGGACGTCGGGCTTGGAGGTCATACAGTAGATCATCCAGTCTCTTCTGCAAGAGTTCTCGATGATACTCCGTTTCCAACTGGCTCAGAGCCGTGCGAAGCTCTAGCGGGGCGCTCGTTGTTGATGGCTTCGGCTCGAATGATTCGGGGTATTGTTTGCCGTAATCGTACTGCAAAGGCGACAGACTGATCACAACATCACCGAGACGGACGTCTCCTGAGCCATCGGGTCCACCAGGAACACCGCCACAGATGCCGACGAGTAAAGCAAGTTGAATGTTGGGAAAGCTGGTACGGAGATACGCTGCTACGCCTGCTGCTTTCACCTTTCCATCACCGTGCAGATGCGCCACCACAACCGGTTGCTTTCCAATGAAGCAGATAGTGGATGCGATCCTATCGCGGGGTGTCCTGGTGAATTGTCTCGCATCACCTCGCGGTCTGTCAAAGACGGCAAGAACTTCGTCCGCCTCCTTTGGCAAAGCACATATTATGGCGATCTTGAACTCCTGTCGCTCGTCGAATTGGGGTGGCGATGGCCGCAGCGCATCTTGAGTGTTGAAGGAGGACGTTTGAGAGGGAGAATAATATTGCCCGGGCTGCCATGAGGCTGGTTCGGAGGTCCGTGAACTGTGAGGTCGACTGCTTCAGGTGGGCGCTTTCGCGTCAGTACGGTGGTTTGTAGGATCAAAGATGTGAGTATGAGTGAATGCACCTTGGACCAGATGTCTGACTGGAAGGAAACCCATAGCCGTTCCCGTTATGGCGGCCGTTGGACGATCCTCTCTGGGACCCGTAGCTCCCGTGTCTGTGAAAGTGGGTTGCTTGTGGAAGCATGGCGCGGGGACAACATTTCCGGGGGCTCTCTTACGCAGTCGGCGACCGAGCTTCGTGAGTAGATGACGCTCTGCAACGGTATCTGAATCTCTCATGATGCGAGTACGGAGTGCGGCTTGCAAAGGCGCAGAATGCCTGCAGTCCATCTTAACTGCATGTGCACGATTTCATGCGGGGGGCCTCAACCAGCCACAGTGACGACTTAGTCAGCAAATCTTCCAGGCAACCGCCACCCACCGCCACCCAGACAGCAGGGACTACCGGCACAATAGTCGTTGGCCAATCGGGTATAGCCAATATAGCGATCTGGGTTGAAGAAATGCACCAGACGGCGAAGACGCGCTGCTCGCAATTCGAGTCTCAAGGTGTCGCTGCTGGGGTCAAAATGTCGTATCCAGATCTCAAGGGAAATACCTACGTTGTCACAGGGGGCGGGGTCGGGCATAGGGCGGTCGACGACGACGACGCTTCTGGCTAAACAAGGAGCCAATATTGCTCTTATCGACCTTCACAAGCCTCAGCATGTCTTGTAAGAAGTGCAAGACGTTGGTGGGAAAGGGCTTGCATTCTCGCGTGATGTCCAAGACGGAGAAGCGCTCGAAGCGATCATGAAGGAAGTTGTGCAGCATTTTGGAGGTGTTCACGGGGCGGCCAACATGGCAGCTTTCGCAAATCGAGCCCATTGTAAAAGAGGGTTGTGGATATAATTGAGAAATGCAGCATGCCCTTTGCATCCGATCCAATCCAACCATGCATAGTGCTCTACGACATATCAGGTGGTGTTTGGAAACTTCCATTAGCACCAGGCCAAGGGAATTCGAGAACAACACAGATATTCAACCTCTGTCCTCGCCTCATGTGCTCCAGAGCTCTGTGGTAGTTACGTTTATGAGGCCAGTTACACAGGGAAGACCACCCAAGCGGGACGACGCAGACATTTGGTAATAATATTCAAATGAACATCTAAAGATATAGCTCGAAGTGGATCCATTATCCACAATAACGTCTGGGGGAGCCAATCAGCATAAAGCATTCCGCCTTGTTATACCTGAAGAGCAAGCCCATACTCGGTCGGTAGATAGTTCATGGTCACCACTTCCGTGTCGCATCTGGTTCACTTCGCTCGTTGAATGGCAGACGCTTCCAGAGCACGAAAACTTGCCTGGATTCGCCTCGCACCTTGATGGGTTTCTGGGAGCCCGAGCACCAAATACCTATTCCCGTCAATCCTATCCTCAAACCGAAAGGTTCTCTCTTGAACATCCGTCACCATGTACGGCAGACTGGCGTAGCGCATGTAGTGCTTGATGACGGGCTGTTCTCTGTCGACGTCGATGTAAAATTCCCCCGTGTAGGCAATGTAACTGCGTCCGACCTAGGCCCATCCCTTCTCCGCTGCCGCGGCTTCCTCAGGACTAACAGTTCGATCAAAGGGTTGTTCGCCCTCAAACGGTCTCTGGCCGGAAATGTGCAGTTGCGCCGACATGTACCCGTCTTCGGTGTACAGAATGATGCCCTTGACGTGCAGAGTCATGGGGTACAGCTTGTTTGACGGGTCTGCCACAAGCGGGAGGCTGTACTCTGAGCTCCCAGCTTCCTGCAAGTTGGGACCGCACTAGCTTTGCAGCCTTTGACGACATTGTTGTGGATCGGTTATTTTCAGTAGCCCTGCGAGGCAAGGGGAAAACGACGCAGTCAGGAAACCTTTTCAACAGCCTGATCACAGCTCGTTCGCTGGGCTGAAAGCTGGCCTTACTAAAATCAGGAACCGACGTCTATCGGTTCCACTGTGTTTATATTTCGTCAGGCGTGAGATGATCAGGCAAGTCCGACAACGACTTTCTTGAACTCTTGCCCATTTCGGGGGACTTCGCCCGGAGAAGACCCTGACTGGCACTCACTTCCCCGACGCCCGGGAATTTTGTCATCCGAAAGACTCACAAACCGGAGCTGTCATGCTCAGCAACTTTGTGCATATCATCCGGAGCTGTGTATATCGAACCTTCTGTCATCTTTTCCACCACCTTTCCCCGAAGCTGTAGCGATAGTCCGGGATTTCGCTACACCGAATCTCCGAGAGCGCAACGGCCCGGGATACCAACGACGGCAGTAGATGATCTGGATAGAGTCGAAGGACTATATGTATTTCCCTTTGAGAATCCAGAGCGAGGTCGACCATCTCACTTTGTGTCTTCCCTACTGTTATTCGTCCAGTGAATAGACAGCCAACCAGGGCCAAATCCTTCATCATGGTTATCGATCTCAAAACCGCCGAATTTCATGGCCCATGTTGTCTTTCAGACCAACAATCTCAAGCCAATGGTGGAGTTTTACAAGAGGTTCTTGAACGCCCATGCAAGCTATGAGAATGACTTTGCGTGCTTCCTCACCTATGACGAGGAACACCATCGCGTCGCCATCGTCCAGATTCCATCCTTGGGCCCAAGAGACCCAAAGGCCGCCGGTCTGCAGCATATGGCCTTTACGTACAACTCCCTCGACGACTTCGCCAACGCCTATCTCCAGCGCAAGTCCAACGGAATTGAACCCGTCTGGTGCGTCAACCACGGGCCGACCACGAGCATGTACTATGACGATCCAGACGGGAACCGTACCGAGATTCAGGTGGACAATTTCGACACCGTCCAAGGGGCCAGTGAATTCATGGCTTCGAAGCAATTCAACGAGAACCCTATCGGAACAGACTTCGATCCCAAGGAACTGATCAGACGATTGAATTCTGGGGAGGACCATGCGTCAATCAAGAAGCGTGTGGAAATTGGTCCTCGGGCGCTGCCGGTGCATTAAAAGTTGGCGCCCACAAATGAACAGGCGCACGCTTCAGGCACTCCGGCCTATGGGACCCTGGGCTGTTTCAAGCGTAACAGCCTCGAGAATTTGTGGAAGTTCCTCATTCTCAAATGCTGGTCCTATTTGTGCCGTAGTAGGTCCTCTTGCTCGCTTGGGCTTTAGGTATACCTTTCAAGATAGGGGGTGGGCACAGGAGATGTACTTGTAGCTCAACTCTGCCACACACACACAGTTACCTTTCTGCCTGACATGTACTGCTATTCTTGAGAGGGATAGTCTTCAGGTCGCAGACAAGGATAGTATGCGCATACAGGGCCATCAACTGGATAAATAAAACTCTTGTACGGCAATTGAAAGCTCCTGGCCATCGGCATCAACCGAATGAGGTGAAAAAGCAAGGAGACTTTGAAAAGCCGACGACAGGTAGCTTGTCGGGGCTGCAAACGACTTACATGATCTATACTGCGGATGCCATGCTTGAGACAAGTCTGGGCTGTTTGCTAGGCGCCTTCCACGACCCATCCCAGGCCATGGAGATAGGGCTTCGTGACATCGTCGTAAGGCTTTTGTCCTTCTACAACGTACTTCTTGGGGTCGATAGAGTCAAAGAGTACCTCCTGAATCGGGGTGAGGATTGCATAATCGCGCGGGTACTCGGGAGCTTGTTCTTTCGGTCGTATGTGTCGCTCCACTGGCTCGCTGTCTCGCCCAAAAACGTCCTTGAAGAATCTCTCTGTCGCGACCATCGCGTGACAACGTCGAGGCGAGATACAAAAGAAGGACCTCCTATATCTGGTTAGGAGAGTTGAGTACCTCATCCCTCACTCCATGCTTTCCAGGCTCCCGGGTGGCAATGGGTTAGCGATGCTATTACCTAAGTTAGTACGAAGGTAGTGAATTAGGCTCACCGGTAAACCGTATGGTGAGTTCAACTAGGCAAAAGGACCTCTCTGTGTCGCTAGCAAGTGATTGAAGACTTCACCCAGAGCAGAGAGTGATGCTCGAAAAGATGTTGCTCTACCCTATTTGGGAGATAACCCCTTGGAGCGGGCTTGGCCGAAAGGGAAATTAGCCTGATTAGTTCGGACCACTAGTGCCGCCGCCGTAAGTCATCACTCGCAGTGGAGACAAATTACCGAGTAGAGCGACAAGCTTGGCACATCCCCTCAAAGCGGCGGTACAAGACCCCTTTGGGCTCGATATATCAAACTGCTTTGGAACATTTTCCCTTTGATCTAGCCCTCTCTCTGTTTTGACCTCGCCACTATCGGCTCGATTTGCAGGAGCCAGGGTCCGTTTCTGCTAAGTTGCTGCATATGGGCGGATCTCGGAGATACATATGGCCATCTGGATCCTGCTCGTTGAGAAAACAGGCTGCTCCCTCTGCTCCTAGGAGAGTGGGAAGAGCCGTGATATTGCGACCTGCAAGTCGCCTCTCTCAACGATCAGCCAAAGTATCATGGGCTTTCCTGCGCGTGAGGCAAGCCAGGTATCTTCAAGACCATCCATATATATGGGAAGCCCTTCGAGGTCTCTGTGCATCTCTGGGTCGCTCTCCGTCGTCTCAGAAGATCCCATATATTGAGCGCATGCGTATGGCCTGATGCCACTTGTATCAATCAACACCGTCTTGAGGGAAGATCATCCCAGGTGGCACTCATGGGCGAAATATATTCAAGCGCGAATGAAGTATTCATTTGGCTGGGTGACTCGATCTCTGGGGAGGACGGCCTTCTTGATTCTTCACTTGGGACTCTGGAGGATGGCAAAGACATGAAGTGGCTGTGCGACAACCTCGGGTCCATTGTCAACCGCTCGCGACTCGAGACCCGGCAAGATGAGGACCTAGCGGCTCTTGGAACGCTCTATCTTCTCTCCGGTAATGGTCACTGAACCGACAAGCCCCTGTTTGTTGCAGACAGTGAAGGCCGATTCCATGTAGCCAAAAAACTACCTAGTGGCATGACAAGCCACAATAAAGCTATTACAACTTCTGTGGTGGACAAGGATATAGGTGGTTCAGGAACTTGTGCTCGCAAAGAACGCCACTGTGGTTCTCGGCCGGCTCTGTTTTTGCTCCATGGGGGTTGATATTTCGTATCCTGAGGGCTCGGAACATGCGGGATTCTTACTCTTTGGTTGCCCACTGCTACGTACACGGCATCACGGATGGCGAGATGGTGGGAGGAACAGAGTGCCGGAAATGAGAGACGTGTGTCTTGTCTGAAATCTTGTTGTAAGTCGTCGAGGGCCGATTACCCTCTCTACCTTTGGTCGTCAAACCAAGCTGAATAATCTGCTGAAAAGGCATGAGGCGGCACTTCTCGCGCAGGAACCGTCTAGAAGCTCGCTCCCAGGAATTGATCAGGCGATTGTTGCCGGAACCCATAGGGATGTCAGAGCCTTCATGTACAAATCAGTTCTCTGGGCCAGTGATGAGGTTAATGTCGAGGCAGACAAGGTGTCCTTGCAGCTTACCGCGCCTTGCTACGAGGATCCCGAACCCGAGGCGGCCGAGTCAGTTCCAACGGAAGAGCGGCACCAAGATTGAAGACTCGTTCGGATATTGGTTTTCCAAAGGGGGATTTGGCCCCTCGAAGAGTCGCACGTACGCCGTCTTCACCCCGCGCGGAAAGATGTATTCATGATACTGTTCGCACTTCATTCAACCCTATATCGCCTCTTGTACATCCTTGACTCCATGGGGTCTGCTTGAACCCTTCAAGAATAAGAAACTGTCCGGTGACTCTGGTCAAATGCTGCAAAGCCGCTTTAGGAAGACGGGGGCGTTGTAACCTGGTTCCCAAAACATGCGAGTGGACAACCTCTGGCGATCAAAGGAGGGAAGAAACAATGGTTGAGCCCCAGAATTCTGGTCAGCTGTTGCAAGGTCTTGTAATCCCTCAGGAGCCTTGACGAATATCTAACAGCGCTTTATGCATTTGAGTATATCTCCTCATACAACTTGCCACGCCATCATATTCGCAAAGAGATTGCGTGGACCCCAGATCTCCCTTCTCATAAATCGTTGGACCTCTACATCGTCGGCATCACGATCGACGGTATTCGCGTTCTCTTCCCGCATCGCTGGCTCCCCCACACCGTCTTTCTCCGTCACAGGGTGCTTCTCTTCTAGCAGGATCCTCACTTGCCTCCGTTCGCTTTCCCTCGCCATTCGTGCTTTCCACTTCAGTTCGCCAACTTTCCATCCTCTGACTACCCACAAGCACAATCCTGCACCAATATACATGAAGGCGGTGAAGATTTGGGGCGGGAGGTATATCCAATTCTCCGTATTCCTTCGCCGTAGTTCCAGGGCGATCGCCTCTGCACACGTCGTAGGCGGCACCATGATCAGCCATGTGAGCGACAATCCAGCAGGTAGGTCTTGAAGGCCCAGTACCTCGGCGCCAACGGGGGCGATGGTGGTCCAGAAGGTCCCCGCGAGAGCGCCACCAACGATAGCGAAGAAACACAACAGACCCATTGGAGACGACACTGTCTCGGCGGGAATCCAAAAGGCGAAGCAGAAAACGCCACACAAGACAGTGAGGAATGCCGCAAGGTTGATGCGACCCCAGCGATCAGAAGACAGGCCGATCAAAGGCCGACCGAGCATTTGACCCAAGTTCAGGATTGCCCCAAGGACAGAGCCTTGTTTTGCACTTAGGCCGATGGCTCGCCCGTAGGCGGGGAGTGAGAAGAGCAGGATTGTGTAGCCAAACATGCTGAACCAGGACCAGCCTTGGACGAGCAGAAACTCGGGCTTGCGGAGGATTATGGCATCAAATCCCTTGTGGCGCGATCCGGTTTGTTTGTTGCGGTCACGGAGGAGGTTTGATGCTGTCAAATTGACCGCAAAGGAGCAGATTCCTAAAATACGAAAAGCCCAAGGGAGGCCCATTGTATCGATAATCCGCTGGGTGACGAGGGAATACATCAAGCCCCCAAGACCGGAGCCCGCCGCAGCAATCGAGTTTGCGACGCTGCGTTTTGTGGTGAACCATTGTGGTATGATACCGACAGAGCCCACAAACAAAAACCCCATGCCCCAACCGAAGCAGAATCCTTGCGACAGGATGATCTGGTATTTCTGCTTCGCAAAGCTAGCGCCAATAAGGGAGAGTGTTTCAAAGAAGACACCTAAATGTAGGCATACTTTGGAGCCGTAGAGGTGGATGATGTGTGTGGCCAGAGGGGCGATGAACATGGCCTGAGATATGGAGAGACCGCCAATGAAGGCGTAGGCCAGAGCGGACGTATCAGGGAAATAATTGTGATTCAAATAGTAGGAGAGGAAGACACCATACGAGGAGTTGATTCCCCAGGTGTGTGCTGTATACCATGTGTTAGTGTTGTTCTGACCCCAGATTGCGTGATGGTGCTAGTCTCCCGATCCCTCGTACTTAGCCGCATACCCCAGATTCGGTCTCGAGATGGGGTTTTGGCCAATGCATAGAGATGCTGGAGGCGAGATCGGGTCAGTTTAACAGAAAAAAGACTTGTACTCACCATTGATGAAGAAATTGCAAGCAACGCATACCCAGCCATAGCCGCCATCCGGGAGCGGTTCGTCTAGCTTTGGGAGAGTGGAAGGACTCTCCTCAATGTCAACCGTTTTTTCGGATTCATTGTCATGACGGGGCTGGATCTGTTGCGGAGTTCCACGAGGTTCTGCAACATCGATAGGCACCGTATCTGTCATATTTCCCTTCTCCTTTACCCAGAAACACAGAAAACGAAGGTAGAGACATAGAGAAAGGAAACCCGGAGGAGGCTTGGGCGATGAGTCGTCACTTTTACAGGTCTCGGGGCAAAATTCTGTACGAAGCCATTGAACAAAGGTATTAGCCGAGCAATGTCCGCTCCCATTTGCCGGTGGTATGGGGATTCTCTGAGATCTCGGTCAGAGGCCGTTGGGGTCGTCTGTGCGAGATGCAACGCTGGGCGTGACTAAGGGATTCGATGATTGGGTTGAGGTGGAACTCGCATGGTCAGAATATTAATGACGCCTCGCCTTTGGAGGGCGACGGATGTACGCAGTACGGAGTAGTCCGTACATCGAAAGGACGATCTCAAGACCTCGTGCGGAGAGCGAGGAGGAGGAGATGGAGAATCTGACTATGCCGTTTCTTCCGATCATGATGGTGTCGCTGTGAGTACCCGTCGGAAGGGCATTTACTGTATCATCATCAACTCAATGCCATGATCGTTCTCGCATCGCATCGCAGTGACCACGACGATCATATCGAGATCAAGAGCATGAGGTGACGGGTAAACAGGAGTTTTGATGGGGCCATGGCGTTGGTTGGCGTGGTACGTGCATGGCATTCGGAGGCGGTAAAGACGGTTGATGCCCAGCGCGGGTGGAACCTGATCTGCGGTTGGTTGTCGTCTCAACCGCGCAGCCCAAACAAAAAACCCGCCTGCGGTCAGGGTCTCAATCGCAGGCTTCGCTCACCAGTTCAATACACTATCGCATCATCTATTGCTTTTGTCTCCGTAGTCTATCTGTCCATGTGTGCTTTAATGTCCCCTGTGCTGATCTGGTTCTCAATTTGGTTATATTTGGATTCATACCTCGCCTGATAGTGCCGTCTTGCTTGACAGTTCAGCTGGAAAGTAGGACATCAAGATCGCTGCCCCTACCAAATTGTTGCATATGCGGTGAACCATATCTCAGCTCAAACTTCAACGAATCTCGCGAAAATGTTTCACAAAAGAAACAGCATTGGCGGCAGAAAAGTCTCTCCGCCTCAACCTACATGCATGACTGCGGAACAGAAATGTAGGTGTCACTGTGAACCTTCACTCGCCCTCTTCTGCAGTCGCTCTTCATCCTCAAAAAGATGCCTCCACGAGAGCCTACCTTTAAATCAAAGTACTCACATAGGCCTGCAGCAACCTATCTCGACAATCTCAGAAATAATCGTCCTGCCAGACCGACCGGATCCAGACCTGCGCCATTTCCATCCAGGAATTATGGCTCCCTAACATCCCAGTCTTCGTTGGCACGGTCCGACTCGGCTCCAACTACTGGCTCTAAGCATGAAGATGCCCAAGATGATTTTGAAAGCGGGCCTCCGACTGTACAAAAGTCCTTTTCATTCTCATCTACTTCCAGAGGTCGACCTCTCGCACAGCCTCCAGACAGTGATCGCCCGCTCCTGAGTGGAAGGAAAGTGTCTCCAACTGCAACTGTTCAGGTTCCCTCAGTTGCTCAAGAAGGAGTGTACATCGAGTCTGTTACGCGAAGGCTGGAAAAAGAGGAAGCACACAGTATACGGGAAGCGTTGGAGCTTATCGACCAAAAGGATGAAGAACGAAGGATCTATGATGCGGCCAAAGACGAAGCCGCCGAGCTGGTCTGGAAACATCAATACCCCAAAGCCGCAGAAGAAGAAAAGGTGGCTCCCTATCGAAACCCAGACTTGAAGGCCAGGGAGAGACGACAGAATAGCGGGCACCGTCAGGCTAGCGGTTCCAGGAAAGTCTCTTTTCCTACTCCGAACAGCAAGATATATGAAGAACCAGAACCCGAAGAGGAAACGTCAAGACCGTCTGCTGCGCCTCCTAGCACGGACATGCCACTGAGAGCTAAGTCACGCAACAGACTTCCCTGGCTGAGAACGAAAAGTCTGGAGAAGGAAGGGGATCCCACACCGGTTCCGCAGGGTAAAAAGTTCGACCGTTTCGAGATTCACAGAAATCCACCGACCCAGTCACGTAAAGCCGACTACACAGAGAACACACCTCCACGGACATCCACCGTCGAAGTGATCGAGGAAGTTGACACCCCCAATTCCACTGGCACTTTGGAAATTCGGAGTGAAGAAATTCGAGCAGCAACTAGCATGAAGAGGAAAGACCGCAGCCCTAATCTTCCTACCCCAACAGCGGTTAGCGATCAACTTGGTCGACCGATTGTCAGCTTTGATCCGACGTGGAAACGACCCAGTAACTCGCCGAGGACAAGTATGGATGTCGACAAACCGAGCTTGGTGTTGACGGAGGCACCGGCAGCACGACCTTCGCCGAGGCCAGCGCCCAGTGTACCAGAAGTCTCGGTATCTGCCCCGGCCATACCTACGATCAATATCCCAGACGATGGGCCAGTGATTCCAGTCATTCATGTGCAGGGAGACGATGCCTCCCCAACAGTGTCAGTAATTAATGTCTCGGATCAATCCCATCCTGCTCCGACCACGTCCAGACCTTTGCCAAAGCACTCATCTTCTGCACCGACGAAACCCAGCGGCACCGTGGTTAAAACGCCCTCACAGCGCCTTCCCTGGCTTTCATCTCGACAGTCGATGCCCACTGTGTCATGCTCGAGCTGTGCACTGCCCATTTCTGGTCGCATCGTGACAGCCTCGGGTTCTAATGCACGCGACCTCAAAGCCCGCTTCCATCCTGAATGCTTTACTTGTCACCACTGTGCCACACCCCTCGAGTGTGTGTCCTTCTACCCCGAGCCGGATTCATCACGCCTTTCCCGTCTCGGAATCACCTCTACTTCCGACCCCGATTCCGCCGAGCCTCCCAATCTCACCTCGGACGACCTTGCACTTCTCGAGAACGATCCCCTGAGATTCTTCTGCCACTTGGATTTCCACGAGTTCTTCTCGCCTCGGTGTCGAAGTTGCAAAACCCCCATCGAAGGAGAGATTGTAATCGCGTGTGGTCACAGCTATCACGTCGACCACTTTTTCTGTGCGGAATGCGGAGACCCGTTCTCGTCCACCACGCCATTCGTGGAGGGGAACGACGGATACGCCTACTGTGTGCGGTGCCACACGAAACGCACATCTGCCCGATGCCGGGGCTGTAAATCACCTATCCTAGACGAGATCACGGTGGAGGCGTTGGGCGGCAAATGGCACGGTGCCTGCTTCGTGTGCTGCGAATGCGGTGGCGGCTTCGGCGACGAGGGGAGATTCTTCGTCCGAGAGGTGCACGTCGAGCCGACGGACAAGGAGAAGAGGAAGGGCATCACGAGGAAAGTGGAGGAACGCGCAGTGTGTGGAGGTTGCGAGGAGAGGCGGCTGAAGGCTTGATTGGAGTTGGAACCTGGGAGAGAGGCAAAAGAGGGCGCAACATATGGTCACATCGGGTTGATGGTGAGGGTAAGAGGGTATCGTCTCTTGGAGTTTTGTAGCGGGACTTCGCTGGAAAGGGGGGGAGGGGGAATATCCTGGTTTTGGGTGTGTCTGGCCGGGCACAGCTTCGAATGCCACGCTTCTATGCTCAACAACGTCGTACTGCAGCTGTAGATGGATTGCCTTCTTTTTCTCTCGGAACTCTCGTCGTATTCCTAGCACACGTGGAATCTAATCGCACTAGAGCCGGTGAAGAACAGCCGCACACAGTCTGGCCATTGCTCCCACAGGAACTACTGTGTGTCGCCCAAAATGACCAAGTATTGCATAATTTGTATCATTGGATTCTAAAGTAATAGACGGAGGGATGCATCTGGTCTCGTGTCTGAAGCATTCAACTTGCCTTCCTTCCAACCATACATTAGCAAGGGACAATGCCTTGCCATCATATGTAACATCGCCTTCAATAGCAAGTCTGCCACCATGATGTTCCGCTTCGAGCCACCAAGAGACTTACACATTCCATCTTCATGCCTGAAGCATGTAAATGTACCCAGCTTGCCCTCTCTGAATTTGCTTCATGCGTTCTCCCAGGTCGTCGTCATCCCGTAGTTCCATATCCACGGCCGTTCGATCCCATCACCATAGCTTCATTCGCGTTGACCTTTCCACCCTTCCGAGAGCAAGATTCAAGTTGTCCGTCTCCAACATGTCATTGTAGGCCTTTACTCTTTCGTCCTCCCCCAATAAAAAGGTCTTTGTCTTGATCCGAACTCCCGTACTCCTCGCTTAGGCAATCGCTGCATGTCGAATGACTTTTGTCCAATCCAACTCAACGCCGACCCTTCGTTGAATTCCGCAAAACGAAAGAATGAATCGTGTCAGCCTCGCACCGAAAGCATGATAGGCGTTGCTGTCCCGCTCGGCTCAACGGTCCACTTCCTCTTCTTATGCTCGTCCACAACACGGCACCGTCCAATTCCCATCTGCCACGGGACTGTAGAGTTCTCTTCGTGTGCCGTGTTGTCGAAAATCTTATCCGACAGGCCCCATCGGCATAACTAAACCTTAGCAATAGTTTGTTTGTAAGTAAATGCTTTTCCACATATGTGTTCCTTTTTGTAGATGTAAAATGCATCCCCTGATCAAGTAGGCAGAATAATCTTGTGGTACTCATGTCTGTGTATCTTACACCCGTGAGCGCACAACCCATCTGGGCACACTCACGAGACCTTCCGCTTCCTAACGCGGAGGCGAAGTCTGATAGCTCCCGTTCGTCGCTCGACCATCGACATTACTGGATTCATCATTGGGTGAACCCTCGTCCGCAAGCTTGTTGTCCGAAGCAACGATCTTGCCATGGATGTTTTGAAGCTCTTTGCCTTTAATGCCCTTGTTGGGCCAGTATGTAGCGGCATAGTCCCTGTGACACGTTAGTACAACCCATGCAGGATGTGCGTCAATAACACTCACCAGAAGCGCTTCTCCACCGACTCTTGGTTGTCGTCGAGCTCGGCAACTTGGTCGGTGATGAAATTCCCAATCTGCTTGAGCAACACTCGTAGCTCATTAGCCCGGGTCTGGCCATCCGGGATGGCACTCTTTGTTGTAGCTTTGATCTTTCTCAAGCTTTCCCTAACAGGCTTGAACAACATGTCCAAGAGAGGATCAACTTCGGCTGAGGCGGCATTGGTTGAATTTTCAGTTCGTCGGTGGTCGCTGCCGTGCCGATGGTGAGAGCTGTGGGCATGTTCATCACGGTGTCTGCGCTCTTTATGTTCTCTGCCCTCACCCTCATGTTTGACATGACCGTGACGACTCTCAGATTTGGGAGTTCCATATCTCTCAGAGCCCTCACGATGAGTCTGACTGACTGCTCTATGTCGAGGCTTCTCGGACTCACGGTGTCCCTTGCGATTTACAATCGGGGCGGGAGATGAACCAGATTTCTCGGCGTGATACTTCTTGTTGTTGCGGTGGTGGTTTTCAACGGCTCGCTTGGCGACGGGGTCGTCTGCGTACTTGCTCTTTAAGACGGAGATGAGATAGTCGGCGCGGCGAACAAGGTGGACAGCACCAGGGGACTTCGCGTTTTTGTCCTCGGTTCTCTCGCGTTCTGCCTTTTTGTCGACGCGATGCTCTTCGAGGAAGAATTTGTCTTTCAACCCGAGGTCGGGGTCGTCACGGATCTTTTCCCAAGCACCGTAGCCGTGTCGGGCAATACCCACGCATAGCATGCCATCTTCTCTTGCACCCCACGGACAAGAATATCCCGCAGCCTTGGTCGCTTCTGGGATACGGAATGATTTGAAGTCTGGGTCTTTTGACGTAACATCTCGGAGGAGACGCATCTCTCCAGGTCGCTCAAGAATGGTCTCAGCGTTGATTCTTTTAACGCCATGTAACTCGAACAAGACCGCTTTCTTGTCTTTCTTGGTGATCGGTCGATTCGATGTCCGTTCCAGATCGGCCATCCGTTTCTGCTCTTCCTTGAAGAGCTCCTCCGACTTGTCCCAGACCTCTTGCATGGCAGCTTTGACAACCGAGATGTCTCTACCTCGAAGCCGGGCTTCTGTCAAAAACTCTTCTTGGCGATCATCAATCGAGCCGTAGCGGAGGTGGCCTTTGATAAGATATCGATATTCACGTTCACTCAGTGGGCGCGAAGGATCCGCCTTGGGACCTTCATCGGATTCGCTCTCAGAGTCAATATCTTTGTGGCGTTGCTCCTGACGTCGAGCCTTGCGCGCTTCACGGTCCTCCACCTGGTGATTTCGGCTTCGGGGTTTGTTCTGTTCAATGACATCGGCAAGGAACTTCTCATCAGCTTTTCGCTGCTCCTCCTTTTTAATTTCCTCTAGTTGTTCCTTAGGGATGATGTCGTCCCAGGATAGTTCATCGACCTTCACGTCGACAAAGTCGAAGCTTCGCAGAAACTCTTCGCCGCCATCGGCGTCGGTGCCGTCCGGTTGTTCAACTTTGTAGTCTTCGGCGTTGTTGAGCACAGCGTCCAGGTCTAGCTCCTCAAGCTTCTTCTGGTTGTCCGTCTGCTCAAACATTTTCTGGCCACGTTTCTTGAGGATCCTGGAGATCTCGCTAGAACTGCCTGGTTCTCCCACAAAGGCGTTTCGTCGGGCTTGTGTCTCCTTGTCGGTGACACCACGTTGAATGGTCAAAAATTCAAGCATCAATTTGTTTCTGGCACGCTCAAGGATTTCTTCCTCGATGGTCTCCTTGGAGACTAAGCGGTACACACTTACTGGTCTGACTTGGCCAATCCGGTGAGCGCGAGCCATTGCTTGAAGGTCTGCCTGTGGGTTCCAGTCAGAGTCGAAGATGATGACTGTGTCGGCGGTCATCAAGTTGATCCCGAGACCACCAGCTCGGGTGGAGAGCAAGAAGCAGAAATCAGTGCTGTCCGGGGCATTGAAATGGTCTATGGCGATACGCCGAGGAGCAGCGGCGATAGTACCATCAAGACGTTGATAGGCATGACCTCGGTAATCCATATAGTCTCCGAGTATGTCGAGCATTCTGACCATCTGACTGAATATCAAGACGCGGTGCCCGTCACGTTTGAGCTTTGTGAGAAGTTGGTCCAGAAGCATCATCTTGCCACTACTCGTGACAAGAGCACGCAAGACCTCCTCACGGCGAGCGCCTTCTGGGACAAGACGTTCCTCGGCAGTGGGGAACATGAATGGATGATTGCTGGCCTTCTTCAGCTCCATCATAATATTTAGGAGCGACTGTTTCTGACCTTTGGCACCTTGGTTGAGGGCGGCATAGTTCTTGGTCAGAATGTTCTTGTAATATTCAAGCTGAATGTCAGACAATTCGACGCGAATGATCTTTTCCGTCTTTGGTGGCAAGTCTTTCTCCACTTTCTGCTTGGTTCTTCGAAGCATATAGGGCTTGATGTCTTCGGTGAGTTTGGCTATCTTAGCACTTGCTTCTTCGTTGGTCAGGTCCATGTTCTCGTCGATGTTGACAACACCAGGGTTCAAGAAGTCAAACAAGGCAGAAAGCTCCCCGAGGTTGTTCTGTACAGGAGTACCGGTGATAAGCAGTCGAGCTGGGGCTTTGAATTCCCGTAACCGGTCGTACAGCTGAGAATCACGATTCTTAAGACGGTGGGCTTCATCGACAGCCATGAATTGCCACTTAATCTGACTCAGGAATGGCGCATCTTGCAACACATACTCGTAAGTTGTGAGAAGAACATGAAAGCGCGGATGGCGGAAGTTTCCATCTGGGAGCAGCTCGTAATCTCTGATGATATTTCGAGCGCTTTGGTTGCCGTTGTAGACCACGTAGTTGAGGTCAGGGGACCATAGATCGAAAGTTTCTGCCCAGGCCGGCATAGTTGACAGGGGGACGGTGACAAGGAAAGGTCCTTGCTGACCGCGATCATGTCGAAGCCAGCTCAGGAATGCAACAGTTTGGACAGTCTTGCCGAGACCCATCTCGTCGGCGAGAACGACATTTTTCCCTTTGACCCAGTTGTAGGCAAGAAAGTTCAAGCCGGTCATCTGGAAGTCTCTGAGTGTACCGCCCTTGATGTAGGATGGCTGATCCCGCACTGGTTGAAATGGTGAACGAGTCGAGGCGTTACTCTCAGTCTGGTTAGACTTGAACTCTTCTCGTCTGCGGTTGATATATCTGTCGATCTCGTTTTGCGCGATCTGACTGATTAGGCTTGATGCCTCCCAGGTTGCCTGGTCATAGAAGAGACCTTTCCACTTGACGTAGTATTCAGTGCCTTCTTCACCATCGCGATCTCCAATAACTCTTTCGACCTTCTTGTAATCGTCGAGGGCATCGATGTATTGCTCACGATCAAGAATCCACTTTTCTTTATCTTCTGGCGCGATGGTGGGATCGGTCTGACTGCGAATATCTTCCATCAAGGTCTTCTTGATGTAGTTTTCCAGCCGCCGGACACTCCGGACGCCAGCAAGCGACTCAATCGTCTCCCACGTAGCGTGGTAGTAGGCTTTCTGCTGCCATTTGATAAGATACTCGTACTCGTCCTTGGAGTGCGTCGGGGTGGTAACGTCAGCCTTGAGACGATGATTCAAGACAATGTCAATGGCGGGCGAGTTGTCTTCTTGACCGTTGACCCAGTAGTTTGGAGTCATTGTCTCGGGATCATCGTCTTCGAACATATCGTCATCGTCGTCTTCATTGTAAGTAGATACTTTGGCAGCTCGACGAGTGGAGAAGCGGATTTCAGCGTGTTGAGGTGTCAGGCTCTCGGCAGACTGTAACAACCTCCGACGCTGTTTCTTGGACAGCTTTGCGCGTCGGCCGCCATAAGCATCAGAATCGTCATCGGAGTCGGAGGGAGACTCGACTATGGGAGTAGGCTGCTTTGACGAGCGTTGAGATATGTGACGCGCCCGCTTCCGGGGACGAGCAACAACGTCCGAGTCCGAGTCATGCTCTTCAGAAGATTCTGCCATGTTGGGAACGTGTCGTGCCCGTCCACTCCGTCTCAGACCATACATTTCTGGGTTGTTCCGAATATAGTCATCTTCCTCGACTGGATGGGCTTTCCTCTTCGCAGGTCTAATGGAATCATCCGAGGAAGAATGGCCTTCGTCCGCTTGTGCACCATTCACCCGCATAGAGGCATCCATCTCATAGTCGGCATCACCCTCAGCGTCATGCTCATCGGAGCTGGGTTCATCATGGTCTGGCATGTGTTCGTCGTCATCCTCGTTGTCGACATGTGACGGCGAGGCTAAGGCAGCAACGGGCTCTGCGGGCTCCGACAGCTCGCTCTCACTGTCTGAATATTTCGCGCCATTCTGCATGATGGTGACCGGCGGTGACGGAGGAGATTCAGAGGCCGGTGAAGGTTGGGATATTGAGGGGGGTTGAGGTTCGACAAGGGCACCGGAGGCTGTAAGAAACAAAGCGTCAGCAAGGTCGGCCAAATGGAAGAGACCGGTACTAAAACAGCCACGGAACCAAGTAATTTGGACTTCCGCGATTCAGAAAAGCTTCAAAGGGGAAATGTAGAGTGCGCGTGAGATGAACAATGGGCAATATAAGATGAATTCGATCAAGTTGGACGACGACGAGATGATTTTGGGTGTGCCAAAGTCGGGTGACTCTTGCGCAGCCTTCCCTGCCAAATCTCGGCCAAGGACGGTGCTGGTAGAGCACAGCAGAACCGACTTTCACATTTCCAACGAGTTGCTAGGATTTCTCCAACCGCGACGTATTGTACTTGACGCGGCAGCGTTGAGCTTGAAGGCGAGGCCGAGCAGCCGCCGATCAAAGGAATGACGGCCGAGTCTGGAAACGGGACGAGCAGAATCAGCACGACAACGGGACAACTTACACTCCATCATCAACAGACAGAGCCCATCAGGCACCTGAAGGTCTTTCTAGGTCGCAATAGACGTTGTATATAGAAGTGGTCTGGAAAGATTGTGGTGGGTGTGGATGGAGAGAAATATGGGCTCACACGAGACGAGAGGGACGAGGCTTTGGGGTAAAAAGTAAGAGGAAGTGCAAGCGCAGTTTGACAGGGCAAGCGGCAGGGAAGGACCTGTTCCAGGCCTAGCCAGTTAATGAGTGGCCGAGTTACCTAGGTAGGTTTAGGGAGGACCTACTCGCCGCCTCAACCGCCCAGTTCACCAAACGCCGGGAGGGTCAGGCAGGTCCTCATATGGCCCTGGTTTGGGCAGGTTAGGCGGGACATGGGTGCCTTGGCGTGCCTGATCCAATCACAGCCCTAGGAATTTTGATTTTTTGGTTGGCCACTGCCTCTGTGTGTGTCATTCACAATGAAGCCCCATCGAGGGACCATTTCTGGCCGTCCACAATTCACTGCCCTCATTCAATTCATTCACTGACCGCACTCTCAACAAACCACAATAGCCACCTGGCTGGTCAGTTGGCTACTGCTCTTGTTGACGGTGACTCATTCCCACAATTTCTCAGCGTTCAGAATTCTTTTCACCTCGCAGCATTGTTGATTTCAGTCGTCGCCCACTACTGCATCTTTCGAAAGCCATCGCCCTCAATTAACGTCACCATGTCGGACAAATTGACGAGGTATGCTCTCATTCCGCGGTACTTTGGTCATCGTATACTGACCAGTCTCAAGGATTGCCATTGTCAACAGCGACAAGGTGGGAGGGGCCTCTGCTCGCCTGTGCCTTGCCGTTGGTATGTTGCTAACATTTCAATTCTGCCCCGCAGTGCAAGCCAAAAGTGAGCCAAACCACCACCAACACCTCGAGCCCAGAGATACCAAGGCTGACCCTGTCACTAGAAATGCCGTCAAGAATGCAAGAAATCATGCCCCGTCGTCCGAACAGGCAAACTTTGCATCGAAGTTACCCCCGAGTCCAAAATTGCGTACATTTCGGAAATGCTGTGCATTGGTTGCGGTATCTGCCCAAAGAAATGCCCATTTGGGGCCATTCACATCATCAACCTGCCCACAAATCTTGAAACCCAAGTCACCCACCGATATTCGGCAAACAGCTTCAAGTTGCACAGACTGCCTATGCCACGGCCTGGTCAGGTTTTGGGATTGGTGGGGACAAACGGTATCGGAAAGAGTACGGCCTTGAAGATTCTCAGTGGCAAGTTGAAACCCAACTTGGGTCGCTACGACAACCCACCAGACTGGGAGGAGATTCTGAGATACTTCCGTGGATCTGAATTGCAGAGTGAGCACTACCAAGAGCCATGTCTGTGGAGATGCACTTCTAATTCGGGGTACCAGACTATTTCACCAAGGTGCTCGAAGACAACCTCAAGGCCATTGTCAAGCCACAGTATGTGGATCAACTACCGCGAGCCATCAAGGGCCCCGTGAAGACGGTCAAGCCGCTCATTGAAGCCAAGTCTGAATTGGGCAATCTCACCCACATCATGGATGTCTTGGGTGAGTAACCAGACAAGACCTATTTACAATCGAAGAACAGAATGAGTACTGATTTTGGCAGAGCTGAATGCTGTCTCCGACAGAGAGATTGGTCTTCTCTCTGGTGGAGAGTTGCAGCGGTTTGCTATCGCCCTCGTTTGCGTGCAAAGGGCGGATGTGTACATGTTTGATGAACCTTCGTCATACCTTGATGTCAAACAACGTCTCAGCGCCGCCAGAACCATTCGCGAACTCCTCCGGCCCGACGACTATGTCATTGTAGTCGAACACGATCTGTCAGTCCTCGACTACCTCTCCGATTTCATCTGCGTTCTCTACGGTAGACCTGCTGTGTATGGAGTGGTGACTCTTCCCGCCTCGGTTCGGGAAGGCATCAACATCTTCCTCGACGGCAATATCCCTACTGAGAACTTGCGCTTCCGTGAGGAAAGTCTGACCTTCCGCATCGCCGAAGCTGGCGAGGACTATATGGTCGACAAGGCCCGTGCCTTTGAGTACCCCTCCATGGAAAAGACCCTCGGATCTTTTCACCTGAAGATCGAAAAGGGCAGGTTCACCGATTCGGAGATCATTGTAATGATGGGAGAAAATGGTACAGGCAAAACAACCTTCTGTAAAATGCTCGCCGGCGTGGAGAAGCCCGATGGCACTCAGAAGGTCCCTGCCATGAATATTTCGATGAAACCCCAAAAGATCACTCCGAAGTTCCAGGGCACTGTCCGCCAGCTCTTCTTCAAGCGCATCAAGGCGTCCTTCCTAAGCCCGCAGTTCCAGACAGATGTGTACAAGCCTCTTAAGATCGACGACTTTATCGACCAGGAAGTGCAGAACCTGTCTGGTGGTGAGTTGCAACGTGTGGCTATCGTTTTGGCACTCGGCCTCCCGGCAGACATCTACTTGATCGACGAACCATCCGCGTACCTAGATTCTGAGCAACGTATCATAGCGGCGCGCGTGATCAAGCGTTTCATCATGCACAGCAAAAAGACAGCCTTCATTGTCGAACACGATTTCATCATGGCCACCTACCTTGCCGATCGTGTGATCGTTTTTGACGGCAAACCATCTGTGGACGCCCGTGCCAACACACCCGAATCCCTACTGACTGGCTGCAACAAGTTCCTCAAGAATTTGGATGTTACCTTCCGTCGGGACCCTAACTCGTACCGCCCGCGTATCAACAAGTACCAGTCCCAATTGGACCAAGAGCAGAAGCTATCCGGGAACTACTTCTTCCTGGAGGAATCGAGTTGAAACTCCTTCAGGAATATTCACGAAGGGCATCTTCAAGAATGAACGTGACCATCGACGGAACGATGGTCACGACAAACACGACGAGCATGAATACCAGCACCGGCACCAGCATCACGAGAGTACGAATGACGATGGTAACGAACTTTTTGACGCCGGGACGGCCTCAGGGCTGAAAAGCACGGGTAAAAGTGCCAAAAGACGCCGCGGTGGAGTCGTCGTCTCGGATGATGACGAGGCTGAGGACCACGAAAGTGACGACGAGGCCGACGGCGTGTGCTTCTGGCGGTGTAATTTGCCCTGTTGGACTATATGTTTCTCACCACGGGTCGGCTCTATCGAGGGCCACTCCAGCGGTTCTGATGGATGAGTTGCAACATCCCCATCCATCATCAGGTATGAGAAGCATGCTTTGGTCTGGCTTAGGTGGAACACTGTCAAATGGACTCATCATTCGACGTTTGGTACATGCAGTGCCACCGTTTCGAAGGAGTTTGAACGACTCTGACAGAAGAATGAAAGGACCAAAAGGCCAAGGTGGAGTGAGATAGGTTAGGTGCGTAAATATCTGTCGCCGGCCTGGTCAGAGAATGAGGATCTTGGGATTACTTTTGGAGACCAAGAGGGAGGAGAGGGAGAGAGGAGGGACTGATTTTACGACATATGCTCTCTTTCAACACCGAGGAACAAAAGGTCGATTATGGCAACGTCACCAGAAGTGAGGGGACAGACAATGAAACTGCTTATTTTGTTGGAGGGAGGAATGGAGGTATGTGGATTGATTGACCCGTAGTCATTCCTTTTATTTCGCTACTTTGCTCAGATCGATATTAGAATGTTACGATATCATTCCTGGAAAGAAGTGACCAATCTCGCTCCGAGTTGTAGGATACTTTGACACGCCTCGCTGTCTGTCCTTGCGGACAAGCATATACGACCTGACACGAGTCCCCTCGCTTCTGCTCGTCTTGCTCGTTTCTTCGGTGCTTTGCTCATTCGAAGCTCCGCCAAAGCCGGTCCGGTCCGGTCCGGCCCGAGAGCCAAAGTGTTGCCACAGACAAAATGTACCCGAGTCCTGTAGCTAGGGAGGCAGGCGAGGTAGGTACTCGTGCTCGGCTGTGTAGGACAGAGAGAAGGAGAAGCGGGGAGAGCAGTCATTTCTTTCTTTTACGAGTCGTGGTGAGATGATTTTCATTGCACTTGTCCTATGGGGATTGCGTGGACGCTACGAGATATCAATCTTGATCACGACCATTTCAGTCTTGGATACCGAGTGATCGAATTCACACGTCTCACGCTTACTTGGAACCCAGTTTGAACCCCGCAACACACACCCATCAGACAGCATCTCACCCTCACGTATGGCCTCTTCTCTCCGTCTCCCTCTCTCCCTTCCTCCAGCTCCCACCCCCACTCCCTCCCCTTCGTGCACATCACTCAAAAGCCAATATGAGTAGAGTCGCCGAAAACACCAGGTCGACTGAAGCCAAAATCCAGGACAAAAAGAAGTACATCAACAAGACGAAACGTCCTCTTCCAAAGTCAACCTATCCTCAGTGCCATCTCAGGTTCACCTCCTTGTCGTTCCGAGGCATTTCTTCTCGTTCATCCCTCCTGCCTTTTCTCATCTTTGGTTTTGTGTTACGAATGTGCTGGCGACGATTCCGGAAAGTCGACAGGACAGTCTCGTTTCTGGCTCCGTCCCTCGTGGCGAGTTGATATGCCACGCCATCCTGCATGAACAAAAGAAAATAGTTTTGATGTAGTTATTGTAGCGGGTATACCCTGTTGCCTCAATACCTATCATCGGCGTCATTACCATATGTCGAGACAAGATACCAGTCGAGAGACGACAAATCTCGGTGCGACGCAACTCATCACTCCGTGCAATAAGCTAATATGACAGAGCTGCAGAACCAATATTCCCAGTACGATCAATAAAGAGGACCGGCGAGTAGAGCCCCTGCGAGACGAGCTGCGTGCTCTTCATCATCCCTTTTTCGTCCTTGGCAGTTGTTGGAAATGTGAGCTTCCCAATCCTGCTCTGGGTGCTCCCGCTCTCAAGCGGTAGCTGAAACATGCATTACAAATGAAATATCATCAGAGCCCAAGTGCCATATGCCGCCAACGTGCTGGTTGATCAAGGCATCGTTGTCGGGTCGTCAAAGGCTGAGATCGACCTTGCGATCTGCGTAGAAGTGAAGTTGAATGCCAGCTTCCACAGCTGTGAGTAAAGATAAACAGAAAGAAGGGATAATCCACCCGAACCGAGCCAGCTTAGCTTAGCGGCTCAAGGTCGTCAAAGATCGTTCATCAGTGGAGTGTGGTGTCGTGACAAAGATATTCCCAAAACGCCCAAAAAATGCGTGACCTCCATCAAGAAGGTGCAAGGAGCGCGATCAATCCGTGCCGCGGGACCCTCAAAGGGGCTTGTCATGTTGAATGCCGGCCAAATTGTACGTCAACCGTCCTCTAGAAAGAAACGGTCGTGTCTCCAAAAGGTCATCATAATATTACATAGATCCCAGGCTCAGGAGAGCTTCGATAGCAGCTCGTTCCTGAGAATCATTAACGCCAGCGCCATTGGGAAACGTGAATGTGGTCGAGTGGTTCACGGGGATCGGGTTGGTCGGAGCAGTGTGCGCAAGATCGGCAGGTGTTTTGGACCGATACCTTGGTCGATAAGAGTAGGTCGCGATGGGTTGATATAGTCTGCCTGGACCAGACACCGATCTGCCTTGATTGGGAAGAGACCTAGCTCGAAGTGCGGCGGCTCCGATGCTAGCCCAGTCCTCCTCGTCTGTCATCTCCCCGTCACCGAGGTCTTCGTCAAGAGGCTCGGGGGCGACCGAAGAGACGTAGCCGTCATCGTCGTTATCCAAGGACATTTTATCAGCTTCATGCTCCAGCATGTCTTGATCCTCATAATCCATTTCCGAGTGGGAAAAGACCGCCGAATTGCCAGTGTAGCTGGTCCCTAGGTTTTCCGACCCTGTACGCCAGGAACGTTGGGTCGGCACTTGGAGGCCTGAGTGGGAGTAGGAGGATGGTAAACTTCCCGGAGGAGTGATGGTAGAGCCGTGACGCTCACGGGGTGGTTGGCCCTTCATCCGAGCGTCCCATCGCCCCCATCCGACCTTTTCAAATATCACGTCTCCGTCGCGGCCGGCACTTTCGAGCCCACCACCACCTTTGCCTTCAAGTGCCGCTACGACCAGGCGACGCGCCTTGGCTGAAGTGATACGTGAGAAGCCGGGCACTGAGGTTGTCAGATAGCCCATGATGTGCCTGATGGCCAAAGGGCCGTGAGACAGCAAGATGTCTGGGAGATGATGTTTTGCCAGCATGTTCGGAGTGATGGCGCCGGCCGAGTCCAGGTCACCCAGACTGTCGAGTGCCTCAGCGCTCAACGCGGTGGGTTTAGGGTTGTCGGGCGCATCTTGCAAGTCGATGTCTGAGTCCAACGCCGTGCTCTTGGGTGACAGCGGACCATGCTGGTTACTGTCTCGACGACTATGGCCACGCGGCAGGAGGTTCGGAGATATGGAGTTTGGAGGCGTTGGCAACATGCCAGCACGCTTCTTGGAGTTGGCCGATACAGCAGTGAAGTTGTCCCGGCCTTTGAGGGCATCGCGAGGCTTTGGGATATCGACAGATGCGGATTTGCCGTTGAGGGCCATGCCCAGGGCCGAAACAGATGGAGGAGCCATGATTCTTGATATGCTGCGACAAGAATTCTCGTGCGTTTGGATGCTATGCGATTATGAGTCAGCCAGTGAGAAAAGGGAGACATCGCGACGCGTCACAGGAGTGAGGCCCAGATAGTGATTATAGAGAGACGGCTATGACTCACCACTTGACAATATTCGACAGATACAAGAGGCGACAACTCTTATCGGATCTGATGGTAGTTGAGGGCACTTGGTTGGGCTGTTGCGCAGTGGTCAGGTTATATCAGACCAAAGTCGATTTGCAAGGTCAGCGACGCAGGGTGGTGAGCTTGTGAGTGAGAGCGAGGCGAGAAGAGACGACCTGGACGGTGGTCTCTCGTTGAAGCGAAATCTTCCCTTTGGATAAGGAAGATGTAGAGGAGAAGAAAGAAAGACAAGACGATGGAAGTGAATGGATGTTCTGATAAACAAAGCGGGGGTGGTGGGCGAAGTTGGTGGTGCCGTGCGCAGTGTGCAGGTGCAGGTGCAGGTGCCGATTTGGTTGGTAGACAGATTGGGTAATGTTTGGTTTTGTTGTAATAATATGCAGAGTTGCAAATGAAAAGGCGAGGAATGGGGGGGAATGGATGGAGATGATGACCTCTTGGATATAGGATGGGGGCAATGGCGAGGACCTGGAAGTCTTGGGGGGCTGCCTATTCCACAGCTAGGCTCCCCCAAAGCCCTTGCCCACGAGCAGGTTCCAAGGCCCGACGGGGAGCAAACTTGGTTAGATTATCAGTCATAGGGGGGGACCTCGAGGAACAAAGGGCAATTCAGCCACTGAACCTGGACGCAGTGCCTGCAAATGGGATGGGGAATTGGCCAGCTGAACAGTGACCTGGCAGGCCTGGTTGAACGCCCCCACCCGTCACTAGTCACGCTCCGGGAATCGGTGGAGCGGCTGGTCGGAAGTTGGGATGATAGAACCATCACGGGTTCATGTACAAACCGGCACCAGGCACCAAATGGATGCCTCCCGGGGCGCTTCTCCTTGACTTGATAGGCCTATAAGCAGGGACTCTGGGGGTTGCCGCGTGGCTAAAGATCTGCACTCTGAGAGGCTGCAAGTCGAGCATTTGGGCTGATACCAGGGCAGGTGGGGTTTCAGTCCAACATCCAATAAGGCGCGTTCAACGCCGACACATGGGCATGATTCACAGCATCGAGTCTTCATCACCAACTCCTCACACTAACTCTCCTGTCGTCTGCGCAAACCCCTCTCCGCGTACCTGTCTCTTGGTGTATTCATCTCTGAAGACAGTCAAACTGTAACTCCTCCTTCCTTGACGCCGCGACCACACTAGAAAATCCTAGAGCGCATCCAACAACCATTCGTATCGTCCTACCAGTCGGGTTGAACTAGGTGGGCTCGTTATCTTCGGATTCGCACAAGATAAGCCAGAACCTATTTGATACGGGCAAAGACGGAGGAGTCGCCACGTCCCCGAAAGGAGTTCTATCGCGGCGCGGAGAATGAGATAGGGAAGACCCTCAAGATACTAACCCATTTCTCCCACATCCCAATAATGTCATGATAAGTCCCCGAAGCTGCTCACCTGTTCCAGCCTCGTCGTCGAGAAGGCCTCAACGTCATGATCCGCCTCGTCTGAACGTCAACGCCACCCTGCCTACCCAATTCCTTGTTTTCATCACCCTCGGCCCCCCGGAGCACTATGTGGTGATACTGAATCGAGGATGAAGAGCAAGAGAATTTCATGATGATGCTTATGATGGAGTAAGACAAGTCCGTCCGATCGCTCAGCTGATCCTTGATCAACCGTCTAGAGCCGGGCTACACAAAGGGAAATACTCCACCTCCATACTGCCGCATGCCCTGCTACTATCCTTAGAGCGCTTGTTCCTCCGGCACGTGTTACAACCGCACGGGTATATCAATCCTGGCGGTTCTGTCATGCTCGCCGTCGATGCCCGGCATTCCCCATCTTTGCGACCCGGCTTGACGGCAACCTTTGCAGCTCCTGGATAAATTCTGCGGAAACTTCTCCACCATCAGGCGGGGGAACAAGAGACACAAAAAGCTATTGAGGAGGTATGGACATGCATGGTGGCGGAAGGAGAATCTATTTGATACTTGTCTTTCTCAAGAGTCCACACTGCCCCCATGTTGCGCCATCTCCGGCCAGGCCTTGCCGGGCATCAACACCACCCACTCCACTGATTCACGCGCGTCGATCCTGTCGTCTGATTCGCGCTCCTCAAACGACATGGCAAGTTTTGTCCTGCATTGCATGGTCAATTGGAAAGACGGCAGGACGGGCATGGCATCTTCTCTCGCCGTGATGAATCCTCTTCCGACTTGTCCATCATTAAAAAACTCTTACCTCATGGAAATGGACGACTTTGCTCCGCAAACGCAGAGCAACTCCGTCAATAATAGTGCCCCCCTACGTAGTGCAAGACTAGAGGAACAAACAAAGGATGGAATTCCAGAGACACTCATGGTGTAATTTGGGTGTTGACTACGAAATCATTAACATTATCGCTTTGCTACCTTTTATACCAGCTCTGGCCGTATCGTACACAAGTACATGAGTTCGAACATAGACACAACAACATCATCGTCGGCGTCGTCACGGCTGCTGGGTGTCTCTGCACGGTTGCATGAGCGACGTCATCCCCCTCATATCCAGCTACGTTGGCGGTGGTGTCGGCTCTGTTCACGTCGCTCTTGATCTGGAATCGTCCGAGATCAGGGTCAACCATACAACTGTCTTTCCACTGCTTGTTCTTGTGCCTGGACCCCTTCTCCCTTAGCCAGCGAGCGGTTTCGTCTCATCCATCTTTTACATTGTCAGCCTCTTACTGGTCCTTGTCCCTTCACTCCTCATCGATTCCCTGGTGGCCAATGCCACGCGCGGGGGGATCGTGGGGCTGTCGGGATCAGGCGGCAACTCTTCATCCTCCCATATCTCGCCTTCCTGGATCGTGTCCCTTTTGACCGCCTGCAGCGGGTAATGAAACGCACGTGAGCGGTTTTTCGGCGTTGACTTTGTGCGAAACAAGTCAATATGCTTCTGTTTCTTGGTCGTCATCGTCGACGAGTCGGTGACCCCACCGTGGCCCTCAAAAGATCCGTCTTCCTTACTCACTCGTGACGCCTTGCTGCCCGGTGGCTTCCTAGCAACGTCATCGAGCAGGAACTGGTAGAGTACCTTCGAGAACCTGCTGGATAGTCACCGGCCCGGCGTGCCAAGGTTTAGCCAGGACATATCCGTGTTGACGTTGGCGTGGTCATCTGGCAGTTGCCGACTGTTGCTCCGTTTATGAGCTGGAGCATAGCTGAAATAGTCGTGTGTTGCTGTCTTGGTTGGCTGTTCATGACTGGGTCTGCTGGACTGTTGATAGGTCGTTGTGCTTCCTTTGTTGACAGTCGCTTCCTTCCCTCCTGGCTGACCAGATCGAATCGAATTAGGCATTGGAAAAGAAGGGATTGACGAGCCCAATGTCCCAGTGCTATCGCTGGGCTCATCTGAGCTTACTGTGGGAGGAGAACGTGGCACCTGTGTTTGTGCCTGCTGAGCAGCAAGATAACTGCTTGGAGGGCGTAGTGGTCGTTGCGGCGGCCCCGACCATGTGTTTCCCACCGGCGTCCAGGGCGAGTCATGCACGCTGTCAGGGATTCCGCTCGAGAATGCACCCTCGAAGATTTGCTCGTCTTCATATTCGTCGTCGTTGTCATCGTCGTCATCAGTGGAACGCGCCGTTCGCACAGAGCTAGCATTGGAAATTTGTCCTGACATACCCTGGACAGACTGCAACCCCCTCGACTGAGGGTTGGAGGGTCCATGTTCAAGATTTGGACTCCCGGCCGCAACATTCTGCGCTTCCAGAGGATTGCCCACACTGTCGCGGAGGACGAACTTGGGAGACCTGCTTGAGCTTTCCAGGACACCGGATCCAGGCCAGAACCCACTCCTGGCACCAGAACTCCGGGAGAGGAACGTTGTTCGGTTTCCAGAAAGCGGCTCGCCTTGGAAGTATTTGCCCCATCCCTCGTCAGTCTTGCGTTGAGATGCTTTTCTCTCGGGAGCCACAGATGCTGCTGGTGCGCCGGGGGGTGTGGCTTTCCCAAGTTCAATGCTCGGTCTGCCTTGGTAATCGTTTAAGATCGGCATCATGGGTTTGGAGATGGAGAGGCTAATCTTCTCCTTCTCCTTGTCTCTCTCTTTTTCGCGCTTAAACAATGCCTGCCCAAACCCTATTCCTGACCCACGGTACCCGTTTGGAGCATTATCTGAAGAAACTCGTCTGTTAAGCAGTGCTGGTTCGGGCTTCATGTCCCCAAACATCGATGTACTATCTCCATCGGGGACAACTGCTGAAGGAATCGGGCTTCTTCCCATGGGTTGTCCATACCCTGCTAGCGGTTGAAGCCCTCTTTCTTCAAAGTTGTACTCTCCACTTCCTTTCTTGTCTTCTGGGTACTCGTGTCCCTTAGCAGATTCTGCCTTCCGCCTCCTTCGAACTGATCTCAGCCAAAGAAGGAGGATGACAAGGATTGCTAACAGACCACAGAGACCACCTAAGACCGCTCCAAGAACAGTCAAGCCTTGGTTCTTGTTACCAGAAGAGGCCGCTGCGGCTGCACTGGTCGATGCCGTGGAAGCAGAAGTGAAACTTGGGGTGCTTGAAGTCGGTGACTGCGAGGGTACTCCACTCGACGTTGCCAGCGGCTCTTGCTGCTTTCCAAATAACTGGGACGCGGCAATCCAGCCATTACCAGACTGATTAAAGAATACCACTGGATTGTCGTCATTACCACCGACTAACGCCACCAATCCGTCGTCCCCCTGTGCTAGATCGAATCCTGTCCGAGACGCCGTGGGCGCCAGCGTGCCATTATAGCTCGGGTAGGCATCAAGCGATATTTGCCTCTTCGCCTTGGAGGGAGTTGTGGACGAAGGCGAGGGTGTTTCTGTATTCACGGTGCCTCCCACGGTCTCACCAAATGCGGCAGGGGCACCTCCTGGATTCAA